GTATGGCCCATATGAAACCTGAAGAGCCCAGAAACGCAGTGAGAAACCCAGCATCCGTAGAAGAAACCAAGAGAAACGCCATTTGGAAAGCAAAACACACGACAGAAAACACAACACACAACACACACGACACGAACCCCACATAAAATACACCATACACACACACACACACACACACACACACACACAACCCATACATAAAACACACATAACGGGGATCATCGAGTTCATAAAAGGAAATTCATCTATCTATCATGCGGGCATTTCTAATCCCTCGCGAGAAACCTACGCGGTATATGTAAAACGACATGGCTAACTTTTGAGACACAATCACAAGCCGGAAAAATCCAAAATGCAAGCCAGCAGAACGAAACATTAAGCGAGGTCGCCGTCCACGACAGTCCTGCCATGGAATATAGCACGGTCCCCTCTTCGCGTATATAACGCATAACCTAGAAAAAAGACAATGACCTTAAGGCGCCATGATCAAGGCAAGCAGAGCCATGCGGCAGTAGAGGCCATATCTCATCTGAAGGGTCTAAGTTAGCATCCACACGTAACCCGGTATCCATACAACAAAGGGGACTCACCTGTCTGAAATAAGCCGCCCGCTGGTCAAAGTCGACCTCCTCTGCGATCTCCGCATTACGGGGCAGAGGGTGCATAACGACCATGTGGCTCTTGGCGTGCTTGAGGAGCGCATTGTCAATGATGAAGCTGTTCTTCAGACGCTCGTATTGCTCAAGATCGGCGAAGCGCTCCTTCTGGACGCGAGTAGAGTACAGGACGTCCGAACGAGCAACGATCTCCGGAGTCAACTCCTCGGACTCGACGATCAACTGTCCAGAGGCACGAACCTGCTGGCGGACCTCGTCAGGCAAGGACAGATCCTTCGGGGCGACCAGCTGGATGCGGACATCATAGAACTGGAGCAGCTTGATAAGAGAGTGGACGGTGCGGCCGTATCTCAGATCGCCAGTGAAAGTGATCGTCAAGCCAGTGACGGTACCGAGCTCCTCACGGATGGTGAAGAGGTCAAGGAACGCCTGAGTGGGGTGTTCGACGCTGCCATTGCCACCGTTGATGATGGGCACAGGCGAGAACTTGGCGGCGACCTCGGCGCTGGTGGGAGAGGGGTGGCGGAGAACAACCGCGTCTCCGTAGCAACCCAGAGTGCGGATGGTGTCCTGCAGAGTCTCGCCCTTCTTGGTGGAAGAGTGCTCGGTGGAGATCGCCACCGTGCGTCCGCCCAGACGTTGCATGGCAGCATCGAAGGAGGCAGAAGTACGAGTGGAGGGCTCGTAGAAGAGGGTGCACAGCACACGACCCTTCAGAACGTCAAGAACTCCCTGACGCTGAACCCCAAGGCGGATCTCTTGAGCCACAGTGAAGAGCAGGTGCAGGTCAGAACGGTTGAACTGGCCCACGGAGAGCACATGCTTCTGCTTGAAAGGAGACCGAGCAAGCATCTCAAGCAGAGTGGACGAAACCTGCGGGACGGGGGTGTACAGAGGAGGTCCCAGCTCATTACCGCCCGGAAGGGCCGACTGTTCCAAAGTCTTCCGCGATCTGCTGGGGGTGGAGGCGAGCTGGGCATCAATGGAGGCATCAGCACGGCCAGACACCTTGGGGGAGAGAGCCCGAACGGCAGGAGACGAAGGAGGAATGCGGTGGCTGGACATATCAGTGCCCTTGACGGCGTCAGAGGTGAGTTCGCCATCCAGGCAAGAAGTCTTGCCCTGGAAGGTAACCCGCTTCACGCAGCCGCGGACGTTCTTGCCGTTGAAGGGAGACCAGGCACCCGCACTCTGGTAGAGGTACGGGCGGTCCACTTCAATCTCGACCGAGCTGTCGGCCTGGTCGTGCAGCTCAAAGATCTTCTTCGGGTTCTCATAGAGTCTGGCAATAATGTCATCGACAGTGAGGCGACCCTCCGACACAGCAGTGAACAGGAGAGGGAGAGCCTCTTCAATACCAGTAACGGGAGATGCCTTCTCACCAGCAACCTGGAAGGGGATGCTGCCAATGGAGAAAACGTCGATGGTGCTCAGATGCTCCCAGAGAGCCTTTTGGTCTTCGGCAGAAGGCAAGAAGCTGCACTCGGGGAAGTCCTCCTTGGAGAGGAACAGGCAGTAGATGGAGACATCACAAGTCACCTTCAGACCCTTCTCCTTGCTCAGTGCGATGAGACCAATGTCCTCCTTGGAAGTCACGCTCATGACGTGGATGTTGCGGCTGTGAAGGCTAGCCAGCAGCAGAACAGAAGCAAGGTCAGTAGACTTGGCATCGGTGATGATCGGCTTGGTGGAAGGCCAGGCAGCGAAGTGGCTAGTAACCGCGGCGACCTTGCTAATGTTTCCAGAGAGGTGGTTGAAAGGAATGAACAGGGAGCCAACATCGCCGGTCATCTGGCTGATCTGGTCGGCGTTGGTCGAGGTGGCAACAACGGAGAAGTTGAAGTCACAGTACGAACCAGACTGGGCGTTCTGCTGGACGATGCTCAACGCACGAGAATCGGTGACCGAGTCGCTCACACCAACAGGCATGACACGGACCATACTGAAACCAGCGGCAATAGAGGCCTTGGTGACAGTCTGGAAATCCTTAGATCCAGGAGTGACAAGATCGGGCACGAAAGCAGCGATGTTGATCAATCCAGGAAGGATAACAGTGCGGTGGCTAGTCTGGTAGTCAATGTTCAAGACGTTCAGGTCGTAGTGACGAGCAATGGCCTCGATCAGAATCTTAGCGTTCTTGACATTGGTCACCAAAGGAGTCTGGTAATCCACAGCCATACGACGCGTGCGGTAACCCTTGCTCATGTAGTTGGCAGGACGTCTGAAGCGGTTGTTGGAGGGCAAGTTGATGTAGAGGTCGATAAGGTTGTTGGCCAAGTGCTGAGTGAGCGAGTACTCGGACTTCATGCCCTCATCTTCTCCGGGAAGGACCTCCAGATACTTGACGGGAACACCGTTCTCCTTGAGGAAGTCCGCAGTTCCGGCAGTAGCAAAGAGGTTGAAGCCGATGTCATGAAGCTTCTTGATAGACGGCAACAACTCAAGCTTCTCCTTGTACGAACCAATGGAGAACAGGACATTGCGCTTAGGCAGGCGGAAACCGGTGGACAAGAGGGCCTTGATATAAGCTTCGTACTTGTCGCGACCAAAAGAGGCCACTTCACCAGTGGAGGCCATCTCGACACCCAAAACAGGGTCCGCTCCAGAGAGACGGGAGAAGGAGAACTGGGGAACCTTGACACCAACATAGTCCTTGGGGACGCTGACAGGCGGGTATTCAGCGAAGGGAGCCCCGATCATTGCCTTAGTGGCCATCTCAATCAGATCAACACCCATGACCTTCGACACGAAGGGGAAGGAACGAGAAGCTCTGACGTTGCACTCGATGACCTTGATGTCGTTGTCCTTCGCAATGAACTGAATGTTAAAAGGACCAGTAACGTTGAGGGCGTTTCCGATCTTGCGAGTGGCCTCCTCAATGCGGCGGACGGTCTCAGGATCAAGGTCTTGAGGAGGCAGGATCAAGGTAGCATCACCAGAGTGAACACCAGCGTTTTCCACGTGTTCGGAGATGAAATGGCCGACCATCACACCATTGCGGGCAACAGCATCCATCTCAATTTCCTTGGCGTTCTCAATGTACTTGGTAATGACAACAGGGTGTTCGCGAGAAACGTCGGCGGCCTGGTTGAGGTAGCTGGCCAGGTCATGCTGAGAGTATACGGTGTTCATGGCAGCTCCAGAGAGCACATACGAAGGACGCACAAGCACGGGATAGCCGACCTTGTCACAGAACTCAGTTGCCTCCTCGATGCTGGTCAACTCCTTCCAAGAAGGCTGGTCGACATCGATGCGGTCAAGCATGCGAGAGAACTTATAACGGTTCTCAGCACCATCGATCATCTCAGGGGATGTTCCGAGGATCTTAACATTGAGACGGTGGAGAGGCAGAGCGATGTTGTTAGGGGTTTGGCCACCCATGGAGATGATCACACCGCTAGAGGATTCCAGCTGGTAGATGTCCAGGACGGTCTCCAGGTTGATGTTCTCGAAGTACAGGCGGTCAGCCTCGTCATAGTCGGTACTGACAGTCTCAGGGTTGTAGTTAACCATAACGGTCTTGTGGCCCTGCTCGCGCAAGGTACGAATAGTGCGCACCGAACACCAATCGAATTCGACGGAAGAACCGATTCTGTAGACACCAGATCCCAATACCATGATACCATTATCGTTGAACGCAACGTCGTGCTCAGAAGCGTTGTAGGTCAGATACAGGTAGTTGGTGACCGAAGGGAACTCCGCAGCGACGGTATCAATCTGCTTAACGATAGGGATGATGCCGGCCTCGACACGCAGACGTCTGACAGCAAGTTCGTTGGAGCTGAGGAACTTGGCAAGTTGGCGGTCAGAGAAACCAAGCTGCTTAGCCTCGCGGACAAGAGGTCTGGGGACGGTGGTGGCGTTGTAAGAAGTCAACATCTTACCGAAGTCACTCAGACCCTTCAAGCGGCTAAGGAACCACTTGTCGATCTGGGTGAGCTTCCAGATGTCGTCCACACTGTATCCAGCAGCCATGGCATTGGCAATGGCGAACAGACGCTGGTCTGATGGAGTCTGCAGTTCACCCTTGATGGACATGAGAGCGTTGGTTTCGTTGAATCCCAAGTTATGGAAATCCACAGAACGGATGGCCTTCTGGATGGCTTCCTGGAAGGTGCGTCCGATAGCCATGACCTCACCAACACTCTTCATAGAGGAACCAAGCTGGGTAGACACGCGAGTGAACTTCTTCAGATCCCAGCGGGGAATCTTCACCACACAGTAGTCGAGAGAAGGCTCGAAGCAAGCGCAAGTAACCTTGGTGACAGAGTTCTTGATCTCGTTGAGGGGAATGCCCAGACCCAGCTTAGCAGCGATGAAAGCAAGGGGATAACCAGTAGCCTTGGAGGCGAGCGCCGACGATCTCGACAGACGGGCGTTCACCTCGATAATGCAGTACTCCTTCGAGAAGGGGTTCAGAGCATACTGAATGTTACACTCACCCACCACACCAAGGTGACGAATGACGTTAACGGCCGTGGTACGGAGCATGTTGTAATCCTCGTCAGAGAGGGTCTGGGAGGGAGCCACGACAATGGAGTCACCGGTATGAATACCCAGAGGGTCGAAGTTCTCCATGTTGCAAACAGTGATACAGTTGTCGCGGGCGTCACGGACGACTTCGTATTCGATTTCCTTCCAGCCCTTCATACTCTTCTCGATCAGCACCTGAGGACTGGCAGCAAAAGCCTTGGTGCAAAGCTCCTTAAGCTGACCCATGTCATCGGCGAAACCACTACCGAGACCTCCGAGAGCGTAGGCCGCACGAACAATGACAGGGAATCCGATGTCCTCGACCACTCGGAGAGCCTCCTCGAGGTTGGAGGCAGAGGCCGACTTGGCGCACTTCTCGTTGATGGAGTCCATGCTGCGAGCAAAGAACTCACGATCCTCAGTGGTGATGATAGTGTCGATGGGAGTACCGAGGACCTTGACGCCAAGGGATTCGAACTCATCCTTGAGCTGGATACCCACTTGGAGAGCAGTCTGTCCACCGAAGGTGACGTAGATAGCATCAGGGCGCTCATGCTTGATGACCTTGCGCACGAAATCGGCGTTGACAGGAAGGAAGTACACCTTGTCAGCCAGACCCTTCGACGTCTGGATGGTGGCAATGTTGGGGTTGATCAGAATGGTGTAAATGCCTTCTTCCTTCAGAGCCTTGATGGCCTGACTTCCCGAGTAGTCGAATTCACCGGCCTGGCCAATGCTGAGACCACCGCTGCCCAGGATCAAGACCTTCTTGACGGAGACGCGAGGAGAAGTCTTGATGTTCTCCTCGATCGTGCCACCGGGGAAAGAGACGGGCTTGCGGAGGGCCTCAGGAGAGGCAATGGTATCCTGGATGGTGTTGATGAACACATCGAAGAGGTACTCGGTGTCACGGGGACCGGGCGTGCTTTCGGGGTGGAACTGGACACTGAAGTAGGGCCGGCTCGTGTGTCTGATACCCTCGTTGCTACCGTCGTTGGCGTTCACGAAAAGCTCAGCCCAGCCCTCGGGAAGGGAAGCAGCATCGACGGCGAAACCGTGGTTCTGAGAGGTGATATGGCACTTACCCGACACCATGCTGGTGCAGGGAATGTTGTGACCACGGTTACCGAACTTCATCTTCATGGTCTGGGCGCCCGCGGAGCGAGCGATGAGCTGGTGACCCAGACAAATACCGAAGATGGGCGTGCGTCCGTCTTCAAGAACCTTGGACAGATGCTTCACCGTTGTAGTGAGAGTGGCGGGATCACCAGGACCGTTCGACACAAACAGACCGTCATAGGCGTCTTTAACGAGAGTAGGGAAGTCATAATCCCAGGGAACGACGAGAACCTCGACGCCGCGAGCGAGCAGGCAGCGAAGCTGGTTGAACTTGAGACCAACGTCCAAGCACAACACCCGCACGGGACGGCCCGAGGGGTGCTTCAGGGCGACATTTTCGGGAGGGGAGAAGAGCTTGGGTTCGCGAATAGAGACTGCGTGTAGATCGAGTCAGTGCTCAAGAACACATCATGCGTATAAACTTGGGCAGGGATCACTCACCTTCGCTCACAAGGTTCTTCTTGTTGGGGTCCACCCACTCGATCTGTTCGAAGGACGGCCTCCAGGTGTCTTTCTCGGTCGAGGGGGCAGTGCCGTTGACGGACTCCGTCTTCTGGAGAAGCATGCGGCCAAGCATGCTACCCTTCTGACGGATGCGCTTGGTGAGAGCACGGGTATCCACACCGTGCATGGCAGGGATGCCCTGCTCCTTGAGCCACTGGCCGAGAGACGACTCGGCCAAGAAGTGCGAGTAGTCCTCGCCGGCATAGGTGGCCACGACCAGAGCCGCGACATGGATTTCAGTCGACTCGAAGTACTTGGGCAGCGTCTTCAACAGCTCGTCCATGATCTCCCGCGAAGGGACACCATAGTTGCCCACCAAGGGGAAAGTCATGACCAGGATCTGGCCGCGGTAGGAGGGGTCCGTAATGGACTCCGGGTAACCCACCATCCCGGTCTGGAAGACCAATTCACCCGCCACGCTCTTTTCCGCACCAAAGCTGTAGCCCTGGTAGACGGTACCATCCTCGAGTTCGAGAGCAAACATCTTATCGCTGCTGCCCCGAACTCGAGGAGAAGCGGGAGGGATCACGGCGCCATTGCTGGCGGTCAAGGAGGGGAGAGGGTGCAATTCCTTGTTGATCTGATTGTAGGCCACGGCCCCTCCAGACAAGGGGCTCGAAGGAAGCGCGGCCTCGTCGTGACCGGCGGCAGGCACAGACATGATGCTGACTATGAGGGGCAGAGGGGAAAGGTCCTCTCGGGGACAGTATGGGTGAGGTAGGTCACTCTACCGTAGCATCAGCAGCCTCCAAAACTCTAGAGAAGAAAGAGAGAAGGAGGAGTTTCGAGAAGGGAGGGTAGTTTTGCTGCTGCTTCTGCACGGGAGAGATAGAGAAGAGAGGGGAAGCAGAAGAGGAGGAGAGAAGAAGAAAAAAAAGATTTCCTGAACCGGACTGGCAGAATAAAATTTTGTGTACTGCGGGCTGAGGGAGCTCTCTGATTGGCTGCAGGGGCTCACCGATCCGGGGATCGTTGGTCATTCTGCCGAGAATCACCGCCTGCAGAAATTTTTCTATTTTCTTTTCCGTTCTTTTTTTCTTCGGTGGACCAAGGGATTTTGCCGCCTGCCGTGGTGTTGGGAAGCGGGCAGTGGGACAGTTCCCAGTCAATTGAACGCCGTCATTGGAGACGGTAAGTGATTTTGTATTTTTTTTTCCGTGGCTAGCGACGTCATGGAATGAGGAATCTCTGCAGGAAGGGGTTGCCGCATGTCGTGTTGCATATGCACACGGGTTTCTATTTCGAGGGATTCCCGACCCTCCGGTTAATTTAGATCATTTAGATAAGATCGAAATCAGCACACTAATTCTAAGGACCATTCGCGATCCTGGGTATATGATGTATCCAGTTCACTCCCTCCTACAGTACAGAGTAGTACAGTCATAAGACAGTGGTCGGTATTTCACTCCTCGGCTGTTTTCCCGAACCTATTTTTATGGGGACGAAAATTCTCTGGCGTTGCCACTGCCAGGATTTGGTCGACAGGCCTTGCAGGCGGTGAGGCGCCCTCACCGCAGTGGCTCCAGTGGATGGTCTGGATCCAACCCAATCTCGTGGTTCACAATACAAGTATCTTCGGGACTGTACTTAATACTCCGTAGACATTGTGATGAAGGTAGAATTGCGCTCCTCATGTCCTAAATATTCATATCTTCTAATGCGTTCGAATATCTTCGACATGGTTCAACTTCATGTATCTACTCCGTAGGTCTACCCCAAGTGGCTATATATTTTATTACCAGGAAGCTTAACGATCCCGAGACCCGCCTCTATAACATTGCCAGATTTGTAACTGAAGAACGAAAGTACTGTAACTACTTGTGCACTTGAATCCATATAGGAAAGCCCAATGACGTATCCATCAACATTCTAATTGAAAGAAAGGAGAAAGGATACCTAGCGGAGTACCAGCACTTCGATTCAACGTCATAAGTGGGATATACCCTGTGCACCGCCAAAGAGGGGGATCAACTCCCCGCATTCCGTCGCAGTGGTCATTGGTGTGTTGTATCCCTCTTCTCTCCGAATTACCTCCTTGGTACTGGACTAGTAGTGGGAGTAGTAGACATAGTGGTGCTTGGACTATAAGCAGGGACTGATATGAGAGCTTAACGGGCCAACCAAACCAGCAGATGATGGGAACATGGGCCACCCTTATCTCCGCCACCCTCTCCGATCGTCAACAAACAGTCCATTAATGGCGCTGCAACTTCAACAACTACATTTCTGCCAATTCCCAGTGCTCATGCTGCAGTGATCACCCCCTCCACTACTTCTGCAGCTGCATGATCATCAAGCAGACGTTCATGTGAGCTGCACCAGCGATCCTCCAGCCAGAAAACAAAAACTGGAGTCAATCTAGACTGGTCGGCTTCGGCCCGTTCGTTAAATTTCTCGCCTGTCACGCGGAGCCGCGATGATAGCCACTCGATCAGCCCTCCTCCTCCCAGTCTTTACCTCGCTTCTCCTTATCTCCCCTCCGACCTCCTCCACCGATCACCGGGGGTAATGTCGTGAAAACTCCTATTGAATCCGACCCGGGGATTCCAACCATGCTGGCATCCCTTCTCCGTCCCAAGAAACGACGCGTATATGCCGAACGCTCTCCCTTCTCGTCCCCGTACACTACGCGAGAATCCGCCTGGCCAATTCTCCAGCGTAACTCTGGACCGGGCTATCACCAGATCCAAGACCACCCCGCGGATGACCATGGCATCGAACATACAGAGTACGACGACGAGGACGCCGATGGTGAAGATGGCGAAGATGAGGAAGATGGCCCGATCGAGTCCACTCCGTTACTCCCCATCTTCTCGGCTTCCCACCTAGGTATGAAGTCTGACTTGGAGCTTCTTTTCCTTACCAAAGGTACCCTACTAACGGAGAATGCACATTTAGACACCCTTCCTGTGTACGATATTACTCACGCCATTCGTCCCCTCATCGTGTCGCGCTGCGAGACTACCTTGACGTGGGATCAGTTACGGTCGCCTCAGATCTCCCAGTTCCTTGTCAAACCAATCCAACAAAAAATCCGCGCCTTTCACTTCTCCCGAGCCACCTTGTACGCGTTGTTGACCAATTGCCTGCAATTCAACCGGGAAGTCCATCTCAACCCTGGGAACAGCGGCGTCAATCAAACTCGCGCGATGGTGAGCGAACTCCTTGCCATGAAGTTGTTGAGGGAGTACACGACCCAGGGAATTGATTATGCGCTTTGTACGAATTCTATCCCCGGCAGGGCCAACCCCGTGCCAGGGACCGGAAGTTGCTGGCAGCCGACCCCGGGCACCAAGCGATTTGCAGGGGTAGCTCGTATCTCTTGTCTCGAGATCGCCATTCGTACCCCAGGCCCAAGCGGTTTCTGTCTCACCCTCTTGTTGTACAGCAGCTGGAGGCAATCTGGGCGGGCACCATCGTCTTTCATTCGGCCGCCGATTACCTCCACCGCGCTCCACCTAAATCGCCCGATCGGAATGGTAGGCCGCTGTATGGCGCCATACCAGGCAATCCTACAGCAATCCAGCCGAATCACTCAAACTTGAGATCGTCTGATCTGCGACGCTCGGTGACTCTCTATGATCCCCGAGATGCGTCTCTATTCAAGCTTTCCCGATTGAGGGTGCCTCGGTACAGGCAGTTTCTTTCAACGCTGTCCTTTGCTGTATTGTTGGCGTTATTCCTGGCAGTCCTCCAGAGACGACATGTGGAGATCACGTCGTTGGAGATCGTGTTCTGGTTCTGGAGCACAGGCTTCATGCTGGATGAGATTGTTGGTTTCAATGAACAGGGATTTAGCCTGTATTTGATGAGTTTTTGGAATCTGTTTGACCTCGGTATTCTATTCCTCCTGTTCTGTTACTATTGCATGCGCCTATATGGTGCACTGATGCCAATCACTCGAACCCACGCTATTGCCAACCAAGCCTACGACATCCTGGCTGCAAACGCCGTTCTTCTCGTCCCTCGGCTTTTCTCAGTTCTCGACCACTACCGATACTTCTCACAACTACTGATTGCTTTCCGGATAATGGCATCTGACTTGGTCGCTGTCTTTCTTCTGATCATCATCGCCTGCAGTGGCTTCTTTGTCGCATTTACTCTTTCCTTTGGGCAAGGCCAGGACCAGTCGCCCGGTTCTGTTGCGTTCGCTCTATTTCAGATGCTGATGGGCTTCACTCCAACCGCCTGGACGCTTTGGGATGAGTATAACACCCTGGGAAAAGTCATTCTGACGATCTTCCTATTCATCTGTCATTTTGTGGTTGTCACCATTCTGATCACCGTTCTCACCAACTCCTTCATGGGTATTGTACAGAATGCCAATCAGGAACACCAGTTCTTGTTCGCTGTCAACACCATTTCCATGGTGAAATCCGATGCGCTGTTTTCTTATGTGGCACCGACAAACATCCTTGCCTGGCTTATCACACCGCTGCGTTACCTGATGCCCTTCAGACAGTTCGTTCGGGTCAATCGCACAATCATCAAGGTCACCCATCTACCTATCCTCTTTACAATCTGCTTATACGAAAAGACGATTTTGAGCTCAAAAGTGGTGGAACCTACCGATCTCGTCGATCCGCAGGCTCAGCGCGATATGGTGAGCCGGCCTCGGCCTCCCCGTCATAGCCGCTTCAGGGCATTCACCTCCAATGCCCCTCGCCTGGTACGGGAACCATCCGTCGCGACATACCAGAAGGACCGTGCCCTGGAAGAGGTGTTTCGACAGCCCTTCCAAAGTGCAAACCGGGACCGTAGGCGAGATGCTGGCACTCGAGAGAGCAACAACATTGTGCACAACTGGATGAAAACCATGGGCTCAGGCCCTGTTCATCCACCCGATGAGCAAGACTCAGACGAAGTCAGCCGACTAGAAAAGCGTTCGCGAAGGCTACGTTACTCGCCACGGAGCCGGCGAACACGAAGTCTGCGCGACTTTACCGCATCGAATCGCTCCGCAGTTTCCGATCCCGAGGAGCAAGTCAATCCCGTCGCCTCGTCCCCAGCTACTCCACGGCCCGGGAGAGCATTTTTGACGCCCACGCGAACCCGGCAACTTTCGCGACACACCGGAATGGAAGGCGACGACGAGCTTACAAGTGAGGACAACGATGACTGGGTTGAAGACCAGCCCTCGAGTGATGGGGATAGAAAGCCGACGGACAAGGACTGGGGGAAGTCGCCTGAAAGCCCTGGGAAGTCAACCCCCAAATTCTACAGCTCGAGACCGTCGACCGCGAAGGTCAAGTCTCGCAAAACCAGCCCGACGCGGCGACCTCGATATCACACGCGGAACGCATCGGCCGCCACAATGCTGTACAACCCGCTGTCCCCAGCGAGCGATGGCGAGGCAAGCGAGACCACATCGATCCCCATCCGGCCTCGCGCCACGACTCCTGATCACGAGGGCCCGGCCAATGTGTCAACGGCTGTTGACCACTGGATGCTGCGGAGACACAGTCTCGATGACAGCCGCAGTCGGAATGCGACCATACCGAGGTCCAACCACATGTCCGTACCGGACCTGGGCAATTTCCTCACCCCGGACGCTCGGTACAGGGAGCGACGCCAGGCATCGATTTTGGATGCGCTCGGATCCGACCTGGGCGATAACCGTGCGATTGCGAATGGTTTCCTCGGCGGTGTGCCCATGAGTTTGACGACGCAGATGGAATATGCCACGGGTGGCATGCGCCGACAAGGCAGCCCTAGCAGCAGCCAAGACATGCTCAGTAAACTCGTGCTGGCTCGGATGAACAACATCGAGGAGGGGTTCCGCGAAGTCATCCGGGAAGTGAAGGACCTTCGTCGTGAAGGGACAAGTCGGAGCCAGAGTCGGCCCGATGAGCACAGAGATGTTCAACGCGAGAAGAAAAGACGCATCGAACGGAAGGTTCAAGGGTCGCGGAAAAGCAAGACGAGCAGCGAAGGACGACATTCGGACGACGTTTCAGTGGAGCCCCACTTGATAGATGTATAGCGCATACGTTTCTCAGCGAGCGGATGCCAATCTCGATCGATGTATATTAGATACCTGATAGTCATGTTCATATCTGCGTAATCTACCTATATACTAATGAAGAACAAATTCTACCAAACCTGTCTATTGCATAAGGCTGATTTCAAGGAGCCATCAAGCAGATTCAGGCTCATACACTTCGATATACTCGGCGGCTACAAGTACATTTATGGCCTATGGATAGGCCGAGGCTGCCAGCTGTCCTGCATGATCTTCCCAGTCAGCCTTGTCCCTCTGCGACCAACATCCCTGTGGCACAGCCTCACCTCCCTTAGTCTACGGGGTAGTCGTGAGCTTCTTTCTACACCCCACTTCGATAAGCATCCCGCCATCCTTCATAAGACGCTCTTCTCTCACCATTTCTTCTGCCCTTCCACAACATCGATCTCTTCTTTATGCTTGTTGGACAACGCGGTTAAGACCGTCGGCCACTGATCGGCTAATTAGGCTGCAATAGTGAATCCCCCTCCAGCCTGACCCGCGATCATCTACCTATACCTCCATCCAACCGTTCTTCGTGCCTGTTCAACATGGACGAACCAAGATCCAACTACTTGGATGATCCTTCACTTCTCATCGAGGGGCTTTCCCCGCCTGTTGATTATGCGCTGCCAAAATTATCGTCAACTCCATATCCCCCTCTACTCATGATGGAGGATGCAGATACACTGGCGTATATTGACCCTGCGCCTCCGGAGTCAACTGGGTCCAATGTGCCCCGTCTGAACCAAACAGTTCCCCACAGGATCCGGAGCAAACCCCTTCTCGAGACTGGCTCCCCGTACTTCCACAAGCTCTTTGAGCCAAAGACACAGGCACGCACAATCAATCGCCGCAAGCTACAAGGGAATCTCCCGGAGTCGATCAAATATGTGATCGATCTCACCCCTCCATTGGAGGGAGACGATGCGGTTATCTTTCTCACGGAACTGTCTTGTCCCATGGGGATCAGGACCTGGACGCAGTTCGCCGAAATATGGCATTTACCCGTACCCTGTATTGGGGGTGGCGACGAAGGAACCCGGGTTACTAAGGAGCCGGACTTGCCAGATTCCAAGAAATCACTGCCCGTGGAGTATTCGCCAATTCGACATCGCATCGGTATCGAAAACATCCTTCAGGCTTTACAAGGCATACCCCCTGTGCTCGATTCTCCTTGCAAGTTCTGGACCTTTTTCTCGCTTGCTCGAGTGTTTGAGATTGCCATGGTCACCAGCATCTGTGACTTGATTCTAGCATGGCTCTACACGGGGACGAACAAACGCCTGATTGAAACTCAGCCTGAAGTCGCATACAAGGTTGCCTGCGGGACCCGCTGCAGAGATCTTTGCCGGGATTGTTTCGCTATCCTGGTGGGTGAGGAGGCGTTGCTGCTGCTCGCGCATTCCCAGAAACCAGTCATGCTGAAGAGACCGCAACGGACGCTCCACGGGCGAGTTCGTGATTCCATAGATGACGATGAGCTGCAGCGTGTCGAACACGCGAGTAAATCGTTCGTTGAATATGTGCTTGATCAGTTCGTTCAGCTGGCAGGAGCTGACATGCACTGGCTAACGACCCTGCCGTCGCTTCAAAGACTCCTGGACTATACCCCCATAAATGAGGAAGAACAGTCTGTTGTGCATGACCTGCTCACCACTCTGAAAGATTTCGTGAGGTCTCGGATCGTTTCAAACCTGGTTGAAGATAGACCAATGGTCTTGCACTCGTCTTTCCCTCTAGCTGAGCGGGCGTATCCATCAAAGCTGTATCATTGGGCCTATGTGCATATGAGCTACCCGGAACGTCTCATGTGCAAATCCTTCTGGGAAAGGCTGAAGGATGAACAATTCTCGCATATATACTCTGCGAAGATGCTGAAATTGAAGGGCGCGTCCATCGCTGACCTTGGCGCTCACATATCGGCACTGAAAAGTCAGGACCACGCAAAGATCAGGACAATACAACATAGAGACCTGGTCTACGATATCATGCGGGTCTACGATCTCTTTGGTTCATCCTACGTACCAGAAAACCTCGCCATAGAAGATGTCTCAGCGCCTGCGGCTGTTTCGCACGCCCTCGATTCTTGGAATATCAATGTTCACCCGACAAGTGCAGACCGTCCTTTTAGTTTCACCGCGTTTATCATAGAAGTCTCTCGATATCTTCAGTACCACGCGGGGCGGATGGCTGGAGTTGGCAAAGGGTCCATGGACTACGAGATTACCGATACACTTACCTGCCTGACCGATAACGAATTCAAATATCTTCCTCTATGGGCAGGAGGTAACGATGACGGGTCCGGAGGGGTCTTCGGGGATCAAGACATCCCGGACCTTGACACAGGAGGATTCTCACGACCTGGGCCGGCCATCCATACGGGTAGCACTATATCGTCGTCCCGTTCAGCCTCTATCATTGGTGCAAGGGAGCACGAAAGTACGACGCAGGGGGCTTCGTATAGAACGACAGATGGATATCAAACAGCTGAGGTGAAGTCCATGGACTTCGAGTTTCCTCCGTCCAACGATGGGACGAGAGACACTGAACCGTCTGCCCTCTGCAGCTCTGCAAACGCTAGCCTCTCACTAAGCATGGACTCTACAATGGCCACTGATTATGACTTGATAGGCACTGGGAGTGACAGCAGTGAGACTGTTATTCTGGGCAATGCGAGCTACTCGGAGAGTCTGAGTGAATTTGAGGAGTTGGACATTCACAGTGGGGAGCTGAGCCATTCGGAAGTTTCTTAATTTCGAGTTTGTATAGCAGAATTTAGTTACGATAGATATGCCCTTTATATATTGTACGAGCACAGTGCGGAGTAGTAAAGATTTTCCCTCCCATTCTTCGGCAGCACTGTCTACAGATGCCTAACACGTGATGCAATCCGGGGTTCTTGGCGCCGACGTCACGGGTGGCTGCCTCAATTCCACTCCAAACTCCAGCAATCTCACGAAACACGTCAGGAGAGACGACCCTCAAAAGATTATTACCGTCATTTTCTGTGTTTTGCTCGTCCACCTCTGAGTAGGCTACCATCATGGCCTCGTCCTCGAAGCCATCGAGCTTTCTGCTCTAGTAAGTCGCCGCCTCCCATCAACCCCATCCCCCCGTATCACGCTGACATCCATCCAAAGCTCTTGTATAGCCCATCGCACCACGATCCTCGCCGAACATTCCGCCCCAGGAACCTCCTCCACCGCCGCCTCCTCCCTCGCCTCCATCATCCTGCCCAAGATCACCCACGACAAGCCCCAAAAGCTCACCTACACCCATGAGCGTCTCTTCGTGCACTATATCGCCGACTCGCCGACAGGACCGTCCGAGGACTCCAGCCGTCAGGAGCCCGACTCGTATGCGCCCCTGAGCTACATCGTCGTCGCGACGGCCGAGCAGGGCCGCCGCATCCCGTTCGCTTACCTCCTCGAGATGAAGCGCAAGTTCCTGTCGACGTATCCGCCGGCCAGCACCGACTTCGCCTCGCTGCCGGCCTACGGCTGCGCCGGGTTCAACTCCGAGCTCCGCGCCCTGCTGCAGACGTACAACACCGCTCCGCCGTCGGATTCGCTCGCCTCCGCCCGCAGGGAGATCGACAGCGTGCGCGATATCATGACTGAGAATATTGAGCGGGTGCTCGAGCGCGGTGAACGTATCGATTTGCTAGTGGATAAGACTGATCGGCTGGGTGGGAGTGCGCATGATTTCCGTATGCGGAGTCGCGGCCTGCGCCGGCGGATGTGGTGGAAGAATGTGAAGCTGATGGTTTTGCTCGCGGTTGTGATTATCTTCCTGTTGTATCTGTTTATCGGGATCGGCTGCGGACTGCCCGCTTGGGGGAAGTGTGTTGGACACAGCGAGTGATGGGTTTGCGAGCTGTCGTAGTTGCTACGCTGCACTGTATTTCTGGGGATTGATTTCATGATACCTTACGATAAGATGTGTTCTCTGCGATTCAGCATGGGTTTATCTTGTATCATATTGAGCAATGCGAGTTTGTTTCTTATACACTGACGGCATAGGAGTCAAATGTATGTTGTAATGGGTTGGATGGGCGTTTCGACACTGCAGGTCCAACTGGATCTGTAGTGTCGGTACCCTATATGACTACCTAGACACGATCTATTGTCCGAAATAATTGACCGTAGTAAACGCAATTCCATTGATAACTCTATATGCATTACAAGTTATGTATCTCACTCTCAAACTCGCAGCTTCATGTAGTAATCAGTGCGAGTCTGCAAGCGAGGCAGAAGAACCTCTGGTTAGACCAGATGGTGGTTGCGTCCTGCGATTCCTTCTGCGCCAGCCGTATACCTCTTCAACCATGAGAATCCGTCTGGGACGGGATTGATGAGGAGATAATCTGGCGCCACTAGTATAAAGAGTCTGGGAGAAGCTGCTGCGAGGTAGCTGGATTAAAACTTCATAAGATCCGTTGAAACCCGAGAGACAGAATAGCGGATGTCTTGAGCAGGACAGCTTCATGGGAGAGAAAGCATTAATCCTTTCCATTCGAAGCATGCACCTGAGTCGATGGTGAGACAGAAACCTGATCCAGAGCAGATTAATTTGTGTTGGGTTCTCTTGTGATTGCAGCAAGAAAGAGAAAACAAATTGTAATCTTTGGGAGGATTTGACAAGTTTTGCTGGGCTAAAGCATTAGCGAATGATCACATGTGCGTCACATGATACACCGCTTAGGGTTGTTGCCCGATCATTGGCTGCCAGCAGAACCGAGCAGAGTCCCACCGCCCGCCGATCGATTCAAATGCTTTGGGTAGGCGGTCAGTCGGAACAAGCGTCTTGATCCACGATCAGGGCAAAGTCCAAACATCGTCGCGCCATCGTAAGGTGTCTAGTAGGTGCTCTACTTCACCTCACTCCCTGGCCGGTTGGACTTCAGTAACTTCGTTTCGATCTCCCTCATTGTACCTTCAATTTGGAATTGCATATTCTTTTTTGATCCTTCTCACCATGTCCCAATATCTATAACAGATCCCTGCACGAAGCTACTTCGCATTACTCTCCCGACCTGCAATAATGGCGCAAGACGACTACAACTGGCTAGAGAGCTATCTACCAGCCGGGGACACCCATAACCATCATGGACATCCCGATATCACCCCGCAACCTCCAAATGGGAGGCCCTCCTCTCCATATTTCCACCAACCTGCTGTTTCGCAACCACCAACACAATATACGTTGCCCTGCGCGCCCCCACAACCAGTCGCCTACATGAACGTCGGAACCAACTCTCAAGCAACCAATCGAAGTTACCATCAAGGGTCATTATATCGGGTTGCGCCGTATTATGGTCTTTCTGTTCCTCAACCACCTGCGCAACCCCCCAACATGCCTCTCCGACAACAGGCAACACAAACACCCTTCCCGCAAGATACACTTCAGAATAATTTCCGATCCATGTCCAAATTTGTTCAATACCCTCCCACCCTCTCCAATATGGCGCCTTTCTCGAGAGACACCGCAATCGAGGGTCCCCAGACTAAAAGACCTTGCATCCGAGATACGCCAATGCCGAATTCTGCTCCTAAGCTTTCGTCCGCCGACTTCTCCTCATTCAATTTTACACCACAAGATACGTCCGATAAGTCCTACTTGAAGAATCGCGCAGATATCGTGAAGCCGTTTAAAGAAACGGATGCAGCGAAGAAGGCTGCGTACAATCCTGCTACCATCGCTCGTGATGTGTTAATTGCTGCGGGACGGCACCCGACAGAACGACCGTTGAACCACCATCTACTTCGCCTGCGCGACAACTTTGCTGCTGTCGATTTGACTTCTGATTTGGCGAGCTTTCGCTGGGATTTGGTGGACCCTGGCCAACCTACTGCACCTACTCCTACTGACCTGGATCGTGTCGCGAAATCACGTGGTGATAACGAGATGCGCACTCCAGATCCGCGTTCCGCGCCTGTGCCCGTCGCACCCGCGCAGACACCTCCAACGCCGCTCCCCGCTGTCAACACCCACCACCACAACAAAAATAATAGCAATATCCAGCACCCCTCACCTGCGACTCAGCAGGCCAACACACAAAATCGGGGCATTCAGCCTCCATCCCGTCGGCAAACTCCTCTGGAAACGACGAAACCCATCTCTCGGCCTCCGTCGCAGCCCCCAGTCCACTCCAACAGCCCGGCTGTCCAGCCTAAGATGGTCGTTGGTAAGAGACCGCCAGGTAGGCCGCCCAAGTCTTCCAAACCTCCCATGGTGGAAAAGCCCGCTGGTGTACCGTATCCAGTGTACCGCTGCTGCTGGCGGAACTGTTGCGCCGAGCTGCATAACCTGGATATGCTGAAGAGACATATCGGTCGGACTCATATTCCACACACGCTCGTCTGCGAATGGACAGATTGCACCGTGACCAAGAACATGCCGGCGGTCGAGCTGCTGCGACACGTGAAAAAAGAGCATATTGAGCCCATCGCATGGAAGCTGGGCGATGGACCCTCGGTGCCCCGAACAAGTGAGAAAGCCACTAGATGATTGCTGTTCCTTTTACATGCTTTGTTGTTAAGAGAACCCTGATCATTAATACTTGGTCTGTTTTTGCGATCTAGTCGATGATACCGCTGGCAGTCCGGTCCCGAAGACTATCCCAGAACTGAATCACCCCGAGGGCGAGGATTCGCTGATATTCCCTGCGAGCGACAGTTCGATTCGGGCGTTCAATAAAGTGCACGGGAAGCACTCTCAGCGCGAGAAAGCGATGGAGATTATGAAGGCTGTGCAGAGGATGAAGGAGCACGTTGGGTTTGGGTTGGACCCCGGTGGTTGTCAGCTGGCGACTCCGGCTCGCAACGAGAGAGTCAGCAATGAAGAGAATTTTTACAAAGTGCGGTCCGAACGATAGATACCCCTTTCGCGTCTACGCTTTGATGCATTGGAAAACGGCGTTCAATGGTTGGTCCACAGGGTTGTCTTGATGATGGAGTTGATTCGCACTCTTCTACAAGCATTGCATGTATAATAGCCAGCCAAAGCATGAATCTGTTGATTTAGACCATTCCATACGGAGTCATCATTCCTTAGTACTATACACCAATCGACACTGCAAGCAGTCGCTCCAGTCGAGGTTGCAGGCGGGGGTATCCATTTGTGTTCTATCCCTCAGATCCTTAAATCACCGAAGAAAACAGGCTAAACGAGAAGAGGATGAAACGAAGCAAAGCCCGTCCAGGGCGTAGGGTATGTAGCATTCGGGATCGGCTTCAGCTGGTCGCAGCAGTGGCAGCGGCGGGTGCGGACGCAGGCGCCGACTTCTTCGCGGCGGGAGTGTCTTCGACTTCGTCGTCCTTGGCGTTGACTTCGAGGAAGTGATAGAGGACGATCATCATCATGGCGCAGGAGCCGAGAAAGACGGCGAGACGGTGGAGTTGGTCGTCGGTGATCATGATGAAGGGTGGTTGCTGTCGGAGACGCCACGTCGGTCGTTAGTGATGGAGTTGAGATACAGGGTCGACTGGGGCGGGAGGATATCCAATTGAACATACGTACCTTGAGGAATAATCAGGCTTCGGATAATGGAACCCAGGAGGGAATGGAGATGGGTGGAGGATGTATGGCGTTGATGGATCGGTGATGTGAAGCTAGAAGTACTTGGTACCTTTGGGTGGTCTGGAAGGTCTATCAGTACATCCGAGCCGTGGAACAGACAGTCTACGTCAGCCACATGAATTGGCACTTGACACTGCACAGTTCTTTAATATATTGCTACTATCATACTTGATCTTTCTTTCTTTTGTTTCCTTTCATATCTAGACATTTAATTGAACATTCTATTTTGCTTGATTATTTCTTTGACAGATCGGAGTAACTCTAGCTGCCGTGGTGCATGATTGGCTGTGGCGGCCGTTTGCAGTCGTACCAAACACCGCTTAGTCAGAACTGCTTCTTTTGGATGAATCGATCCATCAAGCAACCTCTCGTTTCTCCTCTCTTCTCCTCTCCCTCTTTCTCGATCGAATCCTTTCTTGCCTCTTCCTGCATATCACTCCTCTTTCTCTAATCTTCCTTGTCCTTCATCCCCTGCGACTCCTCTGCAAGATTGGGAGAAACAATACCTTCCCCATCGCACCTCCCCGCAAGCCATCAGGTACCGGTGCTCCCCGTTGGGCCCCTCTTCCATTGGCCCATTGATCGATCGATATCGATCTCGGTGGTCTATGGGTGATCGCCTTTTATTTCGCCCACAATCCATCCATCAGTGATCTGTGGTAATTCCCCTTCCCCAACATGAACGATCCTTTCGTCCCCGCCAAAAATCCCGGCCCGACGAAAGCCGCGGGTCCCTCGCTGTTGGCCTGTCTTCTGTGCCGTCACAAACACCTCAAATGTGATGGGAAAACTCCAGTGTGCGGACGCTGTGCCGCTACTGGATCGGAATGCCAATATACCCCGTCGCGTCGTGGGTACAAGGGCCCGTCGAAGAAGCGACGCGCAAACCCGTCGTCTCCAGAGCAAACGCCCGCCGATCTGGCCGCCTCTTTCGATCCGCAGTCCATCGGTTTGGTCAATGTCACCCCTGACTGGAGCCTGCAAAACACGGTCCCTTTCATGCCCGTCGCTACCTTCCCGTCCTCCTCGTCGACCAGCCCTGGCTTGACCGACTACACCAATTCTTCACAACCCATCCGGTTCACGAATGACCCCCTAACTCCCGACTCTTCCGCCTCGGTCCCCGGTGATGGGTATTTGATCGATATCTACTATACCTATTTCCATCCCTCGCACCCAATTCTCCCTCCGCTCCGCTTTCTCTACCGCTCCTATCTCCCGACCTTCCTGGAGCAGGTCATCAAGTTCATCGGTGCTCATTTCACTCCGGCCGCTTCGAGCGAGACGTATCGACCCACCGTTGTGTCAAATGTGAAGGAGCAAGAGGGCTCTATAGAGAAGCTGCAGGCTCTCTTGTTGCTCGCGGTGGTCCTCCACTCTCGCAATGAACGTCCCGAAGCTGGCGAGTGTCTCGCCGCAGCTGTTGACCTAGCGTTTGAGCTGGGACTCCAGACGCAGAGTTTCGCCACCGCGATGAGCGACGGTGACCCCATCCGCGCGGAATGCCTGCGGCGCACATGGTGGGAGCTGTTCATTATCGAGGGGATGCTGACTGCGCTTGGGGTTCAGAGCACTTACCGTACCAACATGGTGCCGCCGGAGGTGGGACTGCCATGTGAGGAACGGATCTACCAGGATGGCCTGGCGCCGCCCCCGCCTCCAACGATCGCTCAATTCGACAATCGCGTCTTCGCCGACGAGGAGCGCGACTTCTCTTCCTTCACCTACCGTATCGAAGCGGTCCGCATTCTCGGGCGCGTGGTCGGCATCCAGGACATGGTCGAGGGCCAACAGGACCATGTGGAGGCCATTGACGCCCGAATAACGAGTTGGTTCCACCACCTCCCCGAGTCCAAGGCGGAGCTGCTGCGTCCCGATGGTTCCGTGGATGAGATGATGTTCCAAGCCACCATGATCGTGAACGGCGCGTCGATATACCTCCACTTCCCCCGTTCTGATTTGCTGTCATCGCCCGCCATGGCCGCGGAAGTGATCTGCGGTCACCACGGACCCTGCAGCATTCCCGCGTTTTCACACCACGCCCATGCAATGAAGGCCCTCAAAGCCGCGAGCGAGATCTCCTCGCTGGCTTCTATCCGCATGCCGGTAGTCAAACACACCCCCTTCTTCATCTGCGCCCTGGTTATGAGCTCGATCGTGCAGCTGGCTGCATGCTCCGTCAAGGCCGGGCAGATGCCCGATCCCAGCCGGGATCGCCTCACCCTGACCATTGGCGTCTTCAAATCCCTGGCCCGAACCTGGGCCATCTCCCAGACAATCATGCGGCAGATCAAAGCCGTGTCGCGCGATGTCATGGACATGGGTCTGCGGCCGGCCATGGACCAGATTGATCTTACGACCCTCCTCGATAACGGTCGGTTCTTGATGCCCGATGGATTGATGCGATGACCATGGGGCACCATCCATACCCTCGGGCTGGTGACCTGCATCCTCCATGTTTTCTCGATTCTATTGTTCCCTGTAGATATTGTCTGGCACAATCACGATACCCCGCCAAGGTTGATGATCGCGCTAAGGATGCGTTACGAAACACATATCTGAGGAGAAGAAGCGGCTTGTTGTTTGAAATTGTGATTGTTTCTTTATTCTTTTGGCTTTCTTCTCCTTGATTTCGTGATATCTTTTGCATATTATTGGACCATGACTGAATGTTAGATGAACCGAGACGCCTGACTCAGGTCGATGCGTTGTCTTTCTGGAGTGTAGGTCGTCTCTTCCTGCCAGTACAACCAGAGGTGTGTTTCTCTTTAGTATGATGAAACGAGGCCTCAAGCTGTTCAATATACCTACACGAAAGCTTAATCCAGCTACGGCGATAAGCAAGATCAAACTACAAAGAGGGTAGCAACTCTTGCTATGTGATGAAACGACGTGTATTGCACCTATCCTATCCACAGCCCGGTCTATAAAGAAAGACAAATGGTATCACTAGCAACATAGTAAGAAAATTCGTGTCAAAGGAGTGTATAAGCCGCCAACTCCGAAATGCGGATGCAAAATACATTTTCAGTCTCGTTCTCATGCTCATTCTCGATCAGACGGACGATGACCACTCATCTCGCGCATCTCGCGCAGGGCGTCTGCCCGGCGCGCAACGACGTCCTCCCGACGGACGACATTGCGCAGAGCCTCGCTGGCCTGGATCAGGCCGTCGATGCTGATGGCGTGGTTGGTCATCTGGTGGTTGATGTAGGTGTAGAGCTCTGCGGGCGTGGAACACGCGGTCAAGAGCTGCTGTTCGTTTAGTTTCAGGAGGGCTAGGGCGACCTGGAAGAGGAATGTGCTGCCGCCGCCACTACCGGATGCGATGTCTTTCGCTGTTGAGGAAGTGGTGGGTTCTTTGGTGTTTGTGGATGATGTGCTCGAGGCAGCGCCGTTGTTGATGGCGCTGGTGACGTTGAGACATAACACCACGTCCCATACGCGGTATAGGGCCTCCGCGGAGAGACAGTCTGTGAAGACGGACAGGAACCATTGGAAGGTCAGCGCCTCCAGTTCGACCCCTAGGGCTTCCAGGTGCGCGGCTAATTTCGGCAAGACCTGGGAGATGTATTGACGGAGGACAATCTGATCCGCGCGCGAGGCGAGGAGGCCATGGTCGTAGTAGTGCTGAGGGAGAATGACCTCGATCATGGACGCCAGGATCCAAAAGGCATCCTCCGCGGTGGGTGTAATTAGAAGGAGAGAGGCGGCAATAAGATTCATGCCCTGGCAGTACCCAACCTCCGGGTTACGACGGGAGTAGGCAAGGAGGACTTCTTTCAGTTTGGTGACGCCGGGTCCTTTCCGGAAGAACACGTTGTCGGTCAGGGTGCGATTGATGTCCATGTCAATCTGCGACACGACGGACGGGTCCGGCTCGCATCCGCCTATCCCCTTGACGAGGTCGTCGTAGTAGCCAGGAACCCGCATGGAGGAGGCGCCGCTGCACTCCGACCAGATCTTGGCCCGCAGAGCAACCGGTATACCGGCAAGCACAAGCGACCGAAATTCGCGCCACTTCGCCCGGCCTACCTTGCCCTTGTTCCCCAGACCTGCTATTCCGACTACTTCCCCGTCAGTAAGCGACGCCTCCGGCATGTCAACGGACTGCAGGGATCGGTCAGACCCTGCTGCAGCCGCAGCCGCAGCCGCTTCTCCTTCTTTTCGCCGCTCGGCACGCACTTTGCGGAGGAATTCGTTCCATCGGACCATGCGGTCTCGTTGGAGGGAGTCATGGAGATCGGTCAATTGTTCCAGAAGCAGTTTGACTGGCTCGTTCTCATTGGTGACAATGAGACTACTCGGGGCTGGCTCGTCATTAGATGCCCCAGCGAACTCTGGGCGATCTGCCACCACTGCAGAGGTGGATGCTGACGGTTGAGCGTTGGAGTTGACAGCAATTGAGGGACGTTTGTCAACACTCGCCGCAGAGTTGAGTGATTGGTTGTCACCAGCAGTAGTCAATGACACAATAGGGCCGGCAGAAGGAGTATGGGACAGAAGCTCCGTAGGGCCTGCAGGGACTCTCAGGTAATCCTGCCATCTCCGCACTGCACCACCACCGGCTTCGGGGTCATCAGGCGAGGCGGAGGCCGGGGAGCGTTGATCGGCTGCCATGGTTAGATATTTCTGCACATCATGGTCGTCGTCACCGTCAGACCCATCGCTTCGAAAACTACTAAGCGTCTCGGCAACACTCAGTCGATTGCTATTCTTTAGCGCTTGCGCTTCCCTCTGTCTCTTCTTTCGGCGTTGATCGTAAATAAAACCGAACCGGTCTGTCAGCAGCTCACCAGACTGGTAATTGTTGTAGATGGGGGACAGGGTAGGCGGCCTAGACTCCATCGGGAGGATCGCGTCCATCTCGACGGGGCCAAGGTTGCTCGGATTCTTGTCAGGCGCCTCCGCGTTCGTTCCCAGCGAGACACTGGAGGCGGGGTTTCTTCTCCCGGTCGGCGTAGCCCTAGCCATACCACTGGATCCATTCGCCGACCTCCCCGGTGCTCCGACGATATTCGTGGTGCTGTTGATCCGTTTGAGGGCGGCGACTGCAGACATTGAAGCTTTCGAATTCGCCGGCAGCGTCGACAGGTCCGACTTAGTTCTGTCCCGAGTAGTCGACGGAGCTCTGCCACGCGGCTGTTCCGCAGCCGTTTCGTCCTTGTTCGCTTGCGAAGTCCCGGCAAACAACTTGACCGTCCAAGAAGACAGCGACTTGGACGACTTGCGCGAGTGGATACTAGCGTCGTCGCCGCCTGACGTCGCTCCACGTGGACGCCCACCAGTCTGCTCTGCCGGTGGCTGGAACAGCTGGTCGTCAAGTGCCTTGCGCCGACTGGAAGGGTTACTCGGGTTCTGTGTGCGTCGAATCTCCGCTTCCTCGCCTTCTCCAGCATCACTCATGATGCTACTCGCCCGGCTGGTCTTGCGGCTGCCCGTGGTACTTCCGAAGATGTAGTCCTGCCAGTTTCGGGGACCCGCCTGTTTCCTCTTCATCGTCCCCGATTCCACACTCGACGTGCCCGACCGGGTACCATCCTCTCCACGCTGGAGCCTGCGGACGGTGGATTGATCCACGATACCCGGTTCAACGGCCTCATCGCCAAACGAGCTCCCCACTTCATCCGACATCGCCTGCCGCATGAGCCCATGCATACCAAACACATGATCGCCGGTCCGGTCGGCCGCGCCCTCCGCATCGTGCTCTGCCCCATTGCGCGAGGAATTCTCCAACGCATACAGCCGCCGCTCAATATCCTGGTTCGAAACCGACACCTCGCGGAGCATTCTCTTCAACTCGCGTTCCCGTGCATCAGCTCGCTGGCGCAGGGCTGAGATCTCCGCGTCCCGCTGGGCCAAATCCCGCGCGAACTGGCGAACGAGCTTGACCGTGCCCGTATTCGCAACCAGTCGCTCAATATGTGCGTCGTCTGCGAGATGCAGCGCCCCCGGGAAGTCATGGATCGGCACGGCGTCGTCGAACAGCGCCGCCCGGCCGGTATTCTGCGGCGTTCCGCCGGTCAGCTTTGCCAGCGTCGCACGGCGGTCGCTCCCGACCGTGCTGGCGCTTTCGGCGCCGTCACTTTCTAAAAGGGCATTGGTGAGGGCTCGGTTTAAAGCGGGCTGGCCGAGGAAGCCTTCCGGGGAGCGGTCGGGGGATAACGACGGGAATGAGGTCAGATCGGTGGTCGTGGCGTTGGAGGAGGCGGCCGAGAGCCTTTTCTGGGACTTAGTCCGGACGGTTCTAGTCCTCTGGCTGTGGCGGGAGGAGGATGAGGTCCGCGAGGAGGAGCGACGCTCTGGTTGGGGCGGCATATCGCACTCCGCCATGGTTCGTGGGGCGGCAGTGAGAAGAACTGATGACGCACTGGATGCCTGTGGGCTTCATGAATGCTTGTTCGGTTGATGTGTCGCTTTGCGAAGATGGCAGGATGGCGTGTGCGTGTGCTTGTTGCAAGGTATTCGCCGCGAGCTATCTGCGTGCGGTGGGATGTCGTAATCGCGTTACAGAATTGAATGACGCTGACAATGCGGTGCTGGGAGCGTAGACAGCAGAATGCAACGAAGCCACGATGATGGAAGCACGGAGAAAGAACGACTCGAGGGAACGACAGACGCAATGAAGGACGAGACTGTGGGAGAGAAAATAAGAAGTGTGGAATGCTTGTCGGATCGAAAGGCAGAGCTGCGTTTGGCCATGACGTGTGGTGCGGCATGTGACTTGGCACTGATGAGTCAGCCAGGTCTCGATCTCTTAGTTAATCAAGTTGGTCACCTGACATGAGCCTCGGCTCTCCGCAAAACAAGCCGGTTTTGAGGGGCCGCAACACCCGAGAGCTACTCAGCGTTAAAAGGCACGGCAGCTGGCTTCTGCGTGTCATGACCGTTGAAGCCAATGCTCCAGAAACTCGGTCTCTAGCTATACCGTGATCTCCCATTACCATCCTTCTTCAACCGCCAACATGCCTCCCTCGTCGATGCACGCCAAACGCCGCCTCCAGGCCATCAGTCAACAGCTGGTGGAGGGAATCCCCGATGCAGGCAAGTTCGAGGACATTCCCAAGATCCGCCGGGTTGCCGGGGACTCTGCTGGCCCGTACGTACCCTCGGTCACTCGTACTCGAACAAAGACAAACTGCGTTTATATTGCTGTGGTTCTATACTCTAACACGGACTAGTCGCTGCAAAGGCAAGGTCGCAATCGTGACTGGCAAGTCATAGCTCCCATGCCCGATTCACACCACAGTCCATGGAAAAGCTAACAATAAACAGGCGCCAACTCTCCCAACGGTATTGGCCGCGCCAGCGCGCACCAATACGCTCACAACGGCGCCAAAGCCGTCTACATCTGCGACTACAACGACTCGCATCTGGCGACACATAAGCGCGAGATGGAGCAGCTCTATCCGGGCGTGGACATCCACACGCGGCAGTTCGATGCGGCCGACGAACAGGCCGTCAAGGCCGTCGTCGACGACGCCATCCAGCGCTACGGCCGTCTGGACATCTACTTCGCCAACGCGGGCGTCACCGGGCCCGGTAAGCTCTTCTCAGAGCTGACGGCGGAGGAATTCGACCGGACGATGCACACCAACAGCACCAGGTAATGGCATACCGTCGACTGTATCCGTGATTGAACGATGGAGGCTAATGGTGGGGACAGCTGCTTCCTGGCGGCCAAGTACGCCTCGATTGCCATGTCAAAGACCTCCGAGGCGAAGCCGTACCCCTCGGGATCGATCATCTGCACGGCGTCAGTGGCGGGGCTGCGCTCCAACGCCGGGTCGACCGATTACTCCGCGTCCAAGGCGGCCGTGGTCTCGATTGCGCAGAGTTGCGCCTTCCAGCTGGCCGGAACCGGCATCCGGGTCAACGCGATCTGCCCTGGTGTGATTGAGACGGGTATGACGCAGCCGATGTACGACGCCGCCCGGGCCCGCGGCACTCTCAACAAGATCGGCCAGTTGAATCCCCTCCAGCGAGGCGCGGTCCCGGACGAGGTCGCCCGGGTGGCGCTCTTCCTGGGAAGTGACGAAAGCAGTTATGTCAACGGACAGGCATGGGCTGTGTGTGGCGGATTGAGTGCAGGACACCCATTTGTGCCGGGCAAGATGTCATGATCTGTTCTTGCATCGTTCATGTACCTACTGCGCAGAGATTCGTGGAGCTACTCCCTACGATGTAAAGTATTGAGGATATCACGTATGAAGGATTCAACAGTCCAATCTACCTATCGGCAGACAGGCTCAGTTTAACGATCACGACTCCCGGGGTAGCTTTCAAAGCTGCCTCGGTTCAAAATTATAGACAAAAGGAAAATTGTGTGACAGGAAGGAGACACGAGGGAGGGAGTGGTCGGCTCCATTGCTGGATGCCTGGTAAACAATCTCAGAAAGGCACAGCACCGGTTGGTGTGGCTGCGAAGCGAAAAGGGGAAGGTCTCCGTTGGGGGAATGGACAGGTAGAATAGGAATACATCCTCCCAGACCAAAGGAGCAAAGTAATGACCACGGAAAATCAAGTCCGCCAAAAAGAAGTAGAATAAAACACCCTCATAAAGAAGCACCAAAGGCGATAGTGGGAATATCCAAAACAGAAGAAGATAAAAGGCCAATAAGTAAACAACAGTGCCATTGCACAGCTCGCTCTAACTCTGAATGATACGGGAGCAGATGTCGTGTCCAAGTCGTCGAAATCAAAGCATTGTATATCGAATCGATGAGGCAATTACGCAACCAGCCGTGAGGCGCCTGGCCGCATGAGATCCTCACTGGCCTGCTTGGACAAAGTGCCAGTCTCGGTGTGGTCATCAAGACCATCCGTCTCATGCGCGTGTTCGTCATCATCCTCGACTATCCGGGTCGGGATCTCTCCAGGGCCATACTGCTGGCTGGATCGCTCGGGGAAGGTGGAGCTGCTGACCATCGACATGGATGTGCTGGAGCGGTTATGCACGAGATCAGGTGTCGGCGGCACACTAGAGTTACGGTTGTCGGGGTGTAACGTGCTGTCATCTCCCATCTCGCTGCCCTCGCGGAGGGAGCTCTGATCATCTTGGCCCTCAGGAGCCAAGCGGTTCTGCTTGCCAGCATCGTCCGAATCATCTTCTTCCGCATCCTGGGCCAGATGCAGCCCCTTCAACAGCAGCAGCGCATTGCTCACTGATGCTGCGGATAATGTCCGAGATGGCGTCGGTCTTATCTCTCAGATAGCGATCGGCCACATCAGTGATGCTGAGGCGGGCCAGACGCTTCTGTTCCTTGCCCAGATTCAGAAGATGTTGTTCCAGTTCAGGGCTCATGTCCTTGACGCCGTCCTTTCCGGAGCGCGGAGTGACGGCGGAAGAACGCTTCGACACCGCAGGCTCGGCGTTGTTCTCGGTCTGGTCCATCTCCTTGCTTTCCTCCGTCGCTTCCTGCTCGGCCAGTTCAGAAAGCTCGGCGGAGCTACCGATAGAGCGAACAATGTGCTCCATATGATGAGTCTGGCCGTTGATGAGACTGCGGAGATGCAGCACGACCCGCTGAGCCTCATCCCGCTGGCGCGAGAGAGAGGCATTGCTGTGCTGCAGAGAGGCGAGCTCCTTCTGGTTGCGCTTCCGTTCGCGCTCGAGCTCTTCGGCAATCTCCTGTTGGAGAACCAAGGCTTCCAGAGCATCATCTCTCTGCTTCTCGGTGCCAGAGAGGCGAAGGGTGAGACGGGCCACATCATCCTTCTGCTGATCGATAAGACCAGTGAGACGACGGTTCTCGCGTTTGTGGTTCTCAATCTTGACCTTGAGGTCAGCGGTCTCCTTGGTGAGCGTCTCGGCAAAGGCCTGGAACTTGAGGAACTGCTGCTTCCAGGTTTCCAATTCTTCCACGAGGAAGTTGTTGCGCTTGGTCACCTTGCTCAGCTCAGTGTCCATGCGGCCCTTGAGATTGATAAAGTCTTGCCAGGCCTCCATCGCATCGCGAGAGTACTGGTTACGCTCACGCACAATCTCGTTAAGATGGCGCATCGAGACCTTGGTCATCAGAGGCTTCTTCACGGAGCCTCCGAAAATGGCCTTCATACCGGTGTTCCGTCCCTAGCACATAGTCAGCGGCTGTTGCTTGGAGACCAAGATGTCGATAACTTACTAATTTCTCACAGACGTGGTCCATCACGCCCATCACCGAGTCCTGGTTCCACCAGCTGGGCTCCTCGATGCTCTCAACTTCGCCACGCATAACGATGATCTGTCCAGCGGGGATGAGTTTTCCGCCGGCATAGGCGGAACGAAGGTGGTTCGGAACACCCGAGGGCGTGACATCGCCATTCAACGCCTGCGTGAGGCGGTTGATGAACTTGGTGCGCTGCCCAGGGTTCAAGACGTTCGGGGGGCTGGAAGTCAGGACGAAGTTCCGGTCCAGGTCTACGACCAGGGCATCCGAGGGGGCATTGAATAGAGTGCGGCACTCGGCGGTCACACCCAGAATGTAGGGACCGGGCTCCTGGACCAGGTCCTTGATATGGCGGGCGTGAACCACGGGAACGTACAGACCGCTCCACTCGTAGATCCTCACGCAGTACCGGATGGTCTCGGCGGCGATCGTGAGCATGGCCGGGTAGTGGCTGACAAAGATGATGCGGCGGGTTGGTGACACGGCGGCCTCGACCACGCCTACAATGTTGGGGATGGACAGACAGGTAAACAGGGGCCACATGGAGAAGTTCTGGAAACCGGTAGGTGATGAGGGGAACTGGTAGCAGAGAGCGTAATCCTTCATATCAATGCGCACCAGATCGTTCAGACGGGGCGCAGGGAAGCTCAGAATCCGGGAGACCTCTTCGGCATGGAAGAGGTTGGTCGCCTTGTTCCAGTGAATCCACATCCCACGCAGGTAGTCACCCAGGAGGTCGTAGAGAGGATATCTGGAGAGGAAGCTGAGGCAGTAAGGAATCCAGTAGGTCTCATCCGGGTTATCGTAGAAGTCGGGTTCGGTCTTCTTGCGCAATTCACGGATGGTCTCGGCCCGCTTCTCGTCTGCCCGGGACCAGACACGCAAGGCGATACCGTAGAGCGTATGTGAGGAGTCCTGTTGCAGGACAAAGGCATGGTGGGCGCAGTGTGGCTGGGTCTTGCCGGTGCAGATTTCGACATCGTGGGGAAAGCAGGCCTAGGATAATTAGAATGGTTTCCGAAATGCAAATCAAGAGATACGCACCCTCATGGCCGAGTGCAGAGCCTTGGCAATCTCGTTGTCCTGTTCCAGGCGCGGGCTACTGCCCAGGATCTCGGGCAACCAAAACTGCCCGACAGCGCCTTTCATATGACCGATCTTGCCCTGGGCCGGAGCGGGAGCCTTCACCCATTGGGAGGGCTCTCGGCCCACACCACAGACCATGTAGGCATGGGTGAGGGTCTTGGGGGTCCGCTGGGTAGGTTTGGCATTCATCTGGGAGGGGATGGGTTGGGTAATACGCGAGTGAAGCGAGGAGGTGCGACTGGGGACCACCAGGGAATTTTCGGCCTGGTCGCGGGTGGACGGCCGGTCGCGAGTGGATGGACGAGCGAAGGATGCGTGATCTCTCAGAGACGGACCCATGATGAACGAAAGATATTACCGACGTCGGGGTAATTCGCCGGGAAGATTGGTCAAGGGTGGTGTTTTGATATTGTTGTATATATATAGTTCGGAAGGGTGTGTGGTCGGCTGGGGAGGGCGACCACAGGAGGCGACAGCACCGACAATGCGATGCAAACGAAGACGAAGAAGGACTTTACAGTCGATCAATTGAAAGGAAGGGCAATCGGAATCCAAACCCAGCTCGGTGGAAGGCAGGTAGCACAGCTAGAGGTTGTAACAAGGTTGGGATGTAAGTGAAGGACCACAACCTAATTGAGGGTAAAGAATGCGGATGGCCGGAATTCGCAGCGGGTGCAACAATCACAGCACAAGAATCGGGATGGCGAGCATTTCCCTAGTCCTGTACACACGTCTGGAGGTGGGCGACGTGGTGAAGTGAGGATAGACTCACTTCGAGGCGGGCGGGGGGATGGATGAGGAGAAGAGGAGAAGGGAGAACGAGAGACGGAGAGGAGGGAGGAGAAAAGAGGAGAGGCGACGAGAGGGAAGAAGAGAGAGAAAGACAAGGAGGTGATCTTGACCGTGAACAGTAACGGTCCAGGGGGGAAGGAAGCTTCCAATGGGACCCTCAGGAGTCGGTATTAATTACCGTCGAGTGGATTAATTACTAGTCAGGTACGTTCTGGGAAGTTAATCTACTTAGTGCCTTTTATTGCAGCGAGAGAGAGTTCTCTCGTAGTATAATCCTGGGATTATCCAAAGTGATATAATAATAGATGGGATTGTGTTATGATCCTATTCTATCTATCTACTCGAGTATCCATGTATCTATCATCGTCTCTGTGGTCGGGAATATCCAGGAAGTCAACCACTGTCCTTGCGCCGTGCGGGGCGAACTCGTTGGTCCGGTTTGACTCCTGCAGGGAATAATAATAATAAAATATCATCATAATAATAATAAGAAGAATAAAAAATAATCAAAATCCCACGCGAGGACGGATGTTCCACGAGCCGTGGTCCAATCCGAATGCCCCCTGAAGCGGCCTCTGACAAATCGGGGCTCCATCGAGTCCGCCAAACGAACCGTTCATCTTTATCACCGAGTGTTGCCTCCCGAATGTTCTCTTCCAACGTCTACGGAGTACTGCTTGTAACTTGTCGGAACATTGACCCGTAAAGTGTTCTCCTACTCCAGTGCCTACTCAATATGAATCCATAAGTCCTTAAGAAATATGCATCTCAAGGAATCCAATGAGATAGATGGTCAGGACAGCGGATTAAGGGTCATCCGGGTCCGCTGCCTGAATCAGTCCTCCTTGGCAAGATACATGGCCCTCGTTCATCCTCTTCTAAATTTTCAGAATACTACGAGTCCACCGTGATTGCATCTACTCCGTAATCCCATCTAGTCGCTTGGTTACGATCGATGAGTTAGGCGGAGAAACACAACCGACGCTGCGGTCTCTCCCCCAACAGGTCCCAGGATGATCGTCATTATGCGCAGTCATGGACCTGCATGGACTCGGCAGGTGGGAGCGAGGGGTTGTGTTCTCATGCAGTTCGATTCGGTCGGGGATACATACAGGCCGACCCCTTCGGTTAAACAATCAACATTATTGTCTCGATCGATGCTGGCGGACTTTCGCGAGTCATCCAGAACAATTCGCGACAAAAGGACGCGACAAAAGATGGAGATCCCATATATAGATCCGAGATCATCCTATGAATAACAACAATAATAATAATACGAACTGAGACCCCTTTCTTCCACCCCGACGGAACGCCTCGTGGAAAACGTCAACCAAAACAACCCCTTCCAACGACCCGTCTCGTTTGCCTACGGGATCCACCCGTGGACTTCCCTCACAGTGTCCTCCATCATGGGGAGAGAAGTTCGTACGAAGTACTCCGTAAAAGTAAAGCTCCATTCCTGCCCCTGTCGGGACCTGCATGTCGATCCAGATCCAGACCAGCCAGCCGTCCTCCAGCAGTTCATTCCAGAGCTCTTCCAGTGTTCTCCGTGTCTGAACATCAACTTTATGTACTTTGAGTGCATGGATATCCAGACCCAGTACCAGGGGTCTTCCACGGTTCACGCACGGGAATCGATCGAACTCGTTTGGGTACCGTACCGTAATCTCTGGATCCGTGGTTGCCCCCATGCAAAGCTTCCGTCCCGCCAGTTCCAAGTCGAAGTATCTATCTACGGAGTCCATACGAAGGAAGGAAGTCGGGCCCGGCGCCAGCCCCAAATCCAGCCTGGTCAAAGCTAATCCGGTCGACAAGCTGCCATCACCACGTCTATCCCTGGTCGCTGGATTTAGACTAACAGACATGCGGAGCTACGGACTACGGAGTGATTCGGACTCGAGTCGAGTTCTCCGCAGTGAGAGTCGTACAGGGTGCAGACCAGCTCATCAATGGAGAATAGATACATACATCTGTCAAATTATCAATCAACCGCAACTGGACACCCGCCGTATGCGCAATCTACACCACACAGTTCCCACCCCGGCGTAATAATAATTGACTCGGACAGTTAATCTATCCTTTGACAGATACACGGCCGTCCCTGACTCGCTGCCTCCGCGGATGACACCGGCCGTCGGTCGCCTCCTTCGGACAAACGACCGGTTGCACAGCAGACAATATCATCTCAATAATAGATAACAATGTACTCCGACAGAGTCAGTCGATCGATCAGAAGCATCCATCGTAATTGTCCGCCTCGAGGCTCAACTGTCAAACGGTCACCCGCCGCAAACCCCCATCGAAGCCTTCCATTCTTCTCCTGTTTCTGCTCTCCTTTCTGCCGATCGCCGACCTATCCAGCCCCTAGCGTTTCACCATCGCGGGTGAGGGTCCACCCCGTCAACTGCTCATCACACTGATCGTTATATGGAGGTGAGTGATGTGATGAGATCAGGTTTTGGCGATATCAAGGTCCAGTACTAGCAGTTAGTAGAGGGTTGACTGCTATATACACAGAGTATTGTACAGCAATCTTGCTATCAAGCGAGAATAGTAGGGTGTTGGATAATCAGACTGCGAAACACATACTCTGCACACCCAGCCTCAATACCAGATATATATCCGTAGCTATCCAGCCAACATGAAAAAAAAAGCACAGATCGATTGAAAACCTCTTGCGTCGTGCTAGAATCGTCTCAGAAACTTAACAGCCACCTGCCCTAAAAGACAGGTCGAATTCCACCGCCAAACCCGGAAAAACAACGTTTCACCAGCCTCTGCCGATGACAGATCATATTGTCCACAATCACCGTAGTCGACACGTCTTCTGCCAGCATCCCAAACTCTCGCAAGCTGCACACCTCGCTCTTCTGCAAGACACCGTTGAACCTTATCGAGCAAACTGAGATGATCAAGACAACCCCCAGCCACATCCGCTACTCAACCATCCCGACGCATTACGAGCAGAACCTGGATGACAGAAACAGATCACTCTATTATTATCCCAGCGATTCCATCGCCACGCTAAATCGCATTCGCACGATATAATACAGGAGAATGACGGATCTCATTGAAACACATAAACCATCCCCGCCCGGTCAACACTAACAACCATACCATACGGCACCCGCAACACCGCAACATCCTGAATAAAGTCCAGATGGCTCTTCAGCAGTTGCTGCTGCTGCAGACTGATGACCGTGCTGCGCGGAAGTCGCCCGCTGCCCCCTTTCTTGCTGCCTCCCTTTCCGCCGGATCCAGACGCCGGAGGGTGAGGGAGATGCTCGGTGGTCACCAGGAGAGATGGCCCGGGCTGAGACAGCTCGTACCGCGGCTTACCGGTCGCCACACCGTCCGAGACGGCGTCAAGACCACTGACAATAGACGAGAGCTCGGGCCGGGCCAGGTCCCAGAAGCGGATTTTGCGATCCGTCCCCCCTGACACGATAAATCCACACCGCGTACTATTGTCTTTGCCGTCGTCGGGGGCGTCGAAGCCCACCGTGAACGCGCAGATACGCGCCGGCATCGCCGATGATGAAGGCCCCGACGCCTGTTCGACGGCCCCCGATGCCGGTGCACCCGTCGCAAAGCGACTCAGCATGCCCTCCGGCCGATCGCCCTCGACGTGCCACGCCTCGTAGTCCCGCGGGCTCATGTACGGCTGTCGTGCTTTGGCGGTGTCGCCGTTCGCGTCCGAGTTGCCTAGCTGCGGCGAGTCGGCTTGGTACACCTCCCGGCAGCGGACTTTCTCGATGTCCCAGACGGTGATTTCGTTGCCGTGGCTGCCACTGCTGGAAACGCAGACCCACCGTCCGCGTCCCTTGGTCGGGTGTACCTGAAGCCTGTGAATGTTGCTCGCGCCGGGAAGGCCCCAGGCCTTCAGTCGAACCCGGAAGCGAAGGTCCCAAAGATCCAACAAACCGTGCGTTGTGCCGATTAACAGCCAGTTGTGCTTTCGGTCGCAACAGAATGTGGTGGGAGTGCCGTGGTGGACGGGGTTTTGCAAGGTGTACATCGGGAGCATCGTCTTCATGTCGATAGCCAGCACTCGACATGTGTTGGTGGCGACAAGAAGGATTGACTGTGCTTCCACGCGGAAGTGCTCGATCCACACCGCGTATTCTGTGGTTCCATCATCGGCCGCAGGCAGTTGATACTCACGGACAAGCTGGAGTTTGCCGTATCGCACCGTGTCATTGGCACAATGGTAGTCGACCTTGACGGCATGGATGCTTCCGTCGGTGGCACCACAGATAAACGTGTGCGTATTCTCAACAAACGTCAAACTCTTCACCTTGGCTTCAGTAGAATGCCGGTACGTTTGACGAGACCTGGGGGTCAGGTTCTTCTCCAGACGAGTCGTATCCCAGATCTTAGCCGTACCATCGTCCGAGGCCGTGACAAAAAACGCATGATCAGGCGCCACTACCACCCGGTTCACTGGTCCGCTATGCTCTCCAAAGATGGCGACCAGCCCCCCCGTCGGCTTCCAAACCTTGGTGGGGTCGTTGCCGCTGGCCTTTGGGATCGGTTTCCTTAAATCTACATCTTTCACAAAGGGCCCAAGGTCGAATAAGTCCGTGGGATAGTTCTCTGCAAAGACATTGTCGAGGAGCTTGAGAATCACAGGATCGTCGCCTCCGTAGGAGTGGTTGATTTGGTAATTCTGGGGCGGCCGCTCAGCCGGCTTCCTGTCGAGCGACGACAACCGCGAGGGTGTTCGTTGAGATGGAACGCCAACTTTGCCAAAAGCGTTCGCTGAAATGGTGCTGGTTTCTGCGTAGGCCTTGGCGGTCTCCTTGCGATTCAGAAGGTTTATCGCGCTGGACTTTCGCTGCACGCCAGAAACCAAGTTTCTGACAGTTGGGTTCTCCGCTTCAGTGGGCGTTGACGAACTTTCTTGTCCGGGGCTATGTCTCCCCCTGCGGTCGGTGTCGGAGCTCGGAGGAGACATGCCCCTGGAACCCGGTGCACCACCTGGTGATGAGGCTATTGGGGACGATATCGGTGAATCATCCGCGGCCCTGACATTGTCCAGAGTGTTCTGTCGGGCGTTCTTTAGGGCTGCGCCCAGTTCTTTGTGTGGCTGAGTCTTCGACCGCAGGTGATTGCGACGAGAGCCCGGGCTAGTATCAATCGTTGTTGACGCGTCCAGTAGAGCATCTGTAATGGTGTGGGGTTTGCGGTCTGCTGTTCTGCTGGTCTCGGTCTTATCTGAAGGGCTTCTCCGGGACTTATTGTTCTGGTTCTTATCAAAGAACACCGTCTGGGGAGTGACACCGCAGTGTGCTAAGGTGATGACGTTGTTCAAGGGCGACGTGCCGTTATCAAATTCGCTTGTTTGGCGTATGGACACCCGCCAGATGTACTCCCTGAGAGCTAGCAGCTTGAGCTCGTCATCAGGACCCATTCCCATGTTCCGCAGCCGCGCTATCCACTGCTCGTCCTCTTCATTCTTAGGCTGGGCACTGAGAGTATAGGCCGCGCCCTTCTGGTTGCCCTTAGGGATGACGCCATCCACCACTCCTAGAGTAAAGAGGCCATCGCGTGTAGCTGATTTCCAAAACAGGCCTTTCTCCGCTTTGGACACCCAGACAAAAGCCAATTCATAAACTCCCCTGGGAAGCGGTCTCTTGAGTGCGTCAAGGATCTCGCCTTCGGAGAACCCGACAATGCTGACTTTCAAGAATGGTCGGATGAGCGGGGTCAGAATGGAATATTTATCCGCTATAGACAGAAACTTGGTTGAGTTGACGATGAGGGTCACAGCTGCTTCGCGGATCCAAATGTTCGGATGAATCAAGAACCGCACCGTAATGTGGAGAATATCCCATGTGGTTGATCGCTGGAAGAGACCTAAATCAGCCATTGCGGCGAGCGATCGAATTACCCTCTCCACCACGAACTCCTCTTGGTCGGTCAGCGACTGGACCATCAAGGGGAGAATGTATTGCTCCAAGCTGATGCTTCCAACATAAGCTGCAACGCCGACTACCGCCTCGAAAAATGCACACTTCAGTATCCAGTCGCGGTCATTCAGATATGTGTTCAGGTGGCTCAAGATAACCTCGTTGGTTTTGAGGTTCCCAAAAAACACACAGAGACTGGACACCGATCCCAGAAATGCACGACGAACCGAGGGGTCCGTGTCAGTTAGAAGAGCTTTAGTATGTGCCTCGAAGTAATCAAGAAGGTCAACCCTCGCGACATCATATAGATTGTGATATGTAGCGTCCTCTGTCCATCGCGGTTCCGAACCAGTCGGTATTAGAGCAGGAAGACGCGTATCAGACCGCAGAGCCTGGATCATATCCAGGAATCTCAGAGAGGACTGAGCTAACGACGCTATGCAAGAAGCGTATGCTGCACGGATCATCGGACTGGGGTTGGAGTTTGAAGAGGGAATGAATGGTTGAAGCCTTGGGAAAATGTATTCCGAGAAAAGATAGGCATTGACCGGAGACACCACATGGACCATTTCCAATAGATGTGCAAGTGTGCGGATGGCAGCAACCTTGACAGTGTCGGCGCGATCATTCAGGAGAATCATAACATACGGAAGGATGCGGTCCAACTTTGCCTCATCAGACACTCTGTCTGCAAAGGCAAGAAGGATATCACAAGCTTTGATCCGTGCAGTGGCCCGAGAAGTGTTGCGGAGACTCGAAGCGACGAGTGTGAGAAAGATCAGAACACCGTCGTCTGTTCGTTGTGGCTGCTTTGAAGTTTGACTCTCGTAATGAGGCAAGTCTAAGTGGACCGGAAAGGTGCTACCAGTAAGTCTTGCACTGGCGTGACTAGCTCCATCGTTTTGGGATCTGGGCGAGGAACCGAGAAAGTAAGAGATCTTGTCAAAGTCAAGGTATACCCTCTCGATCCTATCGTCTGCTTCTCCCCTAGTTGATGATTCGCTGCCGACTTCTGCCCTACCCGAGGAGGGGTCCGTCATCAGAGACATATACTGATGGAGGAAACTGTAGAAATACTCCGGAAACGCCTTGTTCTTCCAAAAGTTGAGGTACTCTTCGGCAGAGTATCTCGACTCTGGCTCCAGCTGGATCATATGAAGGATCAGTGCTCGAATCTCAGGGTCCTCAATCTTGGCCAGCTGGCTATGCTCGGGGCTGTATTCGCCTTTGCGATATTTGTATATCTGGCTTAGAGTAAATATTGGCGACTCGAGAAACAGTTCTGCGATGACGCATCCGGCACTGAAAATATCCATTGCCCAATTGAGCTCCCGGCTTCCGGATTCCTCACCAGCAACTAGAAATCTTTCCGGGGCCAGATAGCATGTACGCCGGCCAGACGTGTCGAAATAGAAGGAAAAATCAGCTGGGTTATCCTCTGGAAGGAAGGTTGGTTTGAACGAAGCAGAGAAGTCCGTGAGATAGAGCCAGTTCCAGGAGGTGACCAGAACATTCTCGGTCTTGATATCACCATGGAATAAATCTAATGAATGACAATCTCTGAGCGCACATAAAAGCTGAAACGCAATCCATTTCTTTTCGATGTCTTCCAAGAACGGTCGGGTGCTATCTCTGTCAGTACATACGGGGTAAAGACATGGGGTACATACCTCATTCGATCGTAGAGAGAGCTGTGGATGTACTGGCGAACTAAATAACCACTGTTGGAAGTCTCGATCGCCCTTTGATAACTTAACGCATTGGGGACATCCGAGAGCACCTTGCGTTCTCCTGTGTCCATGTCAGAAACTCGCTCACCGTAAATGAATGTGCGGTACCACTTACGGAAGATGGCTTCAATGTATCGGTCCAGCGTCATGCTAGGATATGGCTTCATCATCACCTTTACAAAGGCTAGGCCATTTCGCCGTCTTGCGCGGATACTCTTCATAAACCTTCCACCGCCCATCGACTTCTCATATACCAGATCCGATAACTCGGGGATGTCGATCCCCGCTGAACCCGCCGAAAGGGTTGAGAGGGAATAACCTTGGCCCATGATGTTGAGGCGTATTCATCTCACAGGCTTCAAACGAGGAGGGCCCTTGTCCACAAACTCGGCGGTATGTTGAGTATCGCGCTCAAAGCCCCTCGGTCGCTTTTTCACGAAACATGAAAACCTCTGGCTCATGGAATGAACGATGAGGTCAGTCGACGCGTTGAGGGGGGTGATGGTAGCAGTCACATGATACGGGGCGGTGAAGTTATTCTGCCTTATCTGATATCGGCATTATTTTGGTCCTCCGTACTTTCGACTTTCCACTACTTCCATAATGTTACAACCTTTCGTGTTAGCGGCCAAATAGAGCGCCCTCTCGAAAGATCTAGTTGTTCAACGCTAGGTCCGCCAAGATAAGTGTGCCTTACTAGAGCTTAGACCTTCGGAGCGTGGATCGGAGTTGCAGCAATAGGACTTCGACCGGGGTCACATAAGTATACTTGCCAGCCTTCATGCTGGGATCAGACCCGAAAACCTTCTGGAACCGAGGTATATAGGTCATGGCAACCTCATAAGCTCGGCTTTCTATTTGACAACCGGTGATCTCGGCAGTCCAAAATGCAGAGTGATGTTGCGGTTGCGTACCTAAGTATACTAACCCCGAGCACTGTCTCATGTTCTGGTTTATAGAGCATAGGATCAGCGAAACGGGCAACAGATCTGATGCAGATACTTGTTTTAGCCGAATCAACTAATTTACACCCCCGTGTTTTCCAGTGAGATATATTTCACCCCGCATGACGTACAGACGGCATCAGAATTAATAATACAGATCCTCAGACATGCCTTAAATAACAACCCCCGCATTCTTCGAAGGCCTTCAGACAAGAAAAAGCACCAAAATGACGGATGTACATATTACCACCCGCCAGGCTTTTCGCAGGACGGACGACTATACGCCCGGCACGCCAAAGGTCCAGCTTGTCACCGAACCGCTGCCACTTCCTCTGACCCCAAGCTCCGTCTTGATCAAAGTTCATGCCGTCTCTCTCAATTATAGAGACGCCAACATTGCAAACGGAGGTAACCCGTGGCCAGTAGTGCCACATGGTATACTGTGTAATGACGCAGCTGGAGAGGTTATTGCGGTTGGCGAAAATGTCAAGTCCCTCGCTCCAGGCGATCGGGTGGCCCCGATAACCGACACGGAAAACATCACCGGGCGAGAGGCAAGCAGGTCTTGGCTGGCAGCGGATGAGGATGGAGTCCTAGCGGACTACCTAGTCTTTGACGAAAGCAAGCTCTGCAAGCTCCCAAGCTATTTAGACTGGGTGGGCGCCAGCATAATTCCCTGCGCTGGAGTTACTGCATGGACGGCGCTGAAGGACATGACTATTGGACAAAGCGTGCTCATCCAAGGTCAGAAGCCTTAATTTTAATGTATAATAATTGACTAATAAGATTCAAGGAACTGGGGGCGTCAGCATGTTCGCACTCAAACTTGCCCGTGCTGCGGGTCTCAAGGTAATCTTGAGCTCCTCAAGCGAAGGGAAACTCCAGAAGATGAGGGAGCAATTCCCAAGTCCACCTCTCCTCACCGTGAACTACGCTCAGAACTCTGAATGGCACGAGGAAGTTCTAAAGCTGACGGATGGGGCTGGTGTTGACTTGGTCATTGAAGTCGGGGGCTGTCAGTCGTTAGTACAAAGCATGAAATGTACTCGACGCGGCGGAATCGTTAGCCAGGTTGGCTATCTCAGCAAACAGGATCCTAGCCAGTTAGCCGAACTGCTGCCTGTTCTGATTGATAGACGAGTAATATTGAGGTAGGACTGTTTCGTATAGATAGCTGCAATTGTACAAGGGCTAACGTGAAATGACCCAGGGGAGTTAACGCCGGATCGAAACATGATATGGACGACCTCTGTTCTGCGTTGACGGCCACGCAGATCAGATTCGACGATATAATCGACTCCGTGGAGCCATTTGAGAAGGCTGATGAAGCAATCGAGTACATTTGGCAGGGTAGACAGATCGGAAAACTTGTCCTTCGTCTTGAATAGTCAGACCGGTTCTTAAAAGACGTTCGGTGGCTTGCACTTATTGTTTGGAAGGGAATACGCCAACATTGGTATATTTTATCCGGGTCAATGGATATGAGCATAATCCAGGACCAGTGGACATTATCGGGCCTATATATATATCCATTCCATTGAAAGGAAAGTGTCAGATCCCAGACGCCATCACACGTACAATACGAACTCGAGCTTCCTCGGATCTCTCTCTTCTCACCCGACCCCATGGCACACATTCATATTTTGTGTTCTGCAGAGTTGCGGCCATTTATCCAGCTCTGTGTATTCCATGACTCTACGGCAATTCTGTGTTATTTTGCTTCAATAAACCTACGTAATAACAATAATTCTGCGTCAGTCTTACAAACAGTCAGTAAGATTTGTATCAATTCCACCTGACCTCCCATATAGTACCAGGTAGGTAGGTAGCCAAGTATGAAACTGCGGTAATGATGCTTTTGGCTGACCGTAGCCATCGGCAACTGACACTAAACAGAGCGGTGACCAGTCAACTGTCTTCATCTATCCCACGCTAATTGCGAAGATCTGGTGACCGACAGTCGATATGATCTCATTGTTTCGGCTCTGGAAATTGGCATTCTTTTCCACCCAGAATCTGTTTTTGTGATCATACTGCCGTTGTTTTGTCGTGACGCAAGCATCCTGCTGATTGTCTCTGACATGTAACGGGCGTCCGCCGAAAGCTTGTTTTGTGGACAGGGGTCAAGAACCAAGATATTGAGACCGACATCAACAACGACCACGTCTTCCGCTACACACGATCAGGGCCCGAATACTTGCCAAATGGGCTCTATAAACCACGGCTCGTCATTGTCAATCCTGCCCGCTGAGAAAGGATCGCCCGAGATCCCCATCATCGATGACAACGAACCTTTGGGTGATGTGGTTCGAAAATTGCACCAGTAAATCCCCACGCAGAACCCCCAAATGTATACGAGAACGTTCTGACGCGTTCAATCATCCAGCTATCTCGCTCTTGCTATATGCGATGTCTCTTATACATTTGAGCAGATGAGATCATCGTATGGGCAGAATCTGCGGCTGCTCATAAACTCTCTGGCAGAGGACTCCCATAACCCTTACATTATCTCGGCTTTGATGTACGTTCCCCTGTATAGCTTCCAAAATCTGTAATATGGCATACACTAAGAGATGAATGATAGGATCTTGAAGTGGCAATACGGCAGAGAAGACGAAGCCGACTGGGGTCTCAATGAAAGTCGCGGGTATGCATGTGAATATGTCGCTTGGCAGTTCTTGTGCCATCTCAACCAAAGAGAGACAATTGAGTTCCTTCTCGAAGAGCTCAGCTGCCCGCCACGGAATGCCTCCAGTCTCTCTGACGCGGAGAGAGGTGCTTCTGCTTTTGGTAGTTCCAGTCGCGGAGGAAAGACACAAGACAACGAGAGAACGCCTTTGTTATCGAGCTCCTCCTCTTCTTTATACCGCCTTTTTGGAGGCAAGAGACGAGTAGGTGGTACTTTCGAACCAGACCACTCTTACCACTCTTCGCTCTATGAATATGACATGGAGAACTTTTCGCTCTTCCTCGGCCTGAACGCGCTCGAGATCGCGATCATTGCCCAAGCGAAAAAGTTTCTCAGCCAGAAGGTCGTTTTGCGGGTCATTGATAACATCTGGAAGGGAGAGATTGTTTTCTGGGACACTCTTAGCGTGAATTCCACCAAAAAACCCCAATTTTTCAACAAGAGGTAGGTCTGCATAGAGCTAGGATATCACTGGGAGCTAATCATGTTGGATGACATAGAGTGGCAGATCCATATTCAAGACTAAGGGTGCCTTTGTATCGGAAGGCTTTCGAGGCTGCCTTCTTCATATCTTTCCTCTTTCTATATTATGCCGTCCTTGTTGAAAGGAAACCGACCGGAATAGGGACGTTCGAGGCGTTGATGTATTTCTGGATTGCCGCCTTCATTTACGATGAAGTAGGTGGCATAGCCGATGCAGGAATGCTCTTCTATCAGATGGATTTCTGGAAGCTGTGGAACTTGGGCATCATTGTCACAGGTCTTGCTTTTGCCATTACGCGTGAGTCACTCCATACCTCACGTTTCTTTAGCCGTGCAGATTTCCTTCTGCGCCGTCCGAAAAGAGGGTACATATTACTGACTGCCACGTAACTGTACCAGGGGTTATTGGGTTAACCAACAAGAGTGCCTATCTAACGGATCTCTCATTTGATGTTCTGTCCCTCGAGGCGTTGTTCTTGGTTCCAAGGCAAGCAGTCTAGACTGCCCCAGCATAACCTGCCGCTGAAGGATGGCTAACAACGAGAGATAGAATCTGTTCCCTCGTGAGCTTGAACTCATACTTCGGAAGTCTGGTACGTTCGGGAGCCTGCGTCTGCATGCAGGGGAGCCGCACTCGAGAAGAACCACTGACTGATGCGCCGCAGATACCCGTGTTGAAAGAGATGGTACCACTTTTTGCCTATTTTCCAGGGCGCTGGGACAAGGCTGATATGGCACAGACGAAAGCGTTTTTCAGGTTTATGCCCGTTGTTGTAGTCCTGTATATTGGTACGTGGCGCTGCACCTGACTGGGGCGTCAAGACCAGAACCCACATGCCAACCAATGCCACAGGGTTTCTGACGTCGTTCACGATGCTCGCCCGTGACCGCCTTTCCGTCCGGGAGATGTCATGGATTCTGGTGAAGGTGTTCTTCGGGTGAGTCGGTGACAAGGTGTGGAGATGGACGGGGCCCGACTAACCACGCAAGGCAGATCGAACGTGTTGGGCTTTGTGCGTGTTCCTTGACTTGTATAGAGGGAAAAATGTTCTTCAACTGACGGTGGCTGGATCGATTGGCTGACAGGATATCGCTCATGAAGTAAGTCGGATGTACCGAGCGGCTACGATGCAGCCTGCCTTGGCCTTCCTGGGGCATTGTCAGAATGGTTGGCTCTCGCGTTTAGATAGCTGACACGCTAACTCTTAGATTTCCCCCATCTTCGGCTATGGTCTGATGTGAGTTCCGTCTCTATACTGCGCCACACGGTCTATGGAAATCGGTCGCATACCGTTCAGGTCACGTTTGAATATGCGCCGTAGATTTTGACTTTGATTTTGATTCATCATCGTTATTTTTATTTTCATTTTGGTTTTTGGTTTTCATTTCATTGATATGGTTGATCATCGTGGCTGAATGCATCAACCTTGCGGTTCCTGGTCGAATCCCCAGGGATCGCAACGGAAACCCCTCGAGATGAGTTGACAGAGCTGATGGTTTTGATTTGCAGGATCATCTTTGTTTCCATGACAAATCTTCTTCTGATCTCGTCGTTGGTCAGTTTGATGAGCATGAGTCTCGAAGGGGTATGTAGCATGTTGCGGGGTTGTCCCTTGCCCTGATCGTCCCGATAACTAAACACCTTCTTGAATCGTCTAGGTGATGTCGCATGCTCGCGAAGAGTATCTGTTCCAGTTAGTCTACGCCAACTACTATGCGCATTCACCCAAATGCTAATGCGGAACAATGACAGACTAGCCATTTACGTATTGGAAAGCAGCAATTCTCGTCGATTAACTCATTTCATGCCTCCAATGGTCTGTATATGACACCAGTGCCCGACGCAGTATTTGTCAGCATGACTCGCGGGTGTCGCTAACACTAGGGCGTATAGAATCTCATTCCCCTCCTGTGTATCCGCCCGATGAGGCTTTTTTTGTCCGCAGAGCACATCCGCCGAGTTCGCATCGTGCTCCTTAGGGCAACCCACCTTCCATTTGTTGCGTTAATCTGGGCCTATGAATCTAGCCGCCGATACGTCTCACGGCGAGGCAGTTATCTGCCCCCGACTGCCTCGGCCAGGGGCAATAGGCTCTCCCTGGAGCCGTCACAACTCAGTCATTCTTTCTCCACGCACCGGGCCCCGCTTCAAACCTCCGCAACCCATGTGGATGCTCTGGGTTCTGCCGAGTCGAGGAATCTCCCCAACTTGGACCAGCAACAGCGCGAAGCGCGCGGACTAAGCCCGGGGCAGACGGATCGTGTTGACATGGCGGATATGATCGACGAAGTGGAACGGTTACGGGCCCAAGTGGAGCGAGTTGCCGCTACGATGGCATTCCACCAACGAGGGCGATGACGATAGGCACTAAGGCTCACTAAGGGAGGGGGTCCACAGGAGGAGAATTCTTTTCAGGAACGTGCATTGCAGTCGTGGCGTGGACGAAGCCGCGAGAACGGACCACCACCCGAGATCATATGGACACGCACTTCCCGTGCGATAGACTCACGATCTACTACTTTGTTGGATGAACCACGGACCAGGATATGGCTCGACGTTCGGTATGGCGTACTGCAAGCGTCGGTTCTATCCAGGCTCCTCCAGTGTGACGAGTTTCATGTTGACCGTCCTCAGGTTTCCTTTGCCGCTCTCTACATACCATCACATACATCATACATGGGATAGAATACATTGCAACCTGGTTTGATATGCTCCAAAGAAGTAGAGACTTTGCCAGTGAGAGAGCCTGTACATGCCGCATGCCTCTGGCCTTTTTTGGTGAGTGACGGGGTAAGACCTTGTGAAAAGGGGGCATCAAATCTGAGGAATAGGGCTTTTGTTATGCGTCACAAATGGAGACGGAAAATTGGTTCATTTAATTAATCACGCCTTTTTATTATTTGTTTATTTCTGGGTGGATGATCCAGGATTAGAGCCCAAACGCCCCTCCTACTCGAGAAGGGATAGAGCCAGAGGGGAGGAGTTCATCGTTCTCCTTTCTCGGTCCGGAGTATCTACCAGCGTCCGCAACCGCTTCAACTTCATGCCATTCCCACGGCCATCTTTTACCATGTCTATCCGCCGTCCTTCATGTTTTTCTTCGTTCGGGACCATTTCCTCCCCCTCAAGCCATCTCCGAACAATGCGGGTGTGTTTGCCAATCAGACTGGCGACACGCACTGCTCCTTTGCCAAGCAAGGTACCAGACTGTCGGGTCCAAACTAAACTGTTTTGATGCACAAGAAGAAGGAAAGCGTGTGCGGTTACTCGACCGGCCGGCGGTGATCGGGGTGATGCTGGTGCTCCTGTCGTCCGTTGCCCTGCACGTCTAGTTCAAGCCATCCCCATCCAGCCGTTTGTTGACTGGTTGTCTTCCACCTTTTCTCCTACGGCTGCCTGTGAAATCACCTAGCACCTTGCTAGGCGTTTCCTACGAGGGTGTGGTCCGGCCCAGTCCCTGTTTCTTCGCTGGCGGCTTGTGTCCGGCTTTGGGGTGGAAATTTCCAACCCCCCCTGCTGGTGGATGACCCAGGGCTCGGGCAAATCGACCTTACCAGGCCACAGGGACGGTGATCGAACAATGCCTCCCCCCCACCTCCGTTCAATATTCGCGGATGGACTGATGGCCCCGATCACACTCTGTCGGCGCTAACTGTTTTGTGCATAACGGCTGATTTCGCGCCTATCTACGTGCTGCAGACATGGGCTGCAGTCAACCTGGTTCGGCCCTCCACAACTAGACTCCCGCACCCCCCTTCACTCACGTTCTCTCCCAATTCTTCGTGCCCACCTACTGCATGCACCTCTGTCCCGATAATTCTGCCTTGGCTGATTCGGCGTCAAGGGTCCGGATCTGCGTCTTTTGGTCATGGTAATGCGGCGGAGATCTCTCCTCCAATTGTCATATGGCCTATGATATTGAGCACTCTTCAGCCACAATTCATAAGTACCAGTGATTTTTCACCGCAGATTTTCTTTTGAGCCTCCTTCTGCCGACTCACATCATATAAGCTCTTCAGTTTTCCCCGATGCTTCGATGCAGTCTTTTCAGGTTTACATTCTACTTTGTTGGGAGGTGAACAGGCAGACGACTTACTAGCGCACACGAACCAGAGATCCAGGGTGTGCGACATCCTCTCTCTTCCTACTCTTTTGACTCATATCTTTACGTCCTATTCACGCAGCCCTTCCGCTCAGGATGGACCGTACTCCTACCTCTTTCCCATCGTCACCCTCGGGTCGCTCGGTATCGATCAGTCATACGGCTATGGATGCGACATATGCCTCTCCTGCCCGTGCCATTCCACAATATGTGGCAGATCCGACATCATCTCTTGGTCTGGGGATATCAAACTGCGATATTGGATCCTTGACGAGCCGTTCGAGCCCTCTAGCGTCCGAGTCATACCCTTCCCCAGCACCAGATTGGTCTGAGCATTTGTATCCTTCCCAGCGGCTTCTCGATCCAGCTCTCAGCGTCGGTCAGTTTCCCACGACAACAAGCTATGACATCTCCGCCCCATCATTTGCCATGTATCATGCGCAACCAGGCATTTTGCCCCACAGCTACGGCGACCCGCTCAACACCGGAACAAGCAATGATATGATGTACTATCCCCAGCCTTCTATGTGGACGAACATGTCCCATCTTGATGCACCGATGTACCCAGACACCCAGTACGGAGTGAAGGAGGAACAGGGAGAAAGTTGGGGGGTGCCGTTCACAACCACAAGCACTGTTATAGGGCCTGGGATTGCAGCACAAATGAGCCAAGATACAAGCCGCAAGACACCGTCAGAAGATCCGCAAACTCTTCCGGATAATGGCAGACCAGCCAAGTCTGAACCGAATGTGGATCGCAAACAACAACAACAACCCCAGACGGGACAGCCCGCCGAGGTAATCGTTGAATGGAACAAAGAACATGACAGGATATCTAACGACAGACGACGCAAGGTCCCCTCTGCAAGCGGACTGCAATGCCCCATATGCGACAAGGTATTCACCCGTCGTTCAAATTGTCACGAACACGTCAAAAGACATGATCCCAGTCGTAAGAAGATGCTTCCGTGCGATTATTGTGGGAAGACTTTCGGGAGGAATGGTGACCTTCGAAGACATAAAGATGCGGTTCGTTCCCGCTGGACTTTCCGTGGACATGTAACTAGTTGCTGACGGGTTGCTAGATTCACCGAGGGATAAAAAGATTCGCTTGTGAAGAGTGCGGCCAGCGGTTCTCTCGGCAAGATATCCTGTCTAGGTTCGTATACTATCAAGATCGAGGATCGTTTTCTAGCTCCACTCATACTGATTTCATTCATCCTTTACCTAGACACATACACTCTGGGGATGGCTGTGTACGAAGATTGCCGAATAGGAATAACTCGGGTCGTGATGGACCGGCAGGCCAGGCTCCTCGATAGCCCGTCCGGCAAACTCACAGTCGCAAGGACCAGCTGTTACGGTTCAGCCAAAGGGCGTGTCCCTTCTTATATACTTCTGCACGAATATTTTGGCATCGGAGGCGCTTTGAGATGGTTACCGCGGAGTACGAACAATAGTGCCGGGGCACACGCTTATGATATGTTGTGTTATATGGGCTGATGTCGGGTTTCATTCACCTTATGCATTTTCTGTTTATTGCTACGAGTTTCCGGTCCTGGACATGGAACGCTGTTAGATCGACATGGCATTTGTCATGCATAGACTAGTCATCTGGGCATGGCGGGCCCATGCTGCAATCACTTGGGAGGCCTTGTTTCGGCGTTGGGGTATAACACATTTCTGCTCAACTGCTCAATCTGAACATCTTATCCCCCTTCTAATATGCCCGAAACTCGATTGGTCTAGACGAGGGTAGTCAAATTACACGATAACATGAAGGTGACAAGGCTGATCTAGGCTGAAGTGAGCACGGGATGGAAGCCTGACTCACGGAAGCTGGCCACCATGTGTAGCTAAGTGTCTTTCTGACTTTCCATGGACAAAGATATCTTGACCCACTGGCACTAGGATCGCATCCCGGTTATTCCGCCGCGCGCATCTACTTGTGCTTTGTGAATCCATTCCACCTCTGGCTAGACCCTGAGTTGCGACGATGGCGGTCGCACTGTGACCACTTAGATGAGACAGGGAGGATGATCGAATGCTTAGGCCGGTGGATCAGGATGGGTTTCTTTCATTCCCCGGGGACGGAGGCCGGCCTGGACCCGACAGACTAATAACGATACCCCGTAGCTAACTAGTTAGTACCTGTTGTTGAGCGGGCCAGCGGGCTATCTCCGGGCGATAGGTACCGCACAAGAGATGTGATTATCAGCACAAATCGCCTAGCGGTGGGGCTAGACGCTCTTTTCAGCTCTTTCCCAATGCTGTTCGTGGGAATCCGAACGCGTATATACCACAGGGCTGTGAAATCAGCTTCGGATATGGTAAGTTTATACCTGTGGAACAAAGTAAACAACGAAAGCAGCGAGCTCCGGAAGGAATCCTCGGCCGAACCGTTCCCCCAGCTTCAGACTTGGGGGGCCAGTAGCGACGCCCAGGGAAATTACATCCCCCCGTTCCGGGCGGGTCAGGAGTTCGCGACAGACGGACCATGCCGCTAACTGCTAGCCTGACCGAGCTTCGTTTCCCCCGGCTAAGCAGCCAGAGCCATAGGGGTTCTGCCTAGGTAGCTACCTAGGAGTGCCTATTTGTTTTACTCCGTAATTATTATTGGTTCGTTCGTGGTTTATTTCCTTTTCTGGGGGAGTGATCGATGTTCTCTTACGTATTTTTGTGATTAGTGCTTGGAGGTTCTTTTGGTCTTGCTTCGTTCTTGATTCGCGTGGTCATATGGGTAAATCTGTGGCCGAAGGAGCTGAGCTCGGGAGATATCTACTCCTACTCCCTACAAACATTCGAGATGAATGATCGACCATGATCTTGGTACTTACTTGGCTTGAGGGCGACTAGAATACTTAGGGCACCCTGAAGAATGAAGATTGTCCCTAAAACTAATTTACCGAAGGTCTATTGGTCTACTTACGCATCGAATTCATGGACAACACGTCTTGAGTACTCTACCACCTCAGACGGAACGCCCCATATTCAATCTGAGACGATATCTACAGCTAGAGTCTAGCAATCCGACGAACTGACAATATATCCGAAAGGCGATCTCAGCAACTCCTTTCCAGGCATTCGTCAAAAACAGCTGAATGCATGTCTCGAGGGTACGACAACGATCCTATCACATGTCTGTGGGTGGAACAATATGCCTCCAACTTCGAGTATCCTGCAGGTATCGATATCTCTGCAGACCGGCATGGAGCAACCAGGATGCGGTTGCGTTCGCACCGAACTCAGCCGACTCGTGCCCATTCATGACGCAAGGAGGCGTGAGACAAACAAGCCATCGGACGCTTTGCGCCAATCGATGGCTACGATATATGCAATTGGCCTCGTCAGGTTAGGCATTGTGCAGCCTTGAGGTGTCCGGGAGGTTGTGATGACAGTCTGATCGGATCTGGGGCATTGTTCCTTTGTGTCTGACGGGTCGAGGCTGGCCTGCAGAATCGATCGATGCCGATTCATAAGGCTCGCATGAGCTGAACTGCATGTAAGACAGCTGGTCGAGGGACGTTTACGATACACCGAAAAGTTGAGGCGGGCAACGTTCTGCTAGGATTCACCGCCCGATAAGTTTTGTCTCGCGGGACCCTGGCGGGCAAGGGATAAATACACGCCGATTTCCCCCTCCAAACTGGTGCCACCCCGCCTCCTGTCATCCCCAGACTCGATCTCGAATTCTTATAATGGCCACCACAACCGTCACCATGCCGCCCCGTATCACGGCGGATAATGTCGCCTCCCTTTTCCCCGACGTCGACACATCGCTCGCCCGCGAAGTCCTCCCCACCGCCAATGGAAGTTCGGCGCAGGACTCCGCCGATCTCGCTGGCTACGACGAGGAACAGGTGCGGCTGATGGAGGAGGTGTGCATTGTTCTGGACGATGATGACAAGCCTATTGGAAGCGCCAGCAAGAAGACCTGTACGTTTTATGCGTCCAATGACGAACGCCCTGCCGATTCCTCCCCTTGCTACTATTACCCCCCTTTCTGTCACCCCCGATGCCTAGACAAAGCCTCATCCTGACCGACGACCACAGGCCATCTGATGACCAACATCGACCGCGGTCTCCTCCACCGCGCCTTCTCCGTTTTCCTCTTCGATTCCAACAAGCGCCTGCTTCTGCAACAGCGCGCCACCGAAAAGATCACCTTCCCGGACATGTGGACGAACACTTGCTGCTCGCACCCGCTGGGTGTGCCGGGCGAGACCGGCGCGGAGCTGGACGCCGCTGTGCTGGGCGTGAAGCGCGCCGCGCAGCGGAAACTGAACCACGAGCTGGGCATCAAGCCGGAGCAGGTGCCCATCGACAAGTTCGAGTTCTTCACGCGGATCCACTACAAGGCCCCTAGCGATGGCAAATGGGGCGAACACGAGAGTATGTCTGTCCCTTAACGTTTGGACTTCTTTGTTTGTGGGCGTGTGTTGGGAAGTAGATTCTAACAACTGCAGTCGACTATATCCTCTTCATCCAGGCCGATGTCGATCTCGACGTGAACCTCAACGAAGTCCGCGATACGCGATACGTGTCGGCCGACGAGCTGAAGCAGATGTTCGAGCAGCCGGGCCTGAAGTTCACGCCTTGGTTCAAGCTCATCTGCAACTCGATGCTGTTCGAGTGGTGGAGCCATCTGGGCACCCCTGCCCTGGAGAAGTACAAGGGCGAGACGGCCATTCGCCGCATGTAGAGGTCTTTTGATGCTACGGAGCGAGGGATTATATGCAACAGCGGGCCCATTTTCTTAATATGTTTACCGATGATACCATGGTATGAACTAGCCAGTGATTTAACGCAAAGAATGCATATGCGACATATTCTTACGGCCGATGTCCTCATAAATACCGAAAACAAAGACAAGGGGTATATCTACTTGCTGTTGGCTGAATTCGCATCCGTAGCCAGAAACAAAATACAACTCCCCAGGATCACCGTCCCCACGACAGTAAAAGTCATCTGAGTCTTCCATCCGCTCTGCACCAACGCCGCCTTGTGGCTGTATTTTCGCACGGTCCGGACGTAGTTGGCGAACCCGTTAACCAGACACGACAGACTCAGAACCCAGAAGATGATGCCGAGGGGAAGCGCCATACGACGCTCGAGGCCGGTCGGCTTGCTCTGGAAGTGGAAGGAGAGGATGATGGCCATGGAGACGATGCCCAGGTACATGGAGAGACGGAGCCAGGAGAGGAAGGTGCGCTCGTTGGCGCAGTGATCGCGAGCATCGGAAGTGGTGTTTTCGAACAGCAGGGCGCCGAAATAGGGACGACTGAGGAAGATGTGGTGCTTATCTTCGAGATGGCTGTTAGGTGTTAGCTCGCATAGGCGGCGATGCGACGAAGGAATAGATAGTCGACTCACTCATCGACCAGCACGGGGTTGGAGTTCGAGACATTGATCAGCGGGTTGTATGGCGGCCGCAGAGAAGCGGCGCCTTGTCGGGAGACGCACTCGGTCATGGTGGAAGGACTGCTGAAGTTGGTACGAGTGCGGGAGCAGACGGAGAGCGGATGTTTGCATTATTCTGCATCCCCACGGCCAATCCACCTTTGTCCATGAGGGGATCGGAGTGCTCCGTTTGATCGTTGATGTTTGCTCGATCCTCTGGGGGACCCTCCATTGCCTAATCCGATGACACGTCCACGTGATATGATACTCTAGACCGCATCGGGAATGATGTCACTTTCTCGATCGACCTTCTCTTTAAAGTTAGATAAAGCATTCTTTCTACGGAGCACTCGAGTTCGAAGCGCGTGGGAGACACATTCCGATAACTGCTGTTAGGAAGCGGGGACAGAACACTCGTATAGTTATAGCTTCGCAATATGAGTCACCGAACTCTATCAATCCCATAGTGGATCGGATCTTTCATCCCAGACCTGGAGTTTAAAGCAAAATTTCCGCCTTCGCGTCATGCGATGACTCTACGACCGACCGCTAAGACCTCCGAGATAGCTGCTACTACTAGTAGTCCGTTCCCCCACTTTCTCTGCCTCTCCTCTTCCGCCTCCCTCAGAGCTGCGATACCTCCTCATCGGAGTGATCAATTCCCCATTCCACCTCCAATCGACCATGCGGTGCATGAGTGTATAAGCCGCCGAACTCACTCCATTCTCAACGACCGATTGACTACTTAGATATCACCCCACTATGGCTCGAAATCAAACTGCGCGTTCCCTCGAGGACCAAACCTTACACGGCCACTTCCGGTCGAGTTCTCCCCTCGCAGAGACCGCAATCGCCCGCGACATAGAAAATTATGCCGACGATGAAGGCTCCATCCTAACCGCCGACGATGAAGCCTCCGAGACCTCCACCGTCCGCGCGATCAACTCCCAAGCCGGGACCAATCCCCATTCCCTCGCGGGCTCGTATCAACGGCCCAGTTTCTTCACCACCGTCTCGCACGCCACCGTCGTCCCGCACCGTTTGGAACATGAAGCGCTAACACAGCGAGAGCGCGACCAGGCCATTGAAGACGAGCGGCTTCTGCTGACCGATAACCATGTCATGGACACGAGTGGACCTGCGAAGAGGCGGCGCCGGACGGAAGAAGGTCCCGCAGAAACCACCTCCCTCCTGCGGCCTTCGCGGGGTGTAGCAGAAAGTGAGATCCCGGATGCCGAGGAAATCGACCGGAAGTGGGAGGAAGCCGTCATGGCCGGTCTGATCCACACGACATGGAAGCGAGAAGCGCAAGTCATCGGGAAGAACGCCGCGCCGCTGGTGGTCACTTTTCTGCTCCAGTATTCTCTCACCGTCGCCAGTATCTTCACTGTGGGCCATCTCGGGAAGAAGGAGCTGGGAGGTGTTAGTCTGGCGAGTATGAGTGCAAGTATCACGGGTTACGCAGGTATGTGACACCAGTGTACCACGTGGATTCGAGTTCCCCCCTAACGTCGTATCTAGTTTATCAAGGCCTGGCGACTAGCTTGGATACGCTCTGTGCGCAAGCCTATGGCTCCGGAAGGAAGAAACTGGTCGGCCTGCAAATGCAGAAGATGGTATACTTCCTTTGGGCGATCACGATACCCATCGCCCTTCTGTGGTTCTTCGCAGACCGGATCCTCAACAGAATTGTGCCTGAAAAGGAGGTCGCCATGTTGGCTGGTCTATATCTGAAAGTGGTCATTCTGGGTGCACCAGGGTACGCATTGTTCGAGAGTGGAAAGCGATATGTCCAGGCACAGGGTCTTTTCTCCGCTTGTCTCTATGTTCTCCTGATTTGCGCTCCCCTCAATGCATTTATGAACTGGCTGTTCGTATGGGTAAGTTTGGACTGTCCTCACGCCGTCCCCACACCCAACAATGTGACTGACGCAGTGGGCATTCTAGAAATTCCAATGGGGTTTCATCGGTGCCCCTATCGCTGTTGCTATTACTGACAACCTCATGCCCTTGTTCTTGTTCCTGTACGTGTACTTCATTGCGGGAGCCGAGTGCTGGAACGGGTTCACCACGCGCGCTCTCAATAACTGGGGCCCCATGATCCGACTCGCCCTACCGGGGCTGGTCATGGTCGAAGCTGAATGCCTCGCTTTCGAGGTTCTGACGCTGGCCTCCTCATACTTGGGCACCACACCCCTCGCTGCGCAGTCGATCCTTTCCACCATTGCCAGCATCATGTTCCAGATTCCGTTCCCACTGTCCATCTCGGGCAGTACGCGCGTAGCAAACCTGATTGGGGCCACGCTTGTTGGCGCCGCCAAAACTTCCGCCAAGGTGACCATGGTAGGTGCAGTGATTGTCGGACTACTCAATATGCTCTTCCTGTCCTCCCTGCGAGCGTATATTCCGCGACTCTTCACGTCCGACGATGAGGTCATCGGGCTAGTTGCTCAGATTCTGCCCCTGTGTGCGGCCTTCCAACTCTTCGATGCGCTTGCCGCCAACTGCAATGGAATCCTTCGCGGAATCGGACGACAGGAAGTAGGCGGCTATGTCCAGCTGTTCTGCTACTATGCTGTAGCTATGCCCATCAGCTTCGGTACTACTTTCGGATTGGGATGGGGCCTTCTGGGCCTCTGGACAGGTGTTGCAATTGCGCTGTTCCTCGTGTCTCTGATAGAGGCATTTTTCCTCAGTCGCACGAATTGGGACCGTTCGGTTGAGGATGCTATCCAGAGAAACTCCATGCACTAGATGCATGGAAACACTATATACACATGTTATTGATGATCATGTACTAACATCAGCGTTTGCTTTTGCTTGCATTTCAGCGTTGGCAAAGATACCAACAAAAGTTGTCGCAATGTGCCGGCTATGTGTTTATTCTTGACGATTCTATCAACGAGTCTCTGAGTGACGATATACAGAATGTATCTAGATTGTAAAATCCAAGTGTGTTGCATCCTTAGCTCATTCCATCATGAGTAGGTGCTCTCCCGGGCACACCACATCATAACTTTTAAGACGGCGTAAACGAACTATACTGGCATGTTTCCTACATTAATATTGCTGCATTTTGATCTCGTACACATGCTGTAGCTCAAAACCCATATCGTAAAACGACAACCAACACAAGTGAGCCGTCTAGTAGTCCAGAATAGCCCAGGTCTGTTCATCCACCGTCGAGAAAATCACACCAGCCGTAAGCAACTCGTCTCCAGCACGCGCCACATCCGGCATAGGGAGGCTCAATTTCGCGGCAATCAACTGGGCATGCAGACCCTCGTTGCTCTGAGGTTCGGTCTTGAGAAGGTTGTACACTCTGCGCGCCACCGCACTCATCGCCGGCAGAGACTTGTTAGCGCTGTAATCATCCATTCCACCCATGGCCGAATCGCCCGCGCCGGCCGCACCACCAGCTGCCGCGCCAGCACCGCCAGGTGGTCCACGCGTGAAGAACAAATGGACCGCGACGGCCTCCAGCAGGTGACAATGTAACTCGTTGATGTTGGTGAGCGGCCGCACCGAATGCGCCACAACAAACAGCTTGGTGCCGAAGAATCGGAGCTTGCCGAAGATCTTCGCGTACGCGTTCAGCTCGACCTGGTCCTTGCCCGGGGCCCCGGGGCCCTTGCCCTCGTCCATCTCCATCGTATCCGCCGTCGTGGAGTCGAGCCACTGCTTGACTTCGATCTCGCCCGTGCCATCGTCGATCTTGTACGTCACGTTCGTGCTTTGGGAGCTGATGTTGCGGACTTGGCCGACCAGACACACGCTCGATACGTCGGCGCCGTCGATCTGGTGGCTCGCCTCGGGGTATGGTTGCGTCGCGTCGAGGGCTTGTTTCACTGTGATCGGTCGGAGGGTGGCATTGTTGTATGAGCCCTACACGGAGTTAGTGTGATTCGCTTGATGACTGCGAGACGTGTAGGCTCTTACCTTTCCACCAGACGGGCTGCTGGTCTCTCCTGCCATAAAGCCACCACCACCGCCGCCGCCGGAGCCTCCATATCCGTAGCCACTATCTGTGCAGAGTTAGCCTGAGGAGATCCGTAGTTTCGAAAGGAAATCGCAATGTTGTGTGTTACTCACCCATGTTGTGTGTCTTTGTCGAGTGAGTTATCTGTCGATTCCAGACCGAGATTATTGAGTCGTGAACTGCATCGTCGCCATTTTACCATTTCGGGACGTGTTCGACGCGTCGCGGGGAGTGTATGTTTGTTCGGTTTGCATCCCCCTGCGGATCAACCTTGATCCCTCACCGCCTTGACTTTTTCTCTCCGCCCGACAAAAAAAAGTCGAGATTTGACAGCAGAGGCTGGAGAAAGAATCACTTTTGCTCTTCCTACACACTGCCGTGGGTTATTTTTGTGGATACTTTCATGGATTGAAGGAGCGATCAAGCTAGAACCATCTGTTAAGCAATCGGGTTCTAATCTAACCAATCCCACCCACCTACACAGGTGTGTTTGGACTATACAACAGCTCACAACCCCAATATCGCCCATCATGCCGCACCGCGCGGCGTCTCCGGCGATGTCGGAGAATGAGTTCGACATCACGAATGCGCTTTTCCAAAATGACGGCGATTCCGATAACGAGGTGCCCGTCACAAAATCCAAGCCGCAACGAAAGGCCGCTCCCCAAGAACTCGACTTTCTCGGCGGCAATGTTGACGACGACGACGAGGACGATGAGGCCTTTATTGCGGAGCAGCAGACATCTGCGAACCGGAAGGCGGCGAACCTCAAGGGACGTACCGTCAAGAAGGGAGGTGGATTCCAGGCGATGGGTTTGAACGCGAACCTGTTGAAGGCGATCACTCGGAAAGGTTTCTCTGTGCCCACCCCGATTCAGCGCAAGACGATTCCCGTGATTATGGACGACCGTGATGTGGTTGGCATGGCACGGACGGGTTCCGGAAAGACTGCAGCCTTCGTCATCCCCATGATCGAGAAGTTGAAGAGCCACAGCAGCAAATTCGGAGCGCGAGGTCTGATTTTGTCGCCGTCGAGAGAGCTGGCGTTGCAGACGCTGAAAGTTGTTAAGGAGCTGGGTAAAGGCACAGACTTGAAGTCGGTCCTTCTGGTTGGTGGAGACAGCCTGGAAGAGCAGTTCGGAATGATGGCTGGCAACCCGGATATCGTGATTGCGACCCCTGGTCGTTTTCTGCATTTGAAGGTGGAGATGAACCTGGATCTGTCCAGCATCCGCTACGTTGTCTTCGATGAAGCCGATAGACTTTTCGAAATGGGTTTCGCGGCTCAGTTGACTGAGATTCTGCACGGTCTCCCTACCACCCGGCAAACGCTTCTTTTCTCGGCCACACTTCCCAAGTCCCTTGTCGAGTTTGCGCGTGCCGGTCTGCAGGAGCCTACCCTCATCCGTCTGGATACCGAGAGCAAGATCTCGCCCGACCTTCAAAATGCGTTCTTCTCGGTGAAGTCTGCAGACAAAGAAGGGGCCCTACTCTACATCCTCCATGAAGTCATCAAAATGCCTACGGGCCCTACAGAAGTTGCACAGCGGTTACAGGAAGAAAAAGCCAACTCCAAGGATTCGAAGAACTCCAAGAAACGAAAGCGATCGGAAATGGATAAAGCAGTCAACATGAAGGAATCCCCTACGAAGCACTCCACCATTGTTTTCGCGGCAACAAAACACCACGTCGATTATCTCTACTCCCTCCTTCGTGAAGCTGGATTCGCTGTGTCCTACGCCTACGGTTCTTTGGATCAGACTGCACGTAAGATCCAGGTCAACAACTTTCGCACTGGCCTTAGCAACATCCTCGTCGTCACCGACGTCGCGGCTCGAGGTATCGATATCCCCATTCTTGCCAACGTCATCAATTATGACTTCCCCTCTCAACCGAAAATCTTCGTCCACCGTGTCGGTCGTACGGCTCGAGCCGGTCGGAAGGGATGGAGTTACAGTCTTGTCCGTGATGCCGACGCCCCTTATCTGCTCGATCTGCAGCTCTTCCTCGGCAGGAGACTCGTCCTTGGTCGCGAGCATGGAGACCAGGTCGACTACGCGGAAGATGTAGTCGTCGGAGGCTTCCCTAGGGATAGTCTGGCGCAGAACTGTGAGTGGGTCACGCGAGTTCTCGATGACAACCGAGACATCTTCTCCCAGCGCACCGTCGCAACCAAGGGTGAGAAGCTGTACATGCGCACCCGCAACGCCGCCTCTCTGGAGAGCGCCAAGCGGTCCAAATCGGTAGTAGGCTCGGACCACTGGACCACCATCCACCCGCTTTTCTCAGACGCAGAGACTGAAATGGAGATCCAGCGTGAGAAGATGCTGGCCCGCATTGGCGGCTACAGACCGCAGGAGACGATCTTCGAAGTGAACAACCGCCGCAGCGGCAAGCCCGAGAATGAAGAAGCGCTCCACACCATCAAGCGCGTTCGCAGCACCCTCGACTCCAAGAAGAAGCGTGCGCAGGCTGAGGAGCAGTCGGAGCTCCTGGAAGACGCATCCGGCGGCAACGAGGGCGAAGCGAACGGTAACCCGGACGCCATGTCTGACGACGATATCCCCGACGGCGTGCCCGACAATATGTCGATGGCGTCCGAGTCAGATCTCGAGGTTACATTCTCTTCCTACTCCCAGTCCAAGAGCGACAAGGCGAAGAAAGACTCCACCGCTGCTTTCCAGAACCCAGAGTATTTCATGTCCTACACGCCGAGCAGCACCAACCTGGCCGAGGACCGCGCCTACGGTGTGCACACCGGCACGAACGCCAACTTCACTCAAGCCTCCCGCAGCGTGACCATGGATCTACAGCTCGACGAAGGTGCCCGTGGGTTCGCGGAGCCGCGCACCATGAAGCGCTGGGATAAGCGACACAAGAAGTACGTGTCGCGGCAGAACGACGAGGACGGATCGAAGGGAGAGCATCTTGTGCGCGGCGAGAGCGGTGCCAAGATCGCTGCCAGTTTCCGCAGCGGCAAGTTCGACGCCTGGAAGAAATCCAAGCGCCTGGGCCGGCTGCCGCGCGTGGGTGAAGCCGAGGATACCAGTCTGTCGGCCGGACTCAACTCGGCTATGGGAGGAAAGCGGTTCCGACACCACAAGGATCAGGCTCCCAAGCGGGCTGATCCTCTGCGGGACGACTTTTACAAGAAAAAGAAGAAGAACGAGGCTGCGAAGGAGCGGCAGATGTCCCGGGCCGGCGGTGCGGCTGCTGGTGGCAAGAGCGAGATCAAGAACACGGACGATATTCGGTTGGCTCGGAAACTCAAGCAGAAGAGAAGGGAGAAGAACGCTCGTCCGTCGAGGAAGAAATAGACCGGGAGAGTTGTTTGGGTTGGTTGTATATAACGATACCATTAACATGTTCTCTGTACATCATCCGTCGAATCTACGACATCATGGTCATCAACGACCACAGGCAACCTTCAACACCTCAGTAAATAACTACACATCGCGGGCAAAGATCATACGACAGCCATCGGCGAGATACATGGACACCAAAAAAGCAATCCAGGAGTCAACCCAATCTGGCCGCCTGCAAGCAGGATGTCAGCAAGGACGCAATACGACTGCACCCTCCGCCACAAGGCAGTCAGTCGATCCACCGACCGTCCAACTGATTGGCCCCGATGAGCCACTTCGGAATCAATAAAAGACATATCACATCCCCATCACATTTGCCATCCCCGAGACGGATCGAAAGAGCCACTAGCGCATGTCAATGCAGGATGGCCGGTGGATTCCACCGCAGCCCTTGTCTCCAATGCGGTAAAAAGGAGGATACCAGGAGGGTGATTTCCTCCGCGAGTCCGACCTGGTGTCGAAAATGCTAGCGGAGGTAACTTGCGTCGGAGGAAATCATCGTGAACCCGCACACCCCCTACGTCCTGATATTCCCGGGGTACTGTCGTTTTTTTACCTTGTGCACCAGCGTAAAGGATCTGGAAGGGGGCGTTTCTACGCAAGGCAATCATGGAGTGGGCCTTTGATCTAGCATATGTCAGTCTCAACGCCGTGTTTGTCTCGGATCTTGTCGGCGGAGGTACGAGGAAGTGTGACTCGGGCTACGGTTGGGACCCAGGCTGCAAAGACGATCGCGGCGATGCTAAGCCATTGACCGGAACGGCTTAGTGCCCACCGTTCTGTATGCGCGCACGGAGTAGGCATCTGTTGTGTAATCTGACTGATCAGGAGGGCAGGGAAATAATTACATATCATTTGTTAGGGCTGCGATGCGTGATGTGGAGATCGACGGCATGGATCGTTGCGTGTCCTTTGTTCTGCGCGGTGCTCTTCGTATCTGCACTTGAGGTCTGAGTATATGCTGCCTGGTCCATTGGATGAAGCTTGTTGATGGCTTAGCAACTGTTTAGCAAGGTCGACCTGATGTCAGTCAGCAGAACACTGTGAGGAATGGAGCCTGCGGAGGAAGAACCGGGCCAGGCTCAATAATCGGCTTTTCGTCCGGAGGCACGAATCACCAAACCGGTTGTGAGCATCAGGAAACCCTGCGGAGGCATCCGCGACGGGATTTACTGGAGAATACTGCAGTATTCCCCTCCGGTTGTCAATAATTGAACCCCTTCCATCCGAATGTTTTGTAGATTTCCACGGCCCGACCCGCGATGTTTTCTTCTTTTGGTGTAGGTTGAGGTTTCCAACTTGTTTTGCTCCGTTTGGGTCGAAGAAAAATATGGACTGGATTTAGTTCATCCCTCGCTGATACCTTATGCTATATTGCATCAGCGTATATACTTGTCATATCTTCACCGACTTTCTGGCAAAATACACACTTGATCGGTTATGCTAGGAATTAGCCGACGTGCATTTCGATTCCGCGCAGGGCACATCACAGCAATAGAAACAACTTTGTGGGTAGAGCGATGGATGGCTATGGGTCGGGCTCTGCAACTGAACCGTTTCCCGCGTCGCTGGTCAACACGAGGAGCGTGGCTGATAAAGAGAGCAACCGGTTACACAGCGGGCCAGCGATGTGGAAACAGCATGACAGGCCATCCTTGTCATGGACTTTGTAGGGACAAACTCCAATACTGCCTCCTCGAGCTTGTTGAACAGCTCATGGTTGATCCGATCAGTTGACACAGCACTCTGGAACCTCGGATATTCAATAGTCGGCGGAGGTCGTCATCTTTTCTCCGTGAAGAATATGCCAGATTGACAGTTCGGCAGAGAATGCAGTTTTCTGGGGAGTAGTGGATACAACTTGACAGGGAGCGACTCTTTTGAGCACTGCAGTCAGATATCCAAAGCGTCTGGTCAAGTATGGACCGTCCGATGACTCTCCCAGGTTGTTAGTTGACTTGTCGGGTGGATCTTGAATATCATTCGAGGTTGAATGAACCCTAAGAGGCCGAAGCTTTGGTTGTTTAACTTTCAATGACATGACCTGACACTGCGCATCCCGTAGAGCCCGTCAAATGTCTTTAGACTATGTACAGATCAATTATGCACACAAGATAGGAGTAGCTCCTGCGAATGGGATCATGGAATGGAGCAACGGTGTTAGCGAGGGTACATTACCTGTCGGACGCAACCACATGCAATTCCAACTTTTGCTGGACTCGGACCTTTCTCGGAGCATTACTCGTGTGTAGCCGAAATCCGCATTGGCAGGACGGATGTGTGACGACCGAATGGATCTGGAGGAAGGGACTAAGGGGACCCGGCGAATTTTGCCATAGGATGTCCGTGTGGAAAGTGAAACTGATCCACGACTAACTATCGGGTCCGTCCCGATGATGACCAGGCCACATGGAGAGAGGGGCATGAGGAGAATAGGGGGCAAAGACAAAAAAGCAAAACGGTCGAGCTGCGAGGATCGTCCCGATCAGACGGGAAATATTGATAGAGAAGGTGAAAGCGAATACTAAGGTATCTACATAACTAGTTAGTCTAGGTGGTACTACTCCATAGTAATAATCATAGTACTAATGACAGTCTTTTGGTTGAGCCTCGACAATGACAAATAGTGCCGCCAATCCCTGCCTGTTTGGGATCACGGGGCCCGCTAACCCTATTCGGCCAGGATGGTTTCCCTCTTCTCGACCATGACTCTGTCAACGATCGGGATAATCCCTCCGAACTGACAGTGTACGGAATACGGTGTCTTCCTTCATTCACACAGTGTGTCTTGCAGTCCTCGTGATCATGTTTAGCGAGGATATACCCATACTCATCAGTCCTCCTCACTGTTACTCGATACCCGAAGTCAGGTCACATCTGCAGTCCCGTGGATAGGTATCGAGGTAACACAGCAGCCATGCCGAAAGGATGGAAAGACGACGACATCCACGTATTATCAGCATCCTCTGGCCCTTATCGTCACGACTTTCGCATCGTCATGTACTCCGGGTCTTCCGCAGGAGCCACCACACACCTCTTTACTTTTTCCCTACGGAGGCTAAAGCCCTGGGGCCGGTGGCCCGAACTATTGACATTTGTCTGGGTCCCCCGGCCACTAAGAAGCAGATCGTGCTGGCGTCTTCCGCTCCGGGCTGCATGAACCGCTGATTCTCGCTGGGAAAACTCTCGCGACTGGTTTTCCCCCCTCCTTGAGGAGGAATCACATTAGTCCCTTGCTGGCGTCCCCGCGTGCGGTATGTTCCACAGTAATTGGGGATCTCCGTCATTCCCGTTGTTGCTCGAATGCAAAATGGGGTGTCATGCCTTGACGCTGCTGTGTACCTTGGCCGCCGTTATGTTATTGTTATGCTTCTTTCAATTCGACAGGGAACAAAGGTCGGCCATCTCCTCCTATACGAAAAATCGCCAGGATAGGGGTTTCCATGAGGGGTCAACAATATCGTCATGATCACGAGTCGCTGGAGCTATGAGAATTTCCCGAGATGATCGCCTCTCTAACTCGGAGCTGGGTCCTCTTCTCATTCCTTTCTGGTGTTAGCACCACGGCCCGGTACAAACCGATTGCCTATGGACCTCCCAAGCGGAAACCCGCCCATCCTGAAAAGGGCAAACGAACAGAATCAAATTAACGGACCACTAAACACTAGAAAAGCCTTGTCAATCCACCGTTAATTGGTCTCTCCACTAGCTCCTCCGTACTCCGTACTCGGCCATGCGCTGTGGCTCTGTGCTCAATCCACCATCGCTCGGGTGGATCCCCTAGCTCTTATCAGACCGGCCATTTCATGATTGCCATCGTTGATCCCCTTTTGCAAAATGTCCGGGGCTCAGGTGACCAACTTAGGCTCATATCTGTTCCACCGATGAGGCCGCAACAGCTGCAGCCACATCTTGATCGATAGTAGTAATCCCCCTCCGTGGGCCTACCCCCTCACTCCGGACAATAAGCGCGAGGCCGTTTGACTGGTTGATTCTCCCGTGACGCAAGAGACGGTCTTCGGGTACCCTCACCAGTGCGAAGCCTAGACCACCTCACTGCATGGTCTACGCAGTGTGGCACCGCCGTCTTAGCCGCTGATAGGGGGTCCCAGAGTAGACGGCGATCACTTCCAACGGTCATTTCAATAGATCTTAGGCTAACGAGAACATCACACGAAGCCGGGTGTCCACAAACACGTTGGTTGCTCGCCGTGCTCCTCAATCTCGAAACCCAAGCGCCCTAAGGAATCACAATAACTCGGATTCGTCCTTGTGGGAGGAGAAACAGACCACACGCACTGGCCGCGAAATGCCGACATGATTTAAATCGGCACTCATTATTCAGGGTGGCATATGGCGGCGCATAAGAACACATGACATAGTCTTACACAAAGTGAATCGACGGATCAGTCGATCCCAGACACTGCCTGCTCCAGTGGGTCCCATTCCAACCCGACTGCGGAGAATTATCTATCTTGTTGCCTCTCATTCCGACTGCTCTGGCGGCTGAGCTGGCGTCAGCTCCAGAACACAATGCTATCCACGGGATGTCTCACCAATGATCATCGCATCGGTCCTGATGATGGCTTTCATGCGATAAATGTTCTCTTTATAACTCCAGATGTCGTTTAGCATAATGTCTTGGGACGGCAACTGTGAAAGCAGTAGATGATCCCACCAGTTTCGCTGCTATCAAGCATGACACGGGTCACATCTCCATGCCCTCGACCACGGGCTCAGCCTTAATCCGGAGCGCACGTAAATTGAGTTGCCTTGAAGAGGGCTGGTCCCGGTGTGCTAGTTATGCAACCGCTGTGGCTATACACCATGAACGCCAGAAAAAGAAACCAGACGAGAGAAGTGATTGGCTCTCAACGTCAGTCCAAGCGTGGGAAGATTCCTTTCGATCCGGAAAAATCAAGAATCCCCCGGGTGTGGAATCCACAGGCATAGACGACTGGTCTCTGTCTGACCTCCCATGACGAGGCGAACGGCGCTACGACTACAAGCAACAGCAGAAACCCACAGTTAACGACAATTGGATAATTTCCTGGGATTTTCCGGCTTCCATGGACACAATATCAGCGCCATTACAGGGTACATAACCCGACGCCCATGAACCCAACGATACACAAACCGAACTAGTCGGCCGCCCATTCAATCCAATGAACGGACGGACAAGCTTAAAATCCTGGCTCTGAGGTCCCCGGCTGTCCTTCTCATTCGATAGCGCCATGTCGAAATGGGGACGGAATGCACACTCCCCCCATCCTTGCCGAACGGGACTATTGGCAATGGATGCAGCGGGCGGGCACCCACGTCGATCCGCTGCTCAATCTTTTTTGCCTTGCTTCCTGGCCTCCTGATTGGCATCCAGTCGCAGGGAGAGAAATCCTTTTCTCTCTGGTGGTAAAATCAATTCCAGAAGAAGAAAATCATCCTCTCCGGGCACATGAAGGTCTTTTCTCCTCTGGGACGATGGCGTCTGATCATTGCCTATCTCTCGGGCGGCCACCCCCCTCTCCAAGAGCTGTTTTAGCCCTTTTCGGGGTGTCACTGACAGCGGCCCTCATTGCTAATAGTGCATTCTAATGCAAGCCACGGTCTCTCCCCAGTAGGGCCGGGCGAAGAAGGAGAAAGGAACTTTTGAATACTGGAATATTGAATATTCCCAAACGAAAAAAAGAAAATAAAAAAAAATATAATCACGAATAAACCAAAATCCCCATCAAATAAAATCGGTGAAAAAGCAACCATCCACTAAGGGGTCCATGGTCCTTGAGGACACACACTGAAGATGATGCGCGGACTGGCTGGATTTCATACACTGTGACAGAGGCCCCCGGAGGATTGGGGCTATTCGTCCCCCCAGGCCCCAGCACACATAACCTATCTAGCTACTAGCTATAACTTACACCCAAGGACTCGAAAGACAGACGCCCCCATCAGAGATCTACCATGCTGGAGATCAAGTCTATCGGCTGCTAGTCGCTCCTGCACTGGCCACGGTTACCCACCCGCGGTTCTCGTCCTTTTTGAACCCAGGCAAGCAGGGTCCTGGCCTGCCGAAAGGTATAAGCCCTGTCATAGCCTGCAAGGCAAGAATAGGTTAATGCCATCGTCCTTCTTCCCCCCTATGTGAAAAGGGACCGTCCAATGCAGAGACCAGACTATCGCTTCTGTTCTTTTGTCCGAAGCCTCTCAGCTACTACTGAACGCCCGAGCACAGCCTTGGAGGAACACTGAGTCTAGGTGTTGACGGAAGCATATTCGAATGACACCTGGCCCTACTTCTATTTCCATCCCTTCTTTCTTGCTTCCCTCTTCAACTTCCTCCGACCTTTTATTCTCCTTTGGGAAACGAAAGGTGATCGCGCCGGATTATTACGCCTCACTTTCCGATATAGTTCACCGTTTTTCCCATATTGCCTTTTGGCCACATCAGAAAGCATAGGCAGGCAGACCCAAAAAAAGAATCCGTCCCCAGTGACTTAGATGGAAAACAAGGTAAGGTGGTCCTACCTTTATTCTGCTATTACCCTCAGGTATTTCTCCGGTTTACCTCCTTGACTCCATTGATCGCCCGCCATGCTGCAATAAATCATCCCAGGAGGGCGACCATCGAAGCTATGGAAAACCACCCGCCACGGTCTGGCCTTGCCTTGCTGATCCAAACATATTGGTTTTCTTTTTTTGACTCCTCCGATAGTGGCTCCAAACTGACTGAATTATAAGCTCCTGTAGTCCTCCGACTGCAAGCGTGGAGTTTTAATGATGACTACCGGCTGAACATCACGCATCCAACTGACTATACATCCTGATCGCTTCCTCTGTGCTGGACATGCTGCCTTGTTCAACCTCGAATTCAGTCCGCATCTTGCTACCGTCAATCGCCTTCCCATCGACACCGGGGGCCTACCGTACCAGATGCAATCATTAGTTCTTCCCCCTTCATCCTTTATCGCGACAGATTTTGGACATCCCAGATTCGTCTCAGGTCCAGATCGGGTTCCACTGAATCTGGCCCGATCAACCAATGCTCGACGGTGCACTCCTCGGGACCTTCCACCCCCTCGCCACATGTCCGGCTCGGTCTCAGCTGAGGACCCGCTGGAGACGTCTGGAACTGCCCGACGGCCTGGTCACCCAGAGCTCCCTCAACCGATAACGACAGTCGAAGCTTCGGTAGCTACGACATCTACGACCACCTCTGCTGGAGTACCCGGTGCCATCCTTACGACGCAGTCGCCAGTGACATCGACTTCTCAAGTGCCCTTACCGCATCATGTGGCTTCCACGCCGGGGGATGAGATATCACGGCCGCAGGTCGCCAGTAGTGACACATTCTCGTCTCGATATCCGCCACCCCTCGTCGGTCCAGGGGTCCCGCAACTGTCTTCAACGGCATACTCACATCCCCCGTTCGGGACATCGCCATCTGCGGCCAGTGCCCGAGCTTTACCGCAAAAGGGGACTCGACGGACGAAGCCACACGTCGCGTCCGCGTGTGTGAACTGCAAGAAGAAGCATTTGGGTTGTGATACAGCCCGGCCGTGCCGGAGATGCGTTTTGTCTGGCAAAGAGGTGAGTCGTGGCTGTGCTTGTTTTTCCTAATGTCCTTTGTGCTAAACAGGAGCCAGGCAACATGCGTCGATGTCACACATAAGAAGCGAGGAAGGCCACCGCTCAAGGCAGAAGAGGCGTCCTTACGGGCATACGCACAAGTAGACAGTCGCGGAGCGTCCGGAGAGCAGCATGGAACCCAGCTGAGACGCAGTATGCACAGGGCGACTTCTTCCAGGGAACTCCGGCCAATGACGGACCTTCAGATGCCAGGGGGAACAACCGCAGCGATAGGACTGAGGGCTGCGCCGACACAAGCACATCGCTGGCCACCTTCGGCGTATTCCCCGATTGTGGACCCTGCACTTTCAATGCCGAGGAGCATGGGTCATAGGCGATTCTCATCCTCCGGGTCAATCCAGTCCATGACAGCGGCGTCGCCGCCAACCTTCATTCCGATGACTACTGCGTTTAACCCGGCTATAGGTGCGGCTCGCATGCCTCCGGGAATGGGGCGACCGATCTCCTCGTACACAAACCAAGCATTGCAGCCTGGAACATCACCGCCGCAATACCAGCAATCCTTTGGAATGCCTGTCTCATACCCCGAGAATCCGAGGATGGGGCATCGTCTATCAGTCGGTGAACCCTCAGGCAGGGATCCCCGTGAAACGTACATGGAATCACCTGTGAGACTTCCGCCTATCTACCCGCCGACAATGACAACCCCCGGATCCAGTCCTCACCCACATCGACTGAGCGACCCATATCCGACACTGTGGTCGCCCCGCACCCGGGAACAGTTTCTGCAGCAAGACCAGCGACACCAGGTTCCAGCGCAGGGACTGATCGCCCCGATATCGCCCACGAGCCATATGCGTCAGACAATGGGTGAATTCAGCTACGGAGACGCCTCGTCGCGACCGCTTGCGCCTGTCTCGGAGGCTACACCCCGACACCTCTCGATATCTTCCTCGCATGGGCGGAATGAGCCATCGTCAGAATTGGACACCAGCGACTCTCGGCCCGCCAAACGACAAAAGATGGCTTTGGACGATATGGTGAACGATTAAGCACCTCTACCAAAGCACCACTCTATTCCCGACGGGGCGCAAGCAGCCTCCTCGAGTTTCACTTGTAGCCGGGTCTACAACACACAGTTGATGATATAATGTACATCTCCTTTGTGGCGTTGTTTGTGATTCCATTTACCCTGTTTCTTATGTCGGCATTTCCTTTGTCTGTTTATTTGATTGACATTGTTCTCCTGGCATTCTCACCGTCATTGCTGTTGTAAACCGCGGATCTCACTGCCTTTCCTTTGTTTGTTGTTATCAATTGCATGGAGCCGGGCCGTTTGGACGATGCATTATGTGTTTACATCGAGGATATACATGTGACCTCGGCCTTGAGCATGTTCCCACTACTATAGAGGCGTCTTTTTTTTAGGGTCGGGCGTTACAACTATTTGCATATTGTCATCATGCATGAGGGGTACGGTATTTCTTTTGTTGCACTTTTTGTAATATCCTGTCAGATAGGACTGGAGATGAAAGCATAGAGCGGTATATATAAGAGTATTTTTGTGCAAGGTTGAACAAATGTTTGATGACAGCGTTGCTTTTGTTGAAAATAAATATAGAACGGGTGGAGATACATACGTAAGTCATGATCGTCTGCAGTTAGGCGACGTACGAAGAATGTACGAAGTAGTGCAGATCTTGTGGCGATGTTAGGCAGGCGCCATTCACTAACCACAATCTAGACATTCCTTATCAACAGTGACATGTTCTAATAATGTCGAATGTCATAATAAACAAACAGCAGGGTATATATATTCAACCAACAAACAATATATAACAACTTCTAAAAAAACAACCACATCCCAAACCTCTTCAACCTCGCCGTCCACAGGCCGCCCTTCTCTCCCAACGGCACAGAGAACATCTTCCTTTGCGTACTCTGCGCCTGCGCCTGCGGTCCCAAATCCATCTCCGCAGCATCATCCCGCTCCTGCGGGATAAACGTATACCGATCCGTCTCGAGATCCATCTCGTCTAAGCGGACATACTTTGTGCGCTTGATGAGTTTCCATCCCACAAACATCACAAGCATAATGGCAATCTCGATGTAGTACGAGACGAAGTCGACGGGCTGGAAGGTCGGGCTGAAACACGACCATCCCTGGACGAGGATGAGCACGATGTTCAGGCCGACGGCGATGACCGGCCCGACGGGGTAGGTCCAGTTCTTGAACGGAAGGAGATGCTCCAGGCCCTGGCGGCGGATGGCGGCGCGGAAGCGCAGGGACGCGAGACCGATGCAGACCCATGAGAGCTGGTTGGAGACGCCGACGATGCTGTCGTCTGTTTAGTATGGAGTGTATGATGAAGAGGACAGGGGGAGGGTTTACTTCTGCAACCACGACCACAACTGGCCAGCGCCGATGTAGCTGGCGCCAAAGCACAGGCCGCTGATGACGGAGGTGGCGAGCACGGCGACCCAGGGCACCTGGAAGCGATTGAGGTGGCCGAAGAAGCGGGGGGCGTAGCCGTCGACAGCGAGGGTGTAGAGCAGACGGGAGCCGGCGAAGAGGGCGTGGTTGGCGGCGGAGATGACGCTGGTCATGAGCACGGCGTTGACGAAGCTGCCGGCGACGGCGCTGCCGGCCTGCACGAAGACGATGGTAAACGGGCTGGTGGCGGTGTTGCCCTCGGAGAGGCCCGGGTAGTTGTAGGGCACGTTGAGGCCGATAATGATGATCGACACGATGTAGAAGAGGATGATGCGCCAGAAGACGTTGCGGACCACTTTGGGGAGGTTTTTGGCCGGGTCTTTGGTTTCGCCGGCTGTTACGGCAATGGACTCGGTGCCGCCGCTGGGGGCGTGTTAGAGATTGCATGTGCATGCATGGATGCATGGATTGGGACATACTATGCGAATGAGGCAGTCACGAAGACCGAGGCGAATCCGCCAATGCCGCCGACGAATGGCGCGTCGCCGACGTAGAAGTACTTGTCGCCGATGTACTTGTGGTCCGTGTTTCCGCCGCAGTTGACTGCGATGCCGAGGATGATGAATATCTAGCAATGTTAGCATTCAAGTCGCCGAGGAGCAACGAATGATCCAGCATACAATGATCGTAACAACCTTCAGCAAACTAAGCCAATACTCGATCTACCCTCGTTAACAAACATCATCCAGGCCTGGAAGAACCGCCTACCTCTCCATACACCCTCACAGAGAGAACGTTAAACGCAATCACAACCGCAAGGAAGATCAAGCTAATCGCCCAGCCGGGGAAATTGTCCGTCCAAAACTCCAGTAACAGCTGCAGCGCGATGATATCCGACGCGGTCGACACAGCATCATTAAACCAGTAGTTCCACGTGAGGGCGAACCCCAGCGCATCATCAACGAACCGCCTAAACCAAAGAAAACACTCGTCAGACTTCACTTCCAATGTAACCATACCCCGTCACCCAGGACGAGGATAAGAACGTAGCGGTACCACCCACCCAGCAAACGTGCAGAACGACCCCGCAACAGGGATGAACGCCGCCATCTCCCCCAGACACAGCATGGTCACAAAGACGATCGCGCCACAAATCGCATACGCGATGAGCATGGACGCCGGGCCGCCTGTCGCGAGCGCTTTCCCCGTTCCCAGGAACAGGCCTGTGCCAATGGTGCCGCCGATGGCGATCATCTGCACCTGACGCGGCGATAGCTTGCGCGCGAGCCGGTCGGCGTTAATGTGCGGCGCATTGCGGTCGAGAGTTGTGCTGGCCAGGGATCCGGGGTTTTCTACATCCCCCACTGGCTCTTTGGCCGTTGTCGTCTGGTGTTTCTCCATATCGAAGGCCATGTTCGGGACGCGTTTCTGCGTCCAGGGTTCGAGCCGCCTGATCGGGCCCGATGAGCTGAAGGACGTTGTGAAATGCTACACAACCCCGCGCGGTCTTAGCGCAGTCAGTCTGGTGGTTGTAGGACTGTCGGGCTAGAATCACTTCCGGAATAGGAAGTCTGCCGCTGGAGGAGGACCAAGGGGTATGCGACTCGGGTTCAGGAGCGAAGAATAGAGAACATGTTTGGGGGGAAGATGGATGACGGGTTCCATTTCTGCCAGATCGTTCTTTTTCTGAGGTTGCAGGAGGATTTCTTGCGTCGTATCGAGAAAGACTTAGGGTCGATGGCGTGATTGAAAAAAATTACGTACAGTAAAAGCGGCCTGTAGAGCGGAACTCTGGAGATGAAGATTAGTTAAGCTACAGTAGGTTTAGCCTTGTTCCTTCTGCCGACAACCCTAAATCCATGCCGAGGAATCGTCTATCTCAAAGGAAAATCTCCACTGTGGACCAGAGCTTCGCTTTGACGAGTCATGAATTGGTAAAAAGAACTCCTAGATGGTGTCCGATAATTACATGCTTTTGAACTCCGCTAGAAATCCAAGACAACACAAGGATATATCTATTCATAAATACAACGCAAGAAAGCAACTCCATCAACCAAGCAAGCCCGTAGCCAAAGACTCCAGATCCTCCAGAGTCTGGATCTCCTTGGGCTCGGCCGTCGACTTCTTCGGCTTCTTGGGACGCCGCTCTTCTTCGCTTTCCGCGGGTTCGGCAAACTGCACGCGTTGCTTCTTGCTGGGGCGAGGAGCCTCGTCCTCCGAGGGGGAGAACCGACCTTGGTCGTCGTCCTCTGGCGGAGGAAGTTGGACCAGCATTTCCTCCTGCTCCTCCTGCGCCAGGAGCTCGCGTTCGCGGGCTTTGCGCTTCTCCTTCTTCTCGCGCCGCTTCTGCTTGACAAGCTCCTTGTCCTCCACGTCGGCCAAGCGCGTCCGCTCCGCCTCCGCCGCCAGGAACCGCGCCTGCTGCTCCTTGGCATCGCCCTTGGCGCGGAACTGCTCCTCGTCCTCCATCTCGTAGATCTCGTGCGCGTTGCCTTCGTCGTCGTAGATGAGCTTGGTTCCCTTGCCCTTGAACTTAAGCAGCTTCTTCTTGGACTTGAGAAGCTTCTCGCGGCGTTTGGAGTCGATCACCAGAGGTTCTTTGCCGTCAATGTTCACCACCTTGACGTCCTTCTTTCCAGTCTCCGCCTCGGAATCCGAACCAGACTCGTCTGAGCTGCCGCCAACCTCCAGCTGTTTATCGCCAGCATCGAAGCGGCGCTTAACAGACAGGAAGTCGTTATCTTCATCAGCCTCATCGGTGGCCTTGGGGTCAGCCAATGTGCCATCGTCGTTGATAAGTTTCGTGTAGTGACCTGCCAGAACGTCCTGGTTCCGACGTTCGAACATGCGGTCATATTTCGTGCGCACTTGCGGCGCATCCTTCTTCTTGGACTTCTTTTCGTCGTCCTCGGCGTCCGACTCATCGTCGTCACTGGACAGGTGTGCCACGGCGCGCGGCGCATTCTTGCGTTCCTTGGTATCGTCACCTTTGATAAACTTGATTCGAGGGGCACCAGGGAGACCCAGACTGGAGGCGAATTCTTCCAGGTCCAGATCCTTCAGTTTGAAAATTTCCTTGTCCTTCTGCACGTAGACCGATTTCACGTAGGAGATGAAGGCCTTCTGGCCGAGATACTTGAGTTCGGGGTCCTTGAAACACATGTTTTGTAGTTGGTTCTTGATGCTCTGCTGCTTGTTGGCCTTAACGTTGATCTTTTCGACTGGGACCTTCTTCTGTTCGAGGCGTTTGAGCATGCCCTGCTCCTCGCTGGGGTCCAGAAAAAGTACTGCGCGACCATCTCGTTCATACCGTGCCGTACGTCCGACTCGGTGGATATACGTATCGGCATCTTCAGGGCAGTCCAGCTGAATGACCCAGTCGACAGCCGGGAAATCGAGACCACGCGCGGCGACGTCAGTGGAGAACAGAACGGCATGCTTGGCCTGAGAGTATTTGGTCGTTATATCAAGCCGGCCTCCCTGCTTCTGGCGACCGTGCAGATGCATCAACGGAATACCGGGTTGAAGGTGACGGAAGGCTTCGTAGACAAATCGCACCTGCTTGCCTGAGGACAGAAAGACGATCGTCTTCGATTTCAAGTTACTCCGGATGAAACTCCACAGAATATCGAGCTTCTGCGGTAACGGCGTGACGACGTAGTGTTGCTGAAGGGTCGACGGAGTGGCGGATGCCGCCGCCTCATGGACCGCGACGTACTCGGGGTCCTGCAGGCTCAGTCTAGCCCAAATCCGACACTTTCTTCGTCTGTGTTGCGCTGAAAAGCATGGTCTGGCGCTCCTTGGGGAGGTGACCGATGATCGCGTCTACCGTCTTCTGAAAGCCCATGTCCATGATGCGATCCGCCTCGTCCAGAACCAGCATCTGCAGGTTGTACGTATCAAACAAGGCGGTCTGATCCAGATGCTGCAGCATACGACCCGGCGTACAGACCAAGATGTTCATCTTCCCCAATCTCTCCTGTTCCTCCTTGAGACTCTTTCCACCAATGACCAAGCCGGCCGAAAAGTGATGGTAGCGGCCGACTTTGCGCAGAACCTCGAAGATCTGAATGGCGAGTTCGCGAGTCGGAGACAGAATCAGAGCACCCAGTCCATCGTGTTCGGCCCACTGCTTGCGGTACAGGTTTTCCAGAACGGGGATGAGGAAGGCCAGCGTCTTGCCGCTACCGGTCTTTGCAGCTCCAAGAATATCGCGGCCCTTCAACGCATGGCTCACCGCGCGAGACTGAATATCAGTGAGGGTCTTGTAATGCGATGCGGATAGACCGGAGAGCGTCGGTTCGGAGAGAGGGAGGTCGGTGAAGGCTTTAAAGGACTCTTTAAGATCGAGATCTTCCACTCGCTGGACGAGGGAAGATAGGTCTTCTTGCACGCGCTTGCGCTTCAAGGTTCGCTGTGAAGATTTTGCATATTTCCCGTTGCGCGGGGCGTTTGCCGGAGCCATCATGAACCGAACCCTCGGGATTTAGCAAAACGCGGCGTCGAGTCGAGTCGTTGCAGAACAATCAATCGTCGGATTTACTGATCTCTCATTATTTTTTCCGCCCAGAGATCGCGGGCGGTCAGAGCCAACTTTTTTCTGCCGGTCGGGGTGATGCTGAGTCAGCGGTGATAACGGCTTATCGTCACGTAGGCAGTGTCTTCGTTCTCTTCACTGGATCCCTCGTGTTCTCGGTGCTATATCCTGATCGATCAGAAACAATTAGCAAAATGTCTTCAGATGAACAGGACGCCCTTGATGCGCTCGAAAGAGAGGCATCGGACTTTAGCAAGGTTCGCATTATCGCTCGTATGGCAAGCTTGAATGGAGGGAACTGACCGATACCGCAGGACGCAGAGATTGATCGCATTCGCAAGGCATTTTCGCTAGACGCGTGAGTTTAACCCTCTCCTCATGGCTTCCTACATTGGGCAAAGACATTCGACACGCAGCGGTGGCTAACCACATGTCGCGTGACCAGGTATGCCGTGCTGGATCTCCAACCAGGTGTCACGGAAAAAGACATCAAAATGCAATATCGCAAGAAGTCCCTCCTGATTCATCCGGATAAAACGAAGAACCCGGCCGCACCGGACGCCTTTGACCGCCTGAAGAAAGCACATGCATCTCTACTCGACGAGAAGGCGCGGACGTATCTGGACGAATGCATTGCAGACGCGCGCCGGCTTCTGATCCGCGAACACAAGTACACACTCGACTCGCCCGAGCTCAAGACAGAGGAGTTCAAGAAAGAATGGCGCCAGAAGACGGTCCAGGTGCTGTTGGAGGAAGAGGCGCGACGACGGAGACAAGCCAAGGCGCGACTACAGGAGGAGGGACGGGAACGACGCAAGGAAGAAGAGGAGATTGAAGCACGGAAGCGAAAACGAGATCAGGAAAAGGCATGGGAGGATACTCGCGAGGAGCGGATTGGCAGCTGGCGAGACTGGCAGAAGGGACAGAAGAAGGGCGGCGACAAGAAGAAAAAGAAGATGAAGGTATTGGGGTGATTATATTTATATATTCGGTCACGACGATTTCATATGATCCTACTACTATTGCAGATTCTACTAGTACTGCAATGCACACCTATTCCATAGACTACCCTTACTACCTGTGCTCACTCTCATGGAATACTTCAAGACCCTAAATTCCCCGGCGCCCATACGCCGATAAGAAAGCGGTCAACAGACGGCGATGCGGGGCGCGGGGCGACCATTAGAGTAATCTCCCTCGGGACGACCAGAAGATTCTCTCGCTCTTCTCCGCTTCCTGTCATCATCTCATACTTCCTATACATCAATCCTCACTCTTCACCTACTCTCCCCCATATCCAATCTCCCGCATTGGACCGACAGCCATGACCGACTCGGTCTCGCCTCCGGAACCCACGACGGCCCTCCCCGATCAGCCCAATGGCTCCGCAAAGATCATGGCATCCTGTCCGTCGATATTCACCACACAACCCTCCCCACCAACAACGATAGACAACTCCGACACCTCTCCCGCCTCATCTACCACCCTCTCCAGCGTCATCGCCCAATGCCACTCGCAAATCCACTCGTTCCTCCGCGAATCCCATCCCCCGGACTCCCTCCTCGCCGCCGTGCAACGCCAAACCCGCATCTCGCTCGACGTCGTCGCATCCGCCCTATCGCGCTACCGCCTCGACGAGCTCTCCCTGTCCTACAACGGCGGCAAAGACTGCCTCGTCCTCCTGGTGCTCTTCCTCGCCAGTCTGCACCCGCACCCGCCCCCCGCTGAACACGGCGACGCCGGCGGTGGCCTCGCCTCCATCCCGGCTATCTACGCCCTCCCGCCCGACCCGTTCCCCGCCGTCGAGGACTTCGTCCGCTGGTCGGCCCGTGCCTATCACCTCGACATCATCAAGTATACCACCGATCCCCCGCGCTCTACCCTCCGCTCCAGCTTTGAGAACTACCTCGCCTTGAACCCCCGCGTCAAGGCCATCTTTGTCGGCACCCGCCGTACCGATCCTCACGGCGCCAAGTTGACCCATTTCGATCGCACCGACCGCGGCTGGCCCGATTTCGTCCGCATTCATCCCGTCATCGACTGGCATTACGCCGAGATCTGGGCTTTTATCCGCCATCTGGGGCTGCGCTATTGCCCCCTCTACGATCAGGGGTACACCAGTCTCGGTGGTCAAACCGATACTCATCCCAACCCAAAACTGCGTGTTGAGCCTGGATCTGCCAGTCGCCCCGACGAGGACGATGCCCCGAACCAGTATCGTCCGGCGTACGAGCTAACAGAAGATCTCGAGGAACGCCTCGGGCGCAATTGAACGATCCCCGCTCCATGAAACGGCACTCAGTCATATCCCAACATCACATTCTTACTCCGATAATGGATACATTTGCTCGCTTTCTCTCCGCTTTTTCCGGCTCTGGTCGATTCCCCGATGTTGATCATCTATAGATTTGGTTTTGCTTTCACTTCAACACCATTTGCTCTCCCTGAACACATACGGCCATCATCTGTGTAACGAAATGTCTTATTCTTATTAGACCGGTGCATACCTAGCGGAGGAAGACCATGTGCTGTTAGACAGATACAGAAAATAGCAACCATTGTGGAACTCCTGTCGTTATCCCTCCTCTTTTTTTTCATATCGCTTTCCTTTTCAACTTTTTTTCTTTTTGGCGTTTTGCATCCTGTGATCAAGCTCTGACAAATATTGGCCATACATGTAAACCACTCTGTCGACGATAGAAGTCGTCTGTCATCAAGAAATGGAGAAGAAATACACCCACAAACACTTCAAAAGCTCAATACACTGGACAAAAAGAGAAAATAGCAACGGCAAAGAAGAAGATAGAGGTAAAGAACCCGGTCATTGGCCGTTTCACATGCATGCACGTATAATGGTGGAAGAATTGGAGACATACGGATATCCGAGAAAGGTCACCTAGCCGAAGGCTGCTCACATGGCAGAGCGTGGAGAGTGCATAAAAATCTCCTTGCGCGAAGAAACCGGAGAGAGTGACTCCGCCTTGAGGTTCTCCTTCCGAGGGCTGGTGGTAGGGCCCGGGCGACGTTCTCCAGAAGGGATGCCCGGAATGACCAGCTTAGAGTTGGTGCCGGCGATGTTGTCAGTCCAGCCATTGCGGTGAGAAGAGGATCGTCCACGGCACAGAGGGGTGTTGTCCAAGGTGCCGGGGCTGTTCTTAGCGGTCCATGAGTTGAAGCGCATACTGCCAAATTGATTCTTCACCAAGGTTTGATACCTGTATCCACAGTCAATAATTTCGTGATAGACAAAACGTGGAGCAGACACGCACGGAGGAGAGATGGAAGTGGCAGGAGTCCAAGTAGGTCCGACTGCAACAGGAGACACATAGCTATTTTGGGAGTTAGGGCTCAGGTGCGACGCGGTCTGCTGGAGCCGGCTCAAAGACGGTGAGGGCGAGGAACCTTGGACGACCTCAACCGAGTAATTGTACTCGCCAGCGCGATAGGCACGGCGCTCGTTGCTTTGCTGTTTAAGCATCTTCTGAGCCTTTGTATCTGCAAAGCGGAGAAGCAACTTCACTCCATCTTTGCCGACGACATTGTGGAACTCAGCCAGCACCTTCTCAGCGATCTCGCGCGTTTCGAATCTATCGGAAATAGGTCAGGGTATATCATCAGCATGGTCGGTAAGTTGACTTACCGAGCAAAGCCAACTTCCTTGCTCACGCCGGTCTTTTCGTCACGACTGATCTTCTCGGAGACGACGCGGTAAGGCTCAAAATGGCGGCGAAGGTCCTGCGCGTAGATGCGGTCAATATCTTTCCTGTAGCCGTCGATACGGAGATACTCACAGCCTCGGTCCAATCAATGGGAAGGTTAGTGCAATAGATGTTTGTCGAAGTTTTGTCTTCGAGGTCCTTGAGGCGAGAGTTGCGTGATTTCTAGGGCACGTCAGTAATGGCAAGTACAGAGGGGATAGATGATCCCATGCCTGAGCAAAGCTAGCTTGATAGCCCAAGTAGAAAAAGGCGCGGATACAATTCTCACACGCTTCAAAATTGAAGTACTGAACGAAGCCAAAACTGCGTATCAGGTGAGCGCGGGTACACACTCGAACAGGTCCACTGGAAACTTACCCTTTGCAAAGGCCAGTGTCAAGATCAACAATGGCCTTGCAGCGATCAATCTTCCCAAAGCGGGATGCATAAGAATGCAGCATCTCATCGGTGGTTTCCGGAAGGAACCCTTTGATGTAGACATTGGTAATACCCTCGCGGTTCTCCAGGCACTTCGCCAGAGTTACTTCAGATGGGTTGGTCCACATGGCCGGGACAGCGCGTGGGATCGGCGGTTCCTGCTGGGTAATACTCTCGAGGTCCTGGAGCATGTAGCCGGTGGGTGTCTTCATCATCTGGAAAGGCAAGGCCGGTCCAAGCTGGGCGAGGGTATTCAAATAGTTCGGAAGACCGGGATTGAAAAACTCGGTCTGATTACCAGACTCATGACCCTGGTGACCAACATGCTTTTGCTCCTCGTTGTTGTTCAAGAGGTACGGCATGGGGTAGCCCGGCAGCGGAGCCGTACAGAGGGCCGGGTTCTGGTAAATGCTGGTCGGCAAGAATGGCATCTGGTTTACCTGCTCGGGAGCGGGAACCGAAGTGGGTGGGAAGGTAGACATTGGTAAAAAGACAGGAGGGATCATCATAGGGCTCTGAAACTGAGCGCGTTGAGCTCCTGCGATGTCTATGTTGCCAACCTTGCGTCCAGCACGCTGGTTCTGAAGATTCAGAGCGTTGAAGAGTGGTGCCATGCTGGCGCGTGCATCATGAGGAAACTGTCCCGGCTGACCCGCGTGGGCCTGAACGGGTTCAGAAACCGCCTGTGGATGCATGGTAGTAGTTCTATGGGAGTTTATGATGAGCTTTGGAGCAGTCCATACCGAAGGAATCTGAAAATGTTCCCACTTACCTCAACGACAGATGCGTGACGGAATGAAGAGGGATGAGAAACGATCGAAGAAGGGGTAATGAAGAGCGTCTTTCCGATGAGGAATAAGAGAATATGGGCGAAGGCTCGAAGGGCTGCCTAGAGACCCGAGTATAGAGAAACGATGGTGGATGGTGGCAGATGGGCAGCAGGATGATGGAACGGTGGTGAAGGTAGATGAGAAGAGGAGAGGAGAGAAGAGAAGGGAGAGAGGGAGAAGAGGAAGAGAAGAGATTAACACGCTGAGAGAGACGTGAAGAGAAGGAAAGAAGGAAAGTGAAAAGACAGGAAGGAAAGGGTGAAGCGATTCAACGCCGAGAAGAGAAAGAACCACGGCGGTCTTGCATTGTCAACATCACTGTTGGGGGCGGCGAGAGAGTATTAACACAGAAGCCACACTGTGCTGAGAGATTGCAGTAGCGGAAAGCACAGCCTTTGCTATTCAATGCAGGGCTGTTGCGAAAGGAGCGATAGTGATTGCCAGCTGTGAAGTGCAGACCATCACCCATCTACACCGTTCCGGAACCTCATAGACGTTCCAGATACCTCCTGTTCAGCAAACAAAGCACATTCACATGGGGCATGTTCATGCACATGTCCGTAGGCATTAATGGCCACAAAAGTTGCAACTCCCTCCTTGTGTCTAGAGTATCAATTTCTTCAATGTCCTATAGTAGTGATGTATCCTTTAGAAGTAGGAGACACTATGCAGCATAGCAAAAATAGAAAGCCAATCGCACCTTGAATGCGTCTCCTCGGACATCCATAAATGCGAAGGGGGTATCCATCGACAGTCTCACTTTTCGCCAAACCCAAATCTATGATCCTGGTATGTCACGAGAAGCAGAGTCGACAACGGAACGCAAGAGATACAGTACTTCCGAGCAGGGGAATCCACCACAGATGCGGCGACCCTCAGTTATAAGAAAAGATATCAAAGAAGCCGAGACGCCGAAAGAAGTTACCATTCCCTCCCCTTACTGCTGGGACCGATCCTGAAGCCATTTGTATACCACCGAAAAGTCTTTGCCTCGGTGCTCCTCCTCCACGGAATTGTACACGCCACGGGCCTGGTCGCCCAGCGCAAGCGGAGTACCAGACTCCTTGGCCGCAGTAAGCGCAAGGCGCAGATCCTTGTTCATCAAGCTGACCCCAAACCCGCCTTCGTATCCCCGGGAAGCCGGTGCCGTCGCCACCACTCCGGGGACCGGGTTGTTGACCTCCATCGGCCAACAACGGCCGGTCGAAGTGTTGACCATATCCGCAAAGGTCTTGGGATCTAGCCCCCATCGCATTCCGAGATTCATGGCTTCCGCCGTAGCGATGTTGTTAATCGCCAAGATGTAGTTGTTGGCGAGTTTTGCGGACACGCCAGTACCAGGAGGCCCCATGTGCCACGCCTTCTTTCCCATGAGCATCAACACCGACCTTACGCGCTCAATGAGCTCGCCGGTCTGTGACGACGCGCCAAACATGAACGACAGCGTACCCGCGCGGGCGCCGACAACACCACCCGACATGGGCGCATCCACAAATCGCCCCTGGCGTGTCGTGTGGATGGCATTGGCCAATTCCTTGCTGGATGCGGGGTCGATTGTGGAGGTATCAATAAACAATCGCTCTTGTTCCAGGACGGGGAGCTCCCCGGGCCGTAGAATACAATGAAAGACACCCTTGACGTGTTCCGGCTCAGGGAGACTAGTTATCACGACAGTCTAAAAATACCATCAGAACGGGGTCCACTGGTACCTCCAATAGTGGAAAGACTAGATCCAATGTCTTGTGTCCTTTGTACTCACCGACTGCTCTGCCAGCTCTCTAGGACTTTGGGCAACAAGAACCTTCATGGCATCAGGCGCGAGCCCATTCTCTTGCGCAATTGTTTGAGTCTCCTCGACGAATCTCTTGGAGGCAGCTTCGTTCACATCGCGGATGATCAGTGTATCGGATTGGGGAATCTTGGCGCGGAGGTTCTTAGCCATGTTGTATCCTGTAGGATGAAGTGTCAGATGAGCCATATCCAGAGTGCAGATGTGCGCATGTGAGAACATGGTTTGTCTCATTCCGCTGTTGTCTTGTCTCGCAAGCGCATACCACAGACCCAGAATAATAGGTGGTAAGAGATCCATATATCACGTACCCATTTGGCCCAACCCGATAAAGCCCCATGTCGCATCACGCCGTACGGAAGTCGAGAATGTTCGCAGTGTATACCCTGAGAGACGTCCCGCACAAGGCAGTGTCCGGGCGACAGGCGCCCTCCGTAGAGGAAGGGACAGGGCAGACGACAAGCTCATTTTTGCGATGGAGTGTGTGGAAGGGTGACAACACAGCCAGTCAGTTGGAAAGAAACCGCAAGAATGTAGACCGAATCGAACAGGGGGAGAAGAAAGGAGAATGAGGGGTGAGATGTAGGCAGGTATATCGGGTTGCGGACAACGGTCCTTTACGCCGGGGCACCGAGTGGCCCGAGGACCTCGAGATCCGCAGTTTTCCGAAGATACCCATGGTGGACTGGGTCGGGGACAGCCAGAGTGGGCGGACTGGCTGGAGATCCTTCTCCGCTTCTCCTCCACGCGGGGAGATCCACTTTTGGTATAGCTGCGGAGGAACGCGAACCGGTGTGTCACGTGCGTCTAGACGACCGTATGCAAGGGGTCTATACTCTGTACAGAACGACATCTTCAATATGCCTACGGAGTAGGCTGGCTATACGCCATGTGTGACCTTCTCTAGCATTGCTTTCCTAATTTCTTCATCAAATACGCCGAAGCCAAACACTTAGACGAGGTACGTCCCGTTGATAAGGAGCCCAGTGAGCGCTCTAGGGTTTGTCAAACAGTTGCTGCAAGGGAGCTTCTACTGCGCCATGACGTCGTTTAACATTGTAGGTAAGATCTCTGAATTCTCCTGATGTCCCTCTAAGGAATGATATACACAGGTCTAGTATGCATCATGTAAACTAAGCGAAACCCCGTGGAAATATGTCAACTAATGCAATTGCGGCAAAGAACGCAACATACGAATGACGAGGCCATGCTCCTATGCGTAAGGGTATGTAGGATGTCCGAATCAATCGGTATAAACGCCAACCCGACCAAATACATGTACCAAGTGAGATGAACGACGACGACAATTGGGAAAAAAGAAAAAAATATGCAACGACCGCCTTATTGCCCCGGCGATGTTGGGCTGCTGGTTGGTCCCGAGAGATATTCGGGGGGCACTTTAGGCACCCGTGGCGAACTCGCGGTCTGAGCAATCGCTCTCTGTTGTGCTCTCACAAAGTCTCGTTGTCTTTCTTTCTCCCGGTTGTTGGCGGCACCACCGGTAAGCCGACGCATACCACTACGAATCATCGACTCGAGTGACGAAGACCCGTCCGTGGCGCTGCGGGTTTGGTTGATGGGATGAGGGGCTGCCGGCCTGTTCAGCGTAATGCGTTCGTCAAAATCTGAGAGCCCTTCCTCCGCGTCGTCGTCGGATAGGAACGCTGATTCGCTAAAGCCAATCGGGGGGGTAGAGAATTGCACGTTGGCTGTAGGTGGCGAGAAGAGATGATTGGCGGGCGAAGTGACCGAGCGGGTGTGCGATACAGGACGAAGTGTCTGGCTGGACGCCTGTGGTGTCAGGGTCCCCGGGGAATGCATGCCTGGGCCGTCAAAACGCGGATTAGGCGGGCGGGACTCCGCAAGCCCGTTATGGAAGGAAGACGAAGAAGCCGTTCGTGCGAGGGACTTCCGAAGGATGGGAGCCGTCTGTTGGTCGTATAGATGGGCACTGGTATCGACATAGGCACCAGTGAAACCTCGCAAGGTGGCATCAGGCATGGCGTCAAAGGTAGGGTGAGCTATCTCACTCTCTTCAAAGAAGTCGTCCAGACTGTCGAGCTTCTGCACAATGTCCCCAATATTGCCGTCGGTCTGTGTATCAATTGACTTCATTGTGTCAGCCCGCAATTGGAAGATGGAGTCATTATACTCATCCGCATGGAACTCCACCTCCGAGGGAGCGGTCTCCTGTGCTTCCATGCGGTCGACCTCAGCGCAAGTATAGAACACAGCATGAACATTATGGCGTGTGATGCTAGACTGGGCAGCAGGCATTGGAATAGACCACCCAGTCGGCTCTGGAATGCCGTAGAGACTCTGGATACGCTCGTATTCCTTGCGGATGGCCCGAGAAGATGTCGCCGATGCCATACTCATGCGAAGATGATGGCGTTCCATCGGGTTCCCGGAGACCGTCATGATATGATCCATGACCTGTAAGGCTTGAGGACAGAGATCTGTCTGCAGAAGCCGCAAAAGAGGGGAGATCAGATCAGGCCCATGACATGTCACTTCTCCTCGGCGCATATCGACCTCTGGTATGAGCACACAAAGTATCTTCATGACCTTGATCCTGAACCACACGGTTGTGTTGGTTAAGAGGCCCATCATGAAAATTAAGCTTTGGACATCGAGCCGAGGGAAGAAGTATGATCGGAGTTCGGTGACGATATGGTTCAGGAAGTCGTTCTCGGCCTTGTACTGTTCGTTGGCAAATCCAAGCAGCGAAGCCGCCAGACGTGGGCATCCTTCACCTTCAGCCACACGGGCCAGCAAAGTGGCCCGAGCGAGTGTCTTGGGGTCATCTACAGACACGTCGAAGTGATGAAGGAAGTGCGGCATATTCGCCAGAATCGTAAATAGCAACCTATTACCATCCCCGATAAGTTCGTTGTTTGGAAGGCCACTGAGACGGTGCAAGACATCCAATGTCCGGTTGAGCGACTCGGTCGACTTCAGTCCTTTGTAGACCAAATCTTGAAGACCATCAAAGCCGCCTTCCCACTTCGGCGGTTGGCCTTTGATGAGTTCAGAGACAACAACTGGATCACTCATATCCACTCGATCCAGGAACTTCTCCAGCATTCCTATGCTTTCGATAAACTCGGTCTCGTGGATGGTATTCAGGCATGCGCAGGTTGTCCAAAATAGCTGAGGATAACGCAGCAGGTCGGTTGGTGACAGGGAGCTGATTATGATCTTCAGAGTTGTTAAAATCTCCATAGAGAACGTCCGGTAATCTGCTTCCTCATCTGCGATCGTGTTTGATAGCCGGGCCAACATGTCCGCAAGCATCCTTGAGTCCAGGGACGTGGAGATACAGCGGAAAACCTGGAAGGACCGACAGGCAAGATGTCGCACAGGACACGAAGTCGCCCAGTTAAGCGCCTCTTTAGCCCAAAGATCACTAATACCCTCGTATGCAAGGCTAAAAAAGTGAACAACCTGGCGGGTAACACTAGCCATCGACGAGGGCACGCGACTCCCGTCATCACCATCTTCTCGATCCTGATTGTCCTCATACTCCCAGACGACTTTAGCATCGCTCTTCCGTATAGATTCCACGAAATCTTCAATGGCCTGTCTGGTTCCGTCAGGCGCATTGTCTTCGATCTTCGCGGCAATCAATTCGTGGATGAGGTGAACCAGCATTTCTCTGGCCTGTTCCTGCACCGTCAGAGTATAATGATCCCAGAGAATTAGGACAACGTGTAGAAGCTTGACAACATCTTCGAGAGGAAGAGTAACGGGCGCAACCATCAAGTCGACGAGGAATATGAGCGCAACTTGTCCAAGAGAAAGACCAGCTTGTTTATTACCAACTGGTAGCACGGTCCCGAGATCGGCAACGTACGGCAAGGTCTTGATGTCTGGGGGCGCCGGGGTGATATCTTTCCTCTCCTGGACCATATTCTTCGGGGCGACTTGCATCAAAAAGAACTCAATGACTTTGGACCCAGCGGGCGTTCCGGACAAGAACACAACGACTTGCTTCGCGTACTCCACAAAGTTCTGTTCTTTACGTTCCAAGCACAGACTTATGATGAAATCAAGAACCAATTGCACGTTCCCACCGTGGGGACCCGTGGCCAAGGCTTGCCAGAGAGCCTGAACTTCGTTGGGAAGAATGTTGCTGCAGCGAATCGTGATCTCGAAAAGATTGGCTAAGAGCATGTACGACCTAGCCGTCGGGCCACCGTTTGGATCGACCTGAAGCTCCATCGTCTGCACCCAAGGGAGGATTGCGGCCACCATGTTGCGCTGGCTATCGGGTCGTAGGTTCTTGAAGTGAAGGGAGAATTCGGAAAACAAGGTGAATGCCAAGTCCGAGTGTTGCTGGGCCAGTCGTTTCGACGTTTCAAATTGGGCAAGTTTGTACACAGCGGTCGTCTTGTCAGAGATACTGATATCAAAGTCCTGCAAGCGGGAGTTCTTCTGTTGGCGCTCTTCAAGTATTCGGAGGAGCTTAGCTGACTTCATCCGAATCTCCCGCTTTTGGCTACCGAGAGTGACGAGGACCGCGCCCAGAATCCTCCAGAAACCAAGCTGATAGTCGGTGTGCTCAATAAGAACCTCAGTGACCACTTCAAAGTAACTTTCCAGAGCCTTTGGCCGTTCTGTGATGTAACACATTTCAATCGAGCGCTCCAAGAGATAAGTGTGTTCTTTGTTGTGAATGATCAAGTTCTTGAGAGCTCGCCGGCCTGTCGCATTCCACTTGTCGCTTATTGCGTTGAAAATGATATCAATCCAAGAGAGCATACGGCCGACGTCGAACTGAAGCACAGAGCCACTTTCCGTTGTAATGCTGATGGGTCCAGCCTGTGTTGTCGAATTAGCAATCGAGGACAGTTTCTTTCGGCGACGGAATTACTTACACACAAAGACGCCATGGCACTGAGAGCCGCGGCGCGCAAATTCTTCTTTTCTATCTCCATCGCAGCAGCGGTATTTCGCAGCTCACCAGTCTCAACCTGCTGTGAGATCGCATATTTGCGCATGTTCTCCTCCCTTTGAGATATCTGGGCTTGGTTCGGAGAGTACCCGCACCAATCCTCCATTAGGGAAAAGGCAGATTTCCTGGATTCGAACGGTATCCACCGAGAGGGGTCTTTGGTACGGTTTACGCCCTCGAATAGTTCTTCCATTAGTCCACAGAAGTGGAAGCGCAGTCGTTGGAACTCCCAATCGTTTTGAACTTCGGCATCACTCAAGAATATCCGAAGATCCTTAGCATAGGTCACCAAGTTATTGACGATCCAGTCGTCGTTGTACACTTCAGACTCTTGCAAGAAATGAGATGTGAGCTTGTACACATGCGTCACCTCCGTCCGTAGGCGGTCCGTCTTTCGGTTTCTCCTGGGGCTGCTTGGAGACCGATAATGAGCCCCGATCCGAATCTTGGCCTCCTCGTTGCACGTTGTTACGGCGTACTGTAGTGACTCGAGCAACGTGCGGTAGAGGTTCTTGTTGATGGACCCTAGGGCAATGACAATAGCATCTCGGATGGAGGCGCGCTCGGCTGAGAGCAGCGGGATCACGAAGGCAAAGAGACTTCTGGCAGAGCTGATCTTATCTTGGGTCTGCTGTTGTCCCTTTGATGATTTCCGCGCGTGTTGGGCATTTGCTAGCTGGCTTTGAGATTGAGCACCGACGCTGTTAAGGGTGGTGCAAGCCATGACTAGGTAAAGCTTCCACTGTTCGATCAAAATCTCGGCAGTCATATTGTTTCTGCCGACCAAGCGAGCTTGGACAGGGTCCATCGGAGCATATTGGGGATGCTGAGGTGTCTCAGCAAGGGCAGTAATCGTTTTGTGCATCAAGACCAGCCGTGCACAGACAATTTCTCGTCCCAAAGTAACAGCGAAGGGACACATCTCGAAGCTAATTCGGATGATGTTTGGGAACACTTTGGCCCACAGGGTCGAATCGTAGGACACTTCGCTGCTACACAATTCAATCAGCGTATTCTGTGACACGCTCCGTCGTTTGCCTTTTTGAATCCGGCTCCTCTCGGCAACGGTAAGCTGTTCATCGTTGACATCTAAGATCTGCTGAGAATCCGCTTCTAGGATTCTGATGATCCTTGTGTTCTCTTTCCCAAGGGCTTTGTCAAACTCCGTGATCAGCCGGAGGACAGTAATGGCGAATGCCCGCACTCTTCTTGACTGCGAGCAGAGAAAGAATAATCCATGAGACTCGATTTCTTCAACATGAGCTAGAACGCTCGAAAGATCCAGTTGCAAGGCCCTGCTTCCAGAGCCGGTCTTGTCTCCTGGGTCTACCGCCGCGCCCTTTGCAGCTGCTCCCTTCGTCTTCTGTTTAATTTCCTCTATCCAGATCTGCAGCAGCTCCACGTAGAGCCTCAGGGTTGATTCAATGTGGCCTGGTCCAAGCATCCCTTCATCGGACATCGTTGAGTACCGTGCATCAAAGTTGAATATAAATCTCGCGAATCCAATAGTCACCTGTTGTGCATGGGACTGGCGAGCGATAGCCTTCAATGACTCTGCTGATGAGGCCGCAATATTCGACTGAACATGGGCAGTCCCGGTACACAACAAATTGATCAGTGAATTGAACGGGATGTGGTCGGAGAGGCAGCGAGGGAGAGCCTGCACGGCGACATGAAGTAAGTCATAGAATCCTTGTCGCTGATCCACCGCGCTCAGATGATCGTCGCGCCTCCCAAAGCTGAAGGCCTCGGAAATTGGGGTTTTTGGCGTCGTGCCCCCAAACTTCTCATCCAAAGCCGCTTGGCCTCCAAAAGTATTATCGCACAGAAGAGTGATCTTCCCCAAGATCTCGCAGAAGCGGATATAATAGCTTCTGACATTGTCACTGAGCCTGGAGGTATTGACGGGCTGTGACGACACCTCATCCCGATTCTCAGGGACATTCGGAAGACGTGGGTCGACAAGGAACTGAGGCCTCGGTAGATGAGTAGAAGAAGAGATGTCGGTGAACGGGTTTGGTATCGAGCCGGTAGGGAAGGGAGGGCAGAGTTGATCGCAATTCTCCAGGTCCGTTACTATGGAAAGGAACGCCCGGATTCCAATGACCATCTTTTCTGGTTCCATTTGCTCAATCTTCAATTCCCGATTTGAGAGGAAGATATCGGAGCTGATCATAGGGAAGATGATGTTACGGAAACACACGTCTGGGTGTTTGAAACCAATCATCCGTACCAGTTGAATGAGCGGCTCTGCGACTGCTGGTTCTGTACTCAAGTATGTCCTCTTGCCGGCAGGGAGTGCGATCTTTGCTACCTCCTCAACTTTTCGAAGGGTGACCGTTGGAGAGTCTGTATAGCGAAAGAAGTAGGTCCATACCAATCGGCACATCGCCTGCAGTGCCGGGCCTCTAGTAGGACGGTCTTTCAGTCTCGCCGGAAGCGTGTAGATGACCGACAACCATTGAGAGGAGAAGTTCTCTTTCGATGAGACGCAGAGAAGCAGAACATGAAGAGGGAAAGCCGCAGCCCAATGGCGAGGCTTTGTTAGCATCTGAGTAAGCCGCGATTGGACTAAATCTAGGAATTCTTTCCACTTAGGGAGCGACAGGTCACAGTTCGGATTAGCGGCGACTGGGAGAAGAAGCTTCTCAAAAATGTAGCAGTATGCTTGTTTCACACGCTGCCCATGGGCGCCGACAAACAACCGTGCCAGCGACCGCATAAAATCGCACGCCTTGGGCCACATGTCCGGATACGTCCGAACTCGCAGATGTCTCATGCCTAAGATCAAAAGCTCTGTTTTCGCATCTCCCTCCTTGGACGGTCCCCGTAGTGTTTCGTCCTTCTGATACTGGCCGAGCTCTGCGAGGAATCGGTTGGTGACGCTCGTGAAGTTGTTTTCGCTCATTATGCCAAGCAGCTGGGAATATATCCTCCAATTGGCCATACGAAGCGGAGAGGCAGAGATCTGGTCTGGATCAACCGATTTGAGTTGGCCAAAGACAATGTCCTCTAAACGCTCTGCCATGTCAAGTGTAATGGATGCAAGGCTGCTCTGGTTGAATATTTCGATCAGGACTCTGCAAACGAGGTATACCGACACTGTCGCCCGTCGTTCGGCCAATACGATATCGTCGGGTCTAGCCACGGGAGGGTTCGATGATGAAGACGTGTGGTCCGACTGCGAGTCAAGCATCATCTGTGCGGGCTCGGTGTTTCGACGTATAAGAGGGCCGTTTTCCGACGAAGGCGATCGTGACTGATCAATTACAACGTCGTTAGTCGAAGAGCATCGGTGTAAGAATCCAGGACCATACCTGATTAACCGCCTGCTTAGCCATGATCGCAGCGTCGCCCTTGGCTTTTCTCCAGAACATGATGGTGTCAATCAAAGGTTTCGGCTTCTGTCGAGCGATATGTCCTAATGCGGATATCAACTGGTCAAAGTTCGGGTCTGCACCAGGGCCGCAGACTTCTTCCACGGGCACATCTGACTGGCCTAGTCTCATAATCGCCTGGTTGATCTTGCTATCCGCTTGACCAACAAACTTGGTCCACTGTCAGCCACCATCCGAGATACCAGACGGGCCGGGCTCTGCCTACCGAGTTGAAAAGATGGTGTAACGCATATTCTCCCACGGTCTTTGACTCCGTGTAATGATGCTTGGACTGTGACCGGCTATGCGAGCGTTCGCGCCATGGTTTCCCGCCGGAGTTCATCCGGCGATGTACTGGATTTGCTGCGGTGCCATTTCCAACCTCATCGGTGTCCTGGTCTTCGATGGTCGATAAGGTCCCCTGCAGCAAATGGCTCGAGCTGCTGTTCCCCGAGCTCTGATACGGCGTGTGCATGTCCATTTGGTCTAGTCGGCCTCCAGACGCACCGCTTTCCTGGTCAACGCCACCACTTCGACCAAGGGATGCGATCAATTCGGGGCTTAGTGGACTGGTGGAGGAAGAGGACGCGGCGAAGCTGGGGTTTCGCGAATGCTGGATCCCATGTACGATCGAGGTCTGTCGATGATGACCGTAGGAATTCGAGGGACGTCTTTCGAGGGGGGCATCGTATGCGGCACCAGGACGAGCGGCAGAGGTCTCGGGGCTTTTGGAGTGAGAATGTCCGCGCCGAGGATTCTGAGGCTGTAGGGTCGAAGGGGTTAGCGCGGATGGGTCGGCTGGTCTTCCTCGAACGGCGGACGTCTCTCGGCTATGCACCGTCGACGAGGGCGTGCTTCTAGTCACTAGTCGTTCGGGTGGAGATGCGAAGACATGGTGCGACGCGGAGTTGGGCTCGTCAGGGATGAGGGGCATTGTCGTTGGCTGGATGTGACCAGCTTTGATCGAAGGATGTGAAGCCACTAGGCGATGCAGAGGTTAGGTCATTTTGCATTAAAAAGCTGTGCGAGAGGTTGTATAGATCTTGATGTGGGTAGGGATTGATATGCAGGAGGCAGACAAAGAGAGCGTGGTTGGGGTCCCCTACTGCTGACTGTTTTCATCCAAACCACATTCAATGGTGGCAGAAGCTCACATGTACTGGAGCTAAATCATCAGAGAACAGGACTGAGCAGCACATTGTTGCTCATTAGCCCTAACTATTGGGGGGTGGTGAAGGGAAAAGGTGAGATTGCCTCGATGGTGGTGCTGATGGCGGGAGAAGTTGCTTGTTGTGTTCGCGACCGTAAGTTGCACGCGGACCAACCAGATAGTACACTAGTAGAGTGGCCACGACCAAAAAGTAGGACATTGGGCTGAATGCTTGATAAACTTCTTTTTGAGGGGAGGAATGTATCAGAGGTGTTTTTCTCTATTTTTGCCCTCTAATTTTTGAGTTGCCTATCGCCTGTTCCTCATACCAGTCTCCATCTGTAAGTACTTACCTGTACAGCAAGAGACATGCGACCAATCCGAATAAGGATGTCCACCACGGTATCTTGCTGCTACCGTCATAGCTTCTGCAATCTATCACTTCACTTAGAGAGTCGTATACGAGGCAGAAGAGTTTCACAATGCCGAGAAACGCTTGGATCCGCAGGCAGACTGCGTATCAAGTTGCCTTGATTTCTCTGACCAACCTTATCACATCGTGCATGCTTCGTCATACACTCTTTATCCCAAGGCCCAAATCTCTATTCGGCCTCTCTCGGGAATAGGGAATCAATCTACCTAATACATCAAAGCATATACTCTATATGAGATCATATGCAAGGCTGCCTCGCAATGATGCCAAGCATCTGGATACTTGGTTGAATCATGTTTGAGAGGAAGGATTTGGGTTCGGTTTGTTTGAACTGAATGAAGATTTGTTCATCTCAGTCGTGCATGATCCCCAGCTTCCAATACGCATGGTGTTATGTGGGTGACATGGGACTGCCACTCGACCTGGAGGAAATGCTTTCATCAGAGACAAAACACACATGCATGTGTATCGCCCTCCGAAGGGACCTGGAAATACGAGATGAGTCCTGGAATCCCCAGGAAGGTTTCATCAAGCCCCAACCGAGAGGGTCAAACGGTTCGCTCGGAGGTTGGTATCTTTGTCGGGTTTCAGTCTCCAGTGGTTACGTACGTAGTTAGTACCTAGTACTTTGTACGATAAGTGGGGAAGACAACGTCCTCGGGCACTTGATGGATGAGCATGTGCCGCCGTCCGAGAAATTTACGGCAAATGGTCTCGTGTTGAGGCGAAATGGTGGTGGGCAGAAGGCTGACCTATGCATAAGAGACTTCAGGGCCACGCTGGATGCACAGAAGGTGAATGTACACAATGCAATATATACATATATTTCTTATGATTCGAACGAGACGCTATTCCGCTCACTATCCAGTGGAATCGTGGAGGATTTATATATATAGGTAGCTGACGAGATGTGAGGATGGAATGTTTCCACACCTGGTGCGGAATCAATCCGTTGGGAAGAAGTACTCCAGTTGCCAGCCGGAACACCGGGGGCGGAAATCAAACAAGGTCTCTCCGTGGTGAACAGAGATCTATACAGAAGTACGCAAGAGCCAATGCTTATGAACATAGGTATGTACCTACACCTTCGTATGACTGTACCGTCCTCGGAGATGTTACAACGGTATGAATGTATGGAGTATATTGCGCGGTAGTGGCACTAGACAGATCATTAACAGTGATATAGTCATAGTCACAGCTACACAAAACATGTTAACATCCAGACCTTTATATCAAGACAATCTACTGTACTCTCCTTGCCGAGCAATCGATCGCAGGATGACGCCGAACCCCAGACATCCAGTGGGAGGCCAAAAGGCGGAACTCGGCTAGGGACCCTGTTCGGCAGGATGTTCGGGAGATCCCCATTCGAAGCACATGGATATCATGGCCACTTGCCATCACTCTCCGCCGCCACCTCCAGTCTCCATATCACAAGAGGGCCGAAGTTCCTTCCGATCCAAATTTCATCTCGGCCAAGGGTCGGTCGCTCCCATCTCCCCCACACCCGTCGGAGACATATATATATGGTGAGGGTGAACCCCGCGGGTTGGCTCTTGACGAGTCCTTAGTCTAATGCGGGAAGTTGGATTATCGTACTAGCGATATTACGGAATACTGTACTCGGAGGCATTGTCTTGACGATCCGAAGATATCCATTCTTCACGTGCCGTCCATGCTGACCGCCTCCCCATTACGCTCACCCATCGGACAAACAACCAGGGATCTGACCGGGACGACGTTCTTCCCAACGTGTCACTTTCAGTGGGAACAACTTTTTCCTAGCCTCCTCTGGTTTCCCGGCCCCGAAGTATGCGCTGGGCTTAGTGGATCGCCTTCCCTTTACCTTACTTGACAGGCTGCCATCCATTCCGCCATCTTACGACTTTCCTCTCCCTCTTCATTACCTTCTTTTCTTCTTGTTGTATTTCTTGCCTTTTTCTCTCTTTACTTTCTCAATCCGTTTCATTCTCATCCTGATCTTTTTTGGATCTCATCCTCAGTTTGCATTGGGGGTTTTCCACCTACGGATTCCGCCGCTGTGCTGCAACTCCCGGCTCAGTGGTGAATTAGGGGCGCGTTATCTGTCCTTCTAGCGGCTTCCGTTCGGCCCCCCTCTTTTCCTCTCCCTCTCCCCCTTCCTCGACTCCGCATCTGCCCGGATCCGCGCACCTCACCACGGACGCAATCATGGCTCAACTCGACACTCTCGACCTGGTGGTCCTGGTGGTGCTTTTGGTGGGTAGCGCCGCCTACTTCACCAAGGGCACCTACTGGGCCGTTCCCAAGGACCCGTATGCCGCCTCCGGTCCCGCCATGAATGGTGGCGCCAAGGCGGGCAAATCCAGGGACATCATTGAGAAAATGGAAGAGACTGGCAAGAACTGTGTGATTTTCTACGGCTCGCAGACCGGTACCGCCGAGGATTATGCGTCGCGCCTGGCCAAGGAAGGCTCCCAGCGTTTCGGCCTCAAGACCATGGTCGCAGATCTGGAAGACTACGATTATGAGAACCTGGACAAGTTCCCCGAGGACAAGGTTGCCTTCTTCGTCATGGCCACCTATGGTGAGGGTGAACCCACCGACAACGCCGTCGAGTTCTACCAGTTCATCTCGGGTGAGGACGTCGCGTTCGAGAGCGGCGCCTCTGCCGACGACAAGCCCCTGTCCTCCCTCAAGTATGTCACTTTCGGTCTCGGTAACAACACCTATGAGCACTATCAGGCTATGGTTCGCAATCTGGATGCCGCTCTCACCAAGCTGGGTGCGCAGCGCATTGGAGATGCTGGTGAAGGTGATGACGGCGCTGGCACCATGGAAGAAGATTTCCTGGCCTGGAAAGAGCCCATGTGGACTGCCCTGTCCGAGGCCATGAACCTTCAGGAGCGCGAAGCCGTCTATGAGCCGGTGTTCTCGGTCACGGAAGATGAATCCCTGTCCCCCGAAGACGAAGCCGTCTACCTCGGTGAGCCGACCAAGGGTCACCGTGACGGCACCCCCAGTGGCCCGTATTCCGCTCACAACCCCTTCATCGCCCCCATCGTCGAGTCTCGTGAACTGTTCAACGTCAAGGACCGTAATTGTCTGCACATGGAGATCAGCATCGCTGGTAGCAACCTTTCTTACCAGACTGGTGATCACATCGCGATTTGGCCCACGAACGCTGGTGCCGAGGTGGACCGGTTCCTCCAGGTGTTTGGTCTTGAGAACAAGCGTCATTCCGTCATCAACATCAAGGGTATCGATGTGACCGCCAAGGTTCCCATTCCGACTCCCACCACGTATGATGCTGCTGTTCGCTACTATATGGAAATTGCTGCGCCCGTCTCCCGTCAGTTTGTGGCTACCCTGGCTGCGTTTGCTCCCGATGAGGAGACTAAGGCGGAAATCGTGCGTTTGGGTAGCGACAAGGACTACTTCCACGAGAAAATCAGCAACCAGTGCTTCACCATCGCTCAGGCTCTTCAGAGTGTCACCTCCAAGCCCTTCTCGGCTGTCCCGTTCTCTCTGCTTATCGAGGGTCTCAATAAGCTCCAGCCCCGTTACTACTCCATCTCTTCCTCCTCCATGGTCCAGAAGGATAAGATCAGCATTACTGCCGTCGTGGAATCCACTCGCTTGCCTGGTGCCGCCCACCTTGTCAAGGGTGTCACGACCAACTATCTCCTTGCCCTGAAGCAAAAGCAGAATGGGGATCCGTCTCCCGACCCTCACGGCTTAACTTATACTATCACTGGGCCCCGTAACAAGTACGACGGAATCCACGTTCCCGTTCACGTCCGCCACTCCAATTTCAAGCTCCCCTCTGATCCCTCTCGGCCCATTATCATGGTTGGCCCTGGTACCGGTGTGGCTCCCTTCCGTGGATTCATCCAGGAGCGTGCCGCCTTGGCCGCCAAGGGTGAGAACGTCGGTCCCACCGTGTTGTTCTTTGGATGCCGCAGGCGCGATGAGGACTTTATGTACGCAGATGAATTCAAGGTATGTCATCTGCCCAGACTTATTGATCCGCAACGAATAATGCTAACTCTTTTGCCTTCAACAGACCTACCAGGAACAGCTTGGGGACAAGCTTCAGATCATTACTGCGTTTTCTCGTGAAACTTCCCAGAAGGTGTATGTTCAGCACAGACTGCGTGAACACTCCGATCTGGTGAGCAGCCTCCTGAAGCAGAAGGCTAACTTTTACGTCTGCGGTGACGCCGCCAACATGGCGCGTGAAGTCAACCTTGTGCTTGGCCAGATCATCGCGCAACAGCGGGGTCTCCCGGCTGAACGGGCCGAGGAAATGGTGAAGCACATGCGCAGCAGCGGCAGCTACCAGGAGGACGTGTGGTCATGAGCTCCATGAACTTTCTTTCGCGCTTATGTCATTTTAGTGTCATGATTTATCTTTCTTCTATTGTTCATGCCTAGATGATCCTTGCATATATACTCCGCCGGGTTTGGCTTATCTTTTTTTGGGCGTGATTGATGTATGCACTTAGCAACTGACATGACCGTCATGTTCGGCTACTTTGTTCTTTTCACACTGCAGCTGATCCAAAAGGGCTTCGATAGAGAATACAGTTGAATAGGGTTTATAGTATAGATTCTAAAGTCAGTCTGGACAGCCGTGTAGACATAGGAGGGTTTTGCTGTATAGTTTTGCTGTATATCGGGGCGGTCGAGGTGAAGATAAGATGGCTGGCACTCGGACATAATCCGGAGTTAAGTTGCGGGAGGAACTGGCAGGAACCGCAACCATCGTCATCGAGTCCTTCCAACATCGTCGATCCACCACCATCCCTTCACTTCGCTGCTAGTCAACCGTCGGCTCTGGGGAGAGAAATGCCTTCCGCTGCTCACCACTGAGTAGACTTTTATACATAATTACCCGATTTGCATTCACTGCAGTGTTTCTGAAGCGCTACCAGGACCCCCGCTGCCGTTTCCACTGCCGCAAAAAGCCCATCAGCGTCCCGGTTACCGCTCACCAGCACACACAGGAATCCGTCGGGCACAGAAAATGTCGTACATAGTCCCGATACACCGGGCGAGCAGCATTCGCCATGCGCTGAAGTTGCAGTTCATGAATCCAGAGGAGGAGTGCCTGGTTGTCGCGTGAGTGATATGGGAATGCCGCGACCGCATACGCGGCTTGCAAGACCCCAGCGGGCGTTGCAATGCTAACGGGATCTGCTCTATCCCCAACAGGAAGGCAAATCGGCTGGAGGTCTACACTCTCACTCCGGATGGATTAAGCCTGGCTGCATCGTGCACCCTCTACGCCAGAGTGACAATGCTGGCCCGATTGCCCGCGCCGGCCAACTCGCCAACCGACCATCTATTCGTCGGGACCGATCGCTACACCTACTGCACACTGTCATGGGACAGCTCACAGAACCAGATTCGTACGGAGCGCAATTATGTCGATGTTTCGGACCCGTCATCGCGGGAATCGCAGACAGGTAATCGGTGCTTGATCGATCCGAGCGGCCGCTTCATGACGCTAGAGGTCTACGAGGGACTCGTTGCTGTGATACCCATCGTTCAATTGCCCGGTAAAAAGAGAGGAAGAGCCCCTGCTATGCCTTCCGGCCCCGACGCACCCCAGGTGGGAGAACTCGGCGAGTTGACGACCGCGCGCATTGATGAGCTCTTTGTGCGCTCGTCGGCGTTCTTGCATGTGCAATCGGGGCTACCACGCCTCGCTTTACTGTACGAGGATAACCAGAAGAAAGTCAGGCTGAAGGTTCGCGAGCTTCAGTACACCGCGGCGACGTCCAGCTCGGGCGCCGATGCAACATTGGCGGATTTGGCAGACTTCGCACAGGAGTTGGACCTTGGGGCGTCTCATCTCATACCGGTTCCTGCTCCATTGGGTACGTGGCGATTCCATTAGTGTATCGGATCTTGGCTGACTTAAATAGGTGGTCTTCTTATTTTGGGTGAAACATCAATCAAGTATGTGGACGACGACAATAATGAGATTGTTTCCCGACTTCTGGACGAGGCAACCATTTTCGTCGCCTGGGAGCAGGTGGATAGCCAGCGATGGCTATTGGCCGATGATTACGGCCGACTATTCTTCCTTATGCTTGTCTTGGATTCAGAAAACCAGGTACAGGGATGGCAGCTGGATCACCTAGGGAACACCTCAAGAGCGTCGACTTTGGTCTATCTAGGTGGCGGGGTTATATTCGTGGGATCTCACCAAGGCGACTCCCAGGTTCTCCGCGTCGGAGATGGGTCCTTTGAGATAATCCAAACTCTGCCAAACATTGCCCCCATTCTGGACTTCACAATTATGGACCTTGGCAACCGCACGAGCGAAAGTCAGACACACGAATTCTCCTCTGGCCAGGCTCGAATTGTCACTGGTTCCGGCGCGTTTGATGATGGGACACTGAGGAGCGTCCGCAGCGGTGTCGGAATGGAAGAACTAGGTGTTCTCGGTGAGATGGAACATATTACAGACCTGTGGGGTCTCCAGTTCAAGGCGAAGGGCGACTTCTTGGATACTCTCCTCGTCACATTCATCGACGAAACCAGGGTATTCCATTTCAGCTCAGATGGCGAGGTTGAGGAATTGGACCAGTTCCTCGGGCTGAGCCTATCAGAGAACACGCTTCTTGCGGCCAATCTCCCCGGCGGTCGGATACTCCAGGTGACTGAACGGAGAGTCCTAATCGCAGATATGGAAAGTGAAATGGTCACCTATGAGTGGACGCCATCGGACCAGCTCATTATCACTTCCGCTTCCGCCAACGAGGACTCTGTCGTTCTTGTTGCTGGCGGAGAGCTTATGACGGTTTTTGATATCAGGAACAATGTGCAGATTGTCACACAAAAGAACTTTGGTGCAGACTCTCAAATTTCGGGAGTTACAGTTCCATCGTCTCCGACTGGTGTCTGCATTGTTGGATTCCCCCAGTCCGCGAAAGTATCCGTGCTGAAACTCCAAGATCTGACGGAACTCCATGCGACATCACTGGGTCCAGAGGGTGAGGCTTTCCCGCGTTCGGTCCTTGTTGCAAACGTTCTCGTGGATAGTCCTCCCACTATATTCATCTCCATGGCCGACGGAAGTGTCATCACTTATTCGTTCAATGCCAACGACTACTCTCTAACTGGAATGAACAAACTGATCCTGGGATCGGAGCAGCCGACTTTCAAGAAACTGCCAAGAGGCGACGGGTTATACAATGTCTTTGCAACATGCGAGAATCCAAGCTTGATCTATGGTTCTGAAGGCCGCATCATCTACTCTGCAGTCAACTCTGAGGGAGCCTCCCGAGTGTGCCATTTCAACTCCGAAGCATACCCTGAGTCAATTGCCGTGGCCACATCTCACGAACTTAAAATCGCTCTTGTCGACAAAGAAAGGACCACACAGATCCAGACTCTCCCAATGGGTGCGACTGTCCGCAGAGTTGCTTATTCACCCTCTGAAAAGGCATTTGGTATTGGTACAATTGAGCGGAAACTCGAAGAAGGCGCGGAGATAGTCAAGAGTCAATTTGTCCTGGCCGATGAGATACTGTTCCGCCGTCTTGATGCCTTCGACCTCAGAAGTGAAGAATTGGTGGAGAGCGTCATCCGCGCCGAGTTCCCCGTGGGCAAGGATGAAAAGGGGCGCGATATGTTCAAGGATCGATTCGTTGTCGGCACGGCGTATTTGGACGAAGACGAAGACCGGGATTCGATCCGCGGGCGCATTCTGATGTTCGAGGTTGACAATGGGCGCAAGCTCACCAAGGTTGCTGAACTGGCAGTCAAAGGCGCGTGCCGTGCGCTGGCCATGCTGGGAGATAAGGTTGTGGCTGCACTTGTAAAGACGGTAAGCATGACCCCAGGTGGATGATCGAGGTATTTCATCTGATATCTGTCCAGGTTGTGATCTACAAAGTCACCGGGAACAACTTTGGTGCAATGAAGCTGGAAAAACTCGCCAGTTACAGGACGTCAACCGCACCGGTGGATATTACAGTTACAGACAATGTGATTGCGGTGTCCGATCTCATGAAGAGCTCGTGTCTCGTGGAGTACATCGAGGGTGAAGACGGTCTCCCCGATTCATTGAAAGAGGTGGCTCGTCACTTCCAGACTGTTTGGGCGACTGGCATCGCTTGCATAGCGCCACACACTTATCTCGAGAGTGATGCAGAAGGAAACCTGATCATCCTTCGTCGCAATCTGAGCGGGGTCGAGGAAGACGACAAACGCCGACTGGAAGTGACTGGTGAGATTTCGCTGGGTGAAATGGTCAATCGTATCCGACCTGTCAACATCCAACAGTTGGCAAGTGTCACGGTGACCCCACGTGCGTTCTTGGGAACGGTATGTGCCTCTGGTTCTAACACGATCCTTCCGACGTCGTATACTGATAGAGATGAAAACAGGTTGAGGGTTCAATCTACCTCTATGCCATTATCAACCCCGAACATCAGGACTTCCTGATGCGTCTCCAGGCGACAATGGCCGGCAAGATTGAATCGCTTGGAGACATGCCCTTCAATGAGTTCCGTGGGTTCCGTAGTATGGTGCGAGAGGCCAAGGAGCCTTACCGGTTTGTGGACGGAGAGCTGATTGAGCGGTTCCTGACCTGCGAACCGAGTGTGCAGGAGGACATTGTCAACTCGGTGGGAATGATGAACGTTCACGACGTCAAAGTTATGATAGAAGCGTTGAGGCGGTTGCACTAGCGAGGTCTCTACTCTGTTTTTAGACTTGGGTTGTGCGATGATTATGACGTGAATGGATGAACTTGCATATCACTCTCTGGATGGGACATCAAAGTATGGGCTATTCGACGTGTGATTTATTCGGCTAGTTTTATACAAATCCAAGTGTTGCATGGCACTCGGACATACAGGCACAGAGAATGATCTCAACTTTTGATTTTCCACCTCGGAGACTGCAACGCACTGGTGAAGGACATGAAGTAAAATAGTTGGCCACCCATGCACACGATTATACAAAAGAAGGATTATAAAATCTAGTACCCAAAAAAGTCCTTCCCGTGAACAGCCGAGCGGGAAAGCAGCGACACCAGAATCACTGCTTCGGAGCAGCAGCCTTCTCACCCTCCTCGTCACTCCAATCCAACAGCTCCATGATCTGCTCCTTGCTCAACCGCTGCGTCTGCTCCTCGGCCTCGGGGTTCTTGTTGGACTTCTTCTGTCTCTTGCGGGCAGTCTTGCTCCACTCTGGCACCCCGCTGGCAGTCGCAAAATCCTCCTCCTCCTCGATCTCATCGTCCGTGTTCTCCACCTCCGCGAGAACCTTGCCCGTGCCGGAATCCGACGAGCCGCCACCGCGCAGCGCATTCGCCGACACCTTGGCCTTCTTGTCGCCCAACGCGGCGCGGCGCGCCTTCTCCTTCTCCTGCTGCTTTTTGAAGTCGCGGTCCGCCATTTTCTTGAACCACGCTTCGATGTACGGCCGCACGAGGATGTACCCCACCACCGAGAGGATGACCTTCGTCCAGCGGTTGACGCTCACCTCAGCGAATGACAGGTACAGGTTGCCGAAGAAGCGGGTCACGATTGTCTCGACGAACGAGTACAGCTGCCCGAAGAAGTCGGCCAGCGCGTCGGCCACCACCGAGCGGGCTTCATCTGGCGTCGACATGGTCGCTGATGTGTTTTTAGGGCCGTTGGACGGGGCTGGGTCCTGCCGGTGCGCAGGAGATAAGCTTCAGGGACGGAGGGACGGAAGAGAGCGGAGCCGTAAGAGCTCCAGAGACGTGGTCGAGGGACTCTGCGGAGACGGGCTGGGAGGACTGAGAGGACTGCGATGCGCCGGGATGAGGCGGAAGGAGCGTCGTGAGGAGGATGAATCGAAGGGAAAGAAATGAAAGGAAGAAAGGAGAATATGGAGGAAAATCACGCAGTGGGCGTCGTGGGGGTTCTTTGCACCTCCCAATCTATGAGAACTCCGTAAGTGGAAATGTTCCTTTCCGGCTTAGCGTATGTCACTCCGGATCTACTGTTCCTCCGGGCCGCCCACACCAGCCAATCAGCGGTAGGCCGCGGCATTTGATAGACACGCGTGTTGGACGCGGTGTTCTCTCCCGCATCTTGCTTGCTCACGATTGCCGTCTGTTGCTTCTACGTCGAAGGGAGTTTATCTGATTCGAGACCGACGGCGTCAAGTCTGCCATCTCGCTTTCACCGCCCAAATGGAGCCGAACGAAGAAGTTGGTCTTGAAGAGGTGAGCCATGCCGTCCCGCGTAGGCATGCTACCACTGCTAACATCATTCCAGCGACTCAAGTCTGCCCTTTGGCTGTCCATTGGTAAGATCGTCGACGAAGAGACAATCAAGCTCGGAATCAATGCGACGCCTCAGTTTATCGGCGCCTTGACCGAAATGGTCTGGGCGCAGGTCGGTATGTATTCATTCAGGTTCAGTGTCCTGAACAGCCACAACGTTTTCGTCATTCAGACCTCATCGTGGCTAGAGCTGACGGGCGCTTCCTTCTAGAAACTGTCAGTCAGGATCTCGAGTCCTTCGCCAAGTAAGTAGTGATCTTCCGCCTGCACCAACCCAAAACCAGAACACCATGCGGAGGCCCGTTCTACGCTCTCTTCTACATGACAGCGGTTCAAGCCAGCTTGCAATCGCAATTTCGCAATTCCAAGGATAACAACGCCGCTGACATGTTTATCTACTAACCAGGCATGCTGGGCGCTCCACAATCAACGTCGCCGATGTCATGTTGCTCGCCCGCCGGAATGAGGGACTGGAATCAATCTTGCGAGCGTTTGTCGATCGGCAGCGCGAAGAAGAGTCCTGAAGGGATGGATGATGAGCCGATCTATACTCTACTGCGGTGATCTGGGCTAGTGCCTGCGCAAGTACGATATAGTCCCGATTATGTAACCCCGCCTCCATTGGTGGCTATTTTTTGCTGCCACTTGGATCATGGCGCACGTAAGCTCGCTCAAGACGTCAAATTAGGCCCTCTACTAACAGTTGTTGTGACAGGCGCTGAGAGGGGTCAGCTGGTTACAATCCGATCAGCCAAGAACTTACCCGTCGTTTATGACGCCACTACGATCCTGTACCCCACCACGATCAGGAAGCTGGCTGCATCCCTGCCTAGGGGTTAAAAAAAGACCAAGATACCTAGACAGGTCGTTTTCGGGATGTGATCCCGTCGTATCCTGATATGCTTAACCTTATGTGCGCCCAGCGGCGAAAGCTTCCACCAACGATTACCTTTGGTCCCGAACGAACGGCGTGGAAAAAGTACCCCAGGAATCTCGGCCACATCATAGATGGTGTAATGATTTCAGATGAACGTTAGCCTTTTCCAGCCAATGAAACCCTCCTTCTGGAATCTCTGGGGCCTTCAATTTGTACTCCGGGGTATGACTCTGTGGTTAACGTCATTGCAACGTCTGAAGCAACGAGATGCCTCACCACCTACAAATAACGGATGCGCCATCCTAATATACAAGTCGCTGGTTATGTATCTCCAGTCATCTAAATTCTAATAATTGCGATCCTACTCTAGTGCAATACCAGTCTTTTTTGCAAAGAAATTCTCCAAGAAAACCGATTAAACTATGCTGAACACCGCTCTAGACGTGGACACGGTCCGAACTAGACTTAAGACAACGCCCCCGATGAAGTCTGTGCGCTTCCACGGCCCCGGCGACATTCGCGTGGAGGAAATAGATGAGCCAGTATGCGGCAAAGGCCAGGTCAAGGTTCGTCGCTCGACCGTAGAGACAATTCATCAAGAAACACGCTGATTTAGCCGACCTGAATACAGGTGCGACCAGCCTTCGTTGGGATCTGCGGCAGCGGTACGCAAACCAACCAACGCTTCCAACCGGACCGATAACTAACCAACTCAGACATCCATGAATACACCGGGGGCCCGGTATTAATACCCCAGAAACCGCACCCCATCACGGGGACCACCTACCCGGTGACAATGGGCCACGAAATCAGCGGCGTGGTCGAAGAGGTCGGAGCAGGCGTCACGCATGTGCGGCCGGGCCAACGGGTCGTCGTTCGGCCGACAATCTTCGACCGGGACTGCAGTTCCTGCAAGCAGGGGTTCGAGTGGTGCTGCGAGAATGTCGGCTTCATCGGGCTTTCCGGTGAGTTGTTGGCCGTTGCTTGCACTACTGCGCGGACGGGAACGCTAACAAAGCCGCGCAGGGTACGGCGGTGGGCTCGCGAAGTATATCACCGCGCCAGGGGAGCATTTCTACCCAATCCCGGACAACGTCTCGCTCGAGACGGCGGCGCTCGTCGAGCCGATGGCGGTAGCGTGGCACGCCGTGAACCTGTCGCCGTTCAAGCCCGGCGACCACACGCTTGTCGTCGGGGGCGGCCCTGTCGGCATCGGTGTCATCCAGATCCTGAAGATGCAGGGCGCGAAGACGATTGTTGTCGCCGAGCCGATGGAGAAGCGCCGGCAATTCGCCCTGGAGTACGGCGCAACGCATGCGATCAACCCCCTGGAGGAGGATCTGGTTGCGACGGTGAAGAAGATCACGGACGATGTTGGGGTGGGGGTTACGTTTGACTCTGCGGGGGTGGAGAAGGCGCTCGAGGGAGCCATCCAGGCTACGCGGACACATGGCACGATTGTCAACATCGCGGTGTGGGAGAAGCGGCCGAAGGTGGGTATCAACCAGCTGATGTATAATGAGATCAAGTATACGGGGTCTGCGTTGTACGATGAGAGTGCCTTTACCAAGGTGATTGAGGCGATCAGCTATGGTGAGTCCCCGGGCCCGTGCTGTTCGTTAGATGTGAATCGGCTGACGCTGACTTTCCTCTGATATAGGCCAGTTATCGCCAGGGAAGATGATCACGGATAAGATCAAGCTCGATGATGTGGTCGAGAAGGGGTTCAAGACTTTGCTGAACGACCGGGATGAGCATTGCAAGATCCTCGTCGATGTCCAGGCATAGCGTGCTATCTTCGGACTGTGCATACGATTGTTACGAAGGATGGTCTATATACAGCGCTTCTGATTCACGGCGCTCGGAGACGGATTCAACAAGTACACGGTGTAATAGGCATACATAATGAATAGTTTTGTTTGTGTATACGTGATATGGGATACTGGGCCAGGTTCTCAGGCGGTAGTTGGCCTGCTATATATCTTACACTTACTGCGAATCCCACTCATGTATCGGACGGATTATGCACGACCTGCGATTGATACGCTCATTCCCGAGGCGTGGACGGGTGATATCGATGACACATAACAGGACCACGCAGCGGATATAGGCAACACATATTGTCTTTTCTCTTATGTGTTGAGTGAAATGGCCCGTAACAATTACTGGATATATCTGATACCAATGTCCATGAAGGCCGTTCAACAGTAAATACATCCCTTTCAAACCCATAGAATTCTGAATAGCAGAAGCAAGAAACAGAAAAATAATGAGTAACTAGTAGGACTCACCACCAGGTGTGAACTACGTTCAAAACACAGAAGAGGAAATCTTGCCACTGCCTGATAGTTTAGAACATAATGTCAAATTTGCCAACACTGGAATAGCTTTTAGCTCGCATAGCTCAGTTGGTAGAGCGCGTGACTAGTAATCACGAGGTCCTCGGTTCAAGTCCGAGTGTGAGCACTTATCTTATCCTTTTTTTTTTTTCCTCTTCCAAAGCCCACACACACCGTATTCCCTTCTTTACATTACCTAACCTAGCACGAACGAAGTACCCATCAGACGCGGCTAAATTAAATAACCCGTGTCCAGACACGTCGCAAGAAGGGCGGTCCAGTGCCGTTATTAGGGTTGACACCGGACCATTGGTCCTGTGGAGCTCTGGAGATGAGACCCTTATAGCTTAATCAAACCAACAGATTGGATGAAGTACGTACGACGGAAATACTATGGATGAAACTCAAGCAGGCATCATCTCATTATTAAAATTGAATTATATAACCCGAAACAAAGGCATTGAAACCAGCCCTATACAAAGTGACAATCTCAACCCCGAAGCAAACAGACCATTGGTATCTCAATTCAGTTCATTAACTCATACATACTCTGTAGCGTCCAGACTGACCAAGCCGACATACAAAATCCAAAAGCAATGAAGCGATTATTTCATTCGGTTGTTCGAGATGGAAGTAGACCCTTCTACCACTGTCTCGACATGTCGGGAACTAGTAGTTACCCGTATAGGCGGAGTTCCCGTAGCTGTAGGGATTCTGCGCGGGGGCAGTAGTCGTCGTATTCTTGTTGCGCGAGAAGATGCCACCAACGCCGCTAGGCTTCTCTGAGGCGGTGCCGAGCTCAACGTCCTGGGGCGTTGGGTGGTCGGGAAGCATGTCGTCGGCGCTGGCAGTCTCGGGGCTGTTCTTGTTGCGACGCCAGAAGGCGCGGCGACGAGTCCCGTAGGTATAGCCGTTGGCGGGGGAAGGACCGAAACGCTTCTCCCGTTTGTGGTGACGAGCGTAGAGAACCTGGAAGAGAATCGAGAATAGAAAGAAGCAGCTGTGGGGTTGAAACGTTAGCAAGTCCCTCTCTCTGAGCACAACCGAGGGAGTGGCGTAGACTTACATTCCAATGATTGCGACGGCGAATGTGACCTTCTCTAGCCGACACGCGAACCCGAACGACACCTTGGAGGCGGAGTCCTTTGTGCTGTCGCCTGACCCGAGGGGAGTATCGACATGGCCGGAACAGGTTGAGGCGCCGTCACGGGTCATGACGGTGATGGCGATCATGGCGCCGACGAAACAGACATCGAGAATGATGGCAATCGCCGCGAAGAAGGCCACCCCACCCACGCAGCAGGTGAAAAGGCTACCGAGAAGTGCGTAGAGACAAGCAGCCCCGGCGAGACCCTCGGTAGCTTTCATCCACTGCGGGATAGACTGGTCATTCTGACTGAGCACGGCGAGGAAGTATGAGAAAATGCCGAGGATGACGGCCGCATCCAGGAACTGCAGGACTCGGATGCCCAGGTTGAAGAAGCGGAGAATGACTCCGCCAAACCCCATGATGAGTTGGGTCGGGACAGTATACTGGAAGAGGAGTTGTATCCAGAATCGATCCGGTGGTGGATTTGTTCGAGGGAATCAGAGTTGGTTGATGAGCCAGGCGTCAAGGGGAATAGTTCACGGTGGCTGGTGACAGTGACCCCCGGAGGAATATAAGGCTGAGGGAGGAGAAAGAGTTTTGCACATGACGAAGGCAGCAAAATTGCATTGTCAACCGTCCCAGGGGACCAGGTGTCGCAGGCAGCAGATCGGTGGAGGCACTGCAGTGGAACCGGGAGGCTTCACGAGCCCTGTGGGAGGGCGACATCCAGGGATGCAAATGACGATCCACGGACGATGAGGATGGCTGTGTTTCGCCATGATTGGGAGAGCTGCCCAGACCCAGCAAGGCTGATGTCATACTCTCTCTTGTCCGATGGCTGGGGACTGACTAAGCCCTGTCCGGACCTGAATGGTCCCCAGGTAACATCGCTATGCGCACCATGGCGCTGTTCGTAAATATAAATAGCACAAAGTATGGAAAGTAACCTTTCCATCGGTTGAGGTCATGACGACAATGCTTCCAGGGCGATCAAGCGGCAACGTTGTTGGGGTAAGTATAGAGACGAAAAACCTAGGTAGAGAGGGATGTACGTAGGTACCAGGTTACTAGTAAGCAGACCTACTAGTCGACAGGAACCATTTCGACTGTAGGCGTTACCCATTTATTGCGTGCATATTCCGTACTATCGTGGCGTCCGGAAGGATTTAAGGTGGCTAGTCAAAAATAGTACAAAAAATAAGAATAAATGCTCACACTCGGACTTGAACCGAGGACCTCGTGATTACTAGTCACGCGCTCTACCAACTGAGCTATGCGAGCTGAAAGCTATTTTGCTTTGTCTAATTTGTCACTAAATTAACAAACATAAAATTAACGCTACAGACATCCACTTCGAAAGTCGCATGACACATGACGATGTTTAAACGGCTCATATCACACAGAAGGACGTAGAAACATTAGGAATAAACATCACAGAAGAAGCAAGATCGATATGACAAAAGTGGCAGCTGCAGGCCCTAGACAACATTTGCACCGGGCAAAGTCATCCAAAGCCATGTAGAGCCCAAGAAAGAGCCCTCAAGCAGCCGGCTCCATCGCGGCGTGCTGTATCGCGCCGTGTGTGCAGGTCGTGCCTGCGGCGACATTGCCCATGTGGACAGGCTTACCGTCATTGCACAAGGCCCAGGTCTGGCCATCAGGAGCACAGATGAGCCCGTTCCCATTGCAACCTTCGGCCGCAGCAAGCCAGCTGGGGCTGTCCTGGGTACCAATGGATGCAGTGCGCACATCGCCATTCTTGACGTTGTCTCCGAAGGGCATGGGAACCTTATGGACAAGCTCCTTGCGCGCTGTGGAGTGGGTAGACGGCTTATCGTTCTGCTGAGGACCGTTGGCGTTGGCGTTGTTGTTGTTCTTATTACCATTGTTGGCATTGTCCTGGTTTTTATTGTTGCCATTGTTGTTGCCGTTGTTACCATTGGTATTGTTGCTCTTGTTATTGTTGTTGTTCTTGTTGCCGTCCTGGCCACTGTTCTTTTTGTCGTTCGGTGCCTGGCTCGATCCACCATCACCAAGGAACGGAGCGGAGCCCTCACACTTGTAGCCCTTGCCCGAGGCCTTGCCTTCCACAGACTGTCCAGGCATGGGGAAGTTCACATCCTCGCCTTCGATGGTCTTGCACTTCCCAGGGCCGTTGACATTGGCGATGAACATCGGTGGGAGGCTATCGAGTCCGTCACGACGAGTGATGGCTTTCTCTTCCTTGGCGCTGCGCTGGCCTCCGTTGCCGCCTCCAATGGTGACCTGGGCGCAGTTCATATACATCTCGCGGTTACCGACTTTGTTGAACCAAGTCCAAGCGAGCAGGGCTTCTCCCGACGGAGCGCCTTGCGGAATCTGGAACTGATACTCCTTCGTGAGGGGACAGCCGCCGAGCATGGAGTGGATGACTTTGAAACTCTTGCCCTTGTCGTAGGAGAGACTGATCTGGCAGGAGCCACCATCGTGCGTCGCGCTGCCTTTCAGCTTCAAGCTGTACTGTTGACCGGGACTGTAGTTGGCGACGGACTTGAACGGGTCGTTGGCGTACCCCTTACAAGGGTAATCGCTGCCACTGTCTGACAGTGGGTTGGTGTACGAGTAGTCGATTTGGCCACTCTTATCCTTACTCTCGGGACTGCGGATAGGAATCGGGTCGACCATCTGGATGTGTGCGGAGGCCATTGTGGCCAGCAAGCCACAGGCGAAGAGCAAGCCCTTCATGGTGATGCTGGTACGGGGGCTGCGGGAGCGGCGCTGGGACGTGTAGGTGAATAGAAGGGGAATCTGAACTTTCGTTAGACGCAGGTTGCTTATATGAAATTGTATAACACAATGGTCTGGCAACAATGACACTTACATGACGATGTAGAGGGGGTCCCAGACAACACACGACTGACTCTGAGCCTCCAAGGAGTGAAAAGGATCAGGGCATTCAAAACATGAAAAAGAGACAGAATGCAGCCCTTATAGGGGCATTGAAAGGCCCCAGCGCAGAAAAAGGGATGGTATGAAGCCACCGATCACAAGCATTGGGGATCAACGATGAAAAATTGGACAAACACATAAAATCTCGGCTGTTGGCCCGGATCCCGCGTATTCTCGAACATTGGAATGTTCATCCAGGAATTCTGTTTGATGCGCCTGGATCTGAGGCTTGGAATGATGGATGCCAGACCATTTGTGGTATGGGGCCCAATTGGGGTCTTGGGTTTGATGCGCTGGAATGCTGGGCATGGCAGGTCAACAGACGACGCATCCCTCACTGAACAATGGACATTCTTAGGCGCTGGCATATACGGTATCTCATACGTCAGCGGCCAAACTCCATGGAGTCTTCCATGCTCGAAGATACTAATGGCGGACAATGCAGCCAACAAACCAGGGCGGTGGCGTGCGTCTTGTTGGCAAGAGAGTTCCAGTAACATAGATGGGCTGACCAGAACGTGGATCCCGGAGGCAACGGTATTATTAGACATGAACTGGATCTATACTGCCATCGATTGTCTCTTTGCCATATGGATGTATGTGTCAGAGAGGGATGGATGAGGCTGTACAAGTATAGATGCAGGTGGAACGGACTAAGAGAGGAAAAGGCTTAGCTTCCGTCGCGCGTCTACGCGAACCATCATCCGCTTTCCTCTCCGCATCCTCCATCCTCTTCATCGCCCCATCGTCATCTTGTCGCTCCTTTCTGTCCACTCGTTCAATCGCAATCGGTTTCAACTGCAACACTTGAGATTCCTGCTGCGAGACTCATTCTCTCCCACCCGCTCTCTCTCTCTCTCTCTCGCAACGAGCGCGAAAATGCTACGTGTTGCGCGATAGTCCTACTATTGTCGCTCCATCTCACCGCATCTAACTCGTCATAATCCCTGATTTCCTCCTCCTCCTCCTCCTCATTTGACTTTTGAGTACTGGATGTTTCTGCATCCCTCTCTCCATCCGCAGAGGAAGCTTGCTTGTGCTAGAATTTCCTTCAAACATGCCGCGTGTTACCGTGGCCGCGAGGAATTTGGCTTCCACGCCTGCAGGCTTCGCCACCCCTCGCCGCGGTGGATAACTCAGCCCGTCACCGTGGCAAAAGCAAGCTTTGTCTCTTCTGCGCCAGCCCAGCCCCACCGGCATCGCTCTTCTTCACCTCCTGTCCTCTCTGAGCGCGTTGGCCTCGTGAATTACGTTGCACATTCCTGTACGGAGTCTGTCCAGACATCACGGCCCTCCTTTGCCTTCCCCTTTCGCCAAGTATCGTCCCATTCGCCAGGTGGGAATTGTGACACTTCGTCGACTATCATGCCCACAGAGGAGGTCGCCCAATGCAAGGGTAGTGTTGGAAACGCAGGAGACTCCAGCAAACAGCTAGATGCCGCTGCGTTGGATCCAGAGTCAGATGTAGATGTGCCGGTCGAAGCAGAGGAGCTTCAGGAAGCCCTCTCGCGACCACCCCCGGTTAATAGTAGCTACCTTCCCCTCCCTTGGAAAGGCAGGCTCGGCTATGTAAGTGATTCGGATACCGTGACCGAGATGTCTGACCTTATTTCTTATGTGGCTTTTCTTAGGCTTGCCTAAACACCTATCTGCGATATGCAAACCCCTCAGTGTTCTGCTCTCGCACCTGCCGCATTGCTTCGATCTTGGAGAACCGACATCCTCTCCAGGATCCTTCCCAACCTCCGCATGCCACAAAAAATCGCCCCGATCGAACGCAACCCGCCGATGTTGCACGTGGGCAGGCCTATGTGGAGTCCCTCGGACTGACCAATGCGCGCGACCTGGTCAAGATACTCCGCTGGAATGAGCGCTATGGCATACGGTTCATGCGACTAAGTAGCGAAATGTTTCCTTTCGCCAGTCACAAGGAGTATGGGTATAAGTTGGCTCCATTCGCCTCTGAAGCCCTCGCGGATGCGGGGCGGGTCATTGCTGAGCTTGGCCACCGGGTGAGTGTACACCCAGGTCAGTTTACTCAGCTCGGGTCCCCCAAGAAAGAAGTGGTTGAGAGCTCCATCAGAGACCTCGAGTATCATTCCGAGATGTTGCAGCTTCTCCGTTTGCCCCCGCAGCAGGACCGTGATGCTGTCATGATTTTGCACATGGGTGGCGTCTTCGGCGATAAAGAGGCCACATTAGACCGATTCCGGGATAACTACAAGAATCTCTCTCAAGATATCAAGAACCGCCTCGTGTTGGAGAATGACGACGTCAGTTGGTCTGTCCATGATCTCTTACCCATCTGCGAGGAGTTGAACATTCCTCTGGTTCTGGACTTCCACCACCACAACATTATCTTTGATTCCAGCCAGGTTCGGGAGGGTACACTCGATATTATGGGTTTGTACGACCGGATTAAAACAACCTGGACCCGAAAAGGTATCACACAGAAGATGCATTATTCGGAGCCGGTAGCCTCGGCCATCACAAAAAGCCAACGCAGGAAGCACAGCGACCGTGTGTCGACTTTGCCTCCCTGTGACCCTACGATGGATCTGATGATCGAAGCCAAGGACAAGGAGCAAGCTGTGTTCGAACTTATGCGAAATTTCAAACTCCCGGGCCATGAGCTTCTCAACGATCTGGTCCCCTATGTCCGTAGCGATGAGAACAAACCGTTCAAACCACCGCGAAAGACGAAGAAGAATGGGGGATTTGTTGATCTTGACGGTCTGGTTCCGCCCCCTCGCACCATCCCTGAAGAGGAGGTCAGCATGGGTGGACCTGAGGGTAGGGTCTACTGGCCTCCTGGAATGGAGGAATGGCTTCGGCCCAAGAAAATCGTCCGTGCGAAAGCAGCCCAGAGTCCACGGGCATCGCGTGGCTCCAAGAATGGTGATACTGGCGACAATGGAGAGGGTCCCTCCCCCAACGGGGAGGACGCTAAAGCTGCTCTGACTACACCGGCTTCTAAATTGCCTTCGCGTGCCCGACGCCCCGCTAGCGTCAAGAAACAATCCACGAGGAAGCGGAAAGCTTCCCCAACCATCTCAACTCCATCGGCCTCGGAAGATGACGCGCAGGACGCGCCCGAAACTCCAAGTCTTCAACGGTCTCGAAGCACGGGTGCCCGACGGTCTCGCCGGGTGAAAACGGTCAATTATGCGGAAGACAGCGAGTCTGTTTGAGTACTACCGATGCATGCCGTTCTTACATGCAGTCTTCGCGTTTACAATGTTTGGCGTATGCGTGTGTATATTCATGCAATTCTTGGGACCTATAATAACAGACACCATTCCGATGGCTGCATCTTGACCTAACGGCTGCAAGAGACTTTTCGAAGCTCATAAGAGTTCTGACGCTTCTTATAGCGGGAGTCAGACAGTCTCGGTGCTACCTTTGTTGTATGCAATCTTGTGACGAGTACTTGGGTAATGTGTACGATTGGCCATCTCTAGTGATGTTATATACAATGGACCTATAGAGCCCTGAGATAGTAGTTAATATAATATAATATGGTAAAAGTCAAAAGAAAGCGAGAAAGAAATAAGTAAGTAAACCGTGTGTTGGCGGCCATATCGCGGCAACCCCCACACGGCCGGGAATCTGCTTGAAACCGTGACCTTCAATCGATCTCCATCCACGGTTTCCCTTCATCTCTGGCAGCTCCGAAGACCATTCTACCCTGCAAAAATCGACACCGAGCAAGGGCACTAGCTCTTCCATACCTGGTAAGTGGCCATTTCGCCCCTGTTTCTATGCCCTAATGTCCCACGTCCACCCATGACTTCATGGTAGCCTAAGCCCGTCCACTCTCCGACTGATCGTCATTCCAGGATCTGATGGAATATATCCTCCAAGCCCCTGACATCTTCAACAGCCTCTGCATCTAGACACCAATTTACACGCGCGTGCCTCGATAGGCTTGGAAACAGTGGCTCCAAAACTCTTTCCTCGCAGTCGTTGGCGTCCTCCCCCGCCTACTTCCTCTAGGCTCCAACCTCTATCGCGAACCCCTCCTTCTCTCCTTCGATTTCCAGTCCCAGACCGACCACGCCCGGGAAAATTCTTTCGCCTACTTCGCGTGCTCTTTGGCCCGCTCACAAGCCGCCGTGCGCAGTCCCGCCTGTCCGACTTTCGCTACGAGACCATCCCCGCGCTGCGCCATCGAGCTCAATCTCGAATATACCGTGCGATAGTCAAGCGCCAAGCGCGGCTTGCGCAGCGACGGAAGACCGGTCGACGAGGGCTGCTGGAGCTCCTCCTTGGCCGTCGCCGACGATTGAGGGGGCATATCAGCACGAACCACAACCACAACAATACCGCGAAAGGGAAGTCAGCACCGCCCGGTCAGCAGAACAACGGAGTCGCGCAGGTTGGCGGTGGTAGGAAGGCCGCACGGACTGTGGCATCGGGTGTATCCTTCATGTCCGCATCATCGACATGGGGCTCTGGGAGTGGTTCCGGCTCGGGGGGACGGCGCGAGAAGGTCTTCAAGTACCTGAAGGCGGCCAATGAGTTACGGCAGAGTTATGCAGCGCAATGGGCCGCGCAGCGCGACGGCCTCCGCGATTACCACGAAGATTACTTGAATAATACCCCCGGGGCGTTTCCAGATGTTGAAATCGCTCGTTCTGGCAACGAGGAGATGGTGATTTTCCCGAGCTACGCGCGCCGCATTGTTCATGATGGCCGGGTACGCGCACGGCCGCGGCCACGGCGGGACTCGACCTCGACCATTGATGAGTATCGTGGCGCCACAGATGAGGCGGAATCTGAGGCTGCCGGATGGAATGAATTGGATGATGAGCGGATGGTTGTCGCGGTGGATGTGCGTGGCTGGGTTTATTCGCCTCATCGCGGGCCGATGACGCGAAAACACCGCTTGATGATTGCGCTTGCGCGGAAGCTGAGCGGTGTTCCTGCTCCGATAAACTCGACCAATGATCCAGAGGAGGCACCGGTGGAGCGGATGTCGGGGAAACGAGAAGACGAGATCGTGGATCAGGAGGTGCAGTCCATTATCAAACAAGGACGTATGGATCCGGCATGGAAAGCTGGTGCGGCGGAGGATGCTGACGACAGCCCGGCTGCTGGACGGTCGCCGCAGAAGAACACGACAGAGTCGGCTCAAATGAGCAAGGATGAACTTTCTGTGGCAAACGCCCATTTGATGGAGAGATTGCGCCCGTTTCTGACCAACCCCGTTGCTGGCGTACCCGTCTCGGTTTTCTTTTTCAATGACGGCCAGAGTCAGTCGAGGAGTATTGTCACCGATGAGTCGGGACATTTTTCTTTACGGGCTGCGCTGCCTTTTGTACCGACACATATCCGGGCGCTGGCATCGGAGGATCTCTCAGCGGTGAAAGCAGTCGAGGTCATTGAACCCTCCGGTGTCAGCTTGATCAGTGACATTGATGATACAGTAAAGCATTCTGCTATCGCCAGCGGGGCCAAGGAGATGTTCAGGAATACGTTCGTTCGTGAACTGTCGGAGCTTACAGTTGACGGCGTCGCAGACTGGTATAACAGGCTCGCGAAAATGGGTGTCGACATCCACTACGTCTCCAATGCACCCTGGCAGCTGTACCCATTGCTGGAGCGGTATTTCAAGCTAGTGGGGCTTCCCCCAGGGTCAGTCCATCTGAAAAGTTACAGTGGCATGCTCCAGGGCATCTTCGAGCCTACCTCGGAGAGAAAACGAGGTTCGCTGGAGCAGATTCTACGTGATTTCCCGGAGCGCAAGTTCATACTCGTGGGCGACAGCGGCGAGGCGGATCTCGAGGTTTACACCGACATCGTCTTGACGAACCCCGGAAGGATCCTAGGTGTCTTCATACGCGACATCACTACTACGGACCGCAAACAGTTCTTTGCAAAGTCTATCGACCATCTGGAAACAAACCCCCGCACCCGCAGTAGCCCGCAGCTTATCGATCATTCTGATGCAGTCTCTAATCGGCCGGCATTGCCACCTCGTCAACCGCGTCCAGCCGTCGATCCATCGTTGGACACGAAAGGCTCAGAAATAGAAGACCTGATTGATCTCCGAGATGAAGAGGACAGGAAAGAGGCACCTACCCGGCCTGTGAAACCTGTCAACATGCGCGCAGCGCCTACAAAGCCATCCAAACCATCCTCGTTGCGTGCAGCATCCAGCACCTCCGATCCAGCAGAGACACCTTCTGAACCTCCCAAGCGCAAACCTGTCCCACCTGTGCCTCCTCGTCGGCTTGCCAACGCTAAAGCAAGCCCCTTGTTGGATTCCGATTCAGCAGCAGATAGCGTGGGCGGCTCACGTTCGTCCATGACCAACTCTTTGCCTACGAGATCAAAGACAACCCCAGAAACCACAACGGGCTCTCAAGAGCGTTCAAAACAAGCACCCCCACCACCTCCACCACGCCGCACCAACACTTCCAGCTCGATAACCACACAATCTACCACTCCGTCCTCGACAAGCCATACGCCTCCACCGCCTCACAAACAACAATCATACCCCGCGTCAGCAGCTGCAGCTGCATTGAACTACGCCTCAGAACGGATCCCTTGGTCTGCCTCGCCTACGAATCTCCTTCGATCTACTGCATCGAATCCTTCCCTAAACAGGGCCGGTTCGACCGGTCTCGACGGCGACTCTCAAGCTTCGGGGTTGCCCAATAAACGGGAAGAGCTTTGGAGAAGACGCTGGGAACGCGCCCATGATATCCTCGCTGACCAGGGAGTTTTACTGGGTAGTTGGCGTGTCGGGAAGGACGTGCAAGATGTTAGTGTATGGCTTGTACAAGAAGCTCTCAAGGGTGATCAGAAGAGCTCCTCGGGGCGTTCACATGGAGGCGGGAATTCGTTCACTCCATAGGACTGGACATTGGTGTACCATCGCATGTATATACGACATGAGCTTTCATTCCAGATGCATACATAGTTACATAGTTGCTCTCGCCCTCCAGAATTTGCAACTCATGAGTGATTCGATTTCAGTCGACCATGAACAGCGGTTTACTGTGTAAGGACACACATTATCTTGATACCCATTCCGACTCGCCACAACACCGAAGTAAGTAAGGATCGGATGAACTGGCAATGCCGAAGCTGATGAGATCAGTAAGTAGAAGGGGAGAAAAGATAGGTGACGGATGAAGGAGGAAAAAAAAAAAAGATAGATAAGAATAAGTGCTCACACTCGGACTTGAACCGAGGACCTCGTGATTACTAGTCACGCGCTCTACCAACTGAGCTATGCGAGCTAAGCATGTCGGGACCAAATCCCAAAAAAATATAACAGGCAAAGCTAACTGTCGATATCAAAATCAAACTAAACTCCAAGATAATAACGGATAGCATACGAACTGATCACCTCTTTCTTCCTTGCAATCGATCTAGATCTCTTAGAAATAATCCGACGCGCGATAGTACGCTCCTGAAGTCCAGACATGACTCGCTTCCGCTTGGGCCGCAAGTGATATAAAGCAAGATTGTTTTGTAGTAGTTGAGATTTGTCTTAAAAGGGTGATGGTTCTCGGAGTGCTAGAGGAACTATGGGGGGATAGCCTTTGGCAATCTAGTACGGCTTATTGAACCTGGAAGGGATTAAAACACAATGAGATCTATTCGCTCTATCGAATGAACAAAATCAAATATATACAACAATCAATCAATATACATGAAAGTCAACATGCTCGCGATATATATAACCAGCCACCCTCTAATGCAAGGACGAGACAACAGTCTCAATCTCGTATCCAATTTCAGAAACAAGTCGAAGCACCTCATCCTCAGTAAGAACACCGCCCTCAACACGAACGCCAAACCCAATGCTATCAGTTTTGGGATCAGGCCCAACATCGATGAAGATGTTCTGATCAGGCAGGAAAGAAGTATCCAAGGCGGAGACGGCTGTGTCCTGACTATCCAAAGGTTCTGCGGGTATGAAGTCTGTGGGCACACCGATGCGAAGTGGGAGGAACAGATCTGTATGATCGATCGCTTCCGAGTCCGGAGACGCATCAGCGGCTGATGGCATCGCGTTCTGCATCCAGAGAAGATTGACCCAGGTGTTGAAAAGTGGAGCGCCATTTCCGTTTCCAGTCCAGCCGAGGACGTCACGGAGTGAGCTCTGCTCGAAAAAGATCCGCTCGGCAAGAGCAGATTGGACAGCTTGTGCTTTGTCAAGAAGGGAGCCGGCCGACACAGCATCAGGGACAGCAAAAGGATTGACGTTGAGGCAGGGTCCTGACAGCTTTTCGATATCGGTGAATGAAGCAGACCGGCCGGTCTGGTATAGGCCCATCACCGGGTTCTTTGCTCCCGTGTTCCGCGAGAGACAGCGAGATATGGCGAGAAGGACGACCGTTTGGAGACTAAGCCCGACGGAACGGCATGCAGTCTCCAGTTTGCTGAGGTTCTTGACCTGTTCCCATGCGCTAACGAACAACTGATCAGAGGCTTGACCAGCGTCAGATTTGTTACCCTTGACCAGCGTAGGTGTGCCTGACCCCACCGCAGAGGTCCAGAAGGTCTTCTCATCGAGCCCACGAAGAGATCGCACCGAGAAGTCGACAAACGCCGGGAAATCGGGATTGGTGTCCAATGGTTCGCCGCGGTAGAGATTTGCGAGCTCAGAAACAAACATCGGCATTGTCCACGCATCATAGGCAGCATGGTTAACAAGGACGAGGATACCATCTCTATCGCCAGCCTTCATGAGGCGAAGTCTGACGGGAGGGACAAACAGAGAGGATGGGCGCAGTGCCTCTTCCCTCGCTTGCGCTTTAGCTACCTCAGCGATGGGATCAGACGACTCGATGACCTTGAACACGTCTCCGTCACGCATAGCCTCCTTCACCACAACTTGCACAGCTTCGGACGGTGAAAGAGCCACAAAGCAGGTTCGCAAAACTGGATGTCTCTGGCGGAGCTGAGACCAAGCTTGTTCAAGCTTCACACTGTCGATGCGTTCCGAGCTGAAGTATGGCCATGCAGGCTCAAATAACTTTCGCCCAGACTTCAACCAGCTGGCGAGGTGGAAGAACTGACCGCCTAGGCAGGGCAGAATCGTCTCGACGGATTCTTTGCCTAGCTGTAGTCGCTCCAAAACAGCCCGTTCCACACTATCGTAGTCAGCAATCAGCGAGCCATGTGCCTTGGGTGCTTGCTCCGAAGTTGGGCGGACACGCTGGCTGATACCACGTAAAGTGCCACCCTGTAGAATATCGGCAACGCTTGTCTTGAGGCCCTTCTTCCGACAGATGGATGCAATTCGGATAGCCGACAGCGAGTCCAAGCCAATACTGAAGATGCTCGTGGTTGGCTTTATGTTTTCCTTCGACAGGCCACTGATATCAGAAAGAACAGCTTGAATGACGGCCTCATGCGGAGGGCCATCGACGTCCTCATCGCTGTTTACTTCTGATCCTGTCACAGACAGCCGGAGTGGCAGTTCTCCTAGACGCTCAGGCATGACTGTTGCGCATCTCGCTGGGTGCTCGATGATGTCTCGCAGCACTGCTCCAAACTCATCCACAAACCCATCCAGCATATTTTGTGTCATATACTGCCCATTGCATGATGCGGTGACGTGAATTCCATCATGCGCATGGTCAACTTCAACATTCAGCTTGTGCTCCGTCAGAGCCGCAGAATCATCTGACTCATAAGGCCGCCAGATGTTCTGCTGTTCTAGTACACTGCCCTCAAGGTCCGCACTCTTCATGAAGACAAATAGTGTGTCGAAGAGAGATGCAGACTTCAGTCCATTCGCTTGTCTGAGAGCATTCTGGACAACCCTGAGTGGTGCGTGCTGGTGACCTTGAGCATCAGTGGTCAGTTGCTGCAGACGCTGGGCCATCGATTTATTGCTCAAGAACTTTGGCTCGAAAGTGACTCTTTGGGCCACAGTGTTGAACAGAGGTCCAATAGTACGTTCAGCCTCTGGCGTAGACAACGAACGCCCTGCCAGAACTTGTCCAAACACCACATCACGCTTTCCAACCAAATGTGCTAGAACTTTAGAATACGCCAGAAGCGAGATATTCTGCACTGTTACTTCCATCTCCTTGCAAGACTGAATGGCAGCCGGCAAGTCAATATCAAGTCGACGCTTGCGGAGCAGCATTCCGCTCGACGATTCTGAAGCGGGAAGCCGGGGTATCTCAGTAACCTCATAGTTGCTTAGTTTGCTGACCCAAAAATTGCAAGATTCCTCTTGTGAACCCAATATGAGACCGACGGTCTTCGAGAATTGTGGTCTGTCAGGGATGTTGTTGCCATTGTAGATCGTGGCCAGGTCTTCAAAGAAGAATGGCAGAGAGGCACCGTCATACAGAGCATGGTGCATGACGATAACAAGGACCTTGCCCTCAGGTTGGTGGACAAGGACGGAACGAATCGGCGGAGCCTCAAAAGAAGCTTCATCAGAGAACGAATAGAGAGCGGCGACTTGCGAGGGGACATCGGCCCCAGAGGGCAGCTCCACCTCATCCCATTCAAAAGGAGGGCGTTCATGCACAGCACCAACCCAAGACGGGCCCAATTCCCCTATCAGGTGGAACGAGGTACGCAAAATGTCATTTGCCTGGATGACTTCCAAAAGAGCATCTTTTAGTCGGGGAATGTCCGCATTGTCCGTGAGCCTAATCGCATGCGGGTGAACGTAGACCTGCCCATCGGAACTGATTGTCTGCGTGATCATGCCGGACTGCAGTGGAGTGCATTCAAAGACAGTGGAAATGGAATCGTCATCGTTAAGAGCCCGAATGTGCTTTTGATACTCCGCGACTGGGATGCTGGTCGGCTGGGACTCTTCCACCCCATTGGTTTGCGGCGCCTCTGATGAACGGCGTTCGATATGTTGGGCCAAGGCACCAATGCAGGAGAAGCGCATCACGTCCGATGAAGTAACCTGCATTCCTGCCTCCCGGAGCTTGCGCGCGAACTGAATCGCGGTTACTGAGTCAATACCAAGGCTCAGGAAAGACGCGCCCTTGGAAACATCCGACGTAGCCAATCCGCAGAATGACGCGGTAATGTCTCTGAGCTCGGTTTCCACACTGGACCACGTAGTCTCATCCCATTTGAGGGTAGTCGAGCGAGTACCCGGAGCCTGGGATGTGGAAAGATTGAAGTTGTCCAACGAGAGACTTTCTCCAGCCACAACACTAGACAACACTGCATCCATCTTCTCGAGAAGCTCCTCTCCATTATGAGACGAGGTAAAGGCCGACGAGAACAGCCCGTTAAGGCTTACCGTATCCAACTCATGGTTTGCTTCCACTTCCACTGCCACAGGATACTCAGCGGGCATGTGGCTGTCGAATTCACGCCACAAGCTATGCGCTGCTGGTGACGTAGCACGGATATACGAGAACAGGCAGTCAAACAGAGGGGACTCTGACTTGATCCAACGCTGGATGTGTCTCAAAGATGTGTGTTGGAAGTCGAGAGATTTAGCGGTCGACTTCTGCACTGACTGAACGACTTCAGAAACCGTGCTGAGGTTGTTGGTATTCAGGCGGCCAGGGATCGTAGTAATGCATGGAAGAAGGACTGTGTCCGCGCCAGGGACGGAGATAGCACGACCAGAGAGCACGAGACCATAGGTGACGTCGGATACACCAACAGTATCAGCCAAAAGGAGCGCAAAAAGCGCCTGTATCAGAGATGAGACGGTGGCTTGGAGATTTGCTGCGCACTGTTCCAGCTCCGATAATTTGTTACTCGCGCGTCTCTGTACGGATTTAGGCTGCTCCAAAGAGCCAAACTCTGTGCGAAACAGCGTAGGAGAATAACCCGCCAGATATTGAACCCAGTACTCCTTAGCTTTATCTGAGCCCAGGCCATAGACATGCTCAATGAAATCTGAGGGTGAGCCGCGGGTCGGAACAGGCTTGCCTTCGTAACGAGAGGCGACATCCTGCATTAGCATCGTGAAAGACTCTCCATCATAAAGGGCATGGTGAATCGCAATGAACAGAGCGAGCGGCTGCCCTCCATTAGAGGATCTTGCGAAATGGAACCGCACTGGAGGAACGCTGCAAATGTTCGAGATGATCTCACGCGAGACATTCCCTTCCTGTGATTTGCGGCGGGATAGCGCTTCCTCCAAGTTCTCGTACTCCTCATCAGTCCACTGAATCTGAGAAGAACCAGCCGAGAAAACGACTTGCACCATCTCATTATCCAATGGAGCGAAAGCGCTCCGCATGATTTCATTGTCATATACAACCTTCTCCCATGCTGCCTTCAAGTTACCCGCATCAACATGGCCTGCGAGCTGTAGAACGACATGATTGACGTACAACTGATCGCCTTCGCTATTGATAGAACGGGCGACCAGACCCTCTTGAAGCGGTAGGCAAGGCCGAACCGAGGAGACAGTAGACAAGTCGACGTCAGCCGGGCAGCTTCGACGGTATTGGGCGTCCAGATCGGCTAGTCTCTGGTGCAGCTTCGAGGCAGCGGGATCCCCATTTGATACAGGCGGCGACATCCTGGGTAGCCGTGCCAATTGTTCAATGACCGGGTTGCTCATAACAAGAGCCACTGTAGCCGCGTACCCGATCTTTCTCAGTCTGATGGAGAGACCGATAGCACTGAGACTGTCCAGACCGACTTCGAAGATGTTTGTCAATGCACCAAGGATGGAGGCGTCAACGGGAATCACACTACAGATCTCCTTCACGACTGCTTCCTCATCTGCTGTCAAAGGTCGACTGGAGGCAGCCCCGCCTTCAGCCGTCCACTTGTTTCCTTGGAGGATTAGGTCCAGCGGAAGCGACGCGAATAGGGCGTGAAGCTCCTTGACATTGATCTTGGCCGACATTTGTGCGAGCGGAATATGCGTGACAGGGAGGATGAGCTCAGGAACCATGTAACCAGGAAGCTTCTTCTGGCAAATCTCTTGAAGTTCCTTACCAAGAGTGGCCAGATCTGACTGCACAAGAGAAACTTCCTTCTGATCGCGCTGACGAGCACCGGCGCGTGCGAAAAAGGAGATCAGTTGCACTCTCGCGAGGCCGGGATGCTGAGCAACGCTGGTAACGACGTCGATGGGAATTGGCGAGGAGGAACGAAGCACTTCAGAGACCTCTCCAAGCTCAAGTCTCTGGCCACGAATCTTGGTCTGGTCATCTCCACGACCGAGATACTCCACCGAATTGTCGGGCATCAAGCGACCGATATCACCAGTGCGATACATCTTTTCTCCACGGGGACCGTCGCAGAATCCAGTTGCATCTGGTCTGTTGAGATAACCCTTGGCAACAATATCGCCACTGAAGCACAGTTCACCAGTTTGACCTCTCAGAGCATAATGCTGAGTACCCGGGATAAAGACATGGCCAACACACGAGGTCAACGGGGCTCCAATATTGCGCATGTTTGTGTACTTCCCAACGCGAGCGAATGTGCAACCAATAGTGACTTCGGTTGGTCCGTAAGCGTTTACAAGTGCAACACGTGACGTAGACCATGTATCCAGTGTCTTTTGAGTTATCTTCTCACCACCAACGGTCATGAACACCAGACTGGGACAGTCGTGGGGCGTCAGATTGGCCTGGTCGACGATAGAAGGCACGAAACTTGCGTGCGTGATGCCCCACTTTGACATGGTGGAATGAAGGTCATCCAAGATCATTTCCCTAGGTGCAGTTGCCGTTGTCATTCCGTGGCGCCAAGGGAAGAGCATCTCCAAGAGGTGAGGATCAAATGCTCTGCTGGCTTGAGCTAGGTATCTGCCCTTGCCCCCGAGCTCGAAAGTGATAGGGGCTGCCGTGGTGGCAAATTCACTGAAGGACTCGATGAAAGACGAAAGATTACCGCGGGTGACCATCACGCCCTTCGGTTTGCCGGTAGACCCAGACGTGAAAAGGAGGTAGGCGAGGTCGTCGGGGCCGGACTGGTAGTCTCTATCCTCGACAGGCATTGATTCGACCGACTTCTGGAACTGCGGGTCGTCGATGCAAATGACGCTGCAGTTGTCAGAAACACGAGAGAAAGAGTCTGAGAGAGTTGTCTCAGTGAACACGATTGGACAGTCTGCATCCTCGGCCAAGAACAGCTTGCGATCAACCGGAAGATCCTCCACAATTGGCAGGTATGCGTTTCCGGATTTGAAGATGCCAGCGATTATCGGGTATGAAGGTAGATTCCGTCCAGTGCAAACAGCAATCATCCTGTTTTTGTGGCCCAGGGACGCGAGGTAAGCCGCTACGCGGTTTGCTTCAGCGTTCAGCTTACTGTAGCTCATAGTCTCCTTCACAATACCATCAGGGCTGATACTGCTTGCTACTTCCACTGCAGTCCAGTCCGGATGTTCTCTGGCATTCCGCTCCAACCAATATGTAGGCGCAGAATGTACCGAGTTAGCAACCTCTTCGCTAACGGGTCTGTTCGAAACGGAGAGAAGATCATGCGAGAGGTGATCGACAACCTCCATCAATGGCTTATCAGGATAGGCTAGCATGGCGCTGACGAGACCGTCCACTTGACGGACAAAAACTGCCAATTGTTCTTGGTTCATGACACGACTATCCGCGCATGCTTCCAGCAGGAAGGATCCATCTGGTCGCTGGAAGACATTGAAAGCCATCTGATGCTCAACATGCAAACCAACCTCGTCCTCAGTCTCACTCCAGATAGTTGGGGATGTCTCAGATACGTCGCTTTCCGCATGGAAGTTGAAAACTGCCGGATATAGTGCTTCACCTCGTGGTCGTCTGAGCATCTTTCGAACATCACGGGCAGGAACGTGGCGATACTTCCATGATTGAACCGAAAGTCGGTGTTGCTCCTCAAGAAGCTCTCGTGCACTGCCTTTAGGGCAGAAAGGGATGGGAACAACCGAGATCAGAGGGCCAACTCCATCTTCCAAGTCTGCATGCAAAACACGGTCAGACAGAGTCTCCGCAAACACCGTAGCCGGAATTCCAAGATAGCTAACGGAAACGTATCCCCAAGCAGCCCGAATGATTGACGCAACGGACGAAACCCCTAGCTCCGCAGCCGCTGACTGGAGTTTCGTCGCCGGTTCGGTCAACGGGACTTCTGCGATGAGTAGCTTGCGTTCTGGGACAGCAGCCGGCTGCGCCCTAACACCTGTGAGATCCGGCCATACCGGAACATCAAGCTCCGCAAACTTCTCGAGTTCCGACTTCCAGAAATTGTGCGTCGCGTTGGCCTTTTGCTCATTGGGTAAGACGATTGACAAGGCATTAGTGAGCTGGAGTCTCGATGGTGGCTTGTAGGCATAGGCGGCTTGCACATCGTCCATGATAAGACGAAGTGAGGGCTCATCATGGAGGGAGTGATGTATCGTGAGGATCATGACCCTCTCACCATCCTTGTCAAAGACTGTAACTGCCCAAGGAGGATTCCTGAAGTACTGCGTCTGGTGTTTCATCATGACGTCCTTGATTCGAGCATCACGCAACTCGACGTAATCCTCTGTAGAGCAATTCACATATTCCCAATCCACCGAAGGAACCTTGTAGATAAGTTGTAGGAGAGAAAAATCAAGTGTGCCGCTGTTGTTGCCTTTGCTGACCTCGGCCACAGGCATGAACCCTGTCCTCAACGCCTCTGTTTTCTGAGCGACGGCGAGCCAAGCTTGCTTCAGTCTTATGACGTCCACAGCCTGTTCAAGGGAGAAGAAATGGTTGCTCCAGTACATATCGTATGTACCCATGGTCTCACTTAGAAGACTTTCTTGGATAGTCGTGGCCCTGACAGTGAAGAATTCCTCCTGCACCTTGTCAGATATAGCTGGATGCCATTTGTCGTTGAAGCCGTTGACATCGAACACATCGGACTGGGGCTTCTCCGTTTTCTTTGAGATAAGCTTCATAAGATCTTGAACGGTGACGCAGTTCAGGAGATCAAGAACGGAAAACTGGTACCCTGCTTTTCTCATCTTGGACGCAAGCCGGACTGCGCGAATGGAGTCGATACCCAAGCTATGCATCCTACTGGTCCTCGAGATACCCGCGGAAGAAATGCCTGCCAGGGACGAAATCATGTCGATCACTTGTGCTATGGTAGCAGCATATTCTGGGTCATCGGGTGATTGAGCAGCAGCAGCAGTCTCCGGATTCAGCCGCTTTTCCCAATCGTCAATGTCAACCGTGGCATAAGCAGCCTGGAGTGCGCGACGGTCTGTCTTAGCAGATGCTGTCTTCGGAATGCTTCGGATCACCAGATAAACGGAAGGAATCATGTTGTCTGGTAGGGTAGACTGTGCTTTTTCATTAGCAGCTTGGGCAATCTCCAGGGCAGTATCGTCGAGTAACACAAGCTCTCCACCTTGCTCCGGGCGAATTGCGCCTGGGGCAGAAAGAAAAGCGACGACGACCTGGTTGGGCCTGTCAGGACGAGTGAGAACGAGAGTCTCAATGTTCTCGACCAGGGGATGGCAGCCACCCAAGGAGTAGCTGATCTCGCTTAGCTCAATGCGAATACCCGCAAGCTTGACCTGGTCATCGACACGATTGATATACTCGAGAGAGCCATCGCTGAGCATGCGGACCAAGTCACCGGTATAATACAGGGTCTGGCCTGCTTCCTCATTGTAGATATACTTGGCCTTAGTGACATCTTCCTGCCTCAGGTATCCAGGAGAGAGTTGTGGACCACCAAGCGCCAATTCACCAACAGCATTCTTCATGATCGTGCGTCGGTTTTTCATCACATAGACGGAAACGGTATCCATCGGCCAGCCGATGTTCGCGCTCTTGATATTTTTGTGCTCATTTCCAAACTCCCGGATCGTAGAAACAATGGTTGCTTCGGCAGGCCCATAAGTGTTGAAAGCTCGCATGTCAGTGCCCCAGTCTTCGGCAACAGACGGTGTCAACTTCTCCCCGATCATCGTGATGACCTGCAACGTTTCACAGCTTTTCCTTGGGATACCAGCAGCAAAGGCTGGGGTGAGATGAGCGTGTGTCGCCTTCGTTGTGTTCGCAAGTTTGGAAAACGAGCCAAGCATGATCTCTCTGGTAGCTGAAATAAGCACGCCTCCTATGCCCCAAGTATAGAACATATCCTGGATCGAGACATCGAAAGTGTACTGCGAGAACTGCAAACAACGGATAGCGCCGCCGCTCACATCGGTGGGAATATCCCGGTGGAGGGATTTCATGGCAGACACAGCCGCGGAATGAGTGATGGGAACCCCTTTGGGAGCACCAGTCGTACCACTAGTCCAGATCAAATAGGCCATATCGTCTGGGCTGTTCTTAACTCGAGGACTTTTCTGATGGACACCGTTCGCTAGCAACGGAGCATCCTTGGTGTATTGAGCGACATCGACGAGTTCGACACTAGAGGGCACAGCCTCCTCCGTCTGGGCTGGGTCATCACTGGAGACCAGAAGAACCTTGGCCCCAGTCCGCGCGATTAGATCGTGACGACGTTGTGCAGGGGATAAGGTGTCAATGGGGCACCAAGCACCGCCGGCTTTAAGAATTGCCAGAATGGCTATATACACAGCTGGGCTTTTCTCGATACAAAGTGGGACGGGAACATTTGCCAAGGGGCCACAGATCTCAGACAAATGATCCGCAAGCCTGTCAGCCATGGCGTTGACCTCGCCGTATGTCCAGGTAATGTTAGCGGGGTCCTCCAAATCATCCAAGTCATACTTGAAGATTAGCGCTGGGTCATGTGGTTTGGAGGCTGCATGGTCCTCAAACCAAGAGTGTATGAGGACTCCCTCGGATACCTCATCAACGCAACGCGACACCGGGTTGAATGAAGACTTGAGGCTCGATCCAGTGTGCGAGAGGGCGTCTAAGAAGTTTCCTTCCGGTTCATCAAGGATGTACCTGACAATATCATCCATCTCGCTTAGCATGATTCTAGCGCCCTCAGCATCGAGATGAGAGTCATTGTAAGTAGCACGGAATGTCAAAGATGAATCGGAACATGGCCACACCTCAATCATCACAGCAAAGTCATGTGCCATTGCAGGGTGGTCAACTGACCCCCAGGGGCCACTGCCAGCAGTGCCACTTGCATGGGAACCGGCGTTGAAGTCCTGGTATGCAAGAAGTGTATCGTATGGGAGCCGGCCATCTGCTGTCACAGTAGATCCTAGCGATAGCTGCAGGTGTGATAACGCCTGCGCACCAAAAGAAGTCAGGTAGCGGGCAACAGACTTGTTGGTGCAAACATCGTCAAGGCCACGGGCAATTTGATTGACGGAAAGTCGCAACGGGATGACGGAGTAGGTCGGACCAATGCAACTTTCCGAGTCGCGGTCGAGCCGTCCAGACACGACACTACCTATTGTCACATCTTGATCCTGAGTTCCTGTATAAGCTAGCAGGATAGAGCCCCAGGCTGATTGGAGGACGGCGAGAGGAGTCGAGCTTATATTTTTGGACCGCTTCTTCAAATCGGCATGGCTGATCTTGGACGTTATCTCCACATATCCCACTGTCTTCACCGCAGGTGGTCGTTGAGGGGTGAGTGAGGGGAACGCCACGGGGGAATACTGATCTAGGTGCTTCGCCCAGAAGACGGATGCAGCCTCATGATCGGCACCGAAGTGATGTTTAACAATGTGTTCAAGGGAAGTGCGCTCTGCGAGGCCATTGGAATTGTACACCGAAGCTACATCCTCGAGGAGCAGTTGTAAGGAACCACCGTCAAAAATGCCGTGGAACATGCTCAGGATAATCAGCCGCTTCTCGGGGGTTGTGATTAGAGAAAGCTTCCACGGAGGAGTTTTTAATCTGATCTGCCCCTCCGCGTCTTGGAACGCCTTGTGGAGACTCTCTTCCGAAGTGTCCTTGGCAGAACAGATGTTCCATTCTGGCCGTGACGCCGCTCCCGGCGCGAGAATACATTGAGCAAATGGCGCCAAATCATCGTCGACCAGACAGAACACCGTCCGGAAAGAATCGTATTCGGAGACGACAGTGTCCCACGCAGTAAGCATGCGTTCCACATCCACATGCGGCTGAAGAGGAATGACAGAGTGATATATGTACGTGCGACTGCTAGACGCGCTGTCGGAAGAGCTTCGCAGGAGACTTGTGATCATACCGGACTGCGTTGCGGTAGTTGGCAGCACCTTCTGAATCTGGCAGGGGTTTAGACCGAGTCTTTCCGCGCATACCGGGTGGTTCTTGGAACTAAACAATGCGAGGCGTTCACCCAATGGCTCTTGGGAGTGATTTAGCTCCGGACTCCCATTCACCTGGGCCGTACCATTCTCTTGATGCCGGCGGGCAATGATCGAGACTAGCCCCTTGGGTGTTCCGGAGAGAAGGACATCCGCTACGCTCAAATCATAGATAGATTGATCTCGCAGTTTTTGCAGGAATCGCATAGCACCTAGACTGTCCAGTCCCAGAGTGTAGAGATCTGACCCGGCCTTGATGGTAGTCGCATCTTCGTCGGTCGACTCAGCGATGAGGCGCACGACAAGGTCCTGCAATGCCAACACGGTCTCGTCCTCGGTTTCATCCCAATCATCATGCACGCCATTGGACATTCCAGCTTTAGGCGGAAGGAAAATCTCCACCCCACGATCTCCGCCCCTTTGTAGTCTCACTGCGATGGTTTTGCGATCAACTTTGCCGGAGCTCGAACGCGGGAGCGAGTCAAAGAAAGCGTAAATGGAGGGACACATATAAGACGAAAGATGCCGCAGAGTGGACTCCTGCGCATCGCGCACAATTTTCTCACGCGCGGACCGACTTGTAGCCTTTGTTACGAGGCATGCGACGATCTGCTCACTGCCAGGAGTGTTGTCCCTTGCGGACACGACCGCCACGATTTCCGTGACGTCATCGACCGTCGCGAGGACCGACTCGATCTCGCCCAACTCCAACCGTCGACCACTGATTTTCACCTGATCGGTGGTGATCCGACCAAGAAATTCAATGACCTCCGAACCATTTTCATCCCACACAATGCGCGCCATATCCCCGGTCCGATAGAGATAGCCGAATTCGCTACTGTAGACGAACGACTTGGCGGTCTCCTCGGGGCGGTTCAGATACCCTTTGCTGACTTGCGGACCGGCGATGGCCAGCTCACCAGCAAGACCCGAAGGAACTGGCGTCGGGTTACGCTGATCGGGATCTAGAATGAGCATGGCGCACGTGGGAAGAGCGCTCCCGATGATTGAACCCCGCACAGCATAGTCGACCGGCGCAAGGAACGTGCAGTTGATCGCGCCTTCGGTGGGACCATAGGCGTTGACCAACATTCTGGAGGTAGGAGACCCATTGGGTTCTGGTTTGGCGGCGAAATTGTCAATCACGGTGCGATTCAACTTCTCACCCATGGTCCAGAGGGATTGGAGAGTGGTCAGACGGGAGGGCCGCAATAGCGCTGCCAAACTTGGCGTGGCCATCATCACTGTCGCCCGAGCCTCATTCACAGCGGATTCAATATCAGTCAAGGTCAGGCTTCGATCTGCCGAGCACAGGGTCGCCCCGTTACTCAATGTCACGAAGATCTCCATCAGAGACGGGTCGAAGGTCGGGGAAGCAAACTGGAACCAGCGGAAATCCCCTTGGTTGTCGCCGGGGAGAGGGATTGCAGTCGAATGGGATGCAATGGAACATGTGACCGCGAGATGGCTGACCTGAACGCCTTTTGGTTTCCCCGTGGAACCACTAGTAAAGAAAAGATAGGCTGTTTGGTCATCTTTGATTTCCAGGTCTTCGAGAGTGTCTTGTGAAGGTAGTTGCAACCGCGGGTGATCGCCGCGCATTTCTTTCCATCGAGAAACCTCAGTCACATCGATCCAGGTGCGTTTTATGGTGTCCGACCCCTGCATTTCCGACCTCCATGGCCCCAAAGATGGCTCTGAACCGGCACCGAGGATGATAGGCGACTGGATGTCATGGAGAATATCCTGAATGCGTTGCTCGGGGGCGTCTAGAGGTATCGGAGAGAAGGCACAGCCAGCTTTGAGGACGGCAAGATAGGAGATATAAAGTTCTGGGGAGGTTGATAGGTAAACCGGCACGATGCGGGCATTGTCGGTCTGCAGGTCACTGTCGGACCACAACGTTCGGATGTAGCTGGCGAGATTAGAAGCGGCGGCGTTGAGCGCGGCGTACGTCAAGATACTGTGCTCCGCAGGGGACTGCGCGGAGGATAAGGAATGCACGAAATCTAGTGCGATCGCATCCGGCTTTCGACGGGCCCAGCCCTCGAAAGCGGCATGCAGAAGCGCGGGCGGCGGTGCGCTCTGGACATTAAGATTTATGTCTTGTTCAGGGTTTCGCGAAGGAGGTATCATAAGCGGAGGGAAATTAAGGATCGAAAGCTCCGGAAGAGGCGTCTTCAAACTGAGCGACGGCGAAGATTGCACCAGATGCGCACTCAACGTGTTCAACAGCTGCTGCACGGCGGCATCGGGAATGAGTCTCCGGGGATAGGAAAAGCGGAGTTGTAAGGTGCCAGATGAGGTGTGTTGGACAGAAAGCGCGAATTTCTAGCCACGTTAGTACCTGATCAGTCGCCCTCACCATCGCATCTCTCCTTGGAAAAGCACTAACATCCTCTTGGGTATCTGCTTGTTGGGCCTCGCCATTCTCAGGACCGGAGCCCAATCCGAGTTCCAAGATGAACTGAACCTCGTTCTGGTCGCGTTGACCCTCGTTGAATTCGTGTACCGTGTACGTCGCCGCATCACCGGAGCCCACCGCAAAAGCACATACCGCGTACCGCGTCGCATCCGGACCCGTCGCAAATGCTGCGTGGCGAGTCACAAAGAAGGCGACATCCTCCGCGCCGATAAAACGGGAGATAAACCGAGCATAACCCTGGATAATACTATCGGCGAGATCTCGCACAGAGGAGGAGCAGGCGACTTCTACCGACGGGCTCTTCCCAACGACCGCGCCGACGGATTTGTCGACGGCGTACCGATCGATCGTGTCCAGCGCGGGAACCTTGGTCACTGGCAACATGTCGACGGGGGTGTATGCAGGTTGAGAAGGAAGACCAGGCTGCCCGGAGGCGACCGGGGGCGTATTTGAATGCATGTTGGAGGAGTGCGAGAGCTGGTTGCCCCTCATAGGTTCGGAGGTACGCCTGGGAGTTGATGGTTAAGGATGCGGGGTTTAGGTTGGTCACGCACCTGCAAATCGCATGCGCCTGGGAGATGGACGGCCGATGCAGACACACGCGATACTTATTGACCCCTGAAGAACAAAAGGAAACAGCAGAAATCTTATATTGAAGCCAGTGATTTCAGTGACCTGATGAAAAAGAGCCCTACTCGTACGGCCCGGACCACGCTGCGTCATTCGCGGACCTGAGAGGGGCCGGATCGAGGGCCTCATTGGGCGGCGGGCATGGTGTGGGGGGTTGCAGAAGACGAAGGCGCCCGCTTTGGATGCCGAAATGATTATGATGTGCGTTTCAGCCGAGTTTTTGCTAAGGTGAAGAGTGTGCGCGACAAACGCGGATCCTTTTTTTCTGCAAGTGGGGGGACCCCATCTAGGGCCTCTCCGATCATCGGCCGGGTTATCTGATTAGATCATCATCTGATTAGATTCGTTTCTGTCCGTATCGTATCCGTCGTACGTATCGTCAGATTGGAATCATCCGTATCATCAGTACCCTTGTACCATGTCTTGGTCTCGGTGTAATTGCAATCCCATTGCAATCTGCCCTCATCTGGCTTTCTCCACTGATGAGCCTTCGCGTAGCAGGTCGGCTGTAGCCGATGTCCGCCTGGAGGCAGAAACTCTCTTGACGAGCTCGGGTCTGCCGCTTCCTCGGTTAGTGTGTCCGGCTGGAGGACTGCCTAGGTACGTAATGTCTGTCCGAGAGTTTTGCGGATTAGTTCGGTCACTGTCGAGACAGTGCTTCTGTTGCAATGCACAGCCAGACGCTGAAAGGCCATTTGAGGGCTTTTCCGCGGTTCAGTGAGGAGGGAGCAATCCCCAGCAGTGCCGTGTGGAAGAACATGACAGCGTGCTGTCGGGGAGGGACGGTTTAAGTAAGACATTATTGCGACTGATTGATAACACTCCGGAGGACCTGTAATTCCACCAATCCTTGCGTGGTGAGCGATTTATCTGATCCGTATCTAATGCACTATACTCCGGAGTACCTATCTGATCCGTGGTGGAGACGCCACAATTGAGAGACAGGGATGGGCTTCCTTCCAGGTGATTAGTTTGATACCTGCGATTGAACCCGACAGGTCTCATAATCCGTGAAAATGCGAGAAGCCTTACCTAAAAAAACAACCGTATCGATGACTCCAAGCACCGTATGCACTGAGTACCTATATCCGACGTGCAGTCGTCGTTGGACTGAGATCTTGCCGATCCTGCACAAACAAGTAATCAACCCCGAATCCGAGCCGCCCTTCCGGTCAGCGTCTGCCTTTCTCGGAAAGTGTCGGATTGTCCCGTTCGGACGTCGCTTTGGCACTTCAGGGTCTTGAACGTGGTTACCGATCTGCATTGATCCTTTGTCCTCTGTGTGCGATGACCGCAAGGGGATGTGGTGCAACCTAGTCTACGCTCGAAGACATGATTCCGGTCGTTTTTGCAATTCCTTCACCCGAAGAACCTTCCAGGCTGTATGGTCAAATAACCCATGTTATTAATATATTTCTCCACCTCGGTTGAGACCACGTCCAACTAACTAAATGTGCAGCAGAGTCATGGTCCCTGCATGAAATATAGACTGCTATTCTCAGTCGTTAAGGAAATGAGACTCTTTCACAAATTGCCCAATCTGATAGCCAAAGGAGTTCAATGCTGGAGGCGCTCAGTGTCCCAGAAAGCAAAGTGATATATGCGAGGATACCCATGAATCATGCGACACGGCCTCGACCAGATCCATCCGCATCCCGAATCCTGCGAGTTCCACATAGTGGGCGATGTCTCGCTTCTGCCTGGGATGACCGCATGAAATGCAAATTTCTTATCTGATGGGATTCCGTACCAAACATAACCCGCCAAGATCTCACGCCAAGATGTGTCTACGCAGCATGGCTGAATGAAATTTCCATCGGCTCTTCTCGTTATGCTGGCGCTGCTTGGTTTCCGATGGAGATGCAGCAGCCAAGGTCTCTGGTATTCTGCTACTAAACACGCCATTTCTAGCCCCCTTGCTCTAAGCGAGGCTGTAAGACAAGGGTCCTAGAATACCAGGCGGCAGGATGTGAGAAGATGACTCTTTCAGAGACAGTGGTACGGGTCTAATGGGGACTGGATCACGAGTGGGTTTCTCTTCTGGAAAGCCCTGTTCGTATTGCTATATTCGGTATCGAGTGCCGAATGGCTAGACTAGTGGTGTCATGGCCATGGGCCTTGCCTGGGATCCAGGTCGATTAATTCCGAGAGGTCCCTAGCATAGAGGAAGGATTCTTTATTTATTCCCTAGTGTACTCCAGTGAGTCCGTAGGATTCTGGTATCTGTCCCTTCCCAGGAGTATTAGTACATTTCAAGATGGCGACTGTGCGGCGTCTGCAACAGACCTTATCTCACGTCCAACCTCCCAAGGTGACGCAGCAGCTCTCGATTTTCTATGGTCCGACTCAGCCAGAGCTGCTGGAGATCACACTTGGGGAGCTGCTGTCGCTGCAGAGTCTCCAGTATGGCGACTATGAGTGTCTCGTGTTTCCCTGGACGGGAGCCCGATGGACCTACGCCGACTTGGACGATGAGGCCAACCGAGTCGCACGGGGCATGCTGGCCTTTGGAATCAAGAAGGGCGACAGGATTGGTATCATGGCGGGCAACTGCGAGCAGTACATCTCCGTCTTCTTTGCGGCGGCGCGGGTGGGAGCTATCCTGGTTGTGCTGAACAACACGTATACTCCATCCGAGCTGTACTATGCGCTTGATCATACCGGTATGCAGATCTTGTACTCACCATCGGTTCCTATCCTGACTCACTTTCATGTGCAGACTGTCGACTACTCTTCCTGACCCCTCGCATCGGCCGGCACTCCCTGGAGGAAGTCCTCACCAAACTGGGCCCTCGCCCAAAGGAAAATGGGCTCTCCAAAGCTCTCGAGGAGATTGTCATCCTCCGCGGCACATACGCAAACTTCAGCACATACGATGAGATCATCAAAAAGGGTCTCTCTCTCCCCACAGACGCCCTGATGGACCGTGAGACCGAGCTCCACCCGGAAGACGTATGCAACCTGCAATTCACCAGCGGTTCGACCGGAAACCCCAAGGCGGCCATGTTGACGCACCAGTAAGCCACCACAGCTGGAGGTAGACACAAAGAAAAACGTTTACTCACAAGACATCATACAGCAACCTAGTCAACAACTCCCGCTTCATCGGCGACCGCATGAAGCTCACTTCATTCGACACGCTATGCTGTCCGCCCCCGCTGTTCCACTGCTTCGGCCTAGTGCTCGGGATGCTCGCAGTAGTGACGCATGGGGCGAAGATCGTCTTCCCCGGCGAGACGTTCGATCCCCAGGCGGTGCTCCACGCCGTCTCCGACGAGAAATGCACCGCCCTGCACGGCGTGCCGACCATGTTCGAAGCGATCCTGAGCCTGCCCAAGCCGGCCGGCTTTGACAGCTCCAACCTGCGCACGGGGATCATCGCCGGGGCACCCGTGCCCCGCCCGCTCATGAAGCGGCTGTTCGAGGAGCTGAACATGACCCAGTACACCAGCAGCTACGGTAGGTGGCGACCCTACAGGCTAATAAGATTGGGTTGCATCTGACGACCTACAGGCCTCACGGAGGCATCGCCCACGTGCTTCAACGCAGAGACCACCGACAGCATCGAGACCCGCCTGCGCACGGTGGGTAAGGTGATGCCGCACGCGCAGGCGAAGATCATCGATGCTCACGGACACATCGTGCCCGTCGGCGAGCGCGGAGAGCTCTGCATTGCGGGCTATCAGCTGACAAAGGGCTACTGGAACAACCCCGAGAAGACGGCCGAGACGCTCATCACCGACGCCGACGGCACCACGTGGCTGAAGACGGGCGACGAGGCACTGTTCGACGCGGACGGTCGCTGCACCATCACCGGGCGCTTCAAGGACATCATCATCCGCGGTGAGTCCCCTACAGCCCTTTTGCCTTCATAGATCTAACTGACGGTGTGTATGACAGGCGGTGAAAACATCTACCCGCTGGAAATCGAGGAGCGCCTGGCCGCGCACCCGGCCGTCGAGATCGCGTCCGTTATCGGCATTCCGGACCAGAAGTACGGCGAGGTGGTTGGGGCATTTATTGCGTTGGCGCCAGGCTACGAGAACAAACGACCGTCGGACGAGGAGCTGCGCACCTGGACGCGCGAGACCCTCGGCCGGCACAAGGCGCCCCAGTATGTCTTTGTGTTTGGACAGGAGGGCGTGGACGCGACGATTCCCATTACGGGCAGTGGGAAGGTGCGCAAGGTGGATTTGCGGAAGACGGCCGCGGCGGTTTTGGAGCAGCGGAAGGCAAATTGAAGATCATCGGTCGATGTTGTAGACTGTAGAGTTGTATATAGAGAGTGTATACCCTTGGAATGATTTACCTCTGCTTCTTTCTTCACCTCCACGCAGGCTCACGGATTCTCCATTCAAGTGTAATCCTTGTGCGGATCGTATACGGCATCACCAGTCCATTATTTGATCAAAGCCACCTCGGATACTACTCTGTAAGGTCCAGCACCATGAACCATGGCTCAAGTGAGTCAAATCCCCCATCTGAGACAGATCCGACTATCGATCAGATTAGACAATCATCTAATCAGATGGGATCCGCCAAGACAAAAATCAATCCTGCATCCACCCGACGGCCCACATTAATTTAATCTCTCGTCCGGTCTCGGAAGATTCCTTTGTTTAATACGCACGAATCTTTATCCCTCGGTACTGTACGGAGTCCCTATGTCGTACGACTCCAGGATCAGATAATCCGTACCAGAAATGTGTTACCGTCCCGTCGAAGCCGAAGGATCGTTCATCCTGGGCAATAACCCGGGCCCGCTTTGGCCAAGACACCTGGCTACGCGATTGATTCTTCCATGACATTGGTCGTGGTGAATTCACTCCCTAAGAAATACATTATCCCAATGGGGAACTCCGAAGACGAAATATACAGCATTCATTCAACACCCTCCAACAACTACAGCTTCAACGCCCGGAACGGGTCCCGCTCGAGCACATCGGACCCGTCAAACCGGAACGGGGCGATGTGGAAGAATTTCTCGCGCCGGCACTTGACCAGCGCGGAGCGCTTGTGCGGCAGATCCACGACGCTCTCGAGGTTGAACCCGGTGGCGTGGTCGTATGCCAGAGGCGTGAGGTTGGTGTACTTGGGCTCGCCGACGACGAACTTGGTGCGCGGGTCGTCGAGGAACATGTAGTGCATGATGCTGCACCACCACACCATGACGCGGTGCTGGCCGCGGAAGCGAATGTCGCCAACGAGCGAGTGGCGGCCGCGGTCCCAGTCGTCGGCGTCGTAGTACGCGCCCAGATGGTCCTCCTGGTCTTGTCAGCTGCCCTGCGCCTCATTGCGGAAACTCTTCGTTGGAACATCTGGGAGCTGCGACTCACTTTCGCCCAGTAAATCTCATGGTAGGAGAAGAAAGTATCGTTGAACTTGGCCAGCACCGTAATCTGGTGCGGGTCCTCGTGGATCTTGCGCAGGTACTCGCGATGCTGGTCGAGCGTGCCGGTCTCGTTCCAGCCCTTCGCGACGCGCGGATCGTTCTGCCACTTGTGGAAGAGCTGCAGGTGCTCCTCGTTGGTGTAGTCGAGCGCCCAGATGGAGAAGAACTCGTCCAGGTGCGGGATGTAGCGGCTGTAGATCATCGAGCCCGGCGCGGGCTTGGGCGGCCGCACTGGGTGCACGGCGTGCACGCGCACGTCGGGGAACTTGGTCGTGAGGGTGTGCTGGATCGGGTGCAGGGGGTACGCCGTCAGCGGCCGGCGCAGGCCGCGGTGGATGCTGTTGTCGGCGACCCAGACGGCGCGCGGTCCAAAGGGCGAGCCCGCGCCCTGCCAGAAGGTGCTGCGATGGATGAGCAGCTGGTCTGAGAGGTCGGGGGACGCAGGGGTCGGTTGGCCGGGTGGAGCGGAGGGGCTGGGGTGCTGGACGGCGAGGCCAACGGCTTGGAGTTCCTGGGCCAGCAGGTCCCTGCCTTCGCCGGAGAGGACGGCGCGGAAGACCTCGAATTCGCTGCGCAGCGTCACCAGTGCATACACGACAGCCCAGATCTGACCGACTGTCGGGGCATCTTTCCCACCCCACGTCCATTGCGTGACGGGGGCTCTCTGGGCACGAGCCCATGCAGAGTTGTTTCCTTCTGGCGGGACCGCGGACGAGGCGGGAGATGTCAGATCGGTGAACTTGAGGCTGTCGTGGTGCAGCTGCTCTGGCGGTGGAGATCCTTCGTCCACCCGGGGGGATCGGCGCAGCTGGAACTGTCTGACACCATGCTCGACTGAGACGACCTGCAGCTCGTAGGTCGTCTTGTAGGGCTCGGGCAGGCGAACCAGTGGGAGCATCGACTCGGTTGCGGGCATCTCTACAGACTGGAGGTATCGAGTGACGAGACTGGAGACAGAAATGAAAGGAAGTCTGGGGTGATCAGCCTAGAGAAAGCCATCTATTTCAACCTGGACGAGACCCCTGCCCTTGTCTCTAACCGAGGTGTCCTGGACGTCCATGGCTGCGACGGATCTAGGCAATCGGGGCTACGGGCCAATCTGGGAATCAAGTTCGGGGCTTGCTGACGGTGATGGGGGCTGATAATGAAAACGACCGTGAATCCATCGCTGGACTAGTGGACTATGTGGAGTGGCATGGTTTGGTAGATAGTAGGCACTACTACATAAGATACTGCAGATGTAAATTCGCAAACATAGGGCTGGATGTTGATGTACGGTAAGTTTGGTCTGTACCGAACTCGAACTTATCGTCTGTAATTCCGTAACCTGACAGATTCCCGTAAAATAGGCTAACCCACATGAGGAAACTCTTATCCATCAGTCTTTTCGCGTGGTCAGAATTTTCTTTTCTTCTGGATCGCACTAATTTAGCTGCAGGGGAGTAAATGGCGCATCCCACCAAGTCCGGTCTTTGTCCGATAGAAAGATCAAGAAAAAACATAATAGAGAGGATGGACGGTGAAGACACAGACATTGAGACGGTAGATCGTGGGATTGATGAGTAGATATCTACCTATTACTAGTGATGATCTAGCACGCAGGTACATAACTATACCCAAGTGTATGTAGGTCGCTGAGCGTTATTCTCCGAGCATCGCCCGCGACTAGCCACCAGTGGGTTCCTTGGCGATATCTTGACTGCAGGAATTAGTCCGACAAAGGGGACCGTGTTCTCGTGGTGATCATGTAAGAGCATGTGATTATTAGCTAAAGTAAATATCAAGGATAGTATACTCTAGAGGATGTCTGAAGATGCCTGCAAGATCCCCAACGGGATTTAGAGAGCGACCCCTGCAGATTGATGTACTACAGTATCTAGACTGCTCCAGCATACGCAGGGTAGCAGCCTGCCTACTGCAGGGCCCGAAGATCGACTTTCCCCCATGCTCCATATTGTGCCAGTTACTTCTCTTCACCGACAACGCGGGCCAAGCCAGAACACATTTAGGGGCAGTGATCCAACCCCACAGTTTCTACCATAGGGGTAGAGAAAGAAGCAGAAATAAGACGTGGTGGGAATGGGGTCATGCATAGGCATGATCTAGATAATTTTGTGTGCACCCCACGGTCTATACGAGCTGAGACCGACTTGCTTTTGCTGCTATTTCCATTCTCCAAACCATGGGATGAGTCTACGAAATCATCTCCGACCATCCCACTTGGTATTATGTCCGAGTTTCTATTATCAATCAGCCGGCCGTGCCTCCAAGGCTATAATTCCATCTGATAAGATCAAGCAGTGGGGCTAGACAACAGCATCCTGACATGGCCGATTCCGGCACCGCATTATCCAAGACATACGCAACCTCCACATACGGAGCACTCGGTACTCCGTATATCAGAACAAGAATACTACTCCGCCTCGGACCCAGTATTCCAAGGATACGAACGGATGAACCAAGCCGCCCAGCCGGGTCTCGCTCTTCCGATGTTTGACCAGTACATAACCAACCCTCTATATTTCTTAGAATAAAACAGACCTCTCACCGCTGCATTGGATGCCTTTGACTCGCCCATCGATGAATCCCAGTCCTTGGTCTCGAAGCTTCTGTACCCTTCGTTTCTCCTACCGTTGGGCGTGTCCCACATTTCAATCAACTGCAGTACTGGGCAAACGTCCATTTGCAAGCGCCGCATATCGGAATTTCACTAGAACACACCCCCATCCCCCATCCATCATCCGAAACCACCACACCATGCCCTCTAATGAGCGGATGCTGCCTCGGACACGCCCGTTCCGCGTCTTGATTGTGGGCGGCTCATACGGAGGGCTGAGTGCAGCGTTGACGCTACTCGACCTGTGTGGCGGTCGGGTAGCCCGCTTTGACTATACGCAAGATGCCAAACCTCCGGGGAGCACAATCCCGGTGCACATCACGATCGTAGATGAACGCGATGGGTTCTGTAAGCCGTCCTTCAAAGATTCTGATCTTACCGCCTGAAGATACTAACGAACCGTGTGTAGATCATTTGATCGGCTCTCCTAAAGCTTTGGCGTGCGAAGAGTTTGCATCTAAAACCTGGGTTACTTATCCAGAAATCCCTGCGCTAAAGTCTTCCAATGTCGACTTCATCCGCGGGAGCGTCAGCAGCATCGACCCCCAAGGGAAGATCGCTGCTGTAACTCACCGGGGAGCCAGCACACCAACGGAGGTGCCATATGACTTTTTCATTGCCAGTTCCGGTCTGCGTCGGGCGTTTCCGACTGTACCGCAGTCACTGGAAAAACGCGAATTTCTCCAAGAAGCACGCGACCATCAGAGCAAGATAGAAAACGCACGCGACGGGGTGGTTGTCGTGGGAGGAGGTAACACAAAGCCGAATCCCTTTATTATGACCGGGCTGACGAGGGTATAGGCGCCGTGGGTGTCGAGATGGCGGCTGAAATAAAAGCGCTGTATCCCTCGCAAAAGGTGACTCTCGTGCATTCTCGCGACCGACTGTTGTCTGCAGAGCCGCTACCAGACGATTTCAAGGAGCGGGTAGCCTCTGTTCTGCAGGAAGAGGGAGTTGAGGTCGTACTGGGGAAGCGAGTCATGGAGACTGTCTCGGTAGAATCGGAGAAGAGCAGTCAGACGTGGCAGATTACCCTGGCCGACAAGACGCGATTGCAAGCAGGCCATGTAATCAATGCGATTTCCAAGAGCATTCCGACCACTTCATATCTCCCGAAGGAGGTGCTGGACACAGACGGCTATGTTTTGATCCAACCGTCGTATGTCAAATTTCTCCAACTATACCTACTACATTTCACGTGTTCGACTCTGACAGTACAGCAGGTTGCAGCTCCCTGGGAAAATCCCCCATGCAGAGCACCACTTTGCGGTTGGAGACATTGCGACCTGGGCACCCATCAAACGATGCGGAGGAGCCATTCACATGGGCTATTACGCGGGACACAACGTGCATCAGCTGATGCTGTCGGAGTGCCTGCAATCGGAACCCCAATTTCTGAAGCTACAGGATCCGCCGGCAGTTATTGGGCTTGCAGTGGGACACAACGCTGTGTCGTATAGTTCTGCAGAGGGAACGCAGCATGGCAGGCATATGCTTGACATGCTCTTTGGTAATGACATGGGTTATTCGAGTATGTGGTCCGATCGATTTTATGATGCTTCGTTGCTAACTGAACGTAGTCTGTTGGAACTATATGCGACTGTCAGAGCCCTACAAGGCCTAGCAATGTACCAGGCTTGGTTATGTCGGCATTGGGATTGTGTCTTAAAGTCTACGTATGATAAGGCTAGACTAGCGGGACAATAAGATTACAATTCCATTCTTCACATCTGACATACACTGCTCATAATCAAAAGTTCTAATACACATCTCGTTGCAACTTGTCATGCGGACTCACGCCGCAAGAGCCTGCCGTCTTGACTTGGACTGGGTATCCAGATACGGGGCCTCCCCAAGACTGCAGACCCGATCGCCCGCTCGCGCCTCGACATAGTCATATGTAGCACAATGCCAAGTGGACCGGTTATCCCAGATAGCCATGTCATTCTTGTTCCACTTGAAGCGGACCTGCGCGTCGTGGTTTTGCGTCACCAGCTAAGGGATATCAGCGACTGTCTTCTGGTAAGGGACACGCACGACCTACATTGAACAGGTATTGCAGCAACATGTCCGACTCATCCTTCGTCACGCCGTTGATGCGCTTGGTGAATCCCTTGTTGACATATACGGATTTCCACCCGGTCACGGCTGATATCTTGTCAATGGACACTGCACGGCTCAGCAGACCGGAGAACTCACGATTCGTCCGAATTACAGGATGCACAGCCTTCAGATCCTCTCCATGGTTCAGTGGCGACCCTCTAACCCCCTTCCGCAGCGGGTTTCCCAGGCGCCTTGCCTCGTCGTGAAAGAAACTCGCATCATGCGTCGCCGTCAGGCCCTCCAGGAACTCTGCCATCTGCGGGGACAGGCGGTCGTAGATCTCGTACCCCGACGCCCACAGCGTATCGCCGCCGGTCTCCGGGAGCGTGTGGATCTTCAGCATGGCGTAGTCGGAGGGGACGCGCTCGAAGCTGATGTCGGTATGCCAGCCCACCGAGGCGAACCGGCTGGTATCGCTGAGCTGGTGGGTGAGGCCGCCACCTTTTTTCTGCTTCTCGCTGCTGATGACGCTGATCTGGTCACCAAGCTCGCTGCCTTCTTCGGTTAGCGGGTGGACGTGTAGTCCGGAGGATTGGGGCTGTTGGGTCGGTTAGTCCCGTGGGAGCTGTGTTTTGGCATATGGGTATACTCACGCATCCGGCGAGGGCGGTTAGTTTCTCGCCGAACTCGCGCATCTGCTGCGGTGTCACGTCTTGATTTCGGAGGAAGACCACTCCGCGTCTGGAGACTGCGGCACATTAGGTATGTTTGATATGGCCGACGTGCTGGATGGGCCGGGACGTACTGGTCACGGCGAGGTCCGTGATGACCCGTTCACAGTTCTCCGACTTGAGGATGTCGGCGACTTGTAGGCCGTGGTATTCTCGCCCGATCACCGGTGTCAGGTCGTTATGCGTGTACGAGTCTAGGGTGCCAGAATAATCCAGCGGCTGTGCAATGCGTGGACGGGCGTCTTCATGCCCGCCTCGGATGGTAGGGGTGGACGGGTCCTGAACAGCGACGGGCATGATGATATTCTCTGCGCAGAATCTAAATTATAGAAAGTACTTTATTTACGTATTCAAGGAGAATGCATTCTTCAGGTGGCGTGTGGGGAGCCAGCCTTTATATCCTTGGGACCGATAGCCCCGTGCCTGATGGTGTTCTAGATACATTCCTACGTTCTCCACCACGCCACGTCAATTTGATTCCGCTGTCCCTGATAATGGTGATCCAAACAGACACTGGAGTCAGCATCATTTCTGGCATCGTGTTCGTCATGCTACCTAGCCTGACTCGTGTTCTTCCTCGATGACCCCCGCATGACTATCATCCACGTCTATTATTTCCACGACGCCGGCACTTCCATCGGCGGGGCTGTCGGCGAAATTCTCGGAGGATGGCAGCAGCCCCGTCCATAGGTCACCGTACTAAGCCGGCGGGGACGAATCAAACGGCACCTCAGCGGCCTAGGAGTGATGGTCTCCGGGGTTAATTCTTTGCCGAGGGAATGCAGTTGCTAGCCGCATAACGTGGAGAATCTGGGGAAACGAGCAGTTGGTGTTACTTGCGTGTTGGTTTGTTGATGTGGGATGTACAGGCAGACAGAAGAATGCCCTCTTCAAGTAAATCATTACAACGAAATACCTCCGTTTGAACTAGTTTCAATGCTAAAATGAGTTTCTAGAACCATGCAGGCCATTGGCTGAAATGGTTCGTGGAATAGTTGGTTTCGGTCTAGTTGCGCCTTCAGGCGATGATGTGCTCGTAGCTCCGCGTTGTGCAATCCGCCTCCATCATCGGCTGCTACTGTCGACAATTCGACGGCTGTGGTTGGCTATATGCACAAGTGCAAGACAAGCCATGGTCATGACCATGCGTATATAAGTATTTGGACGGCCACTGCGTCGATTCAGATGTTCGTCTGTCCCACGTTCCAGGGCATTAGTATCCAGCGTCTGTAAATTGTCAGTCCCGATGGCTGATATCGAACGGGGCATCAAGGGGCCTGCGAGAGTCGACGAAGAAGACATCCAGTCTTCGAAATCACCAAATATCGGACAGGAGAACCTCGCTGGCGTCACTACTCCCCATGAGACCTACGAAGGGTACCATCGGTTTGACCCGACCGCCTCATGGACGCCAAAGGAGGAGCGCGCGGTGGTTAGGAAGACGGATATGCTGCTGTTGACCTGTATCTGTCTGATGGTACGTACTGATCCAATGTACATGAACAGCACTGATTGAGTAGTTTTTTGGGCTTCAACTCGACCGGGGGAACTTATCAAATGCATTGACCGACAATTTCCTCGACGATCTAGGCCTGACGACAAACGACTACAACAATGTACGTCTCCATGGTGTTAACAGTCTATACGACACTGACCGATTCCTAGGGCACCACCATCCAACTAGTCTGCTTCCTCGCAACCGAATTCCCAGTGCAGCTCCTCATCAAGCGCTTCGGCTTCAGACGCGTCCTGCCGCTGATGATGCTGGCCTGGAGCTTGGTCTCTTGGACGCAGGCATGGATGACCACCCGGGCAGCATTCTACATTACGCGCGCGCTCATCGGCGCCTTCGAGGGCGGCTTCATCCCCGGAGCTATCTTGTTCGCAACATACTTCTACAAGACCAACGAGCTGTCCGTCCGACTGGCGTTCTTCTGGTCCACCCTGAACGTGAGTGCGGCACGCATGCAGCGCTGCAAGTGCTAACGTGTAGTCCTAGATCGCCCGTGTCATATCGTCTCTCCTCGCCGCAGGCATTCTCGAGATGCGAGGCGTACTGGGCAAGCCCGGCTGGTTCTGGCTGTTTCTGATCGACGGGCTCATCACGTTTGTCATTGGACTGATCGTAGGTGCCGTCCCCTCTGCAGAGGGCCGTTTCTAACCTATCCACAGAGCTTCTTCTACCTGCCCAGCTCGCCCACGCAAACAAAAAGCGTGCTCTGCCCCAGGCCCTGGTACACCGAACGCCAGGAAGTCATCATGATCAACGCAAGCACCCCCATCCCAAGCCCACTCCACCCACTAACCATCCACCCCAGCGCCTGCTCCGCGACGACCCCTCCAAAGGCCTGACACACATCAAAGAAAGCGCCACCCTGCAGGACGTCCTAGACGCCTGGAGCGACAAGTCCATGTGGGGCTTGTACTTCATCGGCCTGGTGGCCTACATCCCGCAGAACCCCGTGCAGGCCTACCTCTCGCTGACCCTCAAACGGCTGGGCTTCTCGACCTTCGACGCCAACATGCTCTCCATCCCGTCCGCGGTGCTGCAGATCGTCCTCATGCTGGCCCTCACCAAGAGCAGCGAGGTCTTCGGCGAGCGCACCTTCCACTGCGTCTTCGGCGAGTTCTGGACCCTCCCGCTGCTGGCCGCGCTGCTCGGCCTGCCCGACTACGGGTACAACTGGCCGCGGTTTGCGATCGGGACGCTCATCTCTGGGTACCCGTATTTCCATCCGATTGTGTCGGCGTGGATCTCAGAGAATACGTTCGATGTGAAGAAGCGGGCCATTACCGCCGCGACGTATAATGTTGTTGTGCAGATTGGGGCTGTGATTGCGTCGCGTGAGTTGTATATCTTGGACTGTGTATATGGGAGATGCTGATCTGGACGCAGAGATCTACAGGAAGTACGATGCGCCGTACTATTACACAGGGAATAAGGTGCTCATATCGATCTGTGCGCTTGCGCTGGTGACCTTCCTCGTGCAGCGCGAGGCGCTGCGGTATATGAATCGGCAGAAGGAGAAAAAATGGGGGGCTATGTCGCCCGAGGAGCGACTGGTGTACCAGGCGGATCAGACCGCGCGAGAAAAGGAGGGAAACAAGCGGCTGGATTTCCGCTTCAAGTACTAGTTTCTGTCTGGTGTTGTGTGTAGGATAAGCTGGTGCATAGTGTATTTGATTGTGGATCAATATGGAAAGCTCTCTACCGGAACGTTCTGACCCATAAAGCCGTCGTCTGCAAAGAGATTGTCCGGGTAGTCGTTTGGGACCTGTGATATGAATTCGTCGAGCAATGTGTCCACTGGGTTAGACTGCAGACATGGTGAGAGCCTCGGAAACCCTGATGGATTGGTTGTATGCTCGACTTCCCACGAGGACTGCACGTATGCGTTAAACACAGGATCAAATGTCTGTGCAGAGAGTCCGGCATCCAAGGGCTGAAAAATCTGCCCCAGTGAATCGGATGTTGTATCGACAGAGATCAGGTCGTTGCTTGCCCTACAGTCTGGACCTACCGACGGCGCAAGATGTGACCCTAAGCATTCATCGGCAGCACCATGACTTGTAGTTGATTGCCGTCGGGACGATAGAGTATCCTCATAACTCCTATCATCTACCGACTCAGCCAAAGCTTTCCGTCTCGATCCCCGCGTCTTCACATGTGTATACAGCGTAGGTCCACAGCGTGATTGCGCCTCTGCCATCTTCCGATACAAAATCTCGACCAGTTCTTTATTCCCACCCCCGCGAAAAGTCGACAGTATAGAATGCAGCCTTGCCAAAATGCTACTCGGCCGACTGTCGCCGTCCCATGCCGGCGCGCTCGGGAGCATGGCCAGGTTCATGACGGCGTCCGCGAGGGAGTTGGCAATCTCGTACAATTTTAGTTCCTGCACCCGTCAGCACAGTCCACACACATACACAGCACTTACCGCACCATTCCAAGGCCATGCGCCTCGATCGCCGTGCGCGGCAGCTGCGACACAATATTCAGCAGATCCCTCGCGACGCTGACCGGAAAAGCCGGCGAGGTCGGCCACCACGACGACGACGGATACGGCGAGCCGACCGTCCTTGCGGAGACGCGCCACAGGATCATCCGCATCCAGTGCCGGGTGACGCACAGATCGGCCTTCTGCACGTCGGAGATGTGGTCCAGCAGCGTGGATCCGTCCTGCTGGTTGTCCTGGAGGAGGTCGAAGAAGCGGCGGTCGAGGTGCTGGGCTTTCGCGGGGAGGGTCTGGGTCTGCATGCCGGGCTCGTCATCTTCGATGATGCTGAACATGTCGGACTGCTCGAAGAGGCGGAAGAGGGCGAGGAGCTTGAGGAAGGCGGGGAGGACCTGTGGTTCGTCGTTGACGTCGAGTTCGGGGGTGGAAATGTTGGTTTTGAGGACGACCGGGAGTTTGTGCAGGATGCAGACGCCACTTTCAGTTGTTAGTGATTCATCTGGGATGTAGATATTTGTCGATGTACCGTTCCGTCACAAAGAGCAGCCACAGCACGCGCCGTCGAATCTGCTGCTCGTCTGCGGGCAGGCCGCGGTACGCACTCTCGCGGTGGAGGTGCATCATCTGCGCGAGGGAGATCGCTTCCCGGAGGTACAGCAGGGACTCGCTGCCGCCGGAGTGCTGGTTTTCGTAGTAGACGTGCAGGAAGAAGGACGTCCGCACGGTGTTGAGGTTTACTCGCGCCCGATAGCCCGACGAGCTGCGCGCGCGGAGACACTCCGCCGCGAAGGCATCCGCCGTGATGGATTTCTCCGAGTCGGCGTTATGTCCCAGGCGCAGTTGGGCAATCGTCGCCGCTGCCACGGCCGTGGCCAGCGCGTATGTCTCTGTCGTCTCTTCGCTATCGGGGTGTTGGCGTAGTCGGGCAATGACGGATTCGACATCGACGATGGGCCAGACGGGGTACATGCGCACATGGTAGATGTACAGGGGCGAAGCGAGGATGTTGATGGGGATGCGCGATCTAGTTTTGTGTCAGTGATGCGATGCGACGGCTGTAAATTATTGTGATGACTCGCACCCCTCAGAGGAGTCTGCGGCATTCCTGACGGCGGCATCTCCCGCCGGCTCTGGTGGTCCTCCTTGTGCATCTGTGCCTTGCTGGGCCTGGTCAATCAGGTACTTTGTGGTCGCTCGTAATTTCTGTGGTCCTCGCGGCTGTTGCACGCGGATATAGGTGCATTTGATGCGCGCGTGGGTACAGGCCGGACACGGATGACCGCCGCCGCACCGGATCTTACGAATCTTGCACCCATCGCATGCGCGTTTGGTAGCGTGTGTTCTATTAGGAGGCATGGTCGTTCAAGCAGCTGGTTGATGATACATCATGAGTTAGCTGTCTGCATTCGAAGGGAGGTCACTTCGGAGAGTCAAGTTGGTCGAGGAGGAAGTTGGGGATCTCCATGCCAGTGAGGAGTTCACTGTGCGGGGCAGGCTTGGCCGGCCGAGAGTCTCGACACGATGATAAACTATGAACTGCTGCTTGATTGATGATGGAGTAGGAGAAGTGAAGATGGACGGAGTCGAGATGGGAATGCTCGCGGCAGTAATCGTGGTTCTATCTATTGCGCTACTCTCTCCACCAGGCACGCCATTCCGCCCCACAAAGAAGCATCAGACAGTCACTTTGTCGTAGCAGGAGAAGATATTCTATGCTATGTACATGTAACTATTCTCTGGATGTTAGTGTACACTGGTGTGCATAAATGCGATCGTGGTGGGGACACTGGGGGTTTCCCCAAGCAGGCAGGAGGATTGGAGCCGATTGCAACGGTTCTTCATGGGAATGAGCAATGAGGAAAAATACACTCACAGACAATAGCATCCTCATCGTGTAGTTATATACCTTCCTTCATACCTCTCCATCATTCGGGGATCCTGAGCGAAGACCCTCCGAGTATTCCTCCGACGCCCCCCCACGCCCCGCGCTCTCCGATGGAGTCATGATTGGTGTTGATGGAGCCGGCAATTCGACCATGAAGAACTAGATCCATCCGGCCAATTACGCGGGCTGCTGGTGTCGGAGACCCAAAATGGCACGGACAGAGTTGTCGTCGGCGGGTATAAATTGCTGGATCCCCTCTCTGGAGGGGTCATTCCTCTATACACGTTGAGAGGATAGTATTTGACGCAATATATTCAAAATGGCCTGGCCGAACAAGAACAAGGACATGCTGTATCGCCGAGTAGGCAATTCGGGCCTGCATGTTTCGGTCATTGGCTTGGGCGGATGGTTGACGTGAGTTCTGATCACTATCCTCTGCAGAGCATTCTCTAACTGAACGCAGATTCGGAGGCCATGTCGACAACAGTACGTCCCCTACGGAGTCATCGCAATCCTCCTAACCCCTCGCAGAGGTCACCCAGGACTGCATGAAGCAGGCCTACGAATGCGGCGTCAACTTCTTCGACACCGCTGAAAGGTACAACCGAGACAGACTTGCTGGGGACCACACAGCTAATGAGGACAGCTACGCCGGCGGACAATCGGAAATCGTCATGGGAGAAGCCATCAAAGCGCTCGGCTGGCAGCGCAGCGATCTCGTCATCAGTACCAAGGCACGCTGCCGTCCCAAATAACTCCCAGTCATCCGATATAGCTGGCTGACCGTCCTAGCTGAACTGGGGCCTGGCGAACGGCGAAATCCTCATCAACAACCACGGCCTGTCGCGAAAGCACATCATCGAGGGCACGCGCGCATCGCTAAAACGCCTGCAACTCGACTACGTCGACATCATCTACGCCCACCGACCCGACCGCCTCACCCCGATGGAGGAGACGGTGCGCGCCTTCAATTTCGTCATCGACCAGGGCTGGGCGTTCTACTGGGGCACGTCGGAGTGGTCGGCGGACGAGATCGCCGAGGCGTGCGGCATCGCCAAGTCGCTGGGGCTGATTGCGCCCATCGTCGAGCAGCCGCTGTATAACATGCTGGATCGCCAGAAGGTCGAGGGCCAGTTCCAGCGGCTGTACTCGCGCTTCGGGCTGGGTCTGACCACCTTCTCGCCGCTGAAGATGGGGCTCCTGAGCGGGAAGTATAACGATGCCACGACGCAGCCGCCGCCGGGGTCGCGCTTTGCGGAGAGCAATGATAAGTTTGCGAGCAGTGTGCGGAAGGATTGGGAGAATGAACAGTGGGCGGCCACCATTAAGAAGATTGTTGGTCTGAAGGTGCGTTTTCACGGTGTCGCGGTCAACATAACCTAGTACTGACATATCTCAGGAACTGGCCGATAAGCTCGGGGTCAAGCTATCCCAGCTGGCTCTGGCGTGGTGTCTGAAGAACGAGAATGTTTCGTCGGTGATCACGGGCGCTTCGAGACCGGAGCAGATCGTGGACAACGTGCAGAGTCTGAAGCTGTTGCCCAAGTTGACGCCCGAGGTGATGGCGCAGATTGACGAGTTCTTGGGTAACAAGCCTGCCTTGGACCCTGCGAGGCAAGATTAGTCGTGGATATAATGTTGAATCTTGAAAAATGCCCATGAATCAAAGCCCTCCGGGTATGCGTGGAAGTAGACAGAAAGCAAGGCTTTGATCATCGTCCTTTCTCTCCCTCCAACTCAACCTCCCGCTGTCTCTCCTTCGCCTCCCAGCACCGCGCACAATACGGCGTGCCTCTGCCAAACCGATCACACCCCCCCATCGCAAACTCCTTACACGCGACGCAAATAACAACGAACACCCCCTGGATCACTAGCTGCGCTCCAGGGCCGTATCTCGCCTCGCCGCGGCGCGGCTGCATGCCGCATTCCACGCAGAACCGCTTCCCTGCGTCGCGACCGGATCGTCCGCGCCGGCGTCGCAGCATGCGATCGGCGAACCGGACGGCGGAGCGCAGACGCAGACAGTATCGACAGGCGTAGAGATCGTGTGCGATGGCGTAGTCGGTGGTCTCGGCTTGGAGGAGTTGGAGATGGGTGAGAGGGGGGATCAGCTGGTGGAAGTAGCGGGAAGTGAAGCGGAGGCGGAGAACGTCGGGGAAGTCGAGGAAGGAGGCGATTAGCAGGTGAAGTTCTGGAGGTAGGCCTAGGAGGTGGCATTCAGGGGCCATCACAGAACGGAGGTTCCATGAGGTTGATTGAGGGTGTAATTGATGGAGAGGTTGAGGGGGTGTAGTAGGCACTTAAGGTAGATGACGTAGTCCCGTGCATGCAGACTATACGGGGAAACATACAGCCAGCTATGGAAATATATGTTGACCTCTTACTACCTAGATAGATTTCGAAGTTTGATACCTTCTTTCTCTTATGTCTGTTTGTATCAAATGGAATAGACACAGAAGATGCGGAATATATAACTAACAGCATTTAGCTGGCAGACAACAGCGACACTTTACACGTTCCAACGCATAACCAGAAGACGAGCTGCTGGACACAGCAGAACCACAGCATCGGAATATGCCGATAGCTAAACCCACGGTGGATCGATGGATCCCACTTCAAACAGCTAGCCTAGCTTGCCTTTAGGCTGTATACCGACAGTTCCTGACCCTGGCCCAGTCTCATGAAACAACGGATTGTTCCTTCACCGGACCATCTAGCTCCAATCAGGCACGCTTTGCCTATCCCGAACGGCGTCAAAGACGAGACGACATGGGCTTGATGTCGTGTATCGGCGCTTACATTTGAGCTATACTCAACGATGGAGAGCTTCTGAAGGGAAGAAATCGGGAGGACTCCTACTAGCCACGCAGCGAAACCAGAGACTGACGCTGGTGATAGCCATGATCAGGAACAGGGTTATCATCTGTGTATAATGGCCAGAACCTTCACAGGCAGTGACTTTTCCTGATCCAGCGGACTCATAATTGCAGAGAAACCAGGGAGACGTAGGTTTCACTCGGAGCCTCTAGGAAGACGAGCTAATATACAGCTGTACTATCATCTTGCAAGGGCCGTCACCACCGGCCAACTCATTCGCTACCTTGGTATATCCCATAGTCGCAAAGCAGCGATATGGCAAAGAAGGTTCTATGCGCGTTAAGGTTAGAACCAGCTGAGCCAGCTTGCTCAGATGGTTACAGGCTTCCTGGGTTTGCTGGACACCCTACTGTCTATCCAGATGGAACCTTCATGTTTCTTACAGTTCATGCAGACTTTCAGTCTTCACTGACCTTCGGCCTTGGTCCGTGGAGGATGCGATAAGTGGCTGAAAAGAAGACAGTCTGAAACGATATCGCCCAGGGACGCTGCACCCTGATCCCTTGACATCTCCGTGATAGCATTCATCCCCACCGCGAGACAAAACGTCCAATAGTTCAGCCACGCCGTAGCCACCTAGGCATGGATAATTGTCGGACTTCAGCCGGTGGCTTCACGCCGAGAACAGCGAACCGGGCTTTGTATCCTGCCTACTTTCAGCCCACTAGCTAGATGAAACGAAATGTTTCACACTATGCCACTTTGAACATTCCGGCGGAGGCTGGACTCGTGTGGAAACGCCAAAGCTTTGACAGCGCTTGCACCTCGGCTTCGACTCTGACAGGCTATCGAAATGAAGGGTTCTTCGGCCATAGCCTTGTGGAGCCGGACCCTTAAGGGTTCTTGGCAATTGCAAGACATGGTGTTTTGTATAGATGAGTTGGACAACTTCAAGCTCTTGATCGGCTCTATAAAACGCGACCGTCCCATGAGGTTACTATTCTACATCGCATTCACTTCATTCATTCTTTTCTTCGTTGTCGTTCTCTTTCGCTACTAAGCACTCTTTCATTCATTCTTTCACCACTTCTTCTACGTCGCTGGACAACATGAAGTCTTTCTCTCCTAGCCTCCTGCTGCTGGCCAGCGTGGCTCCGCTGGTCTCGGGCCACTACGTCTTCTCCAAGTTCCTGGTGGACGGCTCCGTGTCCCAGGACTTCGAGTACATCCGCCGCAACAGCAACGGCTACATGCCCACGCTGGCCGGCGACATCCTCTCCAACGACTTCCGCTGCAACCAGGGCTCCATGGACTCCGCTGCCTCCACCAAGGTCTACACCGTCGCCCCCGGCACCGAAATCGGCTTCGGGCTCGCCTACGGCGCCTCCATGAAGCACCCGGGCCCCCTGCAGGTCTACATGTCCAAGGCCCCCGGCGACGTCAAGGAGTACGACGGCTCCGGCGACTGGTTCAAGGTGTACCAGGAGGGCGTGTGCAGCGACATCTCCGACGGCCTCGTCGACACCGACTGGTGCACCTGGGGCAAGGACACCGTCAAGTTCAAAATCCCCAGCGACATGCCCCCGGGCCAGTACCTCGTCCGCGTCGAGCACATCGGCCTGCACCGCGGCTTCTCCGGCAACTCCGAGTTCTACTTCACCTGCGCCCAGATCGAGGTCACCGGTTCTGGCACCGGCACCCCCGCTGAGGTCGCCAAGATCCCCGGCATCTACAAGCCCGACGACGCCAACATCCACTTCAACATCTACTACCCGACGCCTACCGCCTACGATCTCCCCGGCCCGTCCGTCTGGGTCGAGGGCAAGGGCGGCAGCGCGGCCCAGTCTAGCGCGCCTGCTCCGTCCGCTGTCGAGTCCGCGGCCTCTGAAGCCCCCGCTGTCACTTCTGCTGTGAAGGTCCCCGCCGAGAGCGAGACCACCGCCGCGCCGGCCCAGACCACCCTGGCAACCGCCTGCAAGCCCGCGGCGCCCGCTGAAACCACCGCTGCGTCGGAGGTTGCCATCAACGCGCCCGCCGGCGCCATCAAGAAGTACTTCCAGTGCGGTGGAATGCACTGGAAAGGATCGGGCGCCTGTGAGAGCGGCACGTCCTGCAAGCAGTGGAACCCTTACTACCACCAGTGCGTTTAGAGGGGTCTGGCGTGGTGACGGCGAGAACCACTGCCTGGATGGTGTCGCTTGTGTCTGCAGGTGTTTGTATTAACTAGCTCAATCAATTTATTCGGTTGATATTACCCGCGTATACCGTAGGAAGGGCAGTACTTGCATTCAGTAGGCGGTTCGGCAAGTCGATCCAGTATAACAGCCGCGCCAAGATGGCCCAACCCTACAGAGTAAGTGAGTACTCCATCTAAGATACAGTGATCGTGTTTGGTGGACCCGATAACGCCTGCTAGTGCGACCGCTAGTGTCGGGTTCCAATTTATCGTCTGTTAGCGCCGGGGGCACTTGCCATTCGATCGGTCGTCCAGCCCCTCAATCCATACGAAGTACTCCGTACTTGACAGGAACCAGGCTGTGGCGAGACTACCTACTCTACGGCGTAGTCTACACGTCTACAGCAAAAGACAGACAGACAGCCATAGACTAAATTCAGAAGCAAGCCACCGTACCTACTACAACCACCAGCCAAGTACAGAGTAAACCAAACTACCCCTGCTTCTCGACATGCACCGACACCCCCTTGACCGTATCCATATCCAGCCCGCGCTCCTTCATATCGGCCGTGGCGACCTCGCCAACATCGACGGCGCTCTCGCCGTCGAAATACTTGGCGATTTCCTCCATGGGCGTGTAGCGCGTCTCGATCAGGAACGAGAAGATGACCCACACCTCGAAGGCCAGGAACACGCAGTACACGATGTAGTATTTCCAGTGGATGGCGTCGAGCGCGATCGCGTTGATGTACTGGTTGAAGAAGAGCGCGGCCGTCACGCAGAAGTTGAGCCAGGTGAAGCCCTTGGCGCGGAGGCCGTAGGGGAGGATTTCGGTGGTGTAGGTTGCCATCAGGCCGGATCTGAGCACTAAATTAGTCGGTTGTTCGTAGGGTCGGAGGGAAGGCAGGGAGGAAGGGAGAGGGCTTACTTGATGTCGTAGAAGACGCCGTACAAAAACGTAAAAAAGACAAACGCATAGCCCAGGGCCTTGTTAGGCGCAATGTCATACCGCGCCGAGACGATCGTCCACGCATTGAAGACGAGGAACGTGCCGATGGTCGAGGCCAGATACAGCGGGCGCCGTCCCAACCGCTCGATGAAGAAGGCAAAGACAAAGTTCGTGACGAGACCCTCGGTCTTCATGCCGGCGTTGATGCCGAGCTGCGTCTGCGCGTCCGTGATGCCCACGCTGTCCATGACATACTTGAGGTAGTAGGAGATGAGCCCGTTGCCGCTCCACTGGCTGAAGAGACCCAGGGCCGTGATGAGCGCGATGCGCTTGCGGTTGCCCTTGGACCGGAGGAAGTCGACCCAGCCGGTGTGGCCGATGTCCTTGTCGAGCGCGATGGCCGCCTTGATCTCGGCGTACTCGAGCTGCACGAACTCGTCGTGCTCGTCGCCCTCGGCGTGGTACTTGATCAGCACGTCGAGAGCCTCCTGGTGGCGGTCTTTGTAGATCAGCCAACGCGGGCTCTCGGGCATCCAGTACACGCCGGCCACGATGACCACGGTGAAGATGGCCTGCAGCAGACTGGGAAGACGCCAGGACCAGTCGCTCTAGAGGGTGTTAGCGGACGTCCGCGCGTGGAAGCGGCGCAAGGGAGACATACTTCGATAGACAACGTGCCCAGAGTGACCCAGCTGGCGATGAACGCCCCCGAATGGTACGACGCACCGCTCAACGTCACGAGCACGGCACGGTCCTGCGGATGCGCAATCTCAGCAATCAGCAGCGGCGCACTTCCCAGCACGATGCAGTCGCCAAAGCCGATGACGATGCGCGCGGCGACAAACATGCCAAAGTTGCGCGCGCCCGACTGCAGGCCCACGGCCAGCAACATGATCAGGGAGCCGATCAGCAGGCCGATCTTACGGCCGCGCCAGTCGATCAGGTACGGGACGAAGAACAGGCCGATCAGCGAGCCCAGACTCATGGACGCGTTGAAGAGGCCCAGGATGGCGCCGCGCGGGTAGTTGAAGTATTCCTGCCAGTAGGAGAGCGTGTTGAGACCGTTCATCATGGAGCCGTCGAAGCCGTTGGCCGTGTTGGTGAGAATGAGCAGCACGATGTAGATGTATAGGTTGCGCATGTTCTTGCGCTTCCACCAGGGCACGCGGGGGAACTCCCGGTGCGCGAAGAAGTAGTGCCCCTTTGCTGGCTTCTGGGGCACGACATCGCGAGTCGTCTTCGGGGGGCGGAGGCGGAAACCCATGTCGGCGTCTGTGCAGTTGGTGTTCGTGTTCAAGGATGTGGGCTGGCAAGAGTTGGAGGTGAATGGCTCTTTATAAAGCAGACAAGGTATAGCTTCATATCCAAGGTTTGTACCATTTAGCCTATACTCCTCGCTTGGCGTTAAGAGGCGCCTATTAGCAAACAATCCTCCCCATGGGGAGGCTCAGATGACAGTCTGGGGTATCTGCTTGGTGCACAGATTGGTTCTAGGCGTGTTCCAGCTATCGCCAAAGGATCGCGTCTCGGCCTGTGCTGTGGCGTCTGGCTAGCCTGGAATCCCGCCGGAGAAACACCCCCTCCCGCCGTAATGTTGGCTAGTCGGTACTTGGAGGCATCCAAGATAGCCGGTGCCCAGCAGCCAAGGAGCCCCAAGGCCGTCCGTCTGCTTGGGACAAGATTTGAGTCTTGTCGAGGGCCAATCGGTTATTATGGTCAAGGGAGAGGTTATAGCTGCGATGTTGCCCGTGATCGGTCACATAGTCCGGGATTCAGCCGAGTGCAAGGAGTTTAACAGTTCTATAGCCTGGTAGCTAGCTATCTATCTGATCGCTCTAGTCAATGGAGAGGTCTTGGAACTCAACCTTGGTGCCATCCTGTTCTGCGAATGCGCATACCCCGAATACTGGTCCCGTGAAATCAGGGTCCGTCAGGTCGAGCGTGTCGACTGTTGCCACATGCGTCCATGGCGCAGGACCCTCGGTCGAATACAGCAGACGATACTCGCTCTCCGTATACTCAATGCGCAGATCCAAAGAACTAGGGGCACTGTCCAGCGGACGCCTCTCCACCCGCTGTATGCCCTTTGCTTTATTGACCAGCTCCACAACCACGGCAAGCGCCGCCGCATCGTAGTAGATCCACACATAGCGGTGTTCGTCTTTGAATGATGCTAACCCAGTGCGAAGCTTCTCTGCACCCCAGGCTTGGTCGATGTTCCGAATTCTCACACAGCTCTTGCCGCTCAACTGGCGCTGCCGCTTTCCGACAAACGAAGGACTCAGCTGCGGGTGCGAAAGATCAACCCGGGACGCCGTCAGCGTGCCAGAGGTACCAGCCAGACTATAGTTTTCCAAGACCGGATCGTGGATATACAGGAAGTCGACCCCCGGCACAGCCTCCAAACGGGGACGGGCTGCGTCGATCGCAAGACCCCTCGGCGACAGCTTGACCTGATCAACGACGGGCCACTCGCCACTCCAGTCCATCGCCGTGATAAAGGTCTCGCGGCCCATGATGACTCGGCCGTCGCGGTCCCTTCGCCCGCCAAGACAGGTGCACCACCACTTTCCGGTCCTGCGGTCCTCGAAGATCTCGCAGTGGCCGGTGTACTGGATATACTCGTCGGTGTCGCGGGCCGTCAGGATGGGGTTGCTGGGACAAGCCTCGTACGGGCCCCAGATGTCCTTTGCGCGTGCCATAGTCACCATGTGCCCTTCGTGAGTGCCGCCCTCAGCGATGAGCAGGTAGTACCAGCCGTTGCGGCTGTACAAATGGGGACCCTCCGGGTAGATTCCGCCGGTGCCACGCCAGATGGTTCTTTCGTCCGAGAGCTTGCGACCGGTGGTCAGATCGACCTCGAATAGGTTGATGGTCGTGTGCGGTCCGGGGGCCGCGGACCCCTGGATGTAGGTCTTGCCGGTGGGCTCATCGAAGAAGATGCTGGGGTCGATGCCGTCGAACTCAAAGTACACCGGGTCGCTCCACGTATCGGACCAGATGTCGGCGGTGGAGACGATGAAGTTGGCGGTGGTGGTCTTGGGGCCGTCGTTGATGACATTGGTGCAGACGATGTAGAAGGTGCCGTCCTTGTAGCGGATGGTCGGCGCATACAAGCCTCCACAGGCCACCAACACGGCGTCTTTGTCTTGCAACGGGTGGAGACGGGTGTCGGACTTGCTGAGGCTGAGCTGGGATGGCCGGTTGATGGCGTTTCCTAGACATTGTTAGTAGGGCCAGCAGTGTGTAGCGGGTGGTACGGTGGTCCTGACCGATCTGCTTCCACGACACGAGATCCTGCGAGGCATAGACGGGCAGACCGGGGAAGAGATGAAAGGTGGAATTGCAGAGGAAGAACCAGTCTCCCACCTGGACGACGGACGGGTCTGGCGCAAAGCCTGGGATGATGGGATTGACAGAGGACATGTCGAGTTGGGTCGATCCAGGCCAGGAATAGTGTGTGACTAGTAGTATTCCTTCTATACACTGGCTTGAGTGATATAAGGCGGAGTCCGGATAAGTTGGGCAATTCAGCCATCTTCCATTTAGCCGTGACCTAGTAGTATGGAGATATCTATACAGGAATCCAGATGCACTTTACACATGAGTATAAAGAAACAGTTACATTATTATTATTATTGCAGGGTGCAGTCATCCTCGTGATGATCTTCTCGTACGATGGGCCGATGAAGACGTCATAGGCGTTTGATCGTCTCGTATTGCCGACACACACTACCATTGTACTAATAGTACTTTACACTCTTCAGTAGGACCATGAAGTGTATCCTTTCTTGCTTGAACAGCATCAACCAGGTCTACTTCAGTCTAGTCCAGTCTACTTTATTCTACTGTGCTGGCTACATCAGAGAATGCCATGACTAATCATCCTTCCAAGGCGGCGTAACATGAGGATGATCACTGAAGATCCCCGAGCGTTGCTTTGAGCTGCTCGTTCCACGGTCTCTTCCGCCGCTTCCAACCATCATGTCGGCATCGCTTGAACTTCATCTGGTCATATCTCCGCGACCTGGAACCACTCTACTCTAGTTAGAGTACTTGGATCCTTCCATATCCGACTGCGGGATGACTCCCCGCAAGCTAGAAAAGCTGCATGGTCGACCGCCAAGAAGGCACCGACTACTATGCGCTCCCTTCAACCTGCGCCCCCCCGACGACGACGACCCCCAGGACTGGTGGTTTGCCTCCACGGCGATTCCTCTCATCGCGGCGACTACTGCCCCTTTTGCGAATGTCATGTCTATTGTCGCTCTGGCGATGCCATGGAAGAGCCACATTGTCGATGGCCAGACCACCCCGGACGGGGGGCTGCTAGAGGTCTCCATCAAGGATCCGTCATGGTTAGTTTGACTTGGGCAAGATGATGTCTACATGTACTGACCGACAGGTGTCTCGCTCTGAATGCGACGTCGCTGGCCTGCGGTCTCGCCGGCAACGTCTTCCTGTTGTTCAACTTCACCCGCACCGTCCGATACATCCACGCCCTCCCCTTGTCCATCATCCTGTGGGCGCTCGCAATGGGCATTGTAAGTATTCATCGTACTATCATAGGAAAAATCGCTCACAACGAACAGTTGATTGCCATCACGTCGGCGACAGCCATCTACGACGGTCCTGATGGCCCCGAGCAGATCTTCTCCCAGGCATACTGGTACGCCGTCATCGCGGCAGTACAGTACTCCCTTCTCACCATCATCCTGATGGTCAACATCACCGGCTATCTCCTCGGCCACTACCCGCAGCATTTCGCGCTCACCGACCACCAACGCACCCTGATCCTGCAAACGACCGCCTTCGGCGTCTGGCTGATCATCGGCGCCGCCGTCTTCCAACGAGTCATCGGCATCTCCTTTGCAGAGGGCCTGTACTTCTCCGACATTACGATCCTGACCCTCGGATTCGGCGACATCGCTCCGTCCACCACGGTCGCCAGGGGGCTCGTCTTCCCCTATGCCGTAATCGGCATCATCATCCTCGGTCTCATCGTCAACAGTATCAACAAGTTCTTCCGCGAAATCCAAGACACCAATGTCCTGCGCAAGCACATCGAGAAGCGCCGCGCCGCCACATTCGAGCACGCCAGTACGCTCGAAAATCTGCATCCCCCCGTGGGCGCAAACAACAACCTGGACCGCGAAGCCACCCAGATCACCTATCGCCCGCACAACTCTCGCAAACGCCCCATCACCAGCACCATCACCGCCTTCTATCACAGCACCATCGGCCGTCCCCCCCTGGGCGAGATGAAAGAAGAAAAAGACCGCTTCGCCGCAATGCGCGCCATCCAGAGCGAAACCGTCTACTTCCGCCGGTGGTACCGGCTGATCCTGAGCGTACTTGCGTTCGGCACGCTGTGGACCTGCGGCGCCGCCGTCTTCTGGACCCTGGAGGCCAAGCTGACGTATTTCGAAGCGCTGTACTTCGCCTTCTGCTCGCTGCTGACCATCGGCTACGGCGACATCACCCCCACCACCAACGCCAGCAAGCCGTTCTTCGTGGTGTGGTCGCTGCTGGCCATCCCGACCATGACGACGCTGATCTCGGAAATGAGCGACACCATTGTTGCCGGCTTCAAACGCGCGACCAGCCTCGTCGCCGACTGGACCGTCCTCCCGAAAACGGCCCTCTACAAGGACGTTCTCAGGAAGCTGCCGCTGGTTTCTGCCGTTCTACAGCGCCGCGAGGAGCGGAGACGCGTCGAACAGGGGTTCCTCGTTGGCACCGGGGATCTGGAGCCGAGCCGCGCAGAGTCGCCGTCCGCGTCGCAGCCGTCCACGCAGCGCGTCCGTTCATCCGAAGGGAAATCCACCGAAGAAACCGCTTCGCCGCAGGATATGGCCCGCCGACTGGCCTACGCCATTCAGCAAACCGCGCACGATGTCACCACCGGCCAGGCGAAGGAGTACACGTACGATGAGTGGGTGGCGTTTACGCAGATGATCCGCTTCACCGACAGCAGTCCAGATGAGCCGGTGCTAAATGAGGATGAGTACGGCGTGCTCAACTGGGACTGGATTGGGCCGGGCAGTCCGTTGGTCGCGGTGCAAACCGAGCCGGAGTGGGTGTTGCACCGACTGTGCGAGAGTCTGATTCGGTTTGTGTCGCAGCAGGGACGGGGTCCTGGGCGCAGCTCTGCGGATGAAGATGCCCCGACGCTGCGGAAAGAGCACGATGTGAAGTATGAGGAATGAATACGTATACCTATATCTGTTTGCGTTTTGTGACTGTCTGCTAGCGATGCCTGCTTTAGTGATACCAACATGCGAGTGACTTATATAGTCTTTCACTCTTCTGCTTTGACTGCTCTTAATGATGACTTGGTGTATATATCCCGCCCAGTCGTTGCTCTTTTTGTCTAAACATCACAATTTTATATATTTTCATCGACCAGGGTGCCATGTATATACTGCCATGTCTATGCGCACTACGCAGCCACATCTCTCCCACGGCAGTACTGGACTCGCCAATACTTGAGTGAGATGATAGAACTAAAAGAAGAGAATGATAGAAAGAGAATCCCGATTAGTGTTGCAGCCCATGGGTAGTACTAGATGCTGACGCCATCAGCAACCAGTGAGATGGCCCCTAGACAGCCACGATAATAAGCATAACCAGAGGAAGTATACTAAGCCCCAGTATACAACGTTACCATTTTGTTTCCAACACTCGAGAAGAACATAACACAGTATAATACTCCGAGTAGATTGATCCTTCTGAAACGAAACAATCTTCTACGGGCTTCTATCTACCCCACAGTGGGACAAGACAGTCGGTCAGCATTAATAATATTTGTAATCACGCTGTACTAACTATAACTAGTAACTAAGTACCACCTGCTATATAAACATCTCTCCCCTCTCTTCAACCACCTCACTACAGAGTACACCCAAATACAATCACAAGCACAAAATGGCTCCCTTCGGCAAGATCTACAGCTACCCCAACAACCCCCGGGTTGCCAAGGTACACCGCTCCGCCTCCCCATACCCGCGAACACCATACTAACAATCCCAGGCCCAAGCCGCCGCCAACATCAACGGCCTGGAGCTCGACATCCCCGAGTTCAAGATCGGCGAGACGAACCGCACGCCGGAGTTCCTGGCCAAGTTCCCGTTCGGCAAGGTGCCGGCCTTTGAGGGCGCCGACGGCACGACCCTCGTCGAGTCCGACGCCATCGCGCAGTACATCGCCGAGAGCGGGCCGGCCGCCGACCAGCTGGTGGGCGCGACGCCCGTGCAGCGCGCCCTGATCCGCCAGTGGATTTCTTTCGCGGACGGCGAGGCCATCGCGCCGGTCATCGAGCTGGTCATCCCCCGGCTAGGGTTCCGGCCGTTCAACGCGGCGACGGAGACGGCCGCCCTCCAGAAGTTGGAGCGCTCGCTGGGGTATCTGGAGAAGCATCTGGCGGGACGGACTTGGTTGGCTACGGCTGAGAAGCTTAGTCTGGCGGATATCACGGTCGCGTCGGCGCTGCAGTGGGGATTTGTCTATGCCATTGATGCGGAGATGCGCGCCAAGTATCCCAGTGTCATGGCCTGGTACCAGCGCACCATTGAGTCCGAGGGCGTCAAGCAGGCCTTTGGCGAGCAAAAGTATGTCGAAAAGCGCGAGATCCCCAAGGCTTAGACCGAACCATGTAGATCGTGGCTTGGCGGACGTCTTACGGATAGACTCATGAATTATGAATGATTGAATTCAATACTTCAGACCACGCTCCTAGAAATACGTAAGGATACCCGTACAGTCAACAATACAATGTTACACCCACTACAGACGAGCGACCGGGGCGCCCTCCTTCTTCTCCTTCGACAAAGTCTTGGCCAGTCCGCGACTGGCAAAGTCGGCAATCGCCATGTTGGTGACCATCGGGTTCACCCCGCTGGCGCTGGGGAACACCGACGCGTCCATGACATACAGCCCTTTGGTGCCCCAGACCTGGCAGTCGGGGTCGACCACGCTCGACGCCGGCGACTTGCCCATGCGGCAGCTGCCCATCTGGTGCGCACAGGCGAACAGCGTCCGTTCCGGTTCCAAAGCCTTCCGACGCAGCTCCGCCAACCACGACTGGAGCGCGGCGTTGTTCGTGCCCTCAGCATCGTCGGCATCAGCCTCCGCCGGACGGATAAACGGTGGCAGACCGCGGCACGACGTGTGGAACTCCTTTGCGCCCGAGATGTAGGCAATCTTGGCACTGGCCGCAAGCGCCTCAACCATGTGGTTCCGATCATACGACGAGACCGAGTAATCGACCCGGCAACGGCCATCCACGGGGTCTGGATACACTCGTCCCGAATCCCGATCCCTCGTCAGCATGATGAAGCCCCCCATGTGTGGCAGCTTGGCCACGAACTTCTTGTAGTCAAGACCGTCGCGCCATGGGAACGCCGGGAGAAAAGCGGGAGGCAGCATGGTGACACACTCGATCTTGACGCCATGGCCCTTGCCATCCTGGTCTTCGAGTTCGTTGACCACCGTGGTCAGACAGGCGCCCTCCCAAGGGCGGGTCTCCTCTTCGAAGACTGCAGTCGCCAGGACGACTACATCGAGTCAGAAAGTGGATCAGACAGGTCGAACGGGGGCGAGAACTTACCAGGGTGTAGATAGAGGTTTCGGCCGATCTGCGAGTTCTTGAGTCCGCTCCGGAGCAGCAACAACGGACTCTGCAGGGAACCACACGCGACGACCACCTTCTTGGCCTTGATGATGACCTTGCGCTTTCTCGCGCCCTCGCCGGACAGCCCCAAGTAAGAGTCGCGCGAGGTCCATGTGCCCTCAACCCCAGAGGCGACCTGGCCTCCCTTGGTGTTGTCGAACAATACTTTATCCGCCCGGAATCCCTCCATGAAGGTGGCGCCCGCCTTGGCAGCATCGGCGAGCCAGGATTCCGTCGGGCCCTTCTTCCCTGTAGAGTGACATCCCATGGTGCAATATCCACAGTAGTGACCAGTTCCACCCGTGTTCTGGGGAACCGGCTTCGCCGCATAGCCCAATTTCCGAGCACCCTCCAACAGCATCCGGTTCTGGAAGTTGTGGTCCTGGTGCTCGTCGCTGACCCCCATCCGGTCACACACACGATCCAGACAGCGCTGGAACTCGAACGAAGTGAAGAAAGGGAGACCAGCATCCGCCCATTCTTGACGGACGTAGCCCTGAGTTTGGAGGGAGGCGGACCAGTTGACGGTGCCGCCACCGCCCCAGGTTGAGCCGGCGAAGAGACCCATGGTGCCGTCGTCGGTACCTGTTGCGGCGCTGGCCTCGAACATGGAGTTCAGGCCCTCGTTGAAGCCCATTGGGAAATGACGCGACGAGTACTGATAGCCCTTTTCCACCACGAGCACCTTATGGCCGGCCTCCGCCAGGTTTTTCGCAGTGACACCGCCTCCGCAGCCGCTTCCGACAATGACGACGTCCGTCTCGATGGTTTCAGGCTCATCACCAGGAGGAATCTGCAAGAACTGGTAGGGGAAGCCGTCTTCGGGCTTTCCATGGACTGGTACGCGGGGGAAGCCGATCACGGGGCAGATGGTGGGACTGGAGACGATCCAAGTCCGTTTGAAAATGCCTGACAAGGCCCGATATACGGCACGCAGAGGACGCAATCTTGACGTTTCCCAGCCGCGAAAGACCTGCTCCCGGTATTCCAGAGGTTGGTCCTGAATGGGGGTTATGGAGCCGGTGAGGATCAGCGAGCCCGCCTTGGTGCTGGGACCGTTAGTTCATACACATTGTTATGGGTACATTAAGTTGGTCACGTACTTGAGGGCGGTGAGGATCAGGCTGATGCCATTGCGACCTTCTTGATGGACATAGTTTGCAAAGAGGCGTTGAATCCCATCGCGGAAACCGGGATTTGAGGAGGCATGCTCTTCTAGATACTGGGTGGCCAGCTCGGAGGCGTTGGGGGCGTGAATGCGGGCGACCAAGTCCGAATGCACCGCATCGTACTCGGACTGGGAAATGACCTTGGCGGCGCGGGATTTAGGGGCAGAGGGAGCGATGGAGGGAATGACGGTGTCAGCCAGGGCCAAAAGAGTCGTCCATTGGAGGTCCGAGAAGACTTCGGTTGTCGGGACAGGCGGGAGAGCCACGTCCAGGGGGGTGTAGGCCACGGCCTGGTCCGTCATGGTGGCCATAGATGATAACAATTATAACGATGACAGACGGTTCAACGAGAGGAGACGATAGGTTCAGTGGAGACGGACATGGAACAGTTATATCCTGGGGGTAGGTGTTGTATAGGAAGGGAGCATGAAGAGCAGCCCATGTGGATGAGCCCAGAGGGGAAAGGCTTGCGAAGTGGCCGAGCGGCTGATTTCCGTTTGGGGCATGGCATAGCGGGGAAGCCAGGGAAAGCACGGGGGAGCTCATGGTCCATCATGGTCGATTGGAGTTTAGCTTCGCGTAGCGTCAGGCAGATCTTCGACATTGACGAGCTCTTGTCCAGAATGGAAGCCATTGGAGTACACCCAGAGTGCCAGAAGACAGGTTTGGATCACTACAACAGGTCTGTAATGAGCTTTTCAGGTTCAAGACAATCAGGAACTGGCGACACTGACAATGAAAGCAACGGCTCAACCAAGGAACGTAACCGAGGCTCGTCTGGGGAGGGAGATCACAAGGTGTGGGTCGATGCGGAGTCTAACGGGCGAAGGATGGAGGGGATGAGGGGATCGACGGAGAGCTGGTAGGCTGGAATGTGAGAATTGGATGACAGATGGATGAGGAAGAGAGGACGAAGCAGAAACAGATGAAGTGTAGGGAGGAGAGTAGAAGTCGTCGTGATGGTGGTCGTGGTGCATAGCGATATACAGATATTACATAATCCACACGTTGCACAACTGGTCCTGCGATAGGAAGGCGGTCAGTCGCATCTCCAAATGCCTCAACTTCACCATCTTATCTTCGTCTGTCGCACTCCAACCATCACCATGACTGCTTCCACCCCTCCTTCTCTTCCTCTTGAAAAAGTCTTCTCCATCCAGATCGGAACCGAGCTGTTCCGATTGTCCGGAGCTTCCATCGCCTCTGACGGTCCGTCACCATCCGGACCACCATATCTTGGCTGATCTCACTAAACCTCCTAGAGCCCCTTCGTACTTCTCGCGATTCTTCGAGAAACAATGGCAACACGCCAATGCCGATGGCTCCAACATTCGCACTCTGTACATTGACCGCGATCCAATCACCTTCAAGGACATCGCGCGACATCTGCAAGGTATTACCTCCCGTGCGTCTCGTCACACCTAATACTGACAGACAAGGGTACCACGTTACACCGAAAGACGGCGAGGCGTTCGTGAAACTCTTTGCCGACGCCCAATTCTACAGCTGTACGCCTTGTGCCTCCCTGCGTGATGCCCCATCTGATGAGCAACAGTACCCAGACTCATCTCGCAACTCTTCGAATCCGAAATCGTCATCCAAATCGGCGACCGCACCTTTAAGATCCCCCGCGACATCTTCTCCAGTCCAGGCGACTCGCCCAATTTCTTCACACTCGGCTTCGGCGCCTTCTTCGCCTCCCCAAGCGAAGTCTTCCCCGGACTGAACCGCAACGGTCTCCTCCGACCGCCGGCTATCATCCCGCCCAGCGTCCCCAATCGCTCCGGCGACGTCTTCGCGCAGCTCCTCCATCTGCTGCGCGGTTATCCGCTGGACATCCGCAACGAGACGCACCGCGCCGAGCTCCTCCGCGACTGTCGCTACTTCCACCTCCGCGGCCTCGAGCAGAAGCTCATCCCGCACCACATTAGCGTCAACCCCAGCACCTCGCGATCCGAGATTCTGCTCCGTCTGGAGGATGTGCGGCGGTCGGGGATCCACCTTGCGCCGGTAGAATCGGGCCAGGCGCCGACGATCACCAACCGGGTACAATATGCACGACCGTTTGTCGACGAGAAACCACACGATCTCATTCTTGAGATCGGCGGCGACAGCACCATCCTCCCTCAGCCAGCGGAACTCGGCTGCCGACCGAAATTCATCGGCCTGACCGACGCGCGCTTCTCGAGCTTCGTCCAGGTTGTCGCCGACAAAGCGAAGACGGAGGCGCAGACATCTGCATCCGCCACGCGCGTCGTCGCCGCAATCACAGCCACCACTGACTTGACCATCAACGGAGAACCAATGGCCCCGGCAGATGCATTTCCCGACCCGACAATATCACGGACAGACGCTCACGTCGCAAAACGTCGACGGGTGGAGGGGACCGACCTCCCGGAGGCCTGGTTCGTGCGCAAGGGTCACTGGGACGTCCGTTTTGTACAGGCCACGGCAGACGAGCCGCAGACCATGTTCCTCATGGCCGCCAAACTGGACGTGTATACCGATGCCCGACACCGACACCGGGCGCGGCCATTTCTAGGTTCATAAGATCCGAGATCTTCATAATTCATTCACTCGTTCTGATCGTAGCGTAGTCTATGTCTATGTCTAATCCGAGAAGCCTTCCCATTCATCTTCCACGCTTTCGTCCACGCCCTCGTCTTCCTGACCATCCCGAACAAACCCCGCGACAAAGAACCCCCCCGTCCCCTCGTCATCCCCCGGCCAACACCGCAGACACCCGTCGAGCTGCTCATCCGACAAGTCCACCGTAAGCTCGCCCTCACTGCGCACCCCGCGATGCTTCCACTTCCGCAGGCCCTCGGGCTGCTCCTCGCGACGCATGACCCGCCAGCCACGCCGTCGCGCAACCTCGGACGCCAGCACGCGCTCCACAACGGCCTCATTCTCGATTAGATGGATCGAGCACGTGCTGTACGTGACGCGGGTCGCGGCCGGGAAGCCAAGCGCGTGCTCGACAATGCGCGTCTGCAGGTTCGACAGCTTGGTCAGACGCTCCGGGTCCAGATGCGAGCTCGCGAGCTCGTTCTCCGCCTGGCTCACATCCTGCACTGCCGGCGGGTCGACCGTCTCCTCCTCACCATGCCGCTGCTTGCGCTTCTTCCCGCGCAGCGGCTTCTTCGTCGGCGCCGGCTTGCCGTCCGCGGGCAGTACCAGACTCGGCACGTCGTCGCGCCCGATGATCCCGCTGCCGGAACAGCTGGGGTCTAGCAGGAGTCCCGACACCGCTTGGAACCGCTCGTCGGCAGGGTCGAGCGCCAGAAAGTCCTGGCCCGGGAGGACGGTGACGAGGCTGTCGGCGCCGGCGGTAGCGACCATCTTCTGCAGGGTTTTTGCCCGGACGGGGGATGCGTCCATCGAGATGATCCGAGGCCTTTCCCTCTCACTTTTCTCCTGCTTCTGCGCGGATTGCTTCCCAAGCAGCAACACCAGATGTGTTGACTTATTCCCCGGCGCCGCACAACCGTCCAGCAGATCGCCCAGCCACTCCCCATCCACCAGCGGCCCATACGCCGGAAAACACGGCGCCGTGTCCTGCAGGATGATCTCGCCGCGGTGGTACGCCGGGAGGGCGGTCATTTCGACGGTGGGCGGAAACGCCAGCAGATCCGGGATGTGGGGGTCTAGCACGAGCTTCTTCTCATCACCGTCATTCTCTGCGTCGTCATCCTCCAGCGCCGCGAGTCCATCCACCGGCGTATACCCCCGGAACGTACTCTCCAACTGCGCCCCCAGCGACGACCGCACATTATTCACCCGCACCCACCGCGGATACACGCTCCGCCGCGGAGCCAGCGCGACCTTCTCCCGCCGCACGGCAGCCCTCAACTCCGCCAGCGACGCACATCCGCGCCGCACGCGCGCCTTGACAAACTCCCCCTTCAGCCGAGTCTTATGCCGCTCGACCGCCGCGCGCAGCGGATGCGACGACGGCGCGGCGATGCCGTTTTTCGCGAGGAGGTAGTCGTGCACGAGGAGGAGGGCGAGAAGGGGCGTAAGCTGTGCACCCCGTATCAGCTGGGAGCAAGATATGACAGAGCAGGAAAAGGGGGAGTACCTTAGGTTCAAGCTTGAGAATCCCCGCATTGTCGATAACCTCCTTGAGGAGGGTGTCCCATTTCGCGGCCTCGACGATCAGCGCGTACACCTGGGCCGGGTTGGCGCGCAGCGAGCGCGAGCTGTAGATGCGGGATTTGAAGGAGCCGCCTGTGGCGGGGGCGGAGAGGATGGAGACTGCGTCGTGGTAGAGGGACATTTCTGCATTATTATTATTACTGCAGTAGAGTGTCTGTAAGTAAGGTACCTGGGGCTGTTTGGGGCAGGCAGAAAATGGTGTTTGGTGTGTTTGCACTGGCTTCTCCGCCATCCACTACCCATAGTGTACTCCGCTCCGTACTTTTACACATTCACTTGGGTACTTTTCTCCTCCATTCCTCTTATATATATATATATATATATATATTTATACAACAATGCTCCATACAGCAGTGCTCCCACCACCGCACCATCCCCTCGTCCCGGACTCACCATCCAACCCGGCTCTATTCAACGACGCCCTCGCCGTGCGCATCGCCGTCTTCGTGCACGAACAGAACATCCCCCTCGAACTCGAAGTCGACGCCGACGACGCGCGCAGCTGGCACTGGATCGTCTACGACGAGAACACGCCCGTCGCGACCGCGCGGCTCGTGCCGCCGCCGCATGCGCCGCATGACACCGTCGACACAAACAGCACACTATGCGACGGCCGGTACGACCTGCGCGAGGAGCCGTGTGTGCGCATTGGGCGGGTCGCGGTGCGGAAGGAGTACCGCGGGCGGGGACTGGCTGTTGAATTACTGCGGACGATACTGGAATGGGTAGCGCAGAATCCGGATGCTGTGGATGAGGCGTACCGCCGGGTCTTGAAGGAGGAGGGAATCTCGGAGGGGAAGGGGTGGAACGGCCTGGTGCGGGTGCATTCGCAGGTTCCCGTGCAGCGGGTGTATGCACGGGTGGGCTTTGAGACGGAGGAGCGGATGGGGCGGTGGATGGAGGATGGGATTGAGCATGTGGGGATGGGGTTGAGGATTCCGATGCAAGCTACAGATTATAGAACCGACTAGAACTGACAAGTTAGATGATCGATTGTAGAATAGATTAAGTATCAAGTCTATATGCACCAACGCCAACATCAAGCAGATCGTCGCTGTAGAACAATGACGGGGTATCCTGACATGAAGGAAAACAAAATTAAAACCACCCGCCTCTTATGACGATCGCAAACCGGACTCCAGGCATAATACAAGCGAACAGCAACATCTATCGTGTACGTCGACGTTGCCCGTGGCAGGTCATTAACGAAACAAGGGTATCTTAGAAGGTGCTCCAGTTCCAGCCGCGGGGAACGCTGGCGGCGATTTCCGTGCTGGGGCCCAGCACGGCGGCCAGCGCTTTCTTGGCATCCTCGTCCGGCGAGGGCTGGGCGGTGTCGGGTTCGGGGGTGGCTTCCTGCTGGTGCTGCGCGTCGATGAGCTGCTGGATCTTGTTCAGGCGCTCAGTGCGACCCTCTTCCCAGCGCTGGTAGGCGTGCCAGCAGAGGTCGCAGGCGCGCGAGGGCACGCCGTTGGGATGGAAGCGGGCGTCCTGGTCGAGGGGGACCATGTGCGGGGTGTGCGAGGAGCAAAAGACGTGGCCGCAGTGACGGCAGTGGTGACGGCGCAGGAAGAGGCCAAAGGAGGAGCGACAGGTGGGGGAGTCGCAGTTGGGGGAGGCCGAGTCCGCCTGGTCAAGTTAGCATGGTGCTTAAGTGATAAAAGCTGCGACCGAGCGCGTTGGCTCACCTTCCAGTGATCTCTCGTGGGAGAACCGGTGACCTCGCCGAGGTGTTCATATTTCATCCACTCGTGCTCGGCGAGTTTGGTGACGCCGCTGGAGGCACTGTCGATGGTGGAGCGACGAGAGATGGGGTCCTGCTCGTCGAGACTGTCGAATGAGCCATGGATGCTGCGGGGCGGCGAGGGCGGCGAGGCCTTCTGGGGACGCTCGGTCGGGCGCAAGGCAGCCGGGACATAGAGCGGGGCCTTGGGAGGGCGCAGTTGACGAGAGGCGAGCGGGAGATACTGTTGACGGGGCGAGGTGGGAGAGTTGTTGGAGGGGGTGGTGGTGGTGGAGTTGACGGGAGAAGGGTGGCCATAGATGGAGATTTGGTTGGGAGTGGTAGTGGTGGTGGTGAGGACGTGAGTAGCCATGATGAACTAGTTGATGGAGAGAGTGGACGAGGATGAAGTCGGGGGATAATAAGGAGGAGGTGTCGTATTGGGTGGTAGTAGTGGTAGTAGTGGTGGTAGTAGTGGTGGTGTAGTAGTGGTGTAGTAGTGTGGTAATGGATGGCCGGAAAGGTGAGGGAGCGGGAAGAGGATCGAGGATAGGTTAGATATTAGGAGATTAAAGGAGCAGCATCGCAGTGGCAAGATGAAGCCGACGATGACGCAAAGAGTAGGTGTAGGTGTAGATGGAGATGGAGAGATGGAGAGGAGAGTTGGAGAAGAAGAAGATGATGAACAGCAGAAGAGAGGCAAGAGAGGCGAAGATAAGGAGAGGCGGGGAGTTTAGTTGAATATGAGGGCGTCTTTATTCGCCCGAGCGGATCGGATTGCCCGTTGGAATCTGGCCGTAGTTTGGTTTACATTACATAGTCTAGTCTGAGTTAGGAGGATTATCATATTAATATTAGGAGGTATTATAGTTATAGTCGAATTAATATAGAATACCACCGCTTCGATTGGTAGAACAGCCATGTCCATCCCTGCATTCTTCCTCATTATGACGCTCTTCTGGACGCTCTTCTTGACCGCTCTTCTCTTTCTCCTCTTTCCTCTATCTTCGTCTTTCTCATACATGCAGTATACTCCGTACATTATACTGTACTTCAGATTTTACGCACACACACTCTCTCTCAGCCTCCTCTCCCGTGGCAAGACTACCTACTCCATCGGGCATCGCTGAAAAGGGAATCCCCCGACCAAACCCCGGGGATGATTGGACCCCGAGGGTTTGGAACCGTACCCACGGGGGGCGGCGGGTCACTTACTCGGTCGGGAAGAGTTCACGAGCGATTGATCGGTGGACAGACCCGGTAGGTCAGTGATAACCAGGCATGTACATGTACATACATGTACATTGTGGTATGCACTGTCCTACCCAGACCATCTATACAGGTCGTATTCCCTACCTCCTATGTACCGTATACTCCATAGATAGTAATCATCATCTCACCGTCTTCTGCCAGACTGTGGAGACCAATCGGGTAACTGTTGGAGATGCCCCACCGGCCTCTCCGGATTGGTCGCCTCGCCTCTGTTATCGGAGCCATCTGATTGGACAGCAGCAATGCACGGTCTCTTATTGGTCCATGCCCAGTCTGTGTTTCAATTGGTCCGAGCTGAATCTCACCGTTGCGGTCGTGTATGCACTTAGTATGTACCTACGTTTCATCCGTTGATTCAGAAAGAGTACAAGTATAGTATAGTACTAATCAATAAGATACGGTGTACACAAAGAGCGTCTATTGACGAATCAATTCATCCTAGTACGCCCAAAAATGCGATCCGCCACCATCCGCCTACATCCCCTAAATCCCAATCGGGCAATCCCACGGAATTCCACCCGCTTCTCTGCCGAGGTTAGCCCCGTGGCCATCCATGGTTCTCCCAGCCACCGCCCGTCTGTCATTCTTTCGTTCTCCCGTTCGTCCGCGGAGTTGTTAAACCAAAACAGTGTCGCCTCCTTTCTACATGAAAGAGATCGGCTCCACTGATGTTCGCTTTACGTACGACTTACTATCCTCCGGCGGTCTTCACCGGCTTCGTCGGCTGCGTGCCACTACCGAGTCTTATTTTCGGTTGTTTATCATTTGTCGCTTCGAGAAGGACATCACGAGACTACTCCACGACGACTAATGTCGATTCTTTTTATAAGGTAAAACGACGGAGACAGCTCCGTCTCCGTCTGGACAACTACCGAGATTAGTCCGGACAGTACCTGCATTGCAGATCTGCAGCAATATCAGATCCTCTGCCAAGACCGATGGCTCCCATTACTCGATAGCTTTATCTGATCTGCTTTATTAACCGGTGGCAACGGAGTCAGCTGAGGCACTCCTGATCCGGCAAAGAACTAATTATCTGCTCTGCTGCAGTGTGAACACCTGTCCTCCTTGTACGACAAATCCCCCGTCGACTTTCTCGACATATCCCGTCCCTCGATACTTCGACAAAGGCACCTTCAGCGGGCTAGGCGGGACAACTGTCCCCTTCGTGCCTGCAGGGGCGATGACAGTCATGTTCAGCATACCGTCACGACCAAACGACCAATCCACCTGAATGCTACCCCCTGGCACAGGATATCTACCACGTGCGTACTCCAGCCCCAACGTCTGCGGCGCGACCGTCCACTCCTGGAACCCCGGCGTGACGGCCCTCACGCCCAGCACGTAGCGACTCAGCGCCCCCGTGGGCGCAGACCCCCACGCGTGACACAGCGAGGTGGACGCTCCCAGGCCGGGCGTCCCGTCGGCGTCCAACGTCTCCCACGTGCAGCCGGTGTAGTTGGCGTGCGAGGGATCGCTCATCGGCCCCCAGACGCTGCGCAGGAGGCGCTCGGCGTTCGCAGCGTCGTGGGCATGGAACGCCGCCTGCAGATGGTACCCGGCGGCGTAGGGGCTGATCTTCTGCGCCCAGCCGCTCGCCGCGCTTGCGTTCGAGAACGCCAGCGCCCCGGCGGGGACGTAGAGATCGCGGGCCATGGTGGAGAGGACGGTGCGCGCGGACCGGTTGCCGGCGACAGGCACTGTGTCGGTGAGGATGGCGAGGGCGTTGGCTTCCTGGGAGAAAAAGTCCCTGTGGGCGTCGGCGAGGTAGAAGGCCTGGAGCTCGTCGCTCCAGAGATGCGTGGAGATTGCGTGTTGCAGGGAGTGCAGGCGGTTTGCGTACGTGGTAGCGTTGAGCCGGCCGTCCGCCATATACGGGAGCCACTGCTTCAAGGCGTGTGCGTAGATCAGGTTGAATTTGGACACGACGCCGCTCAGCGGGGGGTCGTAGTAGTTCCAGTCGCCGCCGAAGGTGGCGTCGGAGATATTGAGAAGCCCGTTCGGTAGCGTCTGGCTGTCCGCCCAGTCGAACAGCCGGCTGACGCGCGGCGCCCAGTTGCGGAGAAATGATGCATCGCCCGTCTGCTCGTAGTACTGCGCCATCGCACTCGCCAGACTGAAGGAATACCCGATCAAGCCGGTGATATTAGCCTGGATCGGTTCCGTCCGCGGCGCTTGTTGCACCTTCGCGGTCGGTGTGAAGAAGCCCGGCAACATCTGCATGGACCCGAGGAGCGCGATGGATCCGTTGATGTACTCCAACCCGTTCGTGCTGGCAAAGGCGGTGCGCGCGGTGATGTCCAGGTCTCCGGCGTAGGCGATGCGATCGCGCCGCGAGCCATCCACGCTGACGGGGAGCGGGTTGGTGCCGAGGAGGAAGTCCTCCAGGGCTGACCTGTCTGTCAGCGACGACGAATACATCTGCGTCCCGAACGCGGTCAAGGAGACATTTGTGAACACGGCCGTGTGGCCGAACGAGGCGCCCAGTCCGAAGGAGCCGTAAAAGGCGGCGGTTTGGGAGAAGTCCAGCACGGGGGTTCCATCGATCTGGATGTTGATCCGCGTCGCATTCACCGTTGCCTCGACCGTGTGCCACTGGTTGAGGGCGACGGTGGGAGGCAGGACCGCCGACGCCAGCGGGGGACCTCCCATCTCCGTGGATCCAGCATGGGCCGAGATGGACGAGTTGGCCACATCTACAAAGATGTAGACGCCGTTCCCCAGCGTGTCACTCAGTACTGTGGCTCCAAAACCACGCACTACCGGCTTCACAGAGAAGGCGACCGTGTACGCCGTCAGGGCAGCGGCAAAGTCGGCCGCGAATGGCTGCGGCGCCAGGCTATCCACGAGAGCGCCCTCGTCAGTGACCACCCAGAAATCCGGAAGAGATCGCGCGGGAAACTCGTTCAGCTGCACGGTGCGCGCCCCCGTCTCCCAGATCCGATTCAGCATGGGGTCCGAGCAATTGAAGGATCCTGGAAGTTGCGACAAGGGCACCTCATGCACAGCTGGCCGGAAGCCCACAAAGGATAGTTCCAACTCCCCAGCACTCGACAGGTTCAGCTTCTGGTACCGGAGGGCGCCCTGGATCAGACGGTTCTCGTAGGTCTTCTCTTCCGTGATGTTGTACCGATTGATGCGATAAGTGTCCATGGCTGCAGCCAGGGGCAGGGGTCCGTCCGCCTATAGATCGGTCAAGGTCTATCAATGCATGGATGTGTCGCATTATCAGCATGCAACTTACCATGTACGTGTCCAAGAGGGCATTGGTCTCGCTGTAGCTCATCTCGAACACGGAAGTATTTCCCGATCTCCGGGATACGTGAAATGTCCCATATCCTTCCACGTCGCGTCCATAGTCCAGAATGAGGACGGATGGAGAAGTACCGTCCGAGGAGAGGGTATATGTGGTCCCATTATGTACCGCATGGGGTGTGCCGTGGTGGTCTCTATAGATCCGCGGTGCCAGAAGGGCGTAGCCGAAGGTAGCCTGGAGGGCTCCTGCAAGAAGAAGATGCTTGAGACGCATTGCTGGGCATGTAAGCTACAGCGTGTGCATTCAACGATGCAACGAGATGGTCGTTCACGGCGGTTATATAGAAGTCGTGCGTTGCCACTGTTCTATACTTCAGGAGATGGTCTCCACAACGGGTGGATCGGTCGATACGAGTAAACGAGCCCATACTCTGCCAACGTTCGTACCGCGGATCGACGCCGTATGGGTAGAACGAGAATACGAACTCTATGTTTGAAAATCTTCAGACCGATTGTCTCAAGTCTGGAAGATGCTCCATAAAGACTTGAGGTATGGTCAAAGGGGTATACCTTTAGGTTCCTCGTATCTCTCGTACCCAGGTCAATAGCAACCAGGAAGTATACTACCCTAGTTATGCTGACCCGGTATATCTAGTCCCGCTTACGAGTACAGGGAACAAGGATCTACAGGAGTCTGACTATTGCATATAGTATATCATACACAAGCTATAGCTGGGGATTCTGCATCCACGGAAGGATCAAACTTTTTCACCCCATATACTGATCTGCCGTCAGCACATAGGAACCGGGTCAAAATCTATGAATCTGATCCTTGGTGAATCCTAGACGGGCAAGGATTCCCTCTGCACGTCTAGATCCCACCAAAGACTCTTCCAATGCAGGAGGTCCGCAGACGAAGACCTCGGTATCATGGTCCGGCCGACCCACAACATCTCTCAAGAGCTCTTCCCTGATGTAGCCCTTGCGCAACGGGGTATCTTTCTCAGTCGGGCGGCTGACAGTGTAGAGATACTCAAACCGACCCGGGAAGCGCTGCGTATACTCGTCTAGCTCTTTCTTAAGGAGCAGGTCCTGCTCGGTATTCACACCAAAGACTAGTTTAATCCTGGTCTTGTCCTCGGGGTTATCCAGGATGCCTTGGATGAGCTGGTAGATGGGTGTGATGCCAGCACCGCCGGCAATGAGCAAGACCTGCGTGAACTGGTTCGGCCTCCAGGGGAAGCCTTTCAGGGCCGTCACAAAGGTGAGTGTGTCACCCGGCACCAGCGAGTGCAGATGGGTGCTTGCTTTGCCATTGGGGTATTTCTTGACCAATAAGTCAATCCCACCGCGCTGATCTACCAAGCATGATCAGTGATTCGGACAAGCTGCAGAGAACGCGACAGTCATACCGAGACGGCTGATCGGGGTGTAGGGCCGTAGCACCGGCAGCCATCGGCCTTTCGGCCAGGAAACAGTGAGCAGCGCGGCTGGAGAGCTGCAGTTAGCTGATAGTCATGATGGGGAGCCTCCCAACATACAAGTCAGCGTCAATCCGCTTTGGGCCTGGGGATCGGGGAATTCAAAAGCAAGGCGTTTGGTGTTGTGGTTCACTTGTTGGACGTCTTTTAAGCGCAGAGTTGTCAGGCCCAGGCCTCCAAAGACCGTGGGCGGCTCGTCAGACTCGGCATGAGCTGAGCGCATGCCATAGTACGCTCCAATACCGGCGGCGGCGCACGCAGAGACCAAGGCTGTTCGGGACCGGATAGTGTACAGTGGCAGTCGCCAGGACATAATGACGGCGGGAAAGGATGAGGATATGATCAATCAATCAAATCTTTGGAGGGCGTGAAGCTCGGAAGCAGCTTTATACATCTGCTCGGTCCGCCACTCTCCAAAAGCCGCCAGAATCCGTCGGCGTCGCATGGAACCTCGACTGTCCGATGTTCCTCATGGAATCGCACGATTGAGCATTGCAATGGCTGTTTCACAGGGCTGACTCTTTTCTATTCCAGATTGATGCCCCTTCCAGTACTTATATCAGTACTATGCAATATGGCGGTGCTGAAGACATCCGAACATCGAGACGCATGGCCCATGGAGTACACAGACATACCGTTTAAAGACACATCTATCGCCTATACAACTGTTATAACCCACAGCCACGATCAATTAATGCCTAGGTACAACATTGCATCGGTACCTGTACGGATGCTGACAGGTACAGAAAGTGGCCGCATTAGTCGACGACGTCATACAGTGACATCCGTATCAGCCCGTCATCATCACCACCATCATCACTATCACTGTCATCTCCAACAAACCACCACCACACCTCCGACAGGCTCTACTTGATACTTCCAGAACCAATCAGAAAGAAGGAGAATAGGAAAAACAAAATGAAACTCTCCGTCTTCAGCGCCAAGTCCTACGACAAACAATACCTCGACTCCATCCGCGACACCCACCACCCCTCCCTCTGCGAAACCATCTACCACTCCTTCGCGCTCTCCCCCGAAACCGTCTCTCTCGCGCAGGGCAGCGACGCCGTCTGCGTCTTCGTCAACGACAGCCTCAGCGCCCCCGTGCTCACCACCCTGCACAGCTACGGCGTGCGCGCCATCCTGCTCCGCTGCGCCGGCTTCAACAACGTCGACCTCCCCACCGCCGAGAAACTCGGCCTCTTCGTCGCCAACGTGCCGAGCTACTCGCCCGAAGCCGTGGCCGAGTTCGCCGTCGCGCTGATCCAGACGCTGAACCGCAAGACGCACCGCGCGTACAACCGCGTGCGCGAGGGCAACTTCAACCTCGAGGGGTTCCTGGGCGTGACGCTGTGCGGGAAGACGGTCGGCGTAGTGGGCGTCGGCCGCATCGGGCTGGCGTTCGCCCGCATCATGCACGGCTTCGGGTGCCGGCTGCTGGCGTTTGATCCGTTCGGCGGCGACGAGTTCCGGCAGTACGGCGAGTTTGTCGATCTCGATACGCTGCTGGCAAGCAGTGACATTGTCAGTCTGCACTGTCCGCTGACGGAGGGCACGCGGCACATTATCAATGACGGCACGCTGGCGCGCATGAAGAAGGGCGCGCTGCTGGTCAACACGTCGCGCGGCGGGCTCGTCAACACCCGCGCCACGATCCAGGCGCTGAAGACCGGCCAGATCGGCGGGCTGGCGCTCGACGTGTACGAGGAGGAGGGCGATCTGTTCTACAATGACCATTCCGCCGAGATCATCCACGACGACATGCTCATGCGTCTGATGACGTTCCACAACGTGCTGGTCTGCGGCCACCAGGCCTTCTTTACGGCCGAGGCGCTGCGCGAGATTGCTTCCGTCACGCTGAGCAACCTGGAGGACTTTGTCATGCGCCGGTCGTGCAAGAACTCGCTGGTCACTGAGGGCCATTTGATGGTGGCGCCGGATAAGGAGCCGGTGCGGTTATAGTCTAGAAGCATTGATAGATTCATTCCATCATGACCGTCGTCATCATATCATATCATCCGAGACTGCACTATCGTAGAGCACTACGTACTACCACACCGACCAAGCGGCCGACGCAGCAAACGCATGGCCCTAGGGACGATCCTCTGTCCATGGATAAGCAAAGGAACCACCGCAACCAACCACATCAGATACACCAGACACACCGCGCCGGTGATGCGCAGCCTCTCCCCAATCGACAAGACGACGTCCGAGCGCTCAAGCTCCCTCCCGTCAGCCAACGCCTCTGCCATCCGACACGCCACGCGGTGATTGATCTTCTCCCACGTCGTCTCCTCCGCATACAGCCGGGCCGCCGTCGCCAGGCCCTCCCGCAGCGGCACACGCGCCGCGACCTCGCGAACGACAGCAACAAACCGGTCCAAATCCTCCGGCGGAACGAGATACCCCGTCTGCCCGTCCCGCACGATATCCGACGGCCCGCCCTGGTCGCGCGCCACCACCGGCAGCCCGCTCGCCATGGCCTCCAACACGACCAGCCCGAAGGTCTCGGTGACGGAGCAGTGCAGGAAGACGTCAGCGGAGGCATACGCACGGGCCAGCGGCAGGCCTGTCAGGAAGCCCGTGAAGACGACGCGATCGCGGACGGGGTCGAACAGCCGCTGGATGCGGGTCTGGACGGCCGGGTTGCGGTTGCCGCCGACGATGAGGAGCGTGAAGGCGAGTTTCGTCTCGGCGAGCTTGGTGGCTGCGCGCGCGAGGAACTCGAAGCCCTTCTCCGGGGCGAGGCGGCACACGCAGACGAGGATGAGCTCGCCGTTTGGGGCGATGGCGGCGCGGTAGGCGTCGTCGCGGCGGGAGGGGTGGAAGAGGGCGGTGTCGACGCCGCGGCCGAGCTGGACGCACCGGTCCACGGGGGCGTGCGCGGTCTTCAGATAGTCCAGCACGGCGGTGCAGGGGTAGAAGATGGTGTGCACGGCGGCATGGCGGAAGAGGTAGCCCTGCACGGTGGCCAGCAGCCAGACGGCGAAGCGGGCGAGCGGCGCGGGAAAGATGATCTCGCTGTAGGCGGACAGGTCGGTCTGGAAGTTGAGCAGCACCACGGGCGGGTTGCGCAGCTGGCGCGTCTGCAGGAGCACCTGGAAGCCGAGCGAGGCCGGACTGGCGACGTAGATGAGATCGGGCTGGAAGCTGCGGTTGTAGATGTCGTCTAGCCGGAAGGGATATACCACGGTTAGATCCGGGTTGTAGGGTAGAGGATAGCCGGGCAGACGGATATCGCGCGAGGAGTCTGCGCCCTCAAACTGCGGCGCTACGACGACGATGTCGACGCCATGTCGGCGCAGATACTCGACCAGACTGATGGTGGTGCGACTGACGCCGTTGACGGGGCCGAACGATTCGGTGGTGAGCAGGATGCGCTTGGCCCGGAGGATGCTGGGGAAGGCCATGTCGCTGCCTGTTGCAGAGAAGAGTGAGTGTTGTGTTGCTTTGACCAGATCATGAGGCATTAATAGTGGTGATCTTGGTGATGGTGGTGATCATCGTGACTGAGCTTGTCAGGGCTTCACCCGGCCACGTGCGAAAGGGGATGGCCGAGAGCAGACACCATCTCCTCCACTGAACAGCCATGAATGAGCCCGTGCTGGGGATCGCCGTTCAGAGTAGCAGATCTCGGCATGCGATGCAAATGGCATGTGCTGAAGACTGTTGTGGAGGGTGGCAGCAAACAGCCATCTATAAAGATCTATACAGATCTTCCACCCCCTACTTTCTCAACCACCACCATCACCAACATATACAAAAATGGACCCAATATCGCCCGTCTTGCCAGCCTCGCCCATTTTGTCCGAAGAAAGCCCCGACGATGCGTCGACCTGGCCCACAACGCCGTCATCCAGCCCGTTGTTCGCGAGCACCCCCAAACTCGACAACCTGATCGCTCCCTGTTCGCTCTCAACTCCCAAGACCAGCATCACAAATGTCTGCGTGATTGGCGCCGGCTACGTCGGTAAGAGCATCACCCTCTCCATATGATGCCCGAGTTCTACCTCTAACGCGACCAGGGGGCCCAACCGCCGCAGTACTCGCGCTGCACAACCCAGCCATCACAGTCAACGTCGTCGACCGCGACCCAGGCCGCATCGCAAAATGGCAGTCGCCGCATCTGCCTGTCCACGAACCCGGTCTGGACTGCGTCGTCCGCGTAGCGCGCGACGGCGCCGTCGTCACGGATGAAGCCACACCGCACGACGGGGAGCACCAGCGCCAGCGCGCCCCCAACCTGCAGTTCACCTGCAACGCCGCCGCCAGCATCGCCCGCGCCGACATGATCTTCCTCGCCGTCAACACGCCCACCAAGACCTTTGGCGTGGGCGCCGGCCGCGCCACCGACATGACAGCCGTGGACGACGCCGTCTGCGACATCGCGCAGCACGCCGCCGCCGGCGCCATCATCGTCGAGAAGAGCACCGTGCCGTGTGGGACGGCGCAGCGCATTCGCCAGACCGTATGTCCCCCCTCCCCCCATTTCAACCACCGATACCATGCAATAGCTAACGCGAGCAGCTCGCCACACTCCGCCCGCACACTCCCTTCGAAGTCCTCTCCAACCCGGAGTTCCTCTCCGAAGGCTCCGCCATCGCCAACCTGTCCACGCCCGACCGCGTGCTGATCGGATGCGCCGACACGCCCGCCGGCCGCCACGCCGCCACGCTCCTGGGCGACCTCTACGCGGCCTGGGTGCCACGGACGCGCATCCTCGCCGTCAACGCCTGGTCGGCGGAGCTGGGCAAGCTGGTCGCGAACGCGATGCTGGCGCAGCGCATCAGCAGCATCAACGCGGTGGCGGCGATTTGCGAGCGCACGGGGGCAGCGGTCGACGAGGTCGCGCGCGCCGTCGGCATGGACGCCCGGCTGGGCGCGCACTTTCTCCGCGCGGGCGTCGGCTTCGGCGGCTCGTGCTTCCGCAAGGACATCGCCAGTCTGGCGTACCTGGCCGAGTCGCTGGGGCTGCTGGACGTCGCCGCGTACTGGGGCCAGGTGCTGGACATGAACGAGGCGGTGCGGCGGCGGTTTGCGCGCCGCGTGGTGGAGCGGTTTGATGGGAACCTGGGCGGGCGCAAGATCGCCGTGCTTGGGTTCGCGTTCAAGAAGGATACCGCTGATACGCGCGAGTCGCCGGCGCTCGAGGTGATCCGGCAGCTGCTGGAGGAGCGGCCGGAGGAGATTGCCGTGTTTGATCCATGCTGCGACGAGGATGATGTCGTGCGGGAGCTGCAGTGTGCGCGGCTGCCGGGTCTGCGGCGTGTGCGCGTGCTGGCCGACCCGTATGTGGCGTGCGCGCAGGCGCATGCCGTGCTGGTGTTGACAGATTCTGCGCAGTTCCGGAATACGCCGGTGGGCACTGGGTCCGTGGAGGAGGGTGTGTTGGATGATGCTGAGGTTTGGGGCGCGCATGGAGTGCAGTATCGGCTGGCGCCGCGGGCGGCCTGTCCGCAGGACTGCGCGCCATGTCGGACGAGCCAGCCGGCGGCGACGGAGCCGCTGGAGTGGGCGCGCGTGGCGTATCATCTCAAGGAACCCAAGTGGGTGTTTGATGGACGGGGGTTCCTGGATGCGACGGAGATGGAACGGTTGGGGCTTCGCTTGGTGACGGTGGGCAGGCAGTGAGGGCGATATACATGCAAGATACCCAGTGAGAGCACATTATATTCGGATAGACGTAATATATAATCATATCAAGACATGAACACGGTCTCCTACAACGACGCCTCGAACTTCCCCTCGATCTCCTCCACCTTCGCCACGGCCCGCCGATAGCCCTCCTGCTTCTCCAGCGTCTCGACATACGCCGCCAGCCGCGGGTACTTGTCTCCGAGGGGGATGCGCATGGCGGCGGCGATGACGGGGAAGCTCATCATGATGTCGGCGGCAGTCAGCTGGCTGCCGCAGATGAACGGGCCGCCGTCCGGCGCCGACTGCAGACGTTCTTCGAGGAAGTCAAAGTTGGCGAAGACGTTGCGATGCAGGAAGGCGGATTCGACCTTGGAGGCGACGAGGCGGGGGATGGGCTTGATGAAGAAGGGGACGGGGGCATTTTTCACGCCTGTCTCGTTAGCGTTGCACACTCCCTCACATCGACTCGTCGTAGGCAAACGTACTGTCCATGACTAGCTGCATGACGAGGAACGGCATCAAGGTGCCCTCGGCATAGTGCATGAAATAGCGATATCGCATCCATTCCTCCGTCTCGGCGCCAATCTGACCCTCCTGGCCGTCCGGATAGCGACGGGGAACGAGCTTGTCGCCGCCAAAATGGTCGCACAGGTACTCGACGATGGCGGCCGACTCGGCCAGCACGAGCGGCTTGGCGGTGTTGGGGGTTTCGATCGTGAGCACAGGAGATTTGCCGAGCGGGTGAATCTTTTTGAGCTCTGGCGGCGCCATCATGGTCTCGGGGTGGCGCTTGAAGGTCTTCAAGCTGTACTCGAGGCCGAGTTCCTCGAGGAGCCAGCAGATGCGCTGGGAGCGGGACTTTTCGAGCCTGGGGCAATTAGCGAGGATTGGCAAATCTATGAAATGGGAGGAAATACCAGTAAAGGGTGATCTTAGCGCCTTGGTTCGTCATGATGTCGAGTGTGATTTGGTGGGAGAGAATGGCGGATGAGGTCCAGTTTATAGGACTGATACTGATCGGAGGTGGAAGATCAACCTCGGATGTTGCCTGTGAAATGATGCCGATCGGAGCAACCACTGGCCGCGCGGAGGGATTGTTCCCCCGTCGTCAACAGCTGTTGTCCGAACAGTGATTATTATTGTACTGTCATAGCAGCTCACTGATATTGAATCTTCATCAAGACAATGTTGAAGCAATCCTCATAGTTGCAGTGCATACTTGCAAAAAGGTATTCAGGATGACACCTTATCTAATCGATCGATCTAGCGCATATCGGGTCAATGAAATCATCACCTCTCGCAATGCATACCAAAAAGGGCATACATAGTGAAGGAGCGAACAACATACCTCTCAACATAGGGTGGACACAGGGCGAACAAAGGGATGGAATCGCGACACAGCGGCATCCAAGGGCGAAGCTTATGTCTAAAACCACGATGAAGGGATGAAACCCTTGCCATGAGCTCGCCACGTTGGCATCGCTGAATGCTCGACGCATTCTGTCCCACGTCTCTCGTCCAACGCTAAGTGCACCACCGCAGCCATGGTATGACGCCGCATCCAACCAGCACGTCCTGTGCTAATGTCCCATCCTGCAGACTACGATGGACCGTCCCGCGCGAACGGTCCCAATGGAGGTCCTCAACATGTCCCTCCAGCGGACCGGCTCTGCGTGTAAGCTCCTCACTCATCCCAGGGGCGATACCACTGACGCACCCGCAGCCGTGCGAGAAGCACTGAACATCCTGGGCATCCGGTGTTTCCACGGATTCGACCTGTGGCATACGTCCCCCGAGCTCTACGGCCTGTGGCTGGATGTCGTGCGTGCCAAGTTTCGCAGCGACAGTCACCCGCCCGAATACACAGGAAAAGGCGTGCACTGCCAGCGTGAAAGCTGGGACCGACTGCTGGGCGATTTTGGCGGCGCGTCCGACGCCCCATGCATTGCGTTTGCCGACGAGCTGCGTCTCGTGTACCCAGAAGCGAAAGTCATTCTGGTCGAGCGCGATCCTGATACCTGGCTGGAGAGCTTCATGGAGGTCATCGGCAATGAGCTCGGGGGCCCGACGCTCACATTGATGGCCTGGTGTGTCTGACAGCTGAATCTCCTCTCCCTGACGCCAGAGCATGCCAGTGTACTGACCCAAGTCCCTATCATAGGCTTGACCCGTGGCAGTTGGGTCCGCTCCTTAAGGTCGTCCGGATATCAATGCAGGGGCTGTTTGGGGGCCTGTCCAAAGAGCATTTCTGGGCGAACGCCGTCCGGGTGTACAGAGAGCACTACGCCCATGTCAAGGAAATCACGCCGCCGGAGCAATTGTTGGAGTATCGGCTCGGGAGTGGATGGGAGCCCCTGTGTGAATTCCTAGGCAAGCCCGTTCCCAACCAGCCATTCCCGCGACTGAACGAGCGGGGGGCGATCCGCAAAGGCACGATGTGGTACCTGCGACGGCATTTGATGAAGTTGGCGGGAGCGTGTTGTGTGGGAGTGGGTGTGCCAATGCTGGTCAGCTGGTGGGTGCGAGGGCGATACAGTGTATTGAGTAATTAGATAGCTGTCGAGTCGACATTTATTTACAGAGGACTGTAGAAGATGAATGAAGGCATTGGCCAATGGGGAAATGTGATGACTCAGCTCTCACGTGACCGCTCACTTCGACCAGATCCGGCCGACTTCGCGATATCATCACGGCGAACGTCAAACCACTCAGATCCCAATCGTGCCTCTCCGCAACCATGGCCGGTCCCAGCAAGTGTATGTCCACTACGCCCCCTTTGCGTGCTCTCTGTCGAGACTGACCCTCCCAGCCCTGGTCCTTGACCCGGCCCTGCAGAAATACTACGGTACGTCCCTCCATGCATCGAAGACAACGACCCGGAATAGAACACCCGGAGCACATGAACGGACGAGACGGCAAGAGCTCGGCTAATTGCTGCCTGCAGAACTCAACGCCAACCGCTACAAGTACTTTCGGTGGACCCCGCGTCATGCCTTCTTCTCCTTCATCTACATGGGCCTGATCCCCGGCGTGCTCGGATACATTGCCTACAAGACGGATGTATGTGTTATATTCTCTGCACGGCTTAGCCTGCCTTGCGTTGTCTGTCTTGCGCGCTATACTAACTGACTACCCAGGGGAAATACGAGTTCCGCGGAAAGCGAAAGGAAGACACCATCTCGGAGTACTAGGGGAGGAGCTCTGTATCTTAGCACGCAATATACCTGACTACCATTCAACGCCCCGTGCATCGTCTCGTAAGAGCCCAAGTAATCACGATCAATTAGCGGGTATCCCTCTGGACACAACTCCTAGCGTACACAATCCGTAACCCAGACAAGTAGACAAGCAGACGACAGACACAAGATCCCACCCCCAACCCTCAATACGGCGCCCACCCCCGTCGTCCCCTCGACCCCGATCCCCCCTCGGGCACTCGCTCGCCCCGTCTCCAATCCCCCGGCGGAATCCCGCGGTCACCACCGGGTCCCCCTCCTCCCCGTCCACCGCGGGGCCGCCCCCCAAAGCCCGCATCACGGAACGCGCGCATCCCCCCGCCAACACTCGCGCTGATTGCGCCCCTCCCCACCGTCAGCGGCGGCGCAACCGACCCATCCTCCAGCGGCGGCAGAATCGCACAGTCGATATAATCCCCAATGACGAAGCGCACATCCTGCAGGGTCTTATCGGCGTCGCCGCCCTGCATGCGCAGCGGGCCTCGGCCGGCGCCCTCATCCGCAGCGTCGACGGCGTCAGACCCCTCGCGCGGGCCGACCACCACACTGCCCATGTCCTTGCTGAGGTAGCGGCCGCGGCCGGTCGCGTCGGGCCCCAGCGTCGCGGCCGCCTTGGTGTCTGGGTAGATCAGGCGGAAGCACAGGCGCGTGCCGACGGCCGGGTCGGGGAGGAGGCTGGGCAGCGCGGATGTGAGCAGTTGCGAGAGCTCGCGCAGCGTGCACGACTGCCAGGTGTAGATTTGCAGGTGCTGTGCGGGGAGCGCAGCGGTAGATGTGGATTGTGCTTGTGTGCGGATGGCATTGGGACCGCTGACGGGGCCGCCGCCGGACGTGCTGGGAGAGAATGGGATGGCGAAGTCGGAGAGGTGGTGGAAGTTGTGCAGACGGTAGAAGAGCTTCAGGTGGAAGGGGGTCGTTGCCTGGCGGTCGATTGGTTTGGCCATGATTATGGATGTGGATAGATGGTGTTAAATTGGACTTATTAGATCATCGTAGACGGTTGTAGAAGAGAGGGAGTCGAGGGTAGAGAGTAGAGGATAGAGGTAGATGGTAGATGGTAGGTAGAGTAGAGCGGAATGTTGCAGAAGTGAAGGCGGAACAACAAGAATACTTCTTTCTTATCGATCCCGCTTCTCCGCCACCCCATCACTCCTTCACCCATCCCCCTCCGTGCAACTCCTTCGAACCCACCATGGACTTCGCAGCGTTAATGTCCAAGGAGATTTCCAAGGCGAAATCCTCCGCCAGTCCCACCCCCGATGAGAAAACGCCGCCCCCGGACAAGAAATACATGCGACGCGGCGAGCTCGAAGCCGCCCGCGTGGCCGCCTACAACGAAGAACAAGCCCGCATTCAGCGCGAACGCGAGGAGCGACTAGCCCAGAAACGCAAGCTGGAGGACGAAGAGGCCGAGCGGCGGCGCGAGCGCGAGGACAAGAAACGTCGCCTGGCGGAGGAATCACGCAAACGCCGCGAGGAGGAGGAGGCGGCGCGGGAGCGAGAGCGTCGCAAACGACTGGGCCTGCCCGAGCTGCCGCCACCCACCGCCACGGACGAATCGACAAAGGACGACGACGAGGAAGACGACATCCCTGAGGAGGAGCTGGTCGAGAAGCTGCGCGGGCTGGACGAGCCAGCGCGGCTGTTTGGCGAGACGCATCGCGGTCGGCTGCGCCGGTATCGACGGCTGGTGCAGCGGTCGCTGACGCCGCAGCCGAAGATGACCGATGGGCCGATCCCGACGACCCTGGAGCCCGTGCCGGAGGTCGAGATGAAAATCTCGACTACGCTGCCCAAGGACACCGACGGGCGGAAGTATCTGTTCCGCCAGCTGGCGTCGTACTTCAACATGGTCCTGGGGGAGTGGGAGGCTGCGCTGGCCCGTCGGGATGTCTCCGTCAAGCAGAGTCTGCAGGGCCGACAGGCTTACAATGCCATGGTGCAATCGCGGGAGAACCTGAAGCCGCTGTTTCGCAAGTTTGAAAAGGTGGATGTCGACGATGGCGTGTTGGAGCATATCGTCGAGATTGTCCACAAGGCCCAGTTGCGGAGATATGTCGACGCCAATGATGCCTATCTTCGGTTGAGTATTGGAAAAGCGTATGTATCCTGTCTTCTTCTCGTCTGTCTAGTCTTTTGCTAACTCTAGCAGTGCCTGGCCCATCGGTGTAACCATGGTTGGTATCCACGAGCGTTCGGCGCGAGAAAAGCTCCACCAGAGTGACCAACAGGCCCATATCCTCAGCGACGAGATCACCCGCAAGTATCTGCAGAGTATCAAACGGTGTCTGAGCTTTGCGCAGACGCGCTGGCCGCCGGATGACCAGCTGCAGATCATGGGCTAGTGGCCTGTAGCAATCCAATGTACTATAACGATGATGTCTATACCCTTACACCTGCATACTCTATCGAAGCATCCAGAATCAATCGTGCCGTTCTTCGAGCAATGCATTTTATACAATAATCCACACATACTTAGGTAGACATATACTCCGTACATCGCCATGCCAAGCCACAAGCAACAGAAGACACAACAGAGCCTCTTGCACCGTAACGTTTCAGGATCTATATTAATTGCAAATATCCTTCATATCAACCGAAATTGGACGTGGGCCGCGGCATCTTCTAATCGCCTTTCCAAATCCTGCGCGACGGATAACTCAGAACCGCCGTGCTGCTCTGACCGTCAAGCTGATCAGGCCGTCCAGCCATTCCTACCTACGGAGTTGGTCGTGTAACCCCCCTGGATCATACTTGCATCTATATTCTACAGACCTTTCTTCCCACAACCACCACTACCGGTGGCCCGCCTGGACCCACGCAATCAGGAGTTGTTGCTAACTGTGAGGAGTGGTATGTGGTCAAGGCGAATGACACTTGTGCGGATATCGCGAAGGAGTATTCCATCTCTCAAGCGCAATTCTACGCCTGGAATCCCGCCGTGGGAGGTACGTTATATGAATCAACGACGCTAATCTCCAACACAAGGTCCTTGTTGACAACTCCCGCCATGCAGCCGATTGTACCGACCTCGATGTCGAAGACGCGTACTGTGTCAAGCCCCCCACCACTATCAGCACGGTGACTACTTCCTCGACTTCTAGCGCGGTGACCTCGACTGGGACAACGATCACTCCGCCGGGTCCTACACAGGCGGGCATTCCAGCGAACTGTGACGCATATGCATTGACCCAGCCCGATGACGGGTGTCAGGCATTTGCCGACCGGAACAAGATCACACTGGAGAATCTTTGTGAGTTTAAGTGATATTTATTCGAGCCCCTCTCCGACTAACTGTTGCTGTGTTAAAGACAACTGGAACCCATTTCTCAACAATGACTGCGAGAAGTGAGTAAACTCTTCTGCTTCTCTCTGTTCTATTCTCGGTAGCTAATCCTTACCTCTCTTTAAAAGCTTCTGGGCCGAGGAGGCCTACTGCATCGGCGTCTCATCTTGATCTATATGGAGATCGTTTCTTAAAGTCCCTAGTGGTACTAGCTGGATCACAACTCTTAGCGTTCTCCCAAGTACCCCAAGTAGATCTTTGATCAGTGGCGACACCCCGCCTGGCTCACGATCCACGTGTTATATCGATCCATCTGACGCACTCGACAGAAAGATATAGATAGGTGGCGTGAGAATGTCTCCTAGGATATTAAATCTACAAGAGAATCGCATGAAATGCAGCAATAGACATCTGGTCAGTTTGATCAATTATTGCACAACTCAACAATGAGATCCCCTCCCGTATGTTCAAAAGCAACTTTCTTCCACAGATCCAAAACCTCGTCGCTGGGCTGGAATCCGTGGAAGTCAGACCAAGTCGCCTTAGCCTCCCCTTTCGACGTATATCTAAACCAATTATGACCTGGTCCCGTTTGCGTTTCCATTTTCATAAGCTCTAATCGGGGCATCTGCAGCGCCGCTTGTCCAACAGCCATATAGAGATCATTAAACAGATCCGATACGCCGACTTCCCGGAAGTACTTACCGCTGCGGTCCTCGAGAGGCGTTCGTACATACTCTGGGAAGTCCCCATCTGGATCGGAATCCGCAGACTCGAAATCGTCGTTTTCATCGCGGTCTGGACGATCGGTGAAAAGCCACTTTCCCGACGGGGTCACGGGTGTGTATCTAATAATTATAGTAGTAAGGTCTGGCCACGACGGAAGTGGGCGTTTGCTAGGGTCTAATGGCCAGAAAAGATCGGTTCCGATTGTTGTCTCGTAAAGACAGAGAGTCACCAGCTGCTGAGAGAATTCCCGTAGACCAGAACTTAGAGGGTCTGTATTATTCCATGTAATATCATCCGGAGGAAAGTCGTGATTTCCAGGGGGTTCATAATTAAAATGTAGGTTGAAATTCTTTACTGTCAGCGGTATGAGGTTAAGATAGGCCGCGAATTCTATAGAGATTATTAGTTGATTCTCTGAGGACTATTTGTAAATTGATAATATATACCGTTTCGGTTGCGTTTTCTTAGAGCCTTGTCTCGTTTGCAGGTGTCATTCAATAAAAGATTAAAAGTATGAAGACGAGGGAATCGAGAGGCTAGACGGGCGCACGAAGCCGCGTCAATTTGCCGTCTGTCGGATAAAGCCTCGACCTTAAGAGTACGCACCAACCCAAGTGGCTGTACCTGGCTCTCAAACCGATCGTCAAGACAGAGATAATTTCTTTCAAATCGGAGGTTTAAAAGATCCGTGGTGCGGTCGGCACGCGCCGCCTTTTTCCGCCGTAGTCTGTTTGGACACGCAACCAGGTCATCAAGGGACTGGGCTTGGATAGAGAGGGAGATCCCCGGGTGGCTGGAAGGCCATCTAGCAAGAATTCGAAGTATTGACTGGAGCGCTCGGGAGAAGATCTGATTATTACGGCCATGTTCCGCTTCTGTCTCGAAGTGGGCTCGCGCAGATTCGTCGTATGGCTCTAATCCCACAACTAGCTCGATGTGGAATGGTTGAAGCCAGAGGATGGCTTCGACGTTATGGAACCAGGTACGGTCAGGTGATGGAGAGCATCCATGCTACCTATTAAGGGCCAAATTGTTTGGTTCAGTAGGCCTAGCGTCCATAATACTAGGGAATCCCTAATACTATACTCAGTACTAAACCACTTCTAGCAGAGGCCAATATCCTATCTAGCATCTATCCATGCAATACACGCAGGTATATACATCCGCATATATAGAACAATGTCCATACAAATGTCTCCGTCAATCGTGAACCGTCATCTCCATATCTTCATAAGCGTCGTCCATATAGTACCAAGCAGTCCCAGATCCCCAGGCTTCTCAGGATCCGAGGACTCTATCTCGGAATTGGCTCTTTTGCGAACCGCCGGTTCAGGATATACATCATGCCCATCGATGCCATGCATCACACCGACAGTGGGAGGCGTCGCTACCGGTGTCGGCCGCACCGTATCTACCCCCGAGTGCGTGTTCACCAGCTTGCCTGCCGCCTGCACACAACTGCCATAGGAAAACCGAATGAGCGAGTCGCCCGTCAAGCTACCGATGATGAACACATCCGGGGCCACTTCCACATTGTCTAGGGCTTTGTTGCGCAGCGTCTGGCCAGTGATGGTGGGATCTATCTCAGTCCCCGTGTCTTTCCGGCCCAGCACCTCTGCGAGAAGGGGGTGATCCAGATAACCCAGCGAGCCCCGCCGACCGGTGGCGTACACCATGCCCCGAACTGTACGGTCGAAGGTCGTCCCATCGCTCCGACGGAACGTCACCGTTGCCGAGTCCCCGTGCATGTCCACCCGGATGATCTCGGTATTGGGGAGGCCTTCGTACAGCTGGTCCCACGGTCGGCTCTCCAGGAAGGATGTGGACATGGCGCGCTTCATTTTGACCGGGCGTTTGTTTGGTTTACTCGGCTCGGCGGCGAGTGCGGCCCGTTTCATGAGACGATATACCCCGGCATATTCTGGGTAAGCCTGCTGGTGACAACCGCGCAGCGGCGACGGGCGGTTCTCGGGATCCCATTTAAATACATGGATGATTTTCTGGTCGCGCGGAGCGGAGATGATCACATCGGCTGCTGAGAAGCCTGAGCCGATGACTAAGAACGGCTGGTCAGGGGTGGGCTGCATCGCAGCCAGCGGCTGCAGCATGGGGCGCGGCTGGATGACCTCACTGAAGATCCCGCTCGCGAGGACCAGATGCTTGCAATGGATGCGATGTGAATGAATGAAGAACCCGGTCTCGGTCCGCGAAATGCCCCTCAAGGTTTCGTGTGATCGGAACACATCGTCGATGTGCACCGCCTTGGGATACTCGCGGAAGTAATCCGCCGTCTCCTGCCGACTGGGCCGTGTGAAAGCAGGCAATTCCCTGCCCGTGGTGCGCCGGTAGTGCGTGGCGAAGGAGTACCCCGGCAAAGACAGCATGGACGCATAGCTGAGGGTCTGGATGTCCCAGCTGGCCGGCATCGGGTTCTCGGTCCATTGACCGCCGGGATGGGCAGCATTTCCGAAGACAAGGTGTGGTACGGCTTTGTGCGGAAGGTACCGCCATTCCACGTTGCTTGTGCAACCCAGCTCCTCCACATCGACGCTGGGCCGCACGAGGGTATCCATCAAGACATTGACGGGGAGGGCTTGTGTGGAGTAGGACAGCCGCGAGGCGGCAAAATGCTCGGTCAGGAGAGGGACATTGACATCCAGCAATTGCGGGGCATCCTTCAATTTGGCGTGGAGGAGGGGATCAGGATGCGGCGGGTGGGCGGAATAAAACGGGAGATGGCCATGGAGGATGAAGGAGAGGATCATGGCGGAGGGGCCATTCCCTGTGAGATGGTAATTAATATTCTGCTTAACATCGTCCCGGCCTGTTAGACGGCGGCGATGGCGACATACCGATGATGATGGTGTCAGTTTCCATGATTGAAGGCATAGGATGAGCCTCCGGCCGCCCAGTCAGCGCGGGGCATGCTGGACGGTCCATGCGATAAGAGATGGTCTCACAGGGATGCCAATCTAACGAGAACGGACACAACCTTCCAGTGAAGGGGAGCCATGGAGAAGCTGAATCATGGAGGATGAGGTTGCACCGATGTTCTCAATAGTTGATCAGATACGAGGAAGAAGATCGTGGGCGAGCAGAAGAGGGGCGGTTCTTCCGGAAACAGCAATGGCTGACAAAAGGCCCAGGGAGCTTAATAATTGATCTAGATTAGCCTGGTTTCTGGAGAATGTGGAGGATGAGGCAACACGAGGGGGAGGCTCACCATCATCATCATTATCATGATCGTCATGCTCAGCAGCAAACAACCCCATTCATTGACGTTGCGGCAGGGGATCATCCATGGCACTGTCGTCCCGGTGAAGTCATCTCGTCGTTTGCTTCATGATCGATTCTGGCTGACCGTCGAGACTCGAGAGCGGAAAACAGTGGGAAAGTGGGGAGATGATGTAACTAAACACTTCCGCATAGCTGACTCATCCATGCATATCAAGCACACCCTGGGCCTGCGTTGGTTCTATAGAGGGAAAAACAACCTCCAAGCCATAGAGAACTGTAGGCATAGTGGTTGATGATGAGCCGGTACAGTCTGTTTTGGTTGGTCACATCTACGCAGGTCATACGCCTCTGAGTGACACCGTCTGAGACCTTCATGAGGCTGTCCTTTGGCTGGATCGTCAAAGTAGGCTCCAGTCATGCTTGCCGTACTGATATGGAAGGCTATGCCGTCCATATGGAACACAAATGCTGTATGGGCCCGAGTATAGGTGCACACAATGAGCCCCTGCGGTAGGCTGAGTGAAATTTCGAGGGCAAGACTGAGATTGCCTCCTTGCGAGACAGAAAATATGCTAAGAAGGTCCAGGATGCTTTCTGCATGCCCTCACTTGGTGAACATTTAGACCCCAGATCCTAGAGAAGGGGAAATATTTGGACTAGTGTGACTCTGTCAAAGCACAATGGTGGTGTAACTAGAAACACCGGGGTATTTGGTGAGCAGCTACTGGACCCGGAGACATTCAAGGGAATGTTGTAAATGAGCGCGTTCCTGGATTTCCGTGTGCGATGCTGATAACATTGCAGCACTCATATGGATATCAATAGACTCGTACAAACCATCGGTCAGTTTTTTGGATCAACTGAAGCCTGTTTCCGCCAGAGCACGTCAATATAAGGTCACTCTCCGAGCACTATATTCACGTCGGTAGAACCGCTCAGAGCAAGTCTTCTTCGAAGCTTTGTATTCCTGCAAAAGATATACTACTCATCAGCTACAAACCAGGTAGCTCTCGTCATGAAGGCACTTACAATCCTGACGCCCCTGTACCTCTGCAGCTCAGTCTTAGGAGCATGGGAGTGGTGTAATAACAACACCACAGTACGTATCTCATTCCCTGTATCCAAGAGCAATGATTCTCAAAGTCTACAGTGCTTCTCAGTCAATGACTGTATCAATGTTAAAGGCGGGAACTGTACCACAACGGACCCTAGAAAGGCGCGTCTCCCCCAGAAATAGCGATTCCACTGACCATCGCTAGGTGCATTGCGGAACACTCCTTTGGCCTCACTCTTGCTGGCAGGTGGGTATATAGCCCTCTGGCTTTTCATCTAGACTCACGTTTTGTAGGATATATAGAACTGAGGGGCTCTGATAGTTGGAACAGGCAAGCTCGGAGCATAGCAATTTTTATGATGTCAGCAGCAATGAACACATGATACGGTTCTCAGAGCTCCATGACTGGCAGTTATGTAGATATAAGGCGTATACGAGAGGCTCTGCTTTACTTTCCCGACCAGGGTGGCACACAGTGATGTGCTGATTCGTCTGAAGGCCAGGGTCGTAACTGACACTGACGACGGCAACCCTATAGTTCCAATTCCTCCTCTCCGGAGAGGAGAAGCATTTGATAGTGAAGCCACGTCATTGACTTCAACGGTGGCTGTCGCTGTGTTGACGAAGATGATGCTGAGAAGGATGGGAAATGCGAGATGGCCGTGGCCGATATGGTTAGGGTCCTGAGCAAAGGCCGTGACGGAGGTGAGACATGAACTGGTTGTGCGGAGTCGGCTTGATCTCTACAACGGTTTGATTCGGCTAATATGTCACTTCTCAACGCTTCTGGTGGGCCTACTTGTCTATTTAACTTTCCTCGCCTCGTATAAGTTGTATGGCTCGGGGCTTGCGGACTATGGCTTCGTATCCCCTTCGTTTAACACGCAGCTCTGGTGATATTGACGGATTTCTTAATGGACACCCGCGCTTCTGAGATGCAGCTACGTGAATGCGCCTAGACGTAAAAGATGGTTTGATAATCTTCTGGTGATGATTACCAATCTGCAGTCAATGGGGAGGCACAGGTTGGTCTATATAACTAGTAAGTACTGATGTCCCCTTCGCCTCGAGGAGAGATGCGAATCCCAGAGACTCAGACATCCTCAATCTAATTACCTTCAGCAGCATCCTTTGGCCTTTAAAATGTCCCGACAGATCAGGAACGTCGTTATCGCAGGGGTAGTTTGAACTTCTGATCGTAATCACTCCACGTGCCAAAGAGATGTCACTAATTCGTGATCTCAGGCCACCGGAAGCCTTGGATCGCATATCCTGACCGCATTGCTGAGCCACGGCGGCTTCAATATCACCGTCTTAACACGAAAGACCGGCGCCACTTTCCCTGCTGGCGTCACGGCCAAGGCGGTAGATTTCAGCTCTCCCGCGGCATTAGGTCTTGCTCTTGAGGGTCAGGACGCCGTGGTAGACGCACTTTCAAGTCCCGACCCTACCGTTTCCATCGGCTTGATCGATGCCGCGGTCACTGCAGGAGTCTATCGCTACGTCGCCCCAGAGTTCAGCACCGATCCTAAGGACGACAAGACACGGTCACTGCCCGTCTTCCGCGGCAAGGCGCAGATCTACGATCATCTCCAGAAGGTCGCCAATGATCAGAAGATCACCTGGACTGCTATCTCGAATGGTGCCTTTTTGGACTGGTGTCTGCGAACAGGCTTTTTGAATATTGACCTTGTCAACAAGAAGATTGTGCTCATGAACGATGGTACCCGCGTCTTCCCTTTGACCTGTCTTCCCGCCGTTGGTACAGCCGTTGCCAATGCTCTGGCCCAATCCGAGAAAACGAGGAACATGAATTGTTTCATCTACGGCGTCCAGAAGAGTCAAAAGGAGATTTCTGACCTGGCAAAGGAGGTTCTGGGTGCCGAGGGCTGGGAGATAAAGAGCCAGGATATGAACGAGGCCTTTCAAGGAGCTCTATCTGCCATAAGCTCCGGAGACTACAGCTGGACGGTCCTGGGAGACTTGATCCGGTACTCGATCGCAACTCCGGGCTATAGTGGGCTATTTGAGCAGAACCACAATGACCTTCTGGGCGTTCGACCCATGAGCGATGAGCAGGTCAAGGCGTTGATCAAGGAGATCTCTGATGAGCTGAAGCCTGGTCCACAATGAGTAGCAATTAGAAGACAGAGAGGAGTATATGACAATGGACGTTGTATCTGCAGGCGAGCCTCTACTCTGTAGGCCAGTCGTCACATAATCCTTGTTGCCTCCTAGCGCTAACGGATTAGAAAGCGATATACTACGTGTGCTTTCTCGTACCGGTAACAATTTCGGGGGAGTCGATTCAGCAAAATACCCTGGCTCATTCACCCCAGGAATGTGTTTGGCTGGACATCGTCGTTAATTGTTGTACGTATAGACTCAAACAGAGCCTATATGCTCTGTTCGGGTGTATCGGGGAAAAGACGGATCGCCATTTCCACTGTAGACGGATATCCCCATGTCCCCGCCGGGCGGCAGTCGGGGATGCCGGGAAGAGACAATAAGGCCGAATATAAATACTCAAATACTCCATGGAGTTTGCAACACCTGGAACTCCCATATGGTTCAGTTCATATACTCTGCTTGCTTTTCTTAACTCTCACAGCCATGGCAGCTCGGCTTACCTCCTCCTTCCCCAATCTCCCCCAGTTCTCGGGGTTCCAGAAGCCCTGCCGACTGGAGGGCGAAATCCAAGCGCTGCAAATACACGGGGAGATTCCGGCTGATATCAATGGGACCTTCTATCGTGTGATGCCCGATCCTCAAATGCCTCCATTCGTAGAGAATGACTCGGTATGGATATGCTGGTGCCTATCCTGAAAGGCTGCAACATGCTAATACGTGGAGATAGTGGTTTAACGGAGACGGCAACATCACTGCCTTTGAAATCAGCAATGGCTCCGTCTCCTTTCGACAACGCTATGTGAGAACGGAAAAGTTCGTGCGCGAGCGTTACGCGCAGCGTGCCTTGATCGGTCAGTTGTCATCATATAGCTAAGACCTAACCATCAACTGAACTGACCTGATGTCCAGGGAAATATCGCAATAAATTCACCGATGCCGTGGAGTTCAAAGTTCGATCCACCGCAAACACAAACGTAGTCTATTTCAATGGCCAACTACTGGCTCTCAAAGAAGATTCACCTCCCTACGCCTTGGACCCTGTCTCTTTGGAGACAAAGGGGTTGTATGATTTCAACGGACAGCTACCGAGTGTGACATTCACGGCGCATCCCAAGTTCGATCCGGCGACGGGTGAGATGATCTGCTTTGGATATGAAGCCAAAGGAGACGGAACGCCAGATGTCTGCTACTATAATGTCACACCGGACGGCAGATTCACGGAGGTCGTTTGGCTCGTTGCGCCCGTTGTTGGCATGATTCATGATTTGGCCGTCACCGAGAATTGGGTGCGTTTTTCTAGGGGGTTTCCCTAACTCCTTGTAATGACTGACGGTGCAATAGGTCCTCTTCCCTATTATCCCCCAGCTCTGCGATATCGAGAGGCTGAAACAAGGTGGAGATCATTGGCAATGGAGTCCCGAAACGCCGTTCTATGTCGGAGTCCTTCCTCGACGAGGTGCAAAGCCGTCCGACGTAAAGGTATCTACCATTCCATATCAAGACCTCCGACCTATACTTACTTTGATCTGCAGTGGTTCCGATACAAGAACTGTTTCCCCAGTCACACCGCCAATGCCTACGAAGACGAAAGTGGAAACCTCATCTTCGATCTCGGGCTGAGCGAGAAGAATGTGTTCTTTTGGTGGCCAGATGCCGAGGGCAATGCGCCTGAGCCCAGTTCCATTCTATCCCAACTGGTCCGATTCACGATCAACCCGCGGTCTAATGATCTGGATATCCCCGCCCCGACGCTCATCCAAAAAGACAACTCCGATTTCTATCGCATTGACGATCGCTTTGCCACCCAGCGTTACCGCCATTGTTTCTGTAACTTGATGGATCCAGCGCTGGGCACCGATTTCGCAGCCATTGAGCCGAAACTGGGTGGTGGCTACCCGCTCTATAATGCTCTTGCTCATGTGGACGTCACAACCGGCTCAACAGAGGTCTACTTCCCGGGCAAGACTCACATGGTACAGGAACCGGTCTTTATCCCCCGTGAGGGTTCAACCACGGAAGGCGATGGCTATGTGCTGTTTTTAGTCAACAACTATGATACAATGTCGAGTGAGCTGCATTTGGTGGACACCAAGGACTTTTCCAAAGCCAAGGCTGTCGTTCTTCTTCCTGTACGCTTACGCCATGGCTTGCACGGAAGTTGGGTGGATGCACGGGACATGGCGCAGTGAGCTGGAAGAATTTCAGTCGGTGGATGAAGGACAGATGGCGCAGCGGCAACCAGGGGTGACGCTGGTTTTCTTCATTTGTTACTGAGGAACGAAATTGTATCTCACAAACGCGTCGAAATATATATTGGAATCTAGTAGAAACCTCACCAACCTATTGACAGAGATAGATAGTACACTGTTAGCTGTCTATATATTATCAGCTTTGATTATAGCGTCTGTCGGATTAGTATGGAGTGGCTGGTTACCTGATTCGTGCGTGCATAATCCTCGCATTCCGCTTATCCAAACGCACCTCCCTTCTTTCAACACGACCAGCAAGGCTCAACGACCCATCTCTTTGTGGCCATGTCCCTTCGAAAAATTCTCCAGTCTGTTCCCTGCAAACCCTCCTCCCTCGCGGCACGGTTACTCCCTACGGCCAACCTGGTTGAGGAAGAGCACACCCCCTATTACAAGCCCCAGCACTTCTATCCCATCCGTCTCTATGAGATACTCAACAACCGATATCAAATCGCCGCCAAAATAGGCTGGGGAACGAGTTCGACAGTATGGCTAGCACGCGATCTCCACCAGTACGTGACGATTATCTGATAATATCTTCAGGACTTGTCTCATCATGTAACAATAGGTGGCGATGGCTTCCGCCCCGATACGTGGCCATCAAAGTGAACGCCTGCAATTATGCATCTCAAGAGTCTGCGGAACAGGAGTTGCGCATTACGGAGCATATCACCAACGCGAACCCCCGGCATCCAGGCCGCAACTTTGTCGCCACCTTGTTAGACTCGTTTCGTGTGGCTAGCCCGGGCGGCACTCATATCTGCCTGGTCTTCGATGCGCTGTGCGAACCCCTTTGGATGCTAAAGCGCCGTTTCGAAGGAAACACCGTCCCCCTCGGCGTCCTGAAACCGGTGTCTAAACTCATCCTAGAAGGACTGCGGTACCTCCACACCGAATGCCACGTTATTCACACCGGTACCTAGCCATTCGACCGACCATTCCCCCTGGATGGGTGTACAGCTAACAAACGAACAAGATCTAAAGTCCGACAACGTCTTACTGGCCCTGCGCAACCGGTCTATCCTGGACGCGGTCGCACAGGATGAGATGAACAGCCCCTCTCCCCGGAAACACCTGGACGATCGGGACATATACTTATCCCGAAACTACTGGAGCCTGTCGCCCGACGACCTGGGTAGATCGGTAATCACTGATTTTGGGCTTGCCGTGCGCGGTGATGGCCCCGCGAACTGCCATCCCATCCAGCCAGAGGGATACCGGGCCCCGGAAGTTTGTCTCGGTGGGGAGTGGAGCTACAGTGTTGATATTTGGAACTTGGGAGTTATGGTAGAGACCTCGTTATCATCATCCAGACCACCGCTAATAGTTTACCAGCTTTGGGACCTGTTCTATGGGCGTGGACCTTTTGACACAACGCCGGACTCGCGCGGCGCAAATCCTGCAGACGCAGTCCATTTGGGCCAGATCGTTTCTCTCCTGGGGGCTCCTCCACCTGATCTTCTCGACCGGGGAAAAGAAACATCTCGATATTTTGATGCTAAAGGTATGCTCCCTGTGCCTTAGTTAGACGTAACTAACTGATTTAACAGGACAATTAAAGTTCCCCGAGCTCATTGGGAAAAAGGACCTGCTTCCCATGGCTAAAGAAATAGATGATGATGGCGGAACACCCCAGTTTATCGACCTTATTTCTAAGATGCTGCGCTGGAGGCCCGAGGACCGGGCCACGGCAGAGGACCTGCTATCCCATCCGTGGCTTCCGTAAAGGGGCCTGGAATGGGTGAGAAGGAGGTTGATCTGTACAGTAAATAGATATCTCTTCGCTCAAGAGACCTGACTGTCAGGTGTTTCTTTCTGTACCAACTCGACGTCGGAGGGCATATCACCCGGTGGCCGGATCGGGAGAATCCACTCAGAGACCGACAATTATCCCGAGCTCCTATGAACCGACATTCTGCCGATTGATGAGCTGATCGATTGAGCATCGACAGGACAGAAGAATCAGGGCTGTTCAACATAATAGATCTGGTGGGATCGCTATTCGACTAGGCCTAATCCTAATCAGACACGGTCTACGAAGACCACGATACCCATGTGTACACGACCACCCTAATGGACACCCTAAACCGAAGACGAACTTCTGACCTCGCACGGAGTCAGCATAGCTGGTCAGGAGCAGTCGAGATGGACCATACTTAGGTCATTTGCCAATATCCCGACGTCGGGCTGTTCGGCTCTATATACTAGACTAAGAAGCCAGAGGTAGATAAAAGCCCCCTGGCTTCAGTCGGTTGACTCAGCATTAATCTAGTCTATATACGCATACAAGATTGGCCAATCTGATCCTCACAATCAGAATGTCTGTCCCCAGCAAAACTACCGTCCACGTCATCAGCGGAGGTCCGGTCGGATCGTACGCCTCGGCCCTCCTGGCGCACGAGAATGTCGATACTGTCCTGCTGGAAGCAGACAAGTTCCCTCGGTGAGTCTTCAGTGTGCAGCATTTCGGCAGGCGCACCCAGGCTGACGGACTGTCGTTGAAGCTACCACATCGGCGAGGCTCGCATCGATGCGCTTCTTCCTCCGGTTCATCGGTCTCGAGAAGCGGTTCGACGCGCACGGCTTCCAGAAGAAGCACGGTGCCACGTTCAAGATCAACTCCAAGCGCGAGGCCTACACCGACTTCTCCGCCTCACTTGGACGGGGCGGCTACGCCTGGAACGTCATCCGCTCCGAGTCCGCCACGACGATTCAGGCGGTGCGCCGGGGCGAGACCAGCGAGTTCTACGCGGCCAAGTGGCACTCGAGCAAAGTCACCGAGGGCTACACGCGGTTGCTCCTGGTGGTCATGGCGGTGCTCCGTCAGCTGCGCAAGCAGAATGCGGCCGTCATCAGCGACGACGGGGAGGAAGGATTTGACACGGCGTTCGGGCTCATCCAGCCTGTCATCCAGGGCCAAGCGGACACGGGCGAAATCGAGCAGCAGCGGATGGTGGCCGGGGTCGAGCTCTCGCTGGAGCGGTTCAACTGGGCGCCAGCGGAGGTCGAGCAGGCCGTCCTCAACAAGGTGCAGTCTGCGGGACAGAATACGGAGGAGCTGGAGAAGCTCACGCGGGACGAGCTGGCGGTGCTGCAGATCATAATCGGGCGACAGCTCCGGATGACCAAGGTGGAGAAGAATCTGGACAACTTCGCCCGAGATGTGATCGACGGGTGGGCAGCCCGGGTCGAGCGCGGAAATTTGAGGTTGCAGCGCGCCGAAACGAGTATCATGACGGCAGAGATAAAGGATCTGTTCCAGTTGAACCGGTCTTTGGATTCGACCAAAGCGGAGATTCAGCGTCCGGCCTGATGATGATTGTGATCGACCATAGTCTGTGTCATTTAGTATGGGGATTGATTCCTCAATGATCAGATCCTCTTTGTCATCTTCTCTGATGGTATACTATCCTGTAAGTCAGGAGGTTTAAGGTCCTCAGGACAAGGCGATATGTAGAAGTGGAAGTAGTCTACTATGTATCACGTGATGCCAAGACATTCGTAAGCGTTTTGGCGTCGCGGACTAAATCATCCACATCGGGAGGCGCATCGGCGTCGTCAATCAATCAATCAGTCCGTATCGACCGACGGTGCGCATCCAGAACGCCTGCCTAACCATCCGGCGCATGCTACGCTGCCATGATCTGCCCACCCAGTCACTCGTCTTCTTCGTTATAAAATCACCCTCCAGACCGGTTCCCGGCCCGCGATAGTCTGCCGGAGTGGGCTCTAGCTTCTCCGCAGCCACCTCCGCAACGATGTATCATCTGGCCAAGTCATTGTACATGTACGCCACAAGTAAAGAAGGTGCGTGCGCCGTGGCCACTCCGCCGCAGCTGGGCCATTCCCAGAATTGGACTCTCAGCTAACTCGCATGCCGTCCAGAATACTCCGTCCTCCTCCTCGGGCTCGACAACGCCGGCAAAACCACGCTCCTGTCGCAAATTAAAGCCCTCTACCAGCCACGGCCCGATGGCGCGCCGGCGCCCAACCCCGGCAAGACTGTCCCGACCGTCGGCCAGAACGTCGCGACCATCTCGCTCCCGGACATGAACCTGAAGATCTGGGACGTGGGCGGCCAGATCTCCATGCGCAACCTGTGGCAGAGCTACTACTCCAGCTGCCACGCGATCATCTTCGTGGTCGACAGCACCGACGTCGGCCAGGACCCGGATATCAGCCGGCTCGCGAATCGACGGCCCAGCTCGGCGTCCGGGCCCGGAAACGACGCCTTCACGGAGGAGTCGGTGGGCATTGACGCGCCGGGGAGCGAGTTCGGCCGTCTCGACGAGTGTCGCCAGGTGCTGGAGTCGGTGCTGCAGCATTCAGATGTGGCGGGCGTGCCGATTCTAGTGCTGGCGAATAAGCAGGACCGCGAGGACTCTGTCGAGGTGGTGCGGATTAAGGAGGGGTTTGTGCGGAAGGTGTTTGAGGGGGAGACGGGCACCGCGCTGCGTGACAGTCGCGTGCTGCCTGTGAGTGCGTTGATGGGGTCCGGGGTGCAGGAGGCCGTGGAGTGGGTGCAGAGTCGGGTGAAGTGGAATAAGGAGGGAAGGCCGCCTATCATGAAGTGATGGACGCCGTCCCGGGCTGCGATGTTACGACGTGCACGGCCGTAGATGGTTGCTGTTGTTTCTTCGCTGTATGAATGCTTTTTTGGCTGTTGGGCATATCTGGCGCTTGGGGGTTACCGTCTGCGATGATACCTAGATTTTAATTTCTTGTGTCTTTTGTTTCTTTCGATTGATAGACCAGTGACATGACATTCTATCATTATAGCATTGATACTTGTATCGTAGGGTGGTCTTTGGCTGGTATATTTTCGATGGACGGGGTTGAGAGTTTTTGATAGATAGACTTCCGGTATATACACCTCCGCCCAGGTATCTTGCAAACCCAATAGCCCATATGGTGGACGTTACTTTGCCCTGCAAGGCAGTGTAGGCCATGTACGGCATAAACCAGATCTTCGGAGTACCTAGATAGAGTCTTACGCTGAGCCTCATCCCAGCGGAAAGTCCGATGGGGATAGAATACTACATCATGATGTGTATCGACTCTCCACTGTTCCACCCAAGGATAAATCCACCTCTGATGTCACAGAACCAGGCCCTCCCTGGTACATCCCAGAAGAAGCGGACAGATGTCGTTGTCTCGCAGTCGTTGTATGAAGTCAGCGGTGACCGCCCCTTGACGTCATACAACCGTCCGCTCTTGTATAAAGACACCTGCTGTTGAACGCTTTGCCTCCCAAGCTATCGACTACAAGAACAACCAGGATTAATTTAAGACTCGATTCTCCTTTCCTGTCTCAATTATCATCTACCACCTATCAATCTCTCCGACTACACGCACCTTCATCATGAGCAACATCCACAAGATCAACCCCGAGAACAACCCCAAGCAGGGTTTCCACCCCTCCGCTGGCAACTCTGCCCCCTTGACCGACAAAGGAGTAAGTCGCCATCTTCGTCAGTCACGGGCTACATATGCTAACGTGGACAGCATCAACCCGGTCGCAAGGTCTCTCCCTACGACCAGGTCCCCGAATTCAGCGCAGAGACGTTCCCTCCGGGCACAGCACCAGCGAGCAACTCCTACACTCCCAACACAACCGGTGAAAGCGGAAGTCAAGCTTTGAACCCCAACGTGGAGCGCAGCCATGGCAAGGAATCGACCAAGACAAGCGCCAGCGATACTCTGATGGGCGCCACAAGCCAGGACGTGCATACCGGTCTGGGTCACCCGGGCGGTGGCCAGACGAGCAGCGAACTGCGTCACGATGGTCAACACGGACGGAAGAATCCCGGTGTCGGTCTCGAGGGCGTTGGTGCCAACAAGGGCAACAACATGGATCGCCAGATCCCCGAACAACGAGGTATCGAGCGTGATCAGGCCCAGGGTGGGCAGCGTGGCACCAAGGGTGCACTGGCTGCCGAAGATAGACAACCTGAAGGCGCAGAGACAGTCTCTTCAGAGTGGAAGTATGAACCACAGACCCAGAGACAAAGATTCCAGGCATAAGTCGCGACGGTGGATTATCCTTGGTGGATGAATGGGATGGATAATATCTACAAATTATTGTACATTAATTAGATTGACATCGGAATTCAAAAGCTCTGAGCGCACGTACCTTGAGAGTGATCACAGAGTAAATCCTGGAACCACTGTTCTTGCAATGTTTAAGAACTCGCCTGAGATCAAGAAGTGAATCGATGTCGATTTCGCTCGTTGCGCTCCGTGCTACTGAGTTGGCCATTTTCGTTCGCCTGATTGAGCTTCTTGGGCCAGCTGCGTGCGATATCGATGTTCGCTCGCGGAAACCACATCTCCAGAAAAACATATAGAAGAAAATCGATCACGACACACAAGCAAAATAGCTTACCGGCCCATACTCCGCAGCCGTAGTATCGCTTCAAGCGGTCAATGAGGGCGAAGCTGCGGACTCGATCTCTGGCTTCCCACCCCTGACCGGGATAATAGCCGTAGAATTCCTCGGGGCTGATTTCGCCGCTAATGCCTTTGTATACGCGCTCTGTCCGCCGAGCAACGTCGGTCCAGGAATACATCATTTTCACCTGATCATGGAAGCGGTCGGTGCGAACTTTGTTGGAACGCAATGCGGCGATTGCTTTCCCGGTCGCCATCACGAGATCGTCCTCTTCAGGTTTCGCAAAAGTGGTCATGTGTTGTGGCAGCACCTCAGGGATACCACCCACCCGGGTACACACAACGTATAGGCCACAGCTGGCAGCTTCCACAATAACCGTACCAAAGGCCTCAGTCAGACTGGGGTGGAGGTATATGTGACCGCGGACCATCACATCGCGAACTTCTTCGTGGCGAACGGAGCCAAGCATCTCTACCTTATCTTGGAGTACGTTTCTTTCCAGCATCTGCTCCAGATCAATCGCCTTCGGCCCAGAGCCGGCAATGATAAACCGCACATTCGGATGCGACGCGAGAATGCGGGGAATAGCAGCAATCAGGAGGTCGGTTCCTTTGTTGTAGAATAGACGGGAAATCACGACGATGGTGATGATATCATTCGGTCCGATGGGAGTGGGAGCTGCCCGGGACTCCTGCGGTCCAGAGAGGCGGTCCTCTGTGCGAGGCCGGAAGTTTTCCGCGACGACAGCGTTAGGAATGACGGAGACCATCAGGGGGTCCAAAGACGCTCGGAGGACAGTGTTTTCCTTGCTTTAAGGCATGATGAGTATCTCGCACATCCAACCCAAGAAGGACCAAGTTCTTACCATGTATGACTGACACATATGACATGGTCCACATCGCTCAGAGTGAACTTCAGGAGCTTGTTGGTGAGGATGGAAGCTGCATCGGCGAAACCGAACAGGGAATGGTCCGTAAAGACCGTCCGCAATCCCATTGTACGCGCATGGAGGATAGCCTCCTGACAGAAACAGCTCAAGCTAGCATGTCCATGGACAATCTGAATCTGTTCGCGGATGACAATGTTTCGAAATATGGGGAAGAAGGAAAAGACGGTGGGCATTGCCGACTCGCGGTAGATGACGAAGAAGGGCACATGGTAGACCTTGAGTCCGTTTGTGAGATAGCGGACCCCAGTGCGACCCTTGTATGCATGGGTGATGATAATGACTTTGTGTCCGCGGTCGATCAGCTTCTGGAGTGGTTGATTAGATCAGTATAAAGTGGGAGGTTGAATTGAGGCTGGCTCGTACGGTCGATAGTTGGTAGATGTGACTTTCAATCCCACCTGGTTGGGGAAAGAAGAAGTCACAGACCATACTGCGCGCGGCTACTTGTCAGTTCCTGAGCTCCTCCCAGCGAGACTGGTAGACGTACGCAATGTTATAAGACATGGTGGGCGGAATCGCTACCACATGATAGACCAGAACAGTTCGCCGTAGGGGTCTTCTCTATCCAGTCCATCATCCGAAGAGGAAGAGCAACAACGAGAGCAACCAGTTAGCAACAATTAGGGGAGATCAAGTGTTGTGATGCGATGCACGGCGATTGGTCGAGACAGCGTCTGGAGGGCGGGATTATAGGCGGTGGACTAATTCTGCCAGAGAAATTCTCCCCGCTGCGAAAAGTAAAAGAAAAAAAAGCTCCGACAATCTTGGAATCATTACAACATTTTCCTTCTATCCTCCATTCACCCTCCCGTGACCGTGGAAGGACCTCATCGACAATGTCTGGCGATAGTCCTTCTCATCATGTTTCTTCAAAGAAATCCCACAAGCGGAAGAGAGACCTAGATGCTTCCACCGCCATTACTTCGACTCCGACGCCAACCAAGAAACCCAAGAAAGCCGAGAGTCCTTCATCCACTCCGACGCAACCTGGAGAGAAACGGAAAAAGAAGAAGAGACGTTCCGATGTCGCGGCCGGTGACCTTCAGGAAGAGACGCCCCGGAAAGAGAGTCCTGTCACGACGGACCGCAGCAAGACGGGATCTTCAAGCAAGATTGATGCGGAGAAACCGAGGGAAACGACAGCAAAGAGCAGCAAACGGAAGAGCTCAGGAGGAATTGCTGTCGAAGATCAGGAGACTTCAGATATGAATGGAACTTCTGCTGGGAAAATGAAAGAAAGTCCCCGTCAAAAAACCGCCGCGTCCAACGAATCGATCGCCGCACAGGATGATAGCTCCAAGACGAGCAAAAAATTTTCCGGTATCCTATCGAAGTTTGAACGATCCAAGAAAGTTAAGGAAGTCGCAGCCACACAGGAGAAGGATGCAGCCGATCAAGAGACCACGGAACCGACGACGGCAGAGCCCGTCGTCGCTCAAGGGCTCGAACCGCTGCCTCAGCCAGAGGCGGTCCCCGAACAACAAGAGAAGCCGACTTATTCATCTCTACCTTCGTGGTTGGCCAATCCATTCAGGACCCCAGCCGATGAGCGGACGAAGTTCGCTGATCTAGGCATTGAACACGACCTCCTCAAGAATCTCGAGAACAATGGCTACAAGGAAGCATTTGCTGTCCAATCTGCGGTCATTCCATTGTTACTGAAGGGCCCTCGCAATCACCCAGGCGACTTATGTATATCCGCCGCTACGGGTTCAGGAAAGACTCTGTCATATGTTCTGCCGCTAGTCACTGCATTGGAACAGGCTCCCGCACCACGGATGCGTGGTCTCATTGTCGTGCCCACAAGAGAATTGGTAAAGCAGGCAAGAGAGGCCTGTGAACTTTGTGCCGCAGGGTCAGGATTGCGTGTTGCCTCTGCTGTAGGAAACGTGGCAATCAAAGATGAACAGCGCTCGCTGATGCGCGTCGATCAAGTTTACGGTCCGGAAATCTCCAGGCAACGGCAACACACTAAGATGACAGATCAGGATTGGACCAACTTCAACTTACAAGAATATGTTGCAGATGTAGCTGACCGAGGTGATTGTCTCCCTGGCTATGTCCACAAGGCGGAACCAAATGTCGACATTCTCATTTGTACGCCGGGTCGTCTTGTGGACCATATCCGCTACACGAAAGGATTTACATTGAAGCATCTGGAGTGGCTGGTAATTGATGAAGCTGACCGACTACTCAACGAAAGCTTCCAAGAATGGGTGGATGTTGTTATGACCTCCTTGGACTCCCGGAAGGACAGTGATGCATTCGGGTCGAGTGGGCAGATCATGGCGGATCTCGGTCTTCCTATTCAGACGAAAGAGCCTAGGAAGGTGATTCTGAGTGCGACCATGACTCGGGATGTGACGAAACTAAACTCACTTCGACTGCTGAACCCCAAGCTTGTCCTTGTTGGGTCTTCCGAGCCTACGGGAGACAGGAATGAGGACGAAATGGCTTTAGACCGCACAGATGAGCAATTCACACTGCCGCCAACATTGAAAGAGTATTCCGTCTCGGTGGGAGATGGTTCACAGAAACCACTCTACCTGTTGCGCCTGTTGTTGTCGCACATCAAGGTGTCCTCTAGCAAGAACGCTAAGAAGACAGTATCGGACGACGCCGAATCGGACACCTCAAGTTCCGGCGGGTCTAGCTCAGAAGACTCCAGTTCGGATGACTCTAGCTCTGATGATTCTGACTCCGACTCCGAGTCCGCATCTTCTAGCTCTGAAGAGTCCAGCTCAGATTCGGACTCTGATGGTTCGGATGATGACGATTCCTCGTCCAGTGAGGAATCTACTTCATCCGATAGCTCCATGTCAGAGGACGAGGAGCCCACGGCAGTTGACTCTAAAGCCAGCGCCTCCCGGACAACTGTTTTGATCTTCACCAAGTCGTCGGAATCCGCATCTCGACTGTCTCGGCTGCTGTCACTCCTTGATCCCTCTCTGGCCAGCCAGATAGGCACGATCATCAAGTCGAACAAGTCCTCGGCGTCCCGCAAGACTCTGACGGCCTACCGCCGCGGAAAGATTTCCATCATCATTGCTACGGACAGAGCCTCTCGTGGTCTTGATTTACCATCCCTGAACCATGTGGTCAACTACGATGTCCCCCCCAGTGTGACGACATATGTCCATCGCGTTGGACGTACGGCCCGAGCTGGAAGGGAAGGCTCTGCTTGGACCCTCGTGGCGCACCGGGAAGGCCGATGGTTTGTCAAAGAGATTGCCGCCAGTTCGGATGGCAAGATTACCCGGTCAACCAAGGTGAACAGGGTCAGCATGACACTGGCCGACATGAAGGAAGAGAAATCGAGATATGGAAGAGCGCTTGACCTGCTGGAGAAGGAAGTCCGGTCGGGGGGAACGGTGAAATCATCCCGGGTTAATGCCTAGTGTTCCGACATTGCTGTACATAGTTTCCATCCAACACGGTTAATCTGTTGATTCCCGGCACCCGCTAAGGATCGTAGAGCCGAGGGACGAGCATGTGGCTGACCGGCTAACCATTAGTCGATGCTTGTATCCAACCCTAATTTCACGAGACATCCTAAGTGTTACCTCCTATCCAGCTTGTGTTCGAGTGTGAATGCTGACGAGGAGATAGCGAGATGAAGTTGCATATTGATGGCATCGCGAGTTGACCGCGACCGACCCCCTCGGCAAACATCCGATCTCCTCCGGTCCCAACGACATCCACCTTTTCATCTCCTCATTTTCTCCACCTGAACTCTGCTCTTTAGCCAGAAATTCAGCTTATGCGAAGCTGCTGCCTTAGACTGACGCTAGGCGGTTAAATTGCACCAGGCATGTGGAGAATTCGGGGGTGTCTGTGCCCTCAGGACAGTTGGAGCACTGTTGCGATCATACCATTTCATCAGGGTCCCTCTGATGGAGGATTCAGGCTGAACCGAGAATGTCATCGGGGGTAACTTCGGCGTTTCTTTCGTGTTAGAACGCGGAGGTTGCTCGTCTACTGAGCCTACCGCTCGCTTCCGTGACATGCCGGCAATTTTGATGCCCATCATCATGGGCTCTACTGACTGTGTATACCCTTGTTCTGGTCATACTAGACATCGGGGTTAAACATCGCCCTTAGCTGCTATGGCCCATCATTCGTCCGGTCCAAGCCAGTCCGTGCTGCGAGTCGGCATCTATTGGTGATAGTGGCGCGGCCCGAGTACATTGAACGGTGTACACCGGACAGTTTCCTCGTTGCGCTATACTTGTCTTCCGATATGGATAGCATTCCCATTGTCATCTGGTTCAGGCTGAATTGGCAGGCGTGGGGCCCGATTGATACAAATTCCGACGTATTCCCGCCTCGATCGATGGGATCGACCGCGGGTCCTACTTCATTAGGGAGGTAAGAATGTGGAGTGCGGAGTCGGGGCATGGGAGGGAATGTTGTACGACGATGACGCTCTTTGCAGCTCTTGGGTATACTCGTCCAGCACTATAAATAAGGATCCCTCCCCCGATGGATTGGCCACGGATTGACCGGCATCACCCTCAGTCGACGCGCAAACATCCTTACTATGCCTCGCGTCGCATCCGTCGCCGCCGTTCTGGCGGCCCTGCTGCCATCTGCCTTGGGGCAGGCTAACACAAGTTATGTCGACTATAACCACGAGGCCAATCCTGATCTCTTTCCCCAGTGTGTCGCGACCATTGAGCTCTCATTCCCGGACTGCGAGAACGGGCCTCTCAGCAAGACCCTCGTCTGCGACAAGTCCGCCAGGCCTCATGACCGAGCCGCCGCGCTGGTCTCCATGTTCACCCTTGAAGAGTTGGTCAACAACACAGGAAACACGGGTACCGGCGTCCCTCGCCTGGGACTACCCAAGTACCAGGTATGGAGTGAATCGCTGCATGGCGTGTATCGCGCCAACTGGGCGTCCGAAGGCGACTACAGCTGGGCTACCTCCTTCCCCCAGCCCATCCTCACGATGGCTGCGTTGAACCGTACCCTCATCCACCAAATCGGCGACATTCTGTCGACGCAGGCTCGTGCCTTCAGCAACGTCGGCCGGTACGGCCTAGATACCTATGCACCCAACATCAACAGTTTCCGCCACCCGGTCTGGGGTCGTGGCCAGGAAACTCCTGGTGAGGATGCTTACTACCTCGCCTCGACATACGCCTACGAGTACATCACCGGAATCCAGGGTGGCGTCGACCCCGAGACCCTCAAGCTAGTGGCAACCGCCAAGCACTACGCCGGCTACGACATCGAGAACTGGGACGGCCACTCGCGACTGGGCAACGACATGCAGATCACCCAGCAGGACCTCTCGGAATACTACACGCCGCAATTCCTGGTGTCTGCGCGCGATGCCAAAGTCCACAGCGTGATGTGCTCCTACAACGCCGTCAACGGCGTCCCCAGCTGCTCCAACTCCTTCTTCCTGCAGACCCTCCTGCGCGAGACCTTTGGTTTTGTCGAGGACGGCTACGTCTCCGGCGACTGCGGCGCCGTCTACAACGCCTTCAATCCGCACGAGTACGCCGCCAACGAGTCCAGCGCCTCGGCCGACTCCATCCGCGCCGGCACCGACATCGACTGCGGCACCTCTTACCAGTACCACTTCACCAACGCCTTTGACGAGGGCGAGATCTCGCGCCAGGACATCGAGCGCGGCGTCATCCGTCTGTACACCAACCTCGTGCGCCTGGGCTACTTCGACGGCAACAGCAGCCAGTACCGCGACCTCACCTGGTCCGACGTGCAGACCACCGACGCCTGGAACATCTCCCACGAGGCCGCCGTCGAGGGCACCGTCCTCCTCAAGAACGATGGCACCCTCCCGCTCGCCGACTCCATCCGCAGCGTCGCCCTCATCGGACCCTGGGCCAACGCCACCACCCAAATGCAGGGTAACTACTACGGCCCCGCGCCGTACCTCACCAGCCCGCTGGCGGCGCTCGAGGCCTCCGACCTGGACGTGCACTACGCCTTCGGCACAAACATTAGCTCCACCACGACGGCTGGCTTCGCCGACGCCCTCGCCGCCGCCCGCAAGGCCGACGCCATCATCTTCGCCGGCGGCATCGACAACACCATCGAGGGCGAGGCCCTCGACCGCATGAACATCACCTGGCCGGGCAACCAGCTCGACCTCATCAACCAGCTCAGCGCCCTCGGCAAGCCGCTCGTCGTCCTCCAAATGGGCGGCGGCCAGGTCGACTCGTCCGCCCTCAAGCACAACACCAACGTCAGCGCCCTGCTTTGGGGCGGCTACCCCGGCCAGTCCGGCGGCACAGCCCTCCTCGACATTATCCGCGGCGTGCGCGCCCCTGCCGGCCGTCTCGTCACCACCCAGTACCCCGCCGGCTACGCCACCCAGTTCCCGGCCATCGACATGGGCCTGCGCCCCAACGGAACAAACCCGGGCCAGACCTACATGTGGTACACCGGGACGCCCGTGTACGAGTTCGGCCACGGGCTGTTCTACACGACGTTCGAGGCCAAGCGCGCCTCCACGGCCACCAACCACTCCTCCTTCAACATCGAAGATCTCCTGACCGCGCCGCATCCGGGCTACGCCTACCCCCAGCTGCGTCCGTTCCTCAACTTCACCGCCCACATCACCAACACCGGCCGCACGACCTCCGACTACACTGCCATGCTGTTCGCCAACACCACCGCCGGCCCCGCGCCCCATCCGAACAAGTGGCTTGTCGGGTTCGACCGGCTCGGCGCGCTGGAGCCCGGCGCGTCGCAGACGATGACGTTCCCGATCACGATTGATAACGTCGCCCGCACCGACGAGCTGGGCAACCGTGTGTTGTATCCGGGTCGGTATGAGCTGGCGCTGAACAACGAGCGCTCGGTCGTACTGCGGTTCACTTTGACCGGTGAGAAGGCGGTGCTTATGAAGTGGCCGCTGGAGAAGCAGGAGATTCCGCCCGCTGCCTAGGGAATGGATAGAGCGCTTTCAGATATAATCGGACTCTCTCAGTGCTACATGCAAGCATTGTGAGGGGCGTAGAAGTTACCATCTTGTTTAATTAGATGAGCAGTTAATACTAGCCCTGGTACAGTACATATTCAGCCAAGTTTATTACTCTAAGGAACACCAGTATACACATCATATATCCTTACATTGTTGATGGTGCATATACCTATTTGGCAAGCACCTTGATGTCTAACCAAAACTCCATGTGTTTCCTTCGGGCTTAGTTACTCGTGATGCATAACGCTTCAAATGACCTCGATCAAATCATAATCATAGCTCATTACAAGTCAGACCTGCGTCCAGGTCTCTACATCTCAACCATACGAAGTAATTCATCATACTCCCCAGTATTGCGAACCATATCCCAAAACACCCCCTGTTTCTTGATCAAATTCGCCGGGGAGTCATTCCTAGACAAGTCAGCAATCATCCTCAAAAGCAACGAAGGAACAAACTCACTCGACAATCTCCCCATCCGCCATGACCAGCACGCGATCATAGTCCATGATCGTGCGCAGACGATGCGCAATCGCAATAATAGTGCAGTCGGGGAACATCGACCGCAGGACCCGCTGCATGTGCATATCCGTCTCGTGGTCGACCGAGGCGGTCGCCTCGTCGAGGAGTACGACCTTCGAGCGACGACACATAGCCCGCGCAAGACTGAGGACCTGCCGTTGACCTTGGCTGAAGTTCTCTCCATTCGCAGCGACAGGTGTATCCAGTGTAAGCGCACGGGAAGACTTGTTTGTGTTGTGGCCGTTGTGCTGGCCTGCGGGAGGGCTACTGTGATTATGGTTTACTGCGGCCGTGCTCCCTTCCGGGACTTGGATGGAAGTACATGCCGCCAGGGCAGAGCGCAGCTCAGACTCGCTGGCTTCGCCGAAAGGGTCGAGGTTGGAATGGACATCGCCGGAAAAGAGCACCGGCTCCTGCGGAATGAGGGTCACGCTGGTGCGGAGTCGGTTCAGAAGCACCTGAGAGATATCGACGCCGTCGATGGTGATGCGGCCGCGGACGATGTCCACAAATCGAAGCAGCGACAGGCCTAGCGTGCTTTTGCCGCTCCCCGTGCGACCAACGATAGCAATGCGTTCGCCCGGATTCGCGACAAAAGACACGCCGCGGAGGACGTCGGGTCCGCCCTCGTGATAGCGGGCGACGACGTCGTGGAACTCGACGCGGCCGGCAATGGGCCAGCTAGCAGGGAGGGCAGCGGCGGCTTTGGCGCGCTTCTCCTCGGAGAGCTGTTCCTCCGGCGCGATGTCGGCATACTCGCGCATGCGTTGGAAGCAGTTCAGCTCGACCTCGAGCTCGTTTGTGGTGCGCACAAGCGTGAGGATTGTTTGACTCAGGCCAATAGCGTTGGTCAACGAGAATCCGACGAGGCCCGCAGACCCAGGCCAGAGGAATGCAACATATCCGGCTGCCGCGGCGACGGTGGCGGCGCACAAGTCGGATCGCACAGACACCCATCGGTTGCAGTTATACTGGGCCTCAGCGGAGCGAGCATGCACAGCTAACTTCTCGGCGAGAAGCCGCTGAAAGACAATGCCCATGCCCGCTCTGGCGCGGATGACGCTGAGGCCAGCTAAAGAGTCCGTAAAGTGGGAGAATACTGGGGAGTAATTTATTGAGCAAAGACGCTTGATGGAGACCTGCGCTCGGGTATACATCTCGCCAATGGCGAACCCGGCAGAGCAGACGATGGCGGCGGGGAGTGCAAAGATAGGCATGATGGATGCGACGCTGGCAATGCGGAGAAGAAACCGCAATCCATTGTCGATCGACATGCGCAGCCAGTCAATAATAATCGTGTCCATGGACCGTGTGTCGTTCCCGAAACGGTTGATGGCTCGACCGATGGGGTTGTCGTCGAACCAGGAGATGGGAGCCGAAAGGACCGCGGTGACAAGCTGTTTGTGCATCTTCTTCGCTGCAACCCAGCTCCCATACTGGTAGATGAGATTGTTGGTAACCTGCATAATGAGAAAGAGGATAATCAAGGCAGCATAAATAGCAAGGTAGAACATCGTGTCGGGTCTTTCGTATTTCTCATATGAACCTGTCCAGAGGGACAGCCAATAAGTGATGGCGAAGTATGCTAACTGGACCGAAACGGTTGCCAGAACAGCGATAGGTGCATAGAATGGCCCACCGAATAGCCGCATGTACTGGAAGACTATGGTCTATCAGCATACCAGTCAATCCTTCAAAATCCACTGACTTACAGAGAGTGCGAGGCACGCGCCCCGTAGCCGATGTTTCCTTTACAATACTCCCTCCTGTGGCTGGTTGTCGCTCGTATATCGCAGGTGGGATGGTGGCCGATGGGTCCACTGGTGAATCACAATGGTCAATAGTTTCTGGATTTGCCAAACTGCTGGAATCGGTCTCTGTCCCCGGGGTGGTATAGCCGGAGGATTGCCTTAGGGCTTGTTGGACATTCGGTAACGCCGGGACGGGCAGCACTCTACCATGCTCCATGCGAATCACCAAGTCGGCTTCTTGAAAGGCAGGTGGATAATGAGTGACCAGGACTACTGTGCGATCAGAGAGGAGACCGCCTCGGAAGCATTTCTCGAATACCAATGTGCTGGTATGCGTGTCAAGAGCAGAGAAGATATCATCCAGCAGCAGCGTAGAAGAAGGCGAGTACAGCGCTCGCGCTAGAGACACTCGCTGCTTCTGCCCTCCAGACAGAGACGTTCCCTTTTCTCCCACCAAGGTCAAGTCACCAGCAGGTAATTGTCGCAGATCCTGCGCAAGACCACTTGCTTCGACAACAGCATTATACCGCGCTTCATCGAATGCACTATAAAACGTGATGTTGTTACGGACCGTGTCATTCTGCAACCAGGGCGCCTGTGGCACATAGGCCACGTCTCGCGGGCAGGTGGCAGAGCCCGATTCTAAGACTGTTTCGCCCAGCAAGGACAAAAGCAAGGAAGTCTTTCCACACCCGGTCGGACCGGTGACCACGTTGAGTGCCCGTTGCTTGAAGCAGAGAGACACGTCCTGCAGCCTGAAAGCGGCGATTGGGGTACGTCGAAAAGTGGCATTCTTCATCTCCAGCGGTCCCTCTGGGTGTCGCTTGATTTCTCCCGCAGAGTCGAAAAACCGGTCTATCCGACGAAGCGACTCAGCACCCTGCGCGGAGTACCGACTGACGTTGGAAAGCCACACAAATTGAGATCGCAGGGTCTCCATGATAGAAAGAGACGTGAACGCGACAGGAGCTCGCAGCGGGAGGCCTGTGAACAGCACGAAGATCGAAAACATGACCAGCAGGCTCACCATCGGGAGTAGATCACCAGCCATTGAAATCGCTGCAGCGTAGACGCTACGTCTCCAAAGACGCCGTTGTTCAACACTGCGGACTTCGTTGATCGAGTCCATAGCGGCATGCTCCCAACCAAAGTATTTCAGGGTGCGTATCGAACCCAAGTACTCCGATATTTTGGCCAAACGCACATCGGTCGCGCGCATTACAGACTGCTGGATACGGGACACCCTGCGAGATGCCATAGCCGGTAGAGGGGTGAGCAATAGTAGTGCGAGGACGCCAAATACAGACGGCCATCCGAGCATTCGATAGAGGAAAACAAGCGCCAGCGTGGTGGCGATCGGACTTGCCGTAGCCACGTAAAAGATGTCCCGAGAATTGTATATAGCATCCACATCGTACGACATCAAACTGGTCAGGTTTGCCTGGCTCGACTTTAGGGCTCGTTTGGAAGATTTCGCGCTTTGACACTTCAAGTACCCGCTTGTCTTTTGAAGGTCCACGGAGTCGTCGTAGATGTATGACTTCATCGCCGTCTCGTAGATCTCTTGGACAAGCGAGATGTTAACCCGCACAAGAAGCCGAGTGGCCGTGAATATATACTGCTGATAGCAAAGGGAGCGTGTCATTGGTCCAATAAACAGCAGCGACACCCAAAGGATCGGCTTAACAATGGCATCATCCGGCTCTTCCAGAAAGGCGAGTAGCCGCAGCATTGCATACGGAGCCACAAAATCCACGACAGCGGTGGTGGCCGACCAGGTCATCATCGTTCTGATCTCCGTGCTGAGCAGCCGACACAATGTCCGCAATGTCTTCCCTCCTTTGAGGCGTTGCTGCTTAATTTTCTTCAGCCACTTTGATGGATCGTCGTATGATGGCAACGGGGGAAGATCATCCATTGTGAGATCTCTGCGGAATCCGCGTAGGATCACGTATGTGATCCATTCGTAAGAGCAGTAGTATGAGAATAAGGAACACGTCTCCTCTGGAGAGGGACCTCCTATCATATTTGACTCACGGGTCTCCGGGTCGATTGCGAAAGGCCGGCGTGGTCGGGGTGTCGCAAGTGCGATTAAAATCACTGCCGCCATGCACAGCATCAGAGCAACTCCCACCCTACTCGGACGATACGTCGCGCCAATAATTGCCATGGGAGCCAGGTCCTGTGCAAATGACAAAAACAAGGCAGCGAGAGCCATAGCATTCATATGTCGATACGCATGCGAGCGGTAGGTGCGATCTCGGAAGCAGTACTGGATCAAACCGAGGAAGACGATATAGCTTAGCAGTAAAGAGCGTTTCCAGCCGGGGCCATGATGGACATGAAGCCACCCCAGACAGCAAGCAGCGATGGTTACTGCCAGATGAGCGAAAGCATACGGCAATGAGACTATGATCTCCAAATCATCTCTAGACTGTTCAAAACTCCGCTCGGATTTGGACCTCCGCCAGCGCTTCAGGTAACGCACGGCGACTGATATGACGATAACGACACAGGATGTCACCAACGCTGCCAGATGTAAGTCTCCTGAAGCGACAAAGGCCGAGACTAGCTCGGTTCGGTGAATCCAAGCATCCCTGGGGTTATAATCAGCAATTGGTCTACGGAGCGAACACAAAAAAAATCACAAGAGTCACTGACCTCGGCCCTCGACCACTGTCAACCAGAGACCTGGTCTCACCCTCCCCAGCTTGGCCTATTGAAAGACCAAAAACATGCTGGGAAGGTAGGAGTGGCTCCATCTTGTATAGCACCGGAGACGTCAAGTCACCGAGGGGCTTGCATTGGCCGTGGATGCAACACTCGACCAACAGCAGAAGAGTCCAGCGAGCACAGCATTGGGTAGGAGAAAATGAGTCTTATTGTTAGGTACAAAGGACTTAATCCATTGCACGAGCGGGTGGCAGTGGGGGACAGGAGTCCTAGAGTAAAGCTGGGGAGACAGAAAAGTCGGGGAAGTGAAGTCTGGAGAACGTTGGAAGCAGGGCGGAAAAATCGGGGATGGAACCATGGATCGCACTTAGGGTTGCATCTGATAAGGCCCTATCTGATGTCCGCCTGCACCCTCAGGCATCCCCCTTTTTTTAAGTGATAGCAATGAAGCAATGAAAACAGTACAACCAGTAAGAATATCCCACATTACCGTCTCTGCTAATTCACCGGAGACTGTCCGTTGCGATACAGCCACAGCCGACTGAGTTCCTTCACCTTCTTTCTCCCAGGCTTGTTCTCGCACTCTGTGCACTCAGCGCCCTCGACGGACAACAATCCTTCAGAAATCCCATTGTGACCATCTGGTTGGACCGCAGGAGTCGATGTTGAGCGGCCCCAATAGGTTCGCCCACAACCGCGACATGGGGGAACCTCGACCTCCATCTCCATAAACTCATTCGTATCCAACATCCTCTTATCAGGTCCGGTCAGAAACATCGTGTCCAAATAATGCTGGACCATCTGGTGGCCTTTACCCGGACGAACAAACACCTGTCCGACGTAGCGATTAGGGATTCGGGCGAAATTGATGATCCCCCAGCGGCATACGAGGTCGCCCTCGTTGGCGTAGTGCTCGATATGACGGAGACACTTTGCACGGGGAATCTCAGGAGAGGCACCAATGTTGCTTGGAGGTCGACCACTAGACTTGTAGGGGTTGTTGAAGTGGTTGGCAGCGCTGCCAAAAGTGTAGACCTCGAGCTTGTTGAGGATGTCGCACGGCAGCTCATCAATCAACCAATCGACAACCAGACTTCCCTCGATGCCACCCTGGCTGTGGCAAATAAAGACAACCTTTTTGTTGTCCGGGTCCAAAAGATCCTTCTTTACGAGTGCGTAGGCGTCTCTGATATCCTGTGTTGCGTATGAGAAGTTTCGCTGGATCAGGCATTCGATGATATCGAAAACCATCCCGTATCTATGACCGTCAGTCCAGACACCATCAGAAAAGAGCACTAGAGAGGGTCTCTCTACTTACGTCTTATTGTGCACACCAGTCACCCTCCGACCAAACGAGCACGCCAGTCGATCGATACTGTTCTGCAGCCACCTGCGTCTACACATGTGACATGACCTGTCAGCCCCGTTTCCAATGGAAGATCATTCGCACCCCTGGACAAACAACGGTCAATTCTTACCCCACTGAAATTCCATTCAAGAAAACCCAGCACTCCTGCCGATGCTCTGGACGCTCGGTGTCGGGAACAACCGAGCGCAAGATCGGACCGTGCCGATTAAACACGACATAGCAAATGACCGTGTTTATGGCGAGAAACACGGCGGCATAAATCAATATCGCCAAGGCAGGAACCATGAATAGAATGCAAAAAGGCAGGGATATCAGAAATGCCAGCTGGGACACGCTCAACACCAGATGCACGATGAAGATCCGGACGTTGGCAACGCACAGATACATTTCATCCTGCTCTCCCGAAGGACATGGTGTCAGCGGCGTAAAAACGCCGAGAAGATGGGGCAGGCATCGAAAGAATAGGATAATGTCGGCCCAAAGCAGTTTCAACGGCGAGTCAGTATAGGGCAGTGGCACCTCTGCTTCGGCGCCTTCTTGGCAAGGGAGAAATGATGCCGACATGGCGAGTGGTATTTGTAGGAATAGAATCTGGTATAATGACTTGGCTCGTGCTGATATGGGATATTGTTGATCTTGGTTGGGGAGAAGAAAAGGGGTATAGGGAAAGGAAAGCAAGTCGGAGGAAGTTGCTACGCTACATAGGGGTCTTCATTATCTCGTGATGCCCTCTTTCCTTTTCCTTTTGAGACAACCGAAGTATACCAGGTAGGCACCTACGTACATGCCTCCAGTCAACTGACAGCTATCCACATGATGATGTCGTACATGTACGGCCAAAGCGAAGGACAACTGGCAGGACATGTCTTGGACCAGGCGGCTGATTCCTTGAGCTGTCGGTGAATCACGCATCCAAGGATATCTCCATGAAACTATACAAAGAACGCTCACAACACCTCACATCCAGACAAAGAGATATCCATATTTCCTGGCTCGTTCCTTGCACACATAGTCTTTGTAGACACAATGGAGGAACTCGCTGTTCCTGTCGGGATTTCACCGTGAGAGAACAAAGACTGGCAGGGATGCCAACAATGGCATTATCAGTTGTATGAAGCTTTTTATAACAGCACATCACATAAGACCACCATCTAGAAGTATTATAAATAGCCTGTAGACTCTGTCTGAATGTCTTGTCTTCTCTCCATCCAACAAGATCATCAAAGATCAAAACAACAAAAACCATCTCCCTTTCAAACCCACTCTCAAATCCCCAGCATCACTGAGCTGTTGTGTCCACAAAAGTCCAACGTCCTCCAGCCATGCCCTCCAACATGGACCGCATTCAGAAGGCTGTGGACGCACACGTCCGCCATAGGTACCCTCTGATGGTGTCCGATCTCACCAAGCCCGAGATGAAGTTGCTAATTTGGGTGCTGAACATAGACAACACTCAAGACTTCCTGCCCCGACTCCCAGAGGCAGAGCGCATCAAGCACGCCATCGCGACTCTGCCCCAGGTCATGCGCAGACACTCCTTGGTCCTTCGTGTCGTGTCCAAGGGCCGCAGGCGGGCGCGGATGCTCTGCGGGCCCCATAGCGACCTCAACCCCTTCGTCGTCCACCACATCTTCGAGCTCTTGGACGTCGAGATCGTCGAGCATCTGTGGAAGCTAGAGCGTTGTATTGACCTGCTCGAGCCGAGCATCCGCGAGATCATCAACGAGCTGCAGGCCATGCGTGGCATGTGGTGGCTGCCTGACGACCAATTGATCCCCGCTCCCGACAACACTATCTTCCAACGCAACCGCTGCGAGGCCTGTATCCTGGCCCGGGTTGTGGACGAGCCCATGTACCTGCAGAACCTGCGAACGGCCTTGTTGGCTCGCTCCACGCTTAAGCGGGCGCCCCGACTACTCTCCTTCGTGGAAGAGGCGATGAACACTCACGCCAACCTGACCTCCACCTTGTTCTATATGAGCGGCCAGCTGGCCTTTGATATGAAGGCGGCGCGCAAGGAGGCGGAGGACCAGTGGTGCATGTCCAAGAGCCGCGAGGAGATCGAGGCCCTGGGAGCCCTGGCGAAGAAGCGTGAGAAGGAACTCCAAGAGATGCAGCGCAGAAATATCGACTCCAAGCTGCAGGAAATCCGCGTCTACATGGACCCTGAATCGGATGAGGGCCAAGAGGTCCTGCAGGCCGAGTCTTCTAAGGGCAGTGATGGCGCTGGTTCTGCGAGAAGGCCACAGGACGGTGATGATCCTCTTGTTGATGAGATTTCTGCAGCTTACTCTGCGTTGTCAACTGCTGACGACGAGCTCCCGCCCGACCGAGACGCTTATCCTGAATCCCGGTTTACCGCGACGCCGTCTGAGTACGCCTCTGTTTGTGGTGCCAGCGAGCTTTCGGTTGCCCCTGTAGCCCCGTTGTCCATCCAGAAGAACAAGCCACTGCCTCCTCTTCCTAGAACGCCCCTGCCCATGGACTCTGACTTCTCCAGTGCGGGACCAGCCACCCCATCGAGCGCAGACAAGGGCAAGGGACGAGTGTCAGATGCTACCGAACCCAAGCAGCGCGGTAAACCTTTACCTCCACGGGACTCCATCGACTGGGCCAATGAGTTGCATATGCGTAGCCCTATCGATAGGGCGCTGGAACATGCCCACGAGCTCTATAGTCCTCGGGTCGAGGGTGCGGACCAACATGACAACCTGCTCAGCCCACAGGCGGTTAGATACTCCGCGTCAGAGTATGAAGATGCTCCGGTTAGAGAGGACATCCCCTCTTTTGTTTCGATGGACGAACGCAGCCCTGGTGGCCCGTCTGGGCCTAATGACACCACTTGGAGCCTTTTTATGAAGTCTGGCATGTAGATCGTGCGTGTCTGGGCCTGGTCATTGCAGGAGCGAGCGTTGGTTCAAGAATTGTTAATGTTTCGTATCTTTTCGTATGTGACTGGGATTCGTGTCTGGCTTTTTTGATTGATATTTTTCTTCACTAAGTCATAGATTGTTCGGCGTTGTTCATAGAGGGTGGTTTGAGTTATAGACCAAAAAGACAGAAAAGAAGGGAAAAAAGATTAAAACTTCACACCTAATTCCACTTTCACGTAAACATTCCGATTAAAAACAGTGTACCAGAAAAAGAGAAACCATTGTACAGAGCTAATCAGTAAAGCCCACAGTTATTAATACAGCGTATCAGCTGACCTGACAATTGAAAGCGACATTATCGTTAGAAAGGAGATGGCCCGCAACTCCGTATCCAATTTAAGGGGAGCAAGGAAGGGAAGTATGGATATTAAGAAGCTAATAGGAAGTATTCACGAGAAACGGAAGGCCCGGTCAAGAGGATGTTTAGAAAACACTGCTGGTCACCCCGTGCTTGGAGCCCTTCAGGCTATCCACGCGAGGCGATAGGGTCGCAGTCTTTCTGCGCAAACGAGAGCGCGTATTCGAGTCGGTAGGCTCCTCCGGTGACACGGTCGTAGTCGATGGTGCCGACTCGGCTTTGGCTTCAGCTGCTTGGGCCGCATCATTGTCCACTTGTTTTTGGGCAGCTTCCCGGCTTCGCTCATAGCGCAGTTTGACGTCTCCGTGCCAGCGCGTGTTGAGAAGACGGTCCCAAAAGGTGAAGAAGGGCTGGGAGAAGTTGGTCTTGATACCCCAGCTTTGGTGATGAATATCGTGGTAGGCCGCATTGTTGGAGGTTAGGTGCTGCAGAGGGTCCCAAGGGAATGCATAGCCGCAGTGGTCGTCGACGGTTTTGATGGTCGAGAGGGTGAAGAACCACATGCTCTGGCGGTTGGTCATGCGAGCCGTGAGAAAGGCGACGCCCGTACCCGCAGTGTCGAGGAGGAAACCTTCTACCGGGTGGTTGTACAAAGCACCAAATGCGTAGGGGACGTACAGACGGTGGTGGCGCGAATGGAAGGTGACTGGAAATTGTCAGTAAAGATGGTATCGAGACAGTGGTCGGATCATGACTACTGACCATAGAGCCAACGGTTCAGATGCATGGCGCGATGGAGGAAGTACTGCCAAGTGTCGACAACGCAGACACCCCAGATGAACTGTAATGCCGGAATGAAGTACCAGTAAATGAAGCTGGCAAGGGACAGCTCCCAGCCAGCGAAGGCAGGAACCAACGCCTCTGCACCGCTCTCAAGGGTGACGGACTGTGAGAGGCCCGAATAACGTCCGCCGGCGACCACGGCGCCGAGGATAGTGTGACCGTTGTGCGACAGATTCTTTGCCAGACCCAGCGCATCAATACCGAACAGGGCCAACAGATGAGGGAGGCCTCTTTGGGCCCAGCGAATGCGACGTGCCCAGACAGCCACATCATATTCCTCTCGGCCAATATACTCCTCCTCGTCAAGGTAGGATACTGCAATACCCGCAATGGTTTGGATCACCTGTTGCAAGAGAACATCCCGAACTACATCCCAGCGTGTGACGTGGTTCCGTTTCAAAACTTCGGCGGGGGTGTGAAGGCGGTAGTGAGGAAAGAGGTCGTAGACATCAATGAGGTGATAGATCATAGACAACGCCCAATAAGCGACAATTGGAAGGATCAATGCCAGGATATTGTCGGGAATCGGCGCGAAAAGGGGAGGGCGAGGAGTCAGCGTGTACTCCGGGAGCGGAGGGTAATCGGAGACGTAGGATGCATTGACTGCCATGGTAGGGGGACAGACAACGATAGTGTGATCGAGAAAACGGAGGTTGGGAAAATTAGAGCATCGATTGCCTTGCAACGAAAGGAAGAATGCGACTGATCGGAGGCAATATATAGGTCCAGGGACAGAAAGAATGTCGTAAGGGAAAGGTGGTGTGGTGTGGCAGGCAATAGGAGGCGGCGCAAAGAGGCGACCAGACGACCGCCCAGGACGGAGATGAAAACGACGAAAAGTGCACTCGGAGAGTACCAGTGGCAGGGATTCAAGGAAGGATCGATGGATTATCAATAGTCGGAGGAAATGAAGAGCGAGGGAGAGAGAGAAAAGAAGAGAAGAGAAGAAGGCACCGGATGGACAGGAAGAGAGAGAGGAAGATGGCGGAGAAAAGTCGACGATAAAGCCGTGAGGGAGTCGGATTAGTGGCACCACGGACTGGAAGGACACCCGATCGGGTATCGGAACGGTATGGGACGATCCGCCGAGGGAGTTTCGCAGGTTATGGGCGTATCTTTTCCAGTTATGGTACAGTATTGACCGAGTCTCCATGCTCCGTCGATCTCCCCCCTTATGGGACCGCGATGGGCTGCCTGATCGGTGAGGCAGCATTGTGTTGTGATATGGGCGCATCATGTTCACGCATTATATACCTCACATTTATCCAGAGCCATATTTTATGTATTATAATATCAGAGATCTCGAGAATCGTAATGGTGTTGTAAGGCCACTTCTTGGTGCCTGAGGTATTGTTCTTAACGGCCAATCGTCCCAAAATGGACTAGCCCCGAATTTGCCCCTCGAAAAAAAAAACATCAAAAATTCCCCTCTTTTCTCCCTCGTTTTTTTCTTCCTCTTCTTCTTCTTCTCTCTGTGCCGCCATCCATTTCCTTCCTCTCCATTCTCTTCGTGCTTCCGGGTCTCTTTTCACCCCCTTCAATCCATCAAAATGATTATTTACAAGGTGAGTCTTCCTTTTCTGCAGAAATCAGAATCTCCTTGCAGAAATCTCCTTCGTTGTTCATCCTGGGGTCTGCCCCGCTTCCATCTCAACACCACAACACCCATCATATCCCTTCATGTTCCAGTCAATTCAATCCAAGACAACCAGAAACTAACCCCCTGGTCCATAGGATATCATCTCCGGTGACGAGGTCCTCTCCGACACCTTCAACATCAAGACCGTCGACAACGTCTTCTACGAGTGCGACTGCCGCAAGTACCTCAAGAAGACCAACGAGGACTTCGAGCTCGAGGGTGCCAACCCCTCCGCCGAGGGTGGTGATGAGGAGGGTGGTGAGGGCGAGCAGGTCATGGTCCACGACATTGAGGACCAGTTCCGTCTCGTCTGGCTCAAGACCGAGGAGGGCATGAAGCCCTCCAAGGATGCCTTCAAGGGTCACCTCAAGAGTATGTCAAACAGACCCCCTTCTCTTTCATCTCTGTTTCGACAATCGCTGACCCATCCCAGCCTACATGAAGAAGGTCCTCCAGAAGCTCCAGGAGAAGGGCGCCGATGAGGCCACCATCAACGAGTTCAAGTCCAACGCCCCCGCCGCCGTCAAGAAGATCCTTGGCAACTACGACAACTACGATGTCCTCATGGGCCAGTCCATGGATGGTGATGCTATGTATGTCATCCAATCTCGTACCGCGTTCGATTAAAGCAGAGGGCTAATAACTGTTCCAGGCACATCCTGATTGACTTCCGCGAGGACGGTGTCACCCCCTACGCCACCCTCTGGAAGCACGGTCTTGAGGAGATGAAGGTCTAAACAGACGGTGTGCTGCACCTGTCCGCTTACCGTTGCTGTGAATAATCTCATGTGAAATGAAGAAAGGAGGGTTCTTGGGAGATGATGATGTCCGCTTTAATCTAGAGAACTGCTCGGTTGGGTCGGGAGAAGCCGACCTCTATTGAAACATAGATCCGGCTGCGCCCTCCCTCCGTGTGTTTTCCATTGGCCTAGCTCTCACTCTGCTGCGTCGCATCTTCTGTGCCCTACTTTGATCCCAGTCACGCCTCATGAATCCCATAGCTGTTACGTCTTCTTCTACCTACGTCAAAATCCTTGCCACCGATTGATCGAAAGAATCACATGTCTAACGTCAATTCTACGTAAATCAATCCCACATCTTTCGTAAACTATGTACAAACAACCGGGTATATATACACTTAACACACAATATATCCAAGTAATGACCACTCAACAGTATCCAGTCCAGTCGGGTCCAGGGATACCTCCCTCGCTACCTGGCAAACCACTTATCGTTTGGTCTCCACCACTCAATGGCCCGCTGCCAAGATCACTGAACTCAAAGCCCGCCACCGGATCCAGCTCCATGAGCTCATCCGACACTGGCAGATGTTGTCCAAACACAGCATCCCACTGGTCCCAATCGAAGGTCAGATTCGGATCGACCATTGATGGGGGGGTTGGCACCGCTAGGGGCTGGGTGGTAGGAGAGATCGAGTCCATGTACTGCACAGGAGCTGGTGGAGTGGACATAGGGTTCATGGGTTGGGTAAAGGGGAGATTGGTGTTAAACTGCGGGACACTATTGGTAGATGACATGGAATGGCCACGAACAGAGCTGTCGGCAGACAAGTTCATATTTGGTGTAGCGGATTGCGAGAATTGCGGAGTAGGAGGGGCAGCAGGCCCAGGAGCAGGTGCAGCTGCAGGTAGGCCCTGAGGAGTTGTTCCGCTGGAAACAGTAGCTGCAGGTGAAGGAACCTCGTTTCGAAGAGGACTAGGCCGTAGCGTCGAGACTGGGTTCGGAAGGACATGGGACCGGGTCATGTTGTAGAACATCTTCGAGAAGTCGGTCAATTGCTGCCGGGAAACATGTGGCAAACCGGTCGGCGGCGTGGTGACGGGTGGGCTGTTCGCGTAGTACGGGTCTGTCGCACAGGGGACCTCGTTGGGGACTGCGGCAACCCCAACTTGGATTTGGGCTTGTTCAGTCCATAGCTTATTGGGGTCCAGGCCGGCTTTCTGCCAGGCTTTCTGGCGTAGTCGACGAATCATGCCCCATGCTTCACGGCCGCCGTCTTTCAAAGGTCGTTGGGTAGAAATACCGTCTTCGCCGCCGACCACACCTCCATCGGGGCCGGTGAGCGTAAAGATGCGGTCGATGAAGGCCCGAGACTTGGCCGCCTCCGGACTATATGGACGTTCATAGAGATCGATGAGCATGATCATGGTCGCATGCATAGGTTGATGATTGCCGGGCCAGCTCCATTGGAAGGGTTGAAAGTCAGGGTCCGTAGCAAGAGAGATGAATTTCTCCATGAAACCATGACAGTGACGAAGAGCACTTTGATGCATTAGAACCAAGATGATTTGCATGAGGTGTGGCGAAACTATACCTGTTTCTTGCGGCGGGCCAGATACGGCTTTTTGCGTTCTTCAAGAAGGGCTGATATGCGACACAGAAAGCCTTCATAGTAGCAGGTTAACATCTCGCTTGTGGGAGATTCGACAGAAATACCAACCTTGTCGATGAACAGTGAGAGGAGTATTCTTGCCCATTTGTGGAAAGATATAAGCACAGGAGTGTGGTACTGCTCAGAACAACCGGCTTGCCCTTCACCCGGCAATTCCGTACCACTGTTCTGGTGTTCTCCTGGCGACCGTGCATCAGAGAGCGAGCGGTTCGAGAGACTGGGAGACACGCCCAGGTTTTTGCCTTCTGGAATTCGATCAATGATCGAGTTGAGTTTGAGTTGCAGATCAAGAAGAATTGATCGCAGTTCCTCCATATCCCTCCGCGTCACAGGTTTGGTACCCAACTGAATCTTCATGATCCTTCGCACAGCGCCTAGCATAGAACGGTCAACAATCAGCAATTACACCTCCAAGAGGCCCAGAATACTTACGAGCCATCACATATTTCCCTCGAGCCGATAGATAGTAGACGTTAACCATAGACGGGCCACCACAAACCGTCGGATCGTCGGGATTGTCGGGTGGCCGCATACCAGAGGCAACCAACTCTTCGTATTTCTCTGCCTCAGGGCTCCCAAGAAGCGTATCTTTAATCTCGCTGGCATCGCGAACATCCCAGAAATTCTCGTCTCCAACCAAAGGGGGTAGTCCACTGGACATAGCAACCACGCCATCCATATGCACAATGTGCCACCATATTCGCCGACGATACTCGGCCTCATAAGGCTGGATGCCAAACTTAGCCGGGTCTCGATGTAGGCCCATGGTCTGAGCCACCCTCATGGCAAAACTGATAAACAGGCTGCTTGTCAATGGCTCTTCTTCCTTCGATAGAATTGTCTGAACGAGAAGATATGCGGCCAGCCCTTGTAGAGATGGGCTTCGTGGAAAGGATATTTTGGTCAACCATCTGGTCACCTCTTCATTAAACGTTTTTGACAAAGCAAAGCGAGACGCAACATTGAATTCAGCTTTGATCGTCCGGATGGAGATGGTGACAGATCCGCCATACCAAATGGCGTAGAGTAGCGGGATAAACGAAGGGTCAGGGCACGGCTCGCCGGAGTAACTGCTGTAGTCGTACCACTCCCAGAATGCGTTGTATAGTTTGAGGATGGTAGGGGGATGAACAACAGGACTAATTGCATGAACACCGGACATGAATCCTCTGTATAGTATATGACTTTGTCGTTTTGTCGGTACGTTCTCCAGCATTTCTGGTTCAACAACCTTCTCATTCACAGAGGGAGACCCGCTGGACGGGAACATGACGGATTTTTGGAATGTCTCCCCAGAGGACATGTGGTCGCCGGGATAGCTAGCATGACTATCAAGTGATGGCCGCCATTGGCTACCCGGAGTTCCCCCGAGGGGATCTGATACGGCCTCATCAGTGGGATGGTTAGTAGGGGGGGTGTCGTTATGTGAACGTGTTTGATCCCGGAGTAACTGGTTAAGCTCGTTGATCTGCGATATCGTTAGCTCGAATCTCGAAGAAAATGCAGCGATGGTAGTACCTCCTGCGAGATGTAAGCCCAGTAAGTCGTACCAACATATCTAGATCTGGTCAGTCACACAGCCAATGGTGCCAGCAACAGTTAACGCCTACCGTGATCTACCTCCATCCTCTAGACTCAGATGCCCTAGATTTAGACTACCGACCGGATCGACCAAATCGGTCGCATGGCCAGACGGGATAGGAAATTCGTCTCCGCTCGAATCCGCTGCGCGTCGCGGACTGTCCGGTCGAGGGGTAGCACGCTTCAGCGTCACTCCCTGGCCATGACTGGTAGCCGCCCGGGTATCACCCTTCACAGCATCCAAGTTCACATTTTGCGCCAACAATTGTCGGTCGGCCGGGTCAAGGGGTTGGTTGGTCTTGCTCAACCGCTCGATCATCGATGTCAGTTTATCCAGACGGGCCTCGATCGCTTGCGACCCGATCTTCTGGTCGGATCCAGCCTGCTTCAGATGACCGTAGATGGATTGAAGGTCTTCCATAGGATCATCGTCCAGCGGTCGCGACATTTCCCTCCGTCGTTTCACTCCATGGCCGTTCTTTGACTGCCCCGCGGCATCTTTCTGTGGCGGCGCATCGTACACGCATTCGGTCCCGTTCTTCACGCAGTTTCCGCATACAGGATGTACCTAGCCCTTAACTTAGCAAGCTTGTTCTATGGTTCGAAAAGGCAATCCCGGGTGGTCAATACCTTGTCGCATTTGACCTTGCGTCGGCGGCAAGTATGACAGCTGTAGCTGGCGCGATTCCGAGTGATCTGACGGTGGTGCGCCTTTCCCGGTAAAAGTCTGGGGGCGGTAAACGGAGCGGGTGTTGATGAAGACGAGGATGCGCTGTAGTTTGCCGGGAACTGCGAAGGTGTAGTCTGGCCTGAAGACCCAATTATGGGCGGGTTGTTCGTCGGAGTTGTATTCATCATGCGTCGGGTGCAGTGGCGGGGCTTCGGAGAGAGCGGTCGAGACCGGGCGGATGGTTCATAGGGTCCTTTGCATGTGGGTGAGGACTTCGATCATGTATATGCGAGCATGCGCCGCTTGATGGGGCACAGTAACGAAACACCGGCAGGGCGTGATGGTAGAAGGTTCGGAAGAGCTGGGTCTTGGGGAGAATGAGTGACAGACGCGGGACTCCGGGGTAATACTACATTTCCTATTCCTATGACGGCCGGTGGTTAGGTAATGTTACCCTATCTGGTAAAGTGACTAAGGGAAAAGTCGTCTGAGGCCAATCGGAGCGGGCCGTTACCCAAGCAGTTCGAATTGAAGTTCCCGTCATTACGGAGTACACTGTTCGAGCATATATGCAAACCTCGGGTCCGGAAAGGCCACTCCTCACAAGTAGTTCAATTCATCTGGTATCAAGAAGAGCACGTAGACCCTCTAGTGTAAAGCAACAAACGCCTTACGCCCGTCCAATGCAACCACGAGCATATTCATCCCACACATATAAACAGCGAAGAGATAGTCATCGTCCAGAGGAAGCCTTTTTTTTATGCCTTGCCCTTCTTCTTGTCCTTCTTTTTCTTCTCGCTTGCACCGCCTGAGGGTCCACCCATCATCGCGGACATATCGGGCATGCCAGGAATCTGGGGCATGCCCGGCATCCCACCCATGTTCTGCATCTCCGCCATGGCGTCCTTCAGCGGGTTGTCGCTAACACCGCCGCCACTATATGCCGGGGAATGGATAGGCAGAATCTGTCCAATCTTCCAGCCACGGGGGGCAGAGGGAGCGGGCGGTAGTTTCTCGGGCATGGGGAGACCTTGAATCCGCAGTCGGTAGGGCGATTGCTCAGTTGTCGGGTGCGCTTTCAGATACTGGGCCACCAGAATGTACAGATGATGCTCTTTGCGATCGGTTAGTCTCAAGTTCCACATCAAAGGGGCAACTGCAGGAGCAACACACTGTTCTTGATCTTCGGATTCACCGACTGCCCATTCTCATTCTTCAGCATCACACGGACCCTTCCCGGGTTCGCCCAGTCCTTGGGGTGCAGCTTTTCCGGCTCGAACCCCGCAGTCAATCCCAGCATTTGCGTAGCATCAAGAATGTCTCTGGCCAACGGATTCTCCACGGCCAACTCTGCACCGACCTTGCGACCCTCGGCGCGGGATCGCGACTTGTCGAAATACACGGGATACAGACATTGATAATATTTCGGGATCTCACGACGCGGTTCCGGGGCCGGTCTCATGGGCATGGACGTGGTGCTCGATGTCGGAATGCCTGCGGCGGAGAGGATCGAGGGGTTCAAATCGGAGGGGGCCACCTCCTCAGGGTCGGAGTCAGAGACCTCCTCGACTTGTGCATTGCGGGACATGATGCTTTTTCCGGTATGTCTGCTGCACAGAAGGAAAGAATTGAGGTGGTGGTGTCGACCGTGGGCTGTGTGGGAGTTTGTATCTACGTCAGTCAACAGCGCAACACGGCGCAGTGGCCTCTGTGTGGGTTCGCCTGCTTAGTCAGCCATAGCTCATCACCGTAGTTATATACTTCAGTACTTGCACCTATAGGTGAAATTGGGCAGTCTCAATCAACAGTTAAGTAGAACATGCTTTCGGATAGAATATATGGGTGTCTGATTTTCTCATTTGTCTATAATACAACAAATGGGAACGCGTATCGGGCGACTATATGAATGCTTTGCTCCAAGATATATATGTGCGGGAGACATCACCCTTCAGGCTGGGAACAAAGCCGTAGATGTTTTCATACACGATTATGTATTTACTGAAAGGGCCAAAAATGAGCGCGATGAGTCCAAACTCTCTAATATAATGCGAGCAGTACCTACGAAAATATTGATCTGTTGGCCATCAATTGGAAGAGAACGACCTAGTAATTTCGAAGGAGGAATGGATATCAGCTCTAGGTACTATCTTATTAGAAGTTTTCCGATCCGCCCTGTGTGACCTTCACGTGCAAGCACATGTGATTCTCAAAGGCTGGTACGACCTTTGTCGGTGAAGGAGGCAATACAATGGGCATGGGATGAATCATAGATGCCTACTGAGCTTTGACCCCCTACCATTAGATCCATCGCCGACTGCCGTTTCACATGGAGAAACCACCAGCTCACCCAGTAGTCTGCGTCTCGGTCTAGCATGGAGAATCAAGCAACATTCTGCGGCAAACAACTCCACGTCCCGGACATCTCTACCAACCAGCCGTGACGAACAACACCGAACCAGTCAGAGATAGATCTGAGTACAAGGCGGAGAAAGCGACAACACCGCGATAAGACATCATGACATGCAGGCTAACCCCGCATATCGCGCGTATCAGCCAATTACCCCTCTAGGCAGCCCTTGCTGGCGGGTCGTCGGCGGGGAGAGCGAACCGGATTGTCGGGATCCAGTCGGCATCCCGATCCCCGCCCCCTCCCATCTGTTGTGGCACCGAGATAACAACCTTTTACCTTAGCCAACTTGCAACGGTCTTTTAACACTCACTCCTTGCCATTCCTTCCACAGACTCACTCACTCACTCCATCATCTTTCAGATCCAACTATCTCGATTCATCATGACCCAGAGTACGTACCACATCCACAAACAGACAACATCTACTCACTACTACATACAGTTACCAGCGCCGTCCTCCACCGTGACACCCGCTTCGTCCCTAAAAAGGCCATCGGGGGAAAGGGGAGCTACCTCTTCCTGGAAGATGGTACCAAGTTCCTTGACTCCACTGGCGGTGCGGCCGTCTCGTGCCTTGGACACGGCCATGAGAGGGTCAGCGAGGCGGTCATCGACCAGATGAACAAGTTAGCCTACTGTCACACGGCATTCTTTGGCACCGACGTGTCCGAGGAACTGGCGACCTTCCTCTGTGACTCCACGGGCGGCAAAATGACAAAGCTTTACGTAGTCAGCTCCGGTACGCTCCCAGCTTCCTCCCTATACAAACAATCCAAGTACCATCGCTAACCCCTCATCCCAGGCTCCGAAGCAGTCGAGGCCGCGCTGAAGCTGGCCCGTCAGTACTTCCTCGAGATCTCCAACCCTCAGCCCCAGCGCACCCGATTCATCAGCCGTCTTCCCTCCTACCACGGTATCACGCTCGGTGCACTCAGTGCGGGCGGCCACGTCTACCGTCGCAAGCCATTCGAGCCTCTTCTCTCCCAGAACACATCCCACGTGTCACCGTGCTACGCTTACCGGGGCATGAAAGAAAACGAGTCAGAGGCGGACTATGTCCAGCGGCTCGCCGACGAACTGGACGCCGAGTTCCAGCGGGTCGGACCCGACACCGTTTGTGCCTTCATCGCAGAGCCCGTCGTCGGTGCTGTACGTGTCTTCTCCCGTTCTATAATTCGCTCTACTCGCTGAGACTAACACCTCAACCTCGTTACACAGGCTCTCGGCGCCGTCCCCGCAGTGAAAGGATACTTCAAGGCCATGAAGGCCGTCTGCGAGAAATACGGTGCGCTGTTCATCCTCGACGAGGTCATGTCCGGCATGGGCCGCTGCGGCACCCTGCACGCCTGGGAGCAGGAGGATGTCGTGCCCGACCTCCAGACCATCGGCAAGGGTCTGGGTGGCGGGTACGTGCCCGTATCGGGGGTCCTCATCAGCAACAAGATCGTGAAGGCCATGGACCAGGGCTCGGGTGCGTTCCGCCACGGCCACACGTACCAGGGCCATCCGATGGCGTGTGCGGCGGCTCTGGCGGTGCAGAAGGTCATCAAGGAGGAAAACCTGCTGGAGAATGTGCGGAACATGGGCGCCTACCTAGAGCAGCAACTGCGGAGTCGGCTGGAATCGCATCAGTACGTGGGAGATATTCGGGGGAAGGGGTTGTTCTGGGGAGTAAGTCTTTCTTTCTGGGGAACATGCTGCGCGCAGCGAACTGACGGGGTTTAGATCGAATTCGTGAAGAATAAGGAGACTAAGGAGCCGTGGCCGGTTGACATCCCGGTGGCTACCTATATCCAGGAGACGGGATTGAACCCGGACTATGCTATCTCTCTGTATGCAGCGTCGGGCACCGTGGACGGCACGCGCGGCGACCATGTCCTGCTCGCGCCTCCTTATAATGTCAGCAAGGAGGAGATTGATATCATTGTTGACACGACTGCTCGCGTTATCGATCGTGTTTTCGAGCAGATTGGCGGGCTTGATGACCTGGTTGCTATGCTGAACGACGGTCCACGCCGCGGCTAGGTATTAGTGTTCGTTCTTGTCAAGTCGATCTCCACTCCATGATGATTCCGTCTCAATGATTTTATTTTTATCGCGTTAGACGTCAAGATAAACAAGAAAAGACAATATATCGTTATATATTAGAGCAGCGGCCAGGTATGACCGGACACCCCTCGTAACTCCCTAGGAAATCCAGAAATATCTATGCTTACATGGAGGTACTAATCGTATACATCACGCCTTGGCGTCCACGTCAGCCTTCTTAAAGAAAGGGAGCTCCTTCGTCTTCTCCTGGGCCTCTCCGTTCGCAGCAGTGGCCGGGGCTGGACCCTCCGTCCACATGCTGGCAACGGTTTCCACTGCACGCTCGATGACCACACGCACGCGGTCCCGGAGGACAGCATTAGCGCACTCAACCTCAAGATCCTCCAGCCATACCCGCGCAACGTGCTTATCAACTCGGATCTCGATTCCAGGGACGGGAATTCCGAGCGCCCGGAGACGGGCCAGCTCCGCCTCCTCCATTTCCGCGACCTTTTCGTCGTCCTGGTGGTCCGTCTCTCCGTTTGTGGGTTTGTCGGTATCCCCGGACTTGGGGGGCCCATCGGGGAGGAGATTTGTCGGAAGCCGTGGGCGCTCGATGGGGGCGATGTCAGAGCCGAATTGCGCTTCAAGCATCATGAGGAGACGCCGGAAGCGTTCTTCAGGTCCTAGATGTGAATGAGGATTGGGGATCGGGATCTCCAATGAGTCATGGTGATGGTGGTGGTGTTGCTTGGCGGATTCTGTAATGCTAGTTAGTTCTCTGCAGCATTAGAGGCCCAACGAAGTACATACGCTTCACGGAAGCAGGGCTGCTTTCCACGGTGAGGAGAACAGCCATGACGGCATCGGCCACGCCGTCGTTCATCATGTTCCCTTCCCACTCAAGCTCGATCTCACGAGTACGTGGGAGGTAGCGAATGATCACACAACCCATGACGAGGTAGGTGTGCGCATCCTCCATGGGGATCTCTTCGTCAGCATCTTCTTCTTTCGGTTTCTCTTCTCCATCCGATTCCTTTGACGGCTTCTCTTCTGTGTCTTCACCCTTGACCTTGGGTTCCTGCTTGGTACCGATCTCTTCGATGGCACCAAACGTGCCCTCAAGAGCCCACTTAATCAGGTCCATGCTTGCTGAGCTAAGCGTGATGTGCTGCTTGCAGGTAATGCTGGTCGTGGTTAGACCTGCGTACTCTCGAAGATCGTCTGGAGCCATTAGTGACAGGTTAAATCCGTTCTGAACCAGCACACCGGTCATGAGCTGGCCGTCGTCTTGTTCCGATGGAGGAGCGATCTGGGCCAACTTGCCCACGACCTTGGCGATTTTGTCCTTTTTGAACGGAATTCGGACCTCGTCGCAGTTTGCAGGGGTGTAGACCTTGACTTTGACCGTCTTCTCCGCGTTAAGACTGAGGAGCTTCGATTTGAGACGCATCATCTGGTGTTTTTCACCATGAACAAGGATCTGAAGAGAATCAGTATAATCACCTTCGTGAATCGTAGATCAGGAGGATGCATACAACAACAGGGGCGGAAACCTCCTCGATGAAATTCCGGTTTTCGACGCCATCAACATGGGCCGCAAAACTGATTTCATCTACTGTGCATCGACGCGGAATCATCACCTTCTGTTCTTCGTCACTATTCGCTCCTCTCCTGATCAACCCCGTTGCAGCTCGCGACATCACAGCGGGGATCTGCTCCGGCTCGTTGAGGAGTTGTTTTGCCATTGTGCCCTCCACACTGTATCCAGTCATAATGACACCGTTGCGTTCATTAGGGGCCCAACGTTCGAGCAGTTCTCGACTTGTTCCTGACTGCAGCATACCAGGAGAAGCCAGCATGACACACCCTCCTACATCATCAAAACGCTCCAGACTACGCAAACTTCTGACGAAACGGAAGTCCCATGGGCCTGCGCTGGCATTCTTGTCGCCGCTGGCTTCGGCCTCAGCCATTCGCTGTCGGAATAGTCGTTTGATGTTGTCATTCATCGCACCAATATAGGTCTGATATACCACCATGCAGCGTCGAGCGGTGTTTCCGATGTAGTAGATGGGGATCTTCTGCAACTCCGGATGCGTTTCCCAGTACTCGTCCAGAATAAGAAGTAATTCTTGGGCACGACCAAGCGCGAAAACTGGCATCAAGACCCGTCCACCGCGGTTCAGAACACCCGTTATAGATTTCATCAGAGCAGCTTCGCGCTCCAGCCGAGGCGGATTGGATGAGATACCGAATGTTGACTCCGTGATCAACACGTCGATCTTCACACCCTTCGGTACTTCCGCGGGAATAAGATGTCGGTCTTCCTCTCGAGAATAGTCGCCAGTAAAGAGGATGTTCAACCCGGCAATGGAAACTAAGAACATCGCAGCGCCAAGCACATGGCCCGCGGGGAAAGGTGTGATGTGGATACTGTTGACGGTATGTGTTGTGTTGAAATCAATGGTTTCGATCAGGGGAAGAGTGGATAAGTGGTCATGTTCCGTATAAAGAGTGGTGCGTTGGTCGGACGAGGAGGCGGTGTTGCTGACTCGGACGTTGTCCTGGATTAGCCATTTGTAGATGGCTTTGGTGGCGTGCGTCATAAAAACCCGACCCTTGAAATTTGTCTTGCTGAGGACATAGGGTAGCGCGGAGGAATGGTCGACATGGAAACTGAGCACAAGGCAGGGCGGTCAGCGACAGGTGTGTTCCAAATACAATGCGACAGCTAAAGACATTGGAGAGCCATAGGGTAGGTATTGGAATACAGTCATGGAGCACAAAGTAAACCGCTAGTACGAATTGTATTGCCTTTCTCGTATACATGAGGAAGATTGGAGAGTGGTGGATAGCGCATCTTCGCGTGAACAACCTGGGGCAGGATATCGTGTTGGGCGAGGGAAGCACCACCATTTCTCCATCCAACTGGTGTAGAACCAAACAGGACAATGGACACGATGAGGGGAGGGAGGATCGCACATACTGGCTAATCAAAAGGACGTCCACCGTACTCAGATCGAATTCATCGAAGAAAGGAAGAGCCGAGAATCCTTCTTTGGCGGGATGCATACCGGCGTCAAGCTGGAACAGGACAATGTCAGTCTCGGAGAAGGGCAAAAGTGTCGTTCGCAACGGGTGAAACGTACCATGACGGTCTTTCCTTTATACTGAATAATATGACATGACCGACCGACTTCATTTCCTCCTCCAAGACAATAAAAAGCCAACTCGTCCGACGGGTCGACAGGCTCGTCGTCCACCGCGGCGTTCAGCGCGGATGCCTTTCTTTTCGTCGCCATGGTGGTTCGTAGAGATGGCCAATTGATGCAGCCCAATAATAAGTGTTAATCACCCAAAGCAGCTGTTATCCGATGTTGTACCTATTCAGCCGATAGTACCGCGGAGGCCGCCTGGACTCGTGTCGAACTCAGTATAAACAGGCCATGACCGGCGTGAAGCGCAGTCCAGATAGATAGAGGAGAGGCCACTGCGGCGCAAATTCAATGGAAGCCGAAGAAAGCGATTAGTGAAGCGACGCCACCGACACCACACACGGTTCGAAGAGAATGACAGGCGGCAATGAAGGAGGCAAACAAGACGATGAAGCAACTGACGATGTGATTGTCGGAGAACAAAGGTGGATGCTGAGCTAAGCATCCACGTGATGGCGCGGGAGTCTCGCAAACCTCGATCGATGCAGGCAAAAGCTCCCTTTCCGTCTGCGAACAACACGCTTCTCTGTCATCGCGCCCTCGGTTTCTAGTTACGTTGGGACACTCCTGGCGCAACTTTCCCGCTGATTCATGTTCCACGCGACATTTTGAGATGGTTACAGCTGGTGGAGGCGGCGGTTCGAACAATCCGCTCGGTTTTAGTACCTCGCGCGCGGACGTGCCATTTACGTCTTGAACGGTGTCACAGAATCTGATAGCAAGACCTCGTGGTCGTGCCTCTTCAATCTCCCTTTGCATGCACCGTGAAGTCGGGCGACACCATGGCGCAAACACAACCCCAGCAGTTTTCCCAGTCTTTCTCGCCCCCGGGGTCGTCCCCCTCCCCGGGGGCAGCACCTTCTCCGGTGAATGGTGGTGTTCCTCCTCCCAAACGACAACGACTTTCTCCTCATCCTCAGTCACCTTATGCCTCTCCCAGCTTCGGAACTCTCCAACTCCCGCAGAACCACCCATCCTCTGTGAACGGAACGAACCCCAACGGAGTCCCTCAGACCCCCACGGCACCTTCACACCCACAACCACCTCCTGGCACCATGGGGCCTCCTTCTCGACCCGCGGATAAGGCTACAGATGCCGCCGAACTGACCGACGTTTTGGCTTCTTCGGGTATTGATGTACGAGAAGAGGAGGCCTATCTGACCAGCAGTTATTCGGGTTCTGCTGTCCAAGCACAGCAACAGCAGCCTCGTCCGCAGCCGTTACCCCCACAACAACCACATCAACCCCCTCCTGTAAATACCTCCTTCACATCACAGGCTTCAACGACGGGGACGCTGTCGACCCAGCCTAGTTTCAGTGAGGCTTCACCATATAAGCCCCAAACGACGCAAGACTCTTTCTACACCGAGCCGTCGACCCAAGTTCCTGCTCCTTTCAAGGACCCGAACGAGCCCACGCGGGAAGATACGGAAGCGGCACGCCGCGCCCAATATCACCTACAAGAGCCGTTCCTTTTGACCAAGGTTCTGGAACAGAAGCTGCAGCGGCGCGGATTCGAGCTTGGAGTCCGTATTCCGGCCGAAGGCTTGTTCCACCCCGTTCCAGGTCGTCCCCAGCCGATCGAAGTGACCGGACCTGATGGTTCGTCGGTCGTGCGGACTGGGCAAACGATTTTGAACCAGGAGGGTGCCCCGTTGGTGGACATCCTGAACCTCATGTCGATCTCTTGCGAGGAGCGGCTACGCTGCGTGCTCGACTACTCATGGACCCTGGCTAGGAGCCGACGCGCACATTCGCATGCCGTGGTCCCCGAGGAATGGCGAGACATGGCCTCGACGACCAAAGCCGCCAGTGGAAATGAGGAACCGCACACGCCGTCGCAGAAGCGTATGTAACCACGGCAGCTTATATCTAACCCTTCACTAACCAGTTCTAGGACCTCACTCGGCCATGGATGCATCGGGATCAAAGTCCTTGGTGGAGAAATGTCGCCTTCTCATGGAGAAAGATAACTCCAGCGAAGAGAAGCGCGCAGCCAAGCGAGCCAAACGTAGCGCGAATGCGATTTTGGGCGAAGGAGGAGCTAACCGATCGGACTCAGTCGATCTACCAGGCTCTGGAGCCACGACACCCATCGGCGAGCGGGCTCCGAGCATCGATAAGAAGGGCCTTACGAAGAAGGAGGCCAAGAAACTGATGGATGCCAAAGCTAGCGAGGCGCAGCAACACCAGCAGTCGGTGGAGACAGCCCGTCTGGCGACGAACAGTATGATCTCCGGACGTGTGTTTGGCACAAAGAAGCAGTACTCGTGGCTGCAGCGTGGACCGGCCACAGGGAGTGGATTTTCCAGTCCGTCTCGCGTGAGCACGACCACACCCAGTGCTGGGTCGGACAAGGGCGGACGTTCGGGCGAACCGGCGGCGATTTCCACCAAGCGACTGGGCACCTTCCGGGAGGACAAGGAGAAAGGCTCGGGGGTCCAGCTGCGAGATATCTTGTTCATGCTTGAGCTGGATGGACGTGGCTCGCGACATGTGCAGAAGGCGTACTCGAAGGATCTGAAAGAAGATCGACAGGAGTGAAGCCTTCTTGGGTTGAGGGCGGGTGGTTACTACGCAGGACCGTGGTCATAGGCGTTGGCGGGTTGGGTCGAATTCTCTAGTCTACGCATGTTTTGGATTCCTGCGTTGCATCGATTGAGAGGAAGCGACCGGGGGCTCTGCATTCTTGTGTTTTTATACTATGATTATTACTGGATTTAATTTGAAGGGAAGAGTCCCCGGGAGATGATGGTTGTTTCCGGTGTACTCCGTATACCCGTGTATGAGCCTTTTATGTTTGTAGTACCTACAAGGTAGACTACGATGACTTGCAGAATGGTATGCCTGTCTGTTGGGACACTGGATCAACTCTACGCTCCATTTCGAATGTTAAGAATGTGATGAAGCAAAGGAAGGAAAATTGCCGCCGTGGACGAGGGCGATGATGGTGATGGTGATGATGTCAGAGGGGTCAATGGGTCTCACTCTATAGAGTCCAGAGTACAACACCGTCACCACCCGAGTCGAGCACCACCCTCTTGCATGTTCACGATTTGTGACGGTTTATTTATTGAGAGAATAATGAAATTGCACGATGTTGTCCTCTTCCATTCTCTTCTGCGCTTTGATTCGATTGACTCTCCGGCCGTGCGGCGGTCGAAAAGACATGCGGTGTTGCCACCAGCCACAAGAGTAAAAACACGGCCGATCCTTGCGTTCGTCTCGGGAATGTAGGATGGTAGATGCAACAATAATAATAGGGAGTCACTGGGGCCATCATAATACACTACGTATGGATAGTAGAAATGAGCATAGTATGAGAGAATTTTTTTTTTTTTTAAAGAAGGATGTAGGGTCTAGGGTAGAGTAGAATCCACGGAATACGTATCGTGATAGACTCAGCCGAGATTCGTCTCCCTCCTCACACTCCTCCCATGGCAAAGAATTATTCTCTGGGATTCATCTGCTTTACTATCCTCTCACACAGCCTCTCCCTCTATATGAACGCGTCTGAATAAATGCAACACACTGTCTGTGATCCCCTCTGCATCCCCGTGATCCATCCGGGCGTCTCCCCGTCCGACCGCCTGTATACTGCCTGCCTGTGAGCGTGGATTATTCATTCCCACGACGCCTCCTCACTCCAGTCCCTCGTCCTCTTCCTCTCCTCCTTCTTCGCCAGTTTCTCTCCTCCACCCTTCTCGTGCCCTCTGATCGACTCTCTCAATTATCTATTTCAATCCCATTCGACTGGGATCCTCCGAGAACCCCGGGTTTACTGCCCTGGCATCTCGAGTCCCCTGGTCTGATTTTCCATTCCTCGCCTCTCTCGCTCGCTCGCTCGCTCGCCGCTCCGGTCCTCACACGGATCGCTGAGAACGGACTGGACTGGACTGGACTGTACAAGAAACTAGTGTCCCTCCCCCTGCCGTTTCTCCTTTCTACCCATTCCCACGACCATTTCTTCCCCCTCGGTGTGGTGGGTTCGCCTTCCTCAATCCTTCGCATCATGTCGACTCCCTCAACCGCGACCGCGACCCATCCGACGACGACGCATCATCAGCCACACTACGGATATCATCAACCCTACCAGCCAAGCGTATCCTATCCGACCACGTCCGCCACGACTGCCGCTCGTCTAGCCACCTCCTCCTACCCCTTCACATCCACCGCAACGACAACGACTCTTCCCTACGCTCCATCTCCCAAAACCTTGCCGACCCCGTCTACCGCCACGATGGCTCAAGCCCACCCCGGAAGGAGGAAGAAGCCGGACTGGGGCGAATTTTACAAGAATGGCATTCCCAAGGAGGTCATTGTCATTGATGACACCCCTCCGCCCGACTCGGCCAACAAGCCTGCCGCGCGCAACGTCGCCCCGGCCGCTGGCAGTAATAACACCGGATCCCAACCCGCAGGCAAGAGACGCCGAACCGGCATCGAAACCGCCTACGAAATGGGCTACTATGACCGCCCCTCATACTCCATCAACCCCCAGCGCTACGGGGAAGAGTCCTCCGCCGCCTCCCTCTCCACCGATCGGACGACCTCCCTCCATACGACGGCTCCCACCTCCCTCTCCCAAGGGAGTTCCGGTGCCAGCAATGGCATCTACTACGAGGATGCCAATATCGGTCAGAAGCGCAAGCGGGTCGCCACCCGCAAATCCACCCGCGACGAGCAAAAACGCCGCGAGCTGGAAACCGCCGCTGATGCGTTCTTGAGCTACGTGCCTCCCCCGAAGCCTCCCATCAAAGCCAAGGACGTTCCGGTCCCGGTGATTCGTGATGTAGGTGTCTTGCACGCCCTTCAAGGTGGATAGTTCGCTGACACGTTTTCTACAGAATTTTAGTCGCACCGAAAAATACGATGACGATGACGGTCATTATATTGTGAATCCGAATACCCCCTTGACCGATCGATGTGAGTGATGTCAAGCACTCGTTATCCGACCGCATGCTAATCAGTTCGCTCCCAGACTCCATTATCAAATTGCTTGGACAAGGCACGTTTGGAAAGGTGGTGGAGGCCTATGATAAACAACGCAAAACTCGGTGCGCGGTCAAGATCATTCGTTCGATCCAGAAGTATCGGGACGCGTCCCGGATCGAGCTGCGGGTACTGTCCACTCTTGCCTCCAACGACCAGTCCAATCGAAACAAGTGCATCCACCTGCGGGATTGTTTCGATTATCGAAATCACATTTGCATCGTGACGGATCTGCTGGGACAGAGCGTCTTTGACTTCCTCAAGGGCAACGGCTTCGTGCCTTTCCCCAGCAGCCAGATCCAGAACTTTGCCCGGCAACTCTTTACGAGTGTAGCTTGTGAGTACTTGCTTCGCCACCCGGGCCTGCATCCATACTGACCAGATAGTCCTCCACGATCTCAACCTCATTCACACCGACCTGAAACCCGAAAACATCCTCCTGGTCAACAACAACTACCAGACCTTCACCTACAACCGACATATCCCCTCCTCCTCATTCGCCATCTCTCGTAAAGCCACGCAACGACGTGTCCTGCTGGACAGCGAGATTCGTCTGATTGACTTCGGCTCAGCTACCTTTGATGATGAATATCACTCATCGGTAGTGTCCACCAGACATTATCGAGCGCCTGAGATTATCCTGAACTTGGGCTGGAGTTTCCCATGTGACATCTGGAGTATCGGGTGTATTCTTGTCGAATTCTACACCGGTGATGCCTTGTTCCAGACACACGACAACCTGGAGCACCTTGCTATGATGGAGGCGGTCATCGATGACAAGATTGACAGCAAGCTTGTCCGGCAAGTCATGCAAGGCGGACGGAGCGGGAATCAAAATCAAGCTGCCAAGTATGTTGATCGCTCTACCTTCATGAAAAGTCTTCTAACCCAAATAGATACTTCTATCGGAGCAAGCTCAACTATCCCAATGACGATACCACCCGGGCCTCCCGAAAATACGTCAAGGCGATGAAGCCATTGGAGGTGCGGACTACCGACCCTTTTATTCTCCCTTTGACACTGACTGACCACCAGCAGCATTTTATCCCCCAGGGGAACAAGTTCCACCGGTTATTCCTGGATCTGTTGAAGCGTATCTTCGTGTACGATCCGAAGCAGCGTATCACCGCCAAAGAAGCCTTGAAGCATCCTTGGTTCAAGGAGAGCCTCATCGATGACGGTACTGAAGCGTTGCGGATCAAGGAACAATTGTCCCGCAACTTCGGCCGTTAGCCCCCTGTGCACAGCATCTTCTTTGAGCATTCTGCGCTGGCCGCCTCGATGACTGCCACCTACCTTGTATGGATACAGCTACATTCACGATAGATGGTTCGTGACTCTTTTCCTTGGATATTATACATCGCGATGGCCGTCGCGCCGGTTGATGATCGGGTACACGGGAAGGACAGAGATTCGGACAAGGTCCTATCAGATCCTCCTTCGGAGTTGAGCGCGCCCACCGGGTCTGGTGTATGGGGTTTGGGGATTCTTCCAGGAGGCACACAGGCTCAGTCTCCGACATATAATGGACGTGAACCAGAATGACAAAAGCCAGCGATTGACGTATCGGTTCTATCTGTTTCGTTTCTGACGGGGGACATGTTATCTGCTTTTTTTATCTTATATCCTCGTCACATAGGGATCTAGGCTGGAGGGATGTGATTTGTTTCTGTTTCGTCGGGTTTGCTCTGAGCATTGTGACTTCTGTTTCTCTGGATTGGATTTATTGTCTTATGGGGGGGCGCCGACGATATCTTGCATAGTCTTTTTTTCTTCACTTCTCTGGTCTTTCATTCGAATTGACCTGCATTCGTCACG